CACCCTTGGGATCTGGGGCTGTTTTTTCTTTTGCAAAAGAGAAGAGAATTCAATTACTTAGGAAGCTGCTTGTAGATTGGGAAAGGGTCTGCGCATAAGATGGATACAAAGGCGGTCCTGTGAGACAGAGAGACTTCGCTCTGCCTGTGTGTGCATTTGCATTGTCTCTTATTGCTCTTATAGTAAAGGAATTGGACGGTGAGATGGGATCTCATGATCTTCATTGCGTTTGTCTGCTACATGCCTTGGCATTTGCCCTAGCGGCCACACGTTTACCACCATTAGAAAGACCGATCTTCAGCTGCTTGGCAGCACAAAGACGAATGAATATCGTAGAACGCTCTAGCAAAGGAACGCTGTGAGGATGGAAGCATGGCGTCCGCATAGCCGGCCTGCTGTGGGTACCATTCTCAGTCCGTGATGACGATGCTCTCGTGCAACCCCTGTCCGTCGCCGTTCCCAGTGGCTGGAGTCATGCTCATCGAAGCAAATCCTTGGTCAGCGAATCCACCATGGAACGCAGCCTGAGATCCATGGTCATGACTGCTAGACCCACCGAAAGCGAGAAAGTCGTCGAACATAGCACTATCATGGGCACCATCAAAGCCCATACCACCACTAGAAGGATACTGAAAGGCGCCAGTGGGGGCAGTAGATTCCGGAGTGCCTTCTTGACCCATGGGCTCCTCCTTGATAGGCTCGGCTTTGATAGGTTCAGCTTTGACCGTGATGCTGGACTCGGCTTTGACATTGCCAAGGCCTTCGTCGTCGTCGGTGTTGAAGTTGGAGTTGGTCTCAGCATACTGGTCTAGTTTGCGCTTCTTGCTGCAGGTGCCGGCGGAAGGAGAGGTTTTGCGACGAGGAGAGGGAATGGGAGTGTCGCGGATGCCGGAGGCGGTGGTGCCACCGCTCTGGCTCTGATGGATGCCGTTGGCCTTCATCATGCGTTCGTAACGCTTAGCACTAGGGACATGGTCAGCTGGAGGTTGCGTGTGGTAGAATGAGAGCTTGGGTAAAGGAGTCTGAGATTCCTCTTGAAAATGTGGAGAGGAGCTTGAACCGAGCAAGAGAAAAGAGCTGTGCCTGTGAAGAGACTTACGCGGCGCCTTTACTGACGATGTTGCACTCCTTAGCGACCTCGGTGAAATCGACCTGATGGCAGTCAGCGTCGCAGAAGTAAGTGAGGATTGTAGGTAGGAGCTTACCTTCCCATTGTTGCTGTAGCGGATACAGCTTATTAGGAATTTGAACTGCTCCTCGTTGCTGGCGGGAGCCATCTTGATAAAGTGGATAAAGCGGACGACAACTGAGGAAAGCGGTATGTCTTTTGTGGTAGGGACGTCTCTATGTTCGTCTGTGTTTTGGTCCGGATCTTGGTTTGGGTCTTTGTCCCGGTCTTGGTGTGGGTCTTGGTCTTTGGATTGGTCTTGGTCCGGATCTGGATCTGGATCTGAATCTGAATCTGGCTCTGGCTCTTGGTCCTCTGGATCTTCGTCTGGTAGGCCAAATGGATACTGGTCTTGGTAAGTCGAACGTTTGACTCGATACTTTGGTTGATATTCACGGCAGAAGGTACAGCGGCAGCAATCTTGAAAGGTTAGAAGATGAAGATGTCTTTAGGATACTGGGACTTACTTTCAATATCGCCGGGCGCGTCCAAGTATTTGTGCGCGAGTGAGTACTTGAATTTGCTAGGCTGGTAATGCTGTCAGTACAGGCCGTGCAGCAGACGTGGGTGAAAGAGCCCGTTGTGGTCTGCGGGGCAAGATTGTGAAGAACAAGAGGAGAAGAAAGGATCGGATACGTACGTCGCGGTGAGAGATCACAAACCTGCCATGCTTTGAAGCCATAGCAAAAGAAACGGGTGCAGCTATGCGAAGCTTTTCAGGAAAACGAAGAGCTAATGGTTGCGTGCAGGGTGTTGTTTGCTCGGCTACAGAGGATCTAGCCTTGGCAGCCTTGTTCATTGCGGTAGGCACCCTTTTCACTCCACGCAATGCTAATTCTGTGTTCTGACAAGAGAATAGGATAGGTATTTACTCGGGTACTTTACAGATAAGTGGACTAGTTGCTCCTCTTACATGGAATGGCACTGGAGAACGCCTAAGCCGGTAGTCTCGGTTCGCTGTTTGCAAGGAAAACACAGTGATAGGATGTCTACTCTTATTGGTAGTAGCTGCTGTAAAGATCGTCACAGAGGCTCATAGATAGCCAGGGTAGCAAGGCTTCGATTCTGGAGACTACAGCAAGCTATGTCTCGTCTTCACAAGAGAATCTACACTGTAGTCCATCCACGCATCGCACAACGACGACAACCATACTCCAAAGACCACCACCACTAAGGCAAGCAGGCATCTTTCAAAGAAGTCGATCCTAAGCTATCCGAGCGATGCTATGGAGACCTCTGTGTGCGTTGGAGACGTCAGGCAGCCTCCTCTTTGCCTTACTGCTCAATCAAGGTTTCGGCTTCGCTTGCTGAACAACCATCAGTATGGGCTACTGATAGCTGCAAGGGAGAAGGGAGGTACTTACAACGGCCCTCGGGATTGACGTTAGCAGCAGCAGCCTCATTCTTAGCGTTGAGCTGGTCGACCAGGCCTCCAGAGCTCTTGGCCTTCTTAGTGGAACGACGGGCTATACAGCAGGTCAGCTGTGGCACGTATCTCAAGCTCGTGAGGAGATTTTACCTTTGGCAGGGGTGCTGTCAGCTCGAGGAGTGCCAGCAGCCTTGCGTTTCTTGCTAGCCTTAGTGGGAGTTGCAGTAAGAGCAGTAGAACCCTCGCCGGCATTGTCGTCGTCTCCGTCAGCGGCAGGAGCGGCGGGAGCAGTGGCGAGCTTCTTGGCCAGACGGCCCCACATGACCTTCGCGTTCCTAGAGTCCTGATATCCCGAGTCAAGAGCTGCTTGGTCCCAGTTAACCTGTATAGTATCACGGTCAGAGAAGGAGAATGAGTGTGAGGATGAGCTCGAGAGCCATGACGATGAGATTGCAATATGAGGTGAGGGGATGAGTACTTACGAAGGCGGTGATGCTGCCTTCGAAGTTCTTGACCATGGCGGCCATGAGCTGAAGCTCCTTCTCGCTGAATTGAGACATGAGTGGATTGGATGTTTGTTGCTGGTAAGTGTCTGGGTCTCAGAAGGTGGATCAGCAATGCTCGAAGTCAGTGATCATGACAATCTGAGGGACGATGGTACTGACACTGTACGGTAGGATGATGATTACGAATGAAGTAGCAGATGAGGAATCAGTGTATGAGTATCTTGTGCATGAAATTGCTTGTTGTTGTTGATGGTTGTCCGAGGAAGAAAGGAAGGGTGAAAGTTTGAAGTGAGAGTTCGCTGTGAAGTATTTTTATGTACCCACTAACGGGACGGGACTATCTACTTCCGGCCGGCCTTTTCAACCCCTCTCATGGTATATAAAAAGTCTACGAGCAGGTATCGTGCCTGTCCTGAAGACTTCGTCCTCATGGTGCCTGCTGTCTACAGCTGTCCAACACGCCGAGCCTAGCGCCCAGTAAGAATAGGTAGCACTATAGCCAAGTTCTCCTTGCCAACATCTTCCTTGCTGCCACTCCAGATGCCGAAAATATGCATCCGTTTGTTTTGTTCATCGCGCGAGTTGGATTTTTACCCTGTCCAATCTTCTATGACCACTCTTGCACCTTCTACCTCTTCTCAAGTACCAGCATCCCATAAGTGCTCTTCCATGTCTACCACAGCCTCCGTTGCTCGATGCTCGATGATCTAAGAGTAAATCGATGTCGTCTGGCGGTAGAAGAGGGCGGCATGCTGAGGGGAGTCCTGTCTAGGAGGCGAGCCTGCTACCTGAGGAGGCACTGCTTGAGTCTATGTTAGCTGCAGCTATTCTTGATGCTGTGTGAGCCAATAGCGGGTAGATTACCGATGCTCATGTTGCCTGCGAGGGTGGATTGACCTCGAGTAAGGACAACGGGGGCTACGTTGTCTGAGGTGGGAGGGGTGGTGCAAACGTGGTATATAGGTTGACTGTACGTGCTGCGATTCTCGCTGCTCGTTCACCAGCACAATGTGAGTCATCCACTCCCGATGAGATAGCATACAAGTGAGAGCGGTAAAGGTGTAGTTTATAGACCGACGATAGAAGTGGCGTTGGCTCGTGCAAAGTGCGCACTATACAGGAGTGTGTCGAGACAAGATGCGTGTAAAGCGCAGTGCAATTTATGCCGTCGGCATCCGAATCTCTGGTTGGTCTTGGTCTCCCAGCTTGCTGAAAGCGAAATTCTGGCTTTCTAGATGCGCGCGTGAGTTTCTGGCCCGTGGAAAGTACTGTTTTTGTCAGGCAATCGTTGCTGAGCTGACGAGCGCCGAGTTCGTGGATCTATATTCTCAACTATAGCGGAGCGATGAGGAGACGACGGCGTTAAGGAGTGTTGGCTTCAGCATGTGGAGCTAGTAATGTCTTTCGCGTAGCTTGCTGTATCGTCGAGCTGGAGCGCAGAGGCCCAAGTTGGTATCTTCTCTGCCGTTTTGTCGGATATTTCAGAATGAAAGGCACACGCTGCCCTGGTGCTAGCGACTTATTCTCTCGCATTGTTCACAAGCGTGTAGAGATACTTCAGGTTTTGGTAGTCGCCGCGCGAGTATTGCTGCCAACATTGTAATACCAGATCGGACTATGGTCCATGGTTCGTCTGTTGATTTTTCCAGTGCCGTAGTGCTTTAGACTGTGGTACCGACTGTGCTGGTTGCTGGGGGATTGTTGTACATGAGGTAGGTTTGGTCTGATTCTGAAGGCCTTGAGTCTCTGCAAAACAGAAGGTACCTTGGGATGCCCGTTGAGGTTGGTTGCTGATCCCAAGAATGCATTTGGAAAAAAGTCTTTGTGTATCTGACCGCCAGCTTTTCTAGGAAAATATCGCTGATTTCGATCCCTGCCTGACCAACGAGTTGGGCTGATGAGTGCGCATTCGTAAATCTCGAGTCACAACTCCGCTGAAAATTCTGACTAGACAACAGTGTCTAAACGTATGGAGGTCGAGCGAAAATCCAGTCCTGCTCTCGTGTAGCTGGCTGTAGTGACGAGGCCCGATAACATAGGAAACGATCCTGAAAGAAACGTTTTTGTATCCGATCACTACCCTGGGAATATTGTTGGCCACCTGACGACGATGGTAAGAGGAAGCGATTACCGACTGAAACTCTATAGGATTGTGTGCAGTATGACGACGCCAATCCATGCGAGCTCGGTTGAGATCTCCGTTTTGGAAAGGTATAGTTGTGTATCTAGTCATCAGTCTAGGGAGTCTGTTGGCCTTCAAATGCGGAGCTTCTTGCGTAGCTATGACAGAGCGACGAGTACGCTTATCAACTTTGTATAGGGAAACGTAGTTGTCAGTGGCCATGGTGTTTGCTTTTTGCTTCTGAGTGGTTACGGATGTTGATGATGTAGGATGGAGGAGTTGATCAGAAGGTAGAATTGTTTGGTTGTGAACCCTGGTCACAATTTTCTCGGCACATATTCTTGTCGAGGCAGGGCTCGCCAATGTTCCCTTTGGGAAACGAGGTCATCAGCAGCAGCAAGGTCACCCCTGGTCAGTTGAGAACCCACAGGACCAGTTTTGACATGCTTTTTGCTCTTGAAGGTTGCGGTTGTTGATGATGTAAGATGGACGGGTTGAACTTGTTTTGGTTGTTAGCCCTCTCGGCACATGTTCGTGTCGGGGCTGAGGTTGCCAATTCTGTTGGGAAACGAGGTCATCAGCAGCAACGAGGGCATCGCTGGTCGGTTGAGAACTGGAGGACCGATTTTGACATGCTAGACTCTGGACCATAGTGGCCGGAAGCATCAAGGAATCCTTTAGCTATGAACATCTGTCTATGGTTGAGACGAGAGATGGCGAGTGGTATTTTTGACCCGGTACTGAGGCTAGAACCTCAAATCGAGTCAGCAATAGGATGAAAACAGGCCAGAAGAGTGCCTTACTTGATGATAAAACTGCTTTGCGTGTGGCATACAGAAGACGCAAGTGGCCCGACTTCTTGATCAAGGTTGGAGACAGAGAGGTGGAGAACTCTACCCACTCTGTGATGTACTGAGCCGTTGTTGGCGGATTTTTCTGAATGCCTGTGTCAGATCTTGGGCTTCTGCCGCAGCATCGGTAATGTCCGTAGGTCAAGATGCTGTCTGGTGTACAGAGGCAAGGATGCTCTGGGTGAGTAAAACCCTTTGGATTCGAGCAGGATCAGGAAATCCGGAAAATGGATAAGGCAATACGCCCAAACATTGTCCGTGTAAGGTGGCAGGACACTCTACGGTTGACACAGATAAGGTTCGGATAGCGTTTGGAAATGACCGAAAGTCTTGACTGCTTTTCGCGTTTCTGACACGAATGAAGGCCACTCAAGCTGGTGATAGAATTCTGCTGTTCGAGGGTAATACTACCAGTGTACACAGCCAGGTGAAGGGTGAAAATCAAGATAGAACTTAGAGGTGATGATGGATGAGTATGTATCTATAAGAGCCACTGTGTTGGCATGGATGAGACCCAAGTAATGGAAGTGAAAAAGCGGACATGCACCGTCAAGGAGATGTGGCACAAGACGAAGGGGCTTGTAGAGGTATATCCTGTAATGGAAGGACCCTCCCTTGATGATTATTGATGAAGGACGATGTCCCAGAGTGGGTGTGGTTGTGTAGGGAGAAGGTTAGTTCTGGTGGGAGATGCAGGCTTAAGTACCCGCCAAAGCCCGCGCTAAGGGCATTCATTTCCCGGTGCCAGCTTCATTGGGACTTGCGTGAAGGATTAAGACGAATATGTCCCCGGTGAATACTCAACCTGTAGGAATAGAATTAAAGATAGGTGCTAGGCAGACTTCAGACGGTCTCAGAATCACAGTTTAGCTTCATATTTTGGCACTTTGGGTTCAGAGAGAGCCATCCACAGTAGCACTTGCATACACTGCAGGTAGAGACCCTAAATGAAATTCTATCTGGAGATGATGAACGGACAGACTGCTTGCGGCCTTTCTATCGTGCATGGGCCTGGAATCCTGTCGCTTTGGGCTGGAGAATGGTGCTTACAGGATCATCCACATGGGCAAGGCTTCTAGAAGCCGCTATCTAGAACTGGTAGATACCATGGGCTGCTGTTTGTTTGTTGGGGGGGGGGCTCGAGCCATTTCTGCATGCCAGTAATGGTAAATCCTGACCTACATAGCATCCCGTTCTCTCTACATCGTCAACAGTCATAGTTTCTTTATCAGAGACTATGCATAGTCAGGCAAGCAGCCAGTGAAAAACACTGCGTATATCACATGCTTTAAGGAATTGACAAGTTCGGTATCTCGTTATCTGATGGTCATTGTAGAAATTCTGGTCCACATTCTTTGAAACGTCTTGCTTTTGTTTGAATGCTCTCAGACGGGCAGTCAAGGAAACAGATAGAATGTGCCATATTCTCCCTAAAAATAGGGGGAACCAAGTATTCCTTGTATGGTATCATTTGTAAAGACTGTGGTACATGGGTCATATATTGTCTTGCTTTGAATGCATTCCATATTGTTCTGTCTGTTGGAAAGGAAAGTACTGTCTACTTGAGACCACTTCATTCTTGATCAAAGGGAAAACGATATTATAGCAGCAACTAAGGGAAGACTGTCCCAAACAAAAGGTTCTCCTGGAAAGACACTCAGAGAGAGCTATCAATGGCGAGGACTTGGATCTAAGGACATCAATCTTGGGGATGATTACTTCCTTGGAGAAAGGACAACTTGTTGTGGCGCTTAAAGTAGACATGAGAAAAGTCAGACGTGACGAATAAACGCTTCACTGAGTAGGATCAACAGATACAGAAGCAGCTCATTGCATGGTATGATAGGAAGGCATGTTGGAGGCACGAGTGAACCTCTGGACAGCTCAGTAAAATGTGGCACGCTATGCTAGCGTTCCCGGCGCACATAAGCAGCCATTGCAGCACGACAATTCCATCCTTCAGGGATTGCTCTTAAACACGATAACCATGCATAGACACATCTGTCCGTCCATATGTGTGTCTCAACGATGGAAAGTTGGTGCTTCCACATGTTGTCGATGATGCCAGCCAAATGCCATGCTCTTAAACCATTCCATCAAGGTAGAATCCCCCGAAGAACAAAGAATAGCGAGTGTATTTCTGAGGCATGGTGTCGAAAAGCTTGAGCAAAGACGGATACTTATTGACGAGAGCTGGATGTCCCGGACGATGACCAGTATGGATGAGAGTTAATCCTGAAAGGGGGTTAGTATCTGGAACAGGGGAATGATGCCGCAGTGCTTACTCGGCCCAATCCATATCGTTCTTGACCTCGTTGCCAGGCTTGATCCCCATCTTCTTCGTTGCTTCCATACTTACGAGGTCAGTATAGGCCGTTCGGAGGCTGCGCAGTAAGGCACTTACAGCTTTGGATCCAGCTCGCCTTCTTTGTTATTGCTGTCGATGTTCATCTCATCGACTCCTTGCCCTTTGGTGTCGCTCATTTGCTGATTGCTTGCCCCTTGTTGGTCAGACTGGGCGCTTTGATTCATCTTGTGATCTTCCGCGCAGTGTCTCTTGGCACCGAGTAAACCCGCTTCATGAGCTCCTCCGCCCTCTGTATCTTCCACGTTTCTCTTTCTCTTTGTCAGCTTAGAAAGGCTTGCTTTATGCTCTTCCTCAAGAGATGCGCTGTGTGAATCAATAACTCTATCTTCCGATCGGGTGCTGGAAGACATGGCCTTGCGTGTGTTGGTGAACAGGGATGGGTGTTGTAGAGGGCTTTTCTCGTCGAAGAGATTTATCGTCCCTATGGAAGTTGACTCGATTTTGCCGGATGTGCAGGTATGTGCAGTCAGCGTCTGTGCAGTTCTGAAGGTTTGGGAAGTCAAGTGGTAGGTGCAATTTTGAAGGTTTGGGAAGTCAAGTGGTAGCCGTTCAGGAGTGCTTCGGGGTTGTCTGTTAGGGTTGCTTGCCCTTTCATATGTCTCAAACAACGGTAGGAGTCTAGAATAGTGTGTGTGAAGAGGCGATTTGGTCTGGAAATTTACAGCGTTGTTGTGGGAGCACTTGAAGCTAGTGAAGGATCCGCACTAGTCCATTTTTGTTTCCATCACATTTAGTCCATTACACTGTGCTACTCTATTTAATTGACAAGGCTACTAAAGCAAAATCAGTTCTCCCAAAGAGGCTCTATCTTGACAACTGGCTCTGGCTTTACTGCAACAAGCTCTGGCGAAATCTGGGATGTTTCCACTGGAGAGTACTGCAGCAGATTGCCATGGTTCACAAAAGCTGCTGACTCCAGGGACATCTGTTGCATCGCGTCAGCATCTGCACTATCGTCCGGCGACCACGTCCCATCCTCCTCTCCACCGAGCTCCGCCTTGATCTCCGGCTCCGGCTTGACAAAATGCTCCTCCTTGACAGTCTGCTCAACGCCTGACATCGCATCCATATTCTCCTCTTTATCCGCCTTGAAGACTGTCCCTTGATGCTCTTCTGTCTGTGTCTTGTTCTTGTCAGATTTGTCGGGCTTCGATGTCCTCTGACGGGGAACGGCGGCTCTGGCCTTGCGTGGGGCAGGTGCGACACCCTCCATCTGCTGCTTGAAGCGAGAGTAGCGCATGCGGGCGGCGTGACCGTTGGTGATGTCTAGCTGATCAGCAACCTGCTGCCAGTCGATCTATGAAGCTGAGTAAGTATATTAATTATGGCATTATTCAGAAGAACGGCTTACCGATTTGAGGTCTAGCTGTTTCATGATGACATAGAGGAATTTAGAGATGGCGCCATCAGTTGGCATGGTGCGGTTCCTCCTAAGGCTTGCCATACTGGAGTCTGATCTTGAAGAGTGTTCGAGAAGACGAAGAAGGATGGGTGTGAAGATCTGGTGAGTAATCTTATCTTGCTGGATCGGGGCTCAATAACGAGTGCACAGCGCGTGGTATGATTGTGGTAGGGGAGGTCTGTTGGAGGATATTGATGCGAGTGAAGTGGAGTGATGGGACCTAGAAATAGGTGAGCCTATTGACCGCTAACTTGGGCACGCACGCACCAGTAATGAAAGCTTTGCTGTCGCGCAAAGCGACATCAAAGACGTGGAAAGCCTGAAGCTTTGTTCGTCGGCTTCCTGCATCAAGCGAAGAATCTCTGCAGAGACTCTAGAACGAATAAAAGCAAACACGACAAAGTTATTGCCGCCGCTTCTTCGTTTTCAGTGTAGCCGATAACGCCTTCTAGATATGCATCGGGATCGATGGTGGAGGAAATTGCGCATGGGCATGTTTCGAGAACGATTGATCCGTCCGCGAGGCTTGCAGTATCTCTGGTGCGATGCCACAAAGCGAAAAGAAAGACTGGAGCCACAGGTCAGAAGCAGTACAAAGCTCGTATAGCTCGATGATCATCTGGGATGATTGAGAAGCCTCGAGATCATTGACGGCAAGGATCTCCGCCCATATATTTCATACATTGACATCTGACCAATGCTACAGCCTGGTAAACATTGGAGAGCACCAAAAACCTCTGCGTATCTATGCAATTACTCACTCACAGAAGTTGCAGGAAGAGCCGAGTCAAGGTTGTTATCGATTACAGATTCACTTCCTGGGTGATCGACAGCTAACATAAAACCCTTGATCACCATCCACTTCATCTTACTCTGATCATCCTCTACCTTTAACTCACTCACCTCCCAACAATCTCAAGAATACGCCCTTCACCGACCTCGTGCTCCAAAACATATCTTCTCCTCACATCTAAGCTCATTCAAACTCCTTTCTTACCACCACCACCATTCGATCCATTATGCCTTGGGACGATGTTCGCGAAAAGCGGCTGTTGATCGAGCTGATTACGATCACCAATCCAGCCGTTACTCGCTCTACCTGGGACACCATTGCAGCAGTCATGGGAGACGGTTTAACGGGCGAGGCTTGCCGGTAGGTTCTATGATTCTTACATCTCTTTCTCCAGCTGTACCGACGTCTCTACTGTGCCATAACGGTCAAAGTATCACCTCAGACGCTCGACCCGGCACCCGAGCTCTGCCTCCAGATACTGCCTTACTCACTTCAATCTCATCCATCCACTAACGTCCCACTCAGCCAGAAATTCCAATCCATCAAACGCACCGTCAAACCCGCCAACAGCACCACCACCACCCCCGACGGCACCACCGCCTCCAAAGCCGCCAAGGCCACCAAGCCGAAACCCTCAACCTCCTCCGGCACCGCAACCAAAACCCGCAAGCGCAAGGCCAACGTCAGACGACGACGACGACGACGACGACGACGAAGGAGCGAGCCTCTTCACGCCAATGGCGCAGAAGAAGATGAAGTCGGAAAAGAAGGTCGGCGGCGAAGCCGAGGTGGACGGCATCGGCGCCGAAATTTTCAAAGCTGAAGCAGGGGGGAGAGGGCATTGATCTGGAGTGTGACGAGTATGTCCTCTTGACCCCTCTCTCGATCTTGTTACGCTAACACTCTACAGTCTCTACGACGCCGTTGCTTGAGTGGAGGTCCGATCGACGATGGCTGGCGTTGGGCTACAGGTGGGCTTTGTGGAAACCTGGAAACCGCCTTAAAGCTGGCGATGATCTCGATCGGTGCACTCCTTGACGGTTTTCGCGTTGGCTGAGAGAGGGATGAGGATCAGTAAGTGTGGAGGAAGTGGTAGAGCGAAGAGCGGCCTGGGCATGTCTTTCGTTGGCAACGCTCGCACGCTTGAGGTTGTGATAGGCATTTCTCGGATAGCGTTGGTTGGATAGCACGCAATCAGACCAGCTTCTGGGTTTTGCAAAAATGCGAATCGTGTTCTGCTTTTGTGACCTTTTGATCTGTGTTATCTGTAAGCGCTCGATGGAATATCTCATCTCGATGTTCTGGACAATCGATCCAAGCCTTCGCGATTGCACAATCATCATTATCGCCTGCGCTATCTCAGGAGCCATCAACCAGAACAAATATCCATCTCAAGATCCATAAGCTCAGACACCACCCTCCGCAGTCCCAATCCACCAGCTCAGAAAGACAGCATCCAACGCTGCGAAAGCGCATCACGTCCGAGACTAAAAAGCTTCGATATCCATGCCACCGTCACCAAAGTCACCATCGTAGTAGAGGCTGGACTCGCCACCGTCAACGCCACCCTGTGCTGCGCGACCGCCACGATCATTGTATCCGCCTTGGACGTTGGCCGCGAAGTCCTCATCGTCCTCGGTGCTGGGCACTTCCAAGAAACTACTCGAGCTACGATGGACCGTGAGCATATTCTCGAAATTATAAGACGATTTGGATGAAACCATACCCGCTCTGCGGCTCCTCCTTGATCCCGTTGCCGCGCTTCTTGGAAGGAGTCCCATTGCTCTTCCCCACGCGGCCGCCGACGGTCTTCCCCTTTGAGGGAGTGCCGACGGTAGACTTGGGCTTCTTTGGCGTGACGGTGGCGGAGACGGTGCCGCGGGCAGGAGCTTCGGGACGCTCGCCGGAGTCAACTTCTGCTTTCAAGGCCACTGCTTCCTTCTTGATGATACGAAAGCGGCCTTCGATTGAGTCGTAGGTGGCACCTGTGGGGTATCAGCATAGGCAACGGAGAAGCAGGAGATGGGAGGTGGTAGATTTGGAAAAGGGTGGAGGATGCTTGAATCGTTGCCACATACCGTTGCCGTACATGGACGCGATCTTGCGGTAGTCGAGCTGGAAATTGAAAGTCAGCATTGTTCTTGAAAGACTTGAGGTGTTAGTGTGAAGAGAGCGGCGCTGCATTGACAGAGACATAGGGTGAAAAGGCTGAGAAGATGGAGAATGTAGAGGACCGCAAGCAATGATCAAGAGACTCTAGTCATAACTTGCAAACCACTTGATATGGCATGAAGGAAAGCTGTGAGCATACCTTCATATCCTGCGCAGCCACCATTGCCGCCAGGAGGCGGGTGAATGCTTCCGGGTCTTTCCAGTTGACAGGCATACTGAGAGAGTTGGCGTGGAGATTATTGGGTTGTGGAAGTTTGTGAGTGTCGGTTGGATTTGGGGTTGAGGTTGTGTCCGAGGAGCAGAAGCTGTGAAGGTCTGTGCGGAAGTGAGTTGTCCAAGCTTCAAGTTCAGAGTGCAATTGGAATATTGTGAGGTGTTCGAGTTAGTCAATGGAAGTAGGGATCGAATGATTTGGACCAGAAAAGAAAGCTTAGACTTACAGTAACGAAGTGTGGTGAGAGGAAGCGTTGTGGTGGGACGGAGTGGAGGTGATGTGAGTCCAAAGAAGCAGCTTGGATTCAACAGCTCAAAGACATGTATGTGATCCTCGGAAGCCAAATCTTATATCCGAAGCGCAATCTTTTGGTGAAGCAAAGCCTGGAAGGATGCAGACAGGCACAATCTTCCACAGAATCTGCTTCAAGGACACAATGAACAGAGCATACAACAACCAACCTCAAGAACCTAGAGCAAGTATTTGTATCCTTTCCTAGACCCTTCGCGAGCTTGCAGAAAGGCCCCTCGAACTGCCTCTCTCAAGGCTCCGGCAGCACACGAATTCCCCCGTCGCTCTCAAGCCAGCACAGCTCCCCACGCTATGACTCACACCTAGCCCCCCTTGCAATCTTCCCCTGCGTTTCAGTACATTAAATAAGATACAGCGCATTGTCTCCAAGAGCAATATGATGCGTCACATTGCTCGAAGCTGTCGGAAGTTCTGTTTGGCTCGACGAGCGAGACGCTACTGCAGGTGCCATGCTTCTTTGGAAAGCAAAACTCCGCCGAGTGCTAGCCTGCGAAACAATCTGGAATGCACAAGGCCAAACGGGGTTTGAAGCAATAGTGGTAAGTACGGGCGATCGGAGCCAGGGGAGGTGGTGACTGGTGGTAGTCTGAGAGGATAAGGATTTGAACGTGCTATACCGGAGAAGGAAAGACAATCACGAAGGTGACGAGACGCGCGGGGTCTTTTGCACGAAGCAGACTGTCAGCTAACAAGCACAATCTATTTCAGGTTTTTCGAGTCCCATGGTCACTGTCCAGTGCCAGGTTTGATGCTCTGCATATTTAGCTCAACGGGGAAGCAGGGATTCCGGAACGCGTGAAACCGCGTAGTCGCGACAGCTGCAGCTGCGAGCACTCTACGCGATAATCCTTGCAAAAACGATAAAGGGGTTTTTGTATTGGGATATGATGGTAGGGCAATGTTATCCTGGTAGTCATCGATGCAGGAAATTGGCGAAAGAGCAGGGTAAGACGAGTGGGGTCTGTGCATCAAGATCGCGGAATTCGGGATTGCTATGGAAATCCACCACCAACGCTATGCTACGCAGCGCTACAAGCGGTGGTCTGCCACAATGTCCAAGGCTTCATCTGACCGAGGCGGGACCACTGCTCTGCGAGAACCCTTGCTGAAATGCATGTCCAGGATGTGCCACCTCGTAGCTGTCACAATCGCCTAAACGGCCTCCTCCAGCTTGACAGCAGCATCCTTCCCAGTCTCTTTGAACGAGCCATCCGTAGCGTAGGTGTCTTCACTCTCGGTGCCACTGGGTTCGCCGAAGACATTGTTGCCGTTTTCGTCTTTGGCATTGTCCATGGTGGCGAAGGGGTCATCAAGCTTCTTGTAGTCTGTTTTCTTGCCCTTGCGAGGAGAGATACGCTTGCTGACACGGCCATTTACGGTCTTCTGACGTTTGACGGAAGGGATAGGAGTAGTGGGAATCTTCTCATCGTCAGTCTCGGCGGCGGTCTCATCTTCCTCGCTGTTCATGGCAATGTCCGAGTCATCGCTGAAAGGGTCAGTACAAGATCTGGTGACGCAGGAACATGCAGCTCACCTCGGGGCATCGCTCAGCATGCCTCCACGCTTACGGCCCATTCCCTTTAACATATTCTTCGTGGCAGCAGGAACAGTGCGCTTGGCGGCTCTATTGATTTTGGTGGGAGTGGAGAAAGAGCCAGAGCCGGGGCTGAGGCCCAAAGCCACGCCTTCTTTACGAACGACGTTGAGGCGGTATGAAATGGCTTTAGCTGGGACATTGGGACCTATATAGCAAACTCCATCAGCCGTTCCTATAGTCTTGGTCTTGTGGATATTGAGGCCAAGTGCAGTAGCGATGTGATAATAGATCACAATAGTTGCTTTTGAGCTCGTGACAATCAAGAAAGACTCACCAAAGTCTGCAGCGATCTTCGTGTAGTCGGGTGTTCCAGGGATGAGAGCTAGGACTGCAGCGAAGAGCTTGGCATTGTTCTCGCGGTTCTTCCAGTCGACTGCTGGTTGTCCCTGAACCATCTTGACGAGCTGCCCGAATATGTCAGTAAACTGAACGTTATTTTTTCAAGTAGGAGAGAGCGTGATTAGAGAGATCGTCTCCCTTAAGAAAAGTGCAGAGGTTGCGCAAAAGATTGAAAGAGTGATAATGTAAAGTGGGAAGAAGATCCATTGAAGTGAGCCGAACGTCGCTCATGGAGCTTCAAAGGCATGTAATGGGTGGGATAGACTCACTGTGATGCTGTGTTTGTGGTAGTCTGGAGATGTATGTGAGAGGATGGAAGATCAAAAGTTTGAGCTGTAACAAGGGATTGAGAGCAGTCGTGAAAGGTTGTTTGAAGCTGAGAGGTGAGCGTGTGAACAAAAGGAGAGGGTTTGCCGCAGAGGAACAGCTGAAGCTCGGGTTTGGCATCCGAGGTTCTAGCAAATTCACTCGAGCTTTCTCAAGTCGGCAATAATGGAGTCAATGTAAATACATTCTACATTGTCAACGTAGGATGAGTTTCTGCAAGGTCGAACAAGATGTCCAGGTCTAAGTCGAGATCTTCTTAGATTCCGCGTGATTTTCCGAAGTCGCGGCGGTCGTGGAGAAGCGTCTCGTGCTAGAACAGACCTTGTCGAGAGATTTGGCATCAAAAGGAAGTCCCTCGGGCTCATGAAGGCATTTACGGGTGCAAGAGGAGGCGCTGTGATGTCCCAGGCAGGCCTATCATAGCATATCGAGATTGCGACCATACACGGGCTAGTCGTAGCAAGCTCTTAGAGAGCATCTTTTTAGATAGAGCAGTCTGTCTTCAACAGAGCATTCGCAAGATCTGCCATCAGACCACAAGCGTGCTCGAGCTCATCTAAGCGGATGTAAGGCTGGCCATCTTTTTGCTGATTTCTCACTGTGTCGATAGAGACTGGCTGGGCAAGCATTTGCAGTGCCTCCGCTTTGACCACCCAATATGCACTCTTCGGATCGCTGTCTAAAGAGGGCCCCCTGCAGTCTCCTTTTCCCAACCTCTGCAGCAGGTATGACTGACTCACATATGCAGCAGTAGATACAGGATTCTATAGAAGATGCGATGAGGTTTCGAGCAAAGTTTCCCAGCCTATCGTAGTGCAGGGAATGGCCCCACTTCTTCCGTAGTCCGTACTAAATTCAGGGGCCACGCTAGCAGCCTAGTTAGCTTACCTTATTTAAGCGGTGCTTAGTGGACAGGAGAAGATGCGTGGAAATTCTGAAGCTTGGCGTGGACGACATGCCATGTCCTGCAACATGACAGAATGTGATAGGTACCTACATCTCCACACTCATGCTTCGCCATCCTGCAATGTCCGTACGCGTGTCGAGAACGGGCTCGATAGCTCAGAGAGGAGCTCCAGCAGTCTGGAAAGTCGGAGAAGATCAAATCCCTGGGACTCGTTGAAGCTTGCCATCCAACCTGGCCAATCTTCTTACAAGTGGCTGCGTTCTACGCGAGGTCTACCTCTCTTTTCGAATTAGGTACTTATCAATGGGAAGGCTCTGGCTGCTTGCAGCACCCTGTTCACTTGGTCAGCGTGGATCCATTCAATCCCCGTTTCCATTTACATTCACATATCCTGAGATTAGCGCTCCGTTTCTTCGTCTTCTGTCTTCCTCCTCATACTTTCTTCCTCTCAACCTGTCTCTTTTCTTCTCGGAAACCTTCCTTCTTTCTTTCAACAGCTCTCTCCGTCTTAAAACCTCTCTTCCATTCCCAGTCCTAGCTTTCTACCATTGCAGCTCCACCCTTGCGCACGGACAAAGTATCCTTCAACCTCCTCTTGCTCCCTCTTCCTTATCCAGCTCTCCTCTTCACCTCAACTTCGCGGCTTTCAGCCATCAAAGCTTCAATCGACAATCTCCATAACCAAATCACAAAACGTTCAACGAGCAAGATGCCAATCAGATGGACTCCCGAGACAGATCAGATAGTAAGCTCCCATACGTCCCGTCTCATCTCTCGCTTCTCCCTCCTCTCAAGTCTCGCTCAAAAGAACTTTTGCCATGAAGCTGATCCACTATCTGAAGCTCTTGCTCAAAATCCTCGAGACCTCTGACGTTTCTCCCAAATGTGCCGAGATTGCCGAGAGATGGCGTAAGTCCTTTCCACAAGGCTCCTCCATAGCCCTATGCTGACAGGAACACTTCAGCTGCCGGCCTAGACCGTCCTACTTCACGTGCAATCTCCGAGCGCATCTTCAAGATACGCGCTAGAGCTAAAGCCTCGGGTACTGCTGGCCACTTCGCCGTCCCCTCTGCCAACTCCAACGCTGGCACACCACGCAAGAAGGCCACAAATGGTATCGCAAAGAAAGCTCCAGCGAAGAAGACCAACGGAACCAAAGGCGGAGCAGGCAAGCGCAAGCGTGGTGGTAGGATGAGCGAAGAGTATGTCCCCCTACTCGGTTACTTTGACCCGAGTTGAGATACTGACGACTTTGAAGCGAAGTCATGGACGACACCGAACCTGATGGCTTCAAGTCCGACAACAATGGGTCAGAGGCTACGGATGACGAGGTTCCCAAGAGGAAGACAAAGATCAACAGCACAGCCAAGGGCAAGGGTAAAGACGGGGACCCAGTCAAGGTGAAGGGTGAAGAGGAGGAGAACGGCACCTTTCACGACAGCGTATATGAGAACCCTTTTGACGAATACGATGCTGTAGAGTCGGTTGACTACGCTTGAGGAAGCTAGGCGAAGGACGTTGAAGGAAGCTCGAGGGATGAACGAGTGGCAAGCAGATGGGTCCCTCTTCCTTCACGAAGCCTTTTGTCAATATCATGCAGCCACGAGATTAGAGGAGCTTCATCATGTATCTTACGCAACGGCCCTGCAAGTCTGGGCGATGCAGGCAGGATGGGTGGTGGCTTGTATTGCATGGCATAGCATGCCATTACAGTAACCAAAATCAATGACAACATACTAGTTTCTACTTGATATGCTTGTGTGAATAAAGAAGCACTATCACTGACCATAAACTGCACCAATTCCTCTGCTTTTGCATAGGATTTGCATCCTCATCAAATGGAACTAATAACGACATCGACCCTCCCTATCGTCAAGCCGAACGGTAAAGACAACCACCACCATCCAACCAAGCCACAACCTCCCGTCCTCAGTCCGAACCATCGCCCGAGAAACACATCGCCATCGAAACGGGCACCTGTCAAGATCATTCCCCGCACCAACACGCTTTCGTCCAAGCGCGAAGATCCATCCACCCGAGCCAGCCAAAGTTTCAGCTCCGAGGCTCAAGCCAGACGACATCCCTCGCGTTGCCCCCGGTATCAAGCATGCCCGACCCCCCCTTCCCCCTCTTCGGCATCCGCACTCTCATCCTCAAGCGCCTCAGTCCCATTCCCCACACCAGCGATAGCAGCCTTGACCTTCTTGCTCGGCACCTCCATCTTCCGCTCCTCCCCCTCTTCATCCTCACCGCCATTATACGCAGCGAACACATTCTGCAACGGGCTTCCACCGTTACCATTACCCTTCCCCTTTCCATTCTTGACAGTGCCTGCAGCGGTGCGTTTAGCGCCGGCAACGTTAGGGGTCTTGTTGGCGGCTTTCTTGCCGGCTGGAGCAGGGGCGGTGCGGGGGGCACGCTTGGCCGGGGCGCGCTTGTTGGGCTGGGGGAGGCCGAGGCCGGAACTGGCGCCCGCGACGGGGGTGGAGGCGTCTTCGGCCATGGAGCGGAGTTTGGCGACGCGGTGGACGAGGGCTTTGGGGGTTACGTCTGGGGCGAGTGGGAGGTTAGCGTGCTGGGATTGCGGGAAGGGGTGGATGGCAAAGGGTTTTGTTGAGTAGGTAAAGAGGGGGGAGAAGGGTTTTCTTGTTCGATGAATGTTTCGGGTGAGGAAATGTGGTGGTGGTGGTGAGGAGGGTAAAGATGATGAAGGGGACAATAAACGAGCGCGGGCCTGATTGGGGAGCCAACATTTGCACAGAATGGATAGTAAGTGGTGCTCCATGCCGCTGGGCTCATGTGGATAGGCATTGCGATGGTGAGCCAAAGAACAGGGCGCTTACCATTTCCCATAGCAATAGCAAGGGCAGCGTAGTCCAGCTTGACATTGTGGATCTTCAACACGTGCATGAAGAACTGCAACACAGGGTCAGCGCACCATACCACAAGAGCTAACACAGACCCAAGAGGTGGGCGGCAGAAAGTCTCGCTGTCCAAGTTTGACGTTGTGAAGGTGATGTGAGGACATACCTTTGCATCAGATTCAGGACCCCACTGCATTCTGGCGGTCGTTTCGCGGTATCTTGACTGTCGGTTGTGTAAGAGGCCAGGTCGCAAGTGAGCGACGCTGCGAGCTTTGATGGGCTGTTGTTGAGGAAGTGTGGTGGTTGAAGGGTAAGATGTTGTGAGAGTGAGGAGTGCTTGGGTTTAGTGAAGGAGTATTTTGGATTTGAAGGATGGAAGATTGTAAGAGTGGGGAAATTTTGGGTTTTTGAAGGTGTGAGGTTGTAGGAGGAGGAGGCTGGGGGAGGAAGGGGAGTTTTGTACTGAGCCCGGGTTGTTCACCCGTCACTGTGTCGTGGTGAAGTGAAAGGATTAGGGAAGGGGTGCGTGGGACCGGATTCTGGCTGGGAAAAAATTTGATGGGGCTTATCTTGTATTCTGTTTCTCAACACTTGGTGTCTCTAGAATCGTTGACTTTGATAGGTTTAATGCCCTCGTCGATGACCTCCTTGGAGATACTACTCCTTCTACCAACCACGATACGTCGCAGTCACGGCTGATCTTAGGTCCTCAACACAATCAATGAATGGACTTCACTGACCTCGTCGCACCCAGACAGTGTTGAGGTCGTTGAAACGAGAACAAGCTTAGGGAAGGTCTTCCGAAATACAACTCCGTGGGTAGATACTGGGCTAAGTCAACAGCAACCGGGATTTTTACTTCATCAACAATCAGAGCTGGCTCTCACTTCGAGTTTGAAACTGGTAGTTATAGGCGGTGGGGAAAGTGGAATGGGAGGGCCACCTTATTTGAAGGAATCCAAACTTGACGCATCGATGCGCTTGCTGAGCTGCAAAGTACCTTGCATTGTGCCATGGGATGATCCAACAGGACCCTCGGACATTGGTCGGACTTTCGCTCATCGTTGACCATACAGCCATGCCCACTATTTGCCGAGATTTGTATACCGAACTGTCAACAATGTCCGTTTTCTGGACTTTCGAGCTCCTACGATTCCTCTCTGGCTAGCGTAGAGTGTGCACCTGTTGCGGAAACACGATACTAGGTACATATCAAAACCCTGCTTAGTCAGGGACAGATCGCCACGTGACCTGTAGCTAGAGTCAAGGAGCAATCAAGCATGGAGTCCAGTGACTGAAGGAGCGGAGTACTAAGAAACAACTCGGAAGTATCTTGAGCATCTAGGTAGGTTTAGGAGAAACGGTCGCAATAGTATCAGACACAGAAGCACTCTCTTGTAGACCACTTTGAGTCCTTCCTCATTTCCCTAGAAGACATGCTGTAGTACACAATGATTCGCGATTCTTTGACGACTCACGTGATATCAGTCCAGGTTCTATCCGAGTCACTCAAGAATAGACTCTTGCAAATTGTTTGAGGAACAACAGTACGACGCTTTGACTCCGCATAATAATCATTGGGCAGCCTATGCAATTCAACGAATCAGCAACGAACAGAATCCAAGTATCTTCAACGGGACCAAGCCTCTTCCTTCTCTCAGGGGTCCCTAATATCCTCTCCCGGCAGCGCCTCTGCACCCATCGGAACCTTTGTCCCATTCGGCAACAGTCTAAACAGCATTATGTCCGGCTGGTAGAGCACTCCCTTCTCCGCAAAAATTCAGTGCTGCAGATACGCCAATGTTACATTTTCGGCGACTGTCGGAATTGTGGCGGCGGAACGTTGCCTCATAATATTCACTTGGGGAACGATTGAGGCTTTAGAGATTCCGTATGAACTTATGGCACTGTCATCTATGATGATCAGTGAAGGATTGGTAAGAGGAAAGGAAAGGAAGGGCTGCATACTCATGCCAAAGAAGGGCTGAATTGGGCACTGTTGCACTGTCAGCGAAGGCAAAATAAACACCCCCTCTGACAGACGTAGTTTACTCCTTAAATGTAGCCTTGAGTAGTGTAGCACAATGGGAGCCTCTCGAAAGCCACTTGATACGTCTAATTCGGTGTTTTGACATCACCAAGAGACTTCAACACCTTATACGCAGCGTGTAATCAAGAGTATGAGCAACGTGTAATCAGGATTGAGAACCCTCTTGATCGATTGAGAATATATATCCATGGAACCAATAGCGACACCTTAAGAGGAAGACACTCACCTGCGCCGCCTACCCCAAATAGACCCGAAACCTTCAACAGCAAGATGCGTACACCATAGGGTCGCAATACGGCATCTGGTCTACTTCGCGAAGACTCATCGGGTCAACACCCCGAGGACTTTCATCAGAGCTCACAGTTGTGTTCTCGGTGACTCCATTCTCATCGTAGGTCTTGGCCGAAAAGTTTGGCCCGAGCAATGGCTCCCAGCCCATATCCGATGCGACCCCCAACTCGACTTCAACAACCACACACTGAAGCACCTCAAAGCTCGACAACCGTGCATGTGGATTGAATTCCAGAGTTCCGTTGATGACAAGGTTATGCAGCTCGTCGCTGTAGAGGCCTAGAAATGACGTCGGCTCTCTCGCTCCAGGCCACCTATAGAAATCATGGTGAGGCATACCTTCTGGACGGGGTCGGAGTGGAGGACGTCCATCATGCGCCAACGCGTCTACGCAGATGTCAAAGTCAGCATTGTTTCTTCGGCGCAGAAATAAGATTTGGAGTGGCAAGACAGATCTCGGGTGTAGAAAGGTCTTCTTGCTCCCGAAACATGTCTTGCGACTCAACTTCAATACCAAATAGGAAGGATCAGCTCGGAGTTGTACGTACGGATCACGGCACCAAGACCCCACACATCTGCCTTCTTCGAAGTCACTGGCATCTCTGGAGGCTGCCACCTGCACCCCTGAGTCAGCACGGCTTCTCAAGAAACTTATGTCGCAAATCAGGATGAAGAAGCATCATGATCACTTACTTCCAAGTCCCAGAAGAGGAGTTTTCATCAACGGTAGCAAGGCCGAAGTCGCCAAGAACAAGCGATGGATAGCCATGGCTGTCAGGAGTTGGAGGGCCAAGAAAGATGTTTTCTGGCTTGATGTCCCCATGGATGATTGGCTGCCACCTACACATTCCAAAGTCAGCATGGCTTCTTTGAGGCAAATTCACAGACTGTAAGGCACTTACTCCGAATCAGGTGGAGGACCACCAAGTTGTCGACGGTCGTAACCGTGATGGATATAGGCCAAACCCTCGCTGATCTGGAGGAAACAATGCCAGATGAACGACTCCGGTACTCCTTGCCACTCTTCAAAGTAGCGGACCATGAGTTTGAAGAGATCCCCACCCGGGTAGTAGTCGAAGTAGAGCTGCATCGTGTTGGTGTGCATGATCGCTTCATGGAGAACCACGATTCGAGGATGATCGTAAAGAATGTTCCGCAGGATCTCGATTTCGAGAGGTTTCGAGATGCTCTTGCGCCGCTTTTGAACCTTGCAGACGCGCAGACTCATATTGGACCTATTTTGTAGCAGTAAACAGTTTCCGTAGCCACCTGATCCAACGTGACCAACCTGTTTATAATTCTCGACCTCGTCAAACCTCGATCTCTTATAGTTCCTAACAATGTTGGTATTGCAAAGCTTGAAATCAGAGGATGTCTTATCTGCCAGCGAATGAGGAGCAGAGGATACTGTTTCTGCCATGTCGTCGTTCGAAAAAGCCATTGACGTCGAAAATGGGTTCGTCATCGCGGTTCACACGTAGACAAAATTCCTTGTTGAGGAGGCCGCAGGCAAGGAAACTTTGAAGAGCTTGATAAAGGCGTGGCAGGGGACGCGTTGATTATGTGCTTGAAACCGCAGTCGAGATTGTTAAGGCACGACTCTACTCGAGAGCAGGTGGATGTTTAAGAATGCCTGCTCATCCATCGGTGTCTCGGTTCTCGACAAAGGGTATTGTGCGTGGTGAAAGCCCTGGACATGAAAGCCACTAGCCAACAGACAAAGGTGAGGATTTCACCCTTGATGGTTCCCCAAAGGGCTTTGTACCAAATGATCGAGTCCATATCGAAAAAATACAATCAATTGTATTGGCTTAAAGGTTGATTGTCGTACAAAGACATCTACAATAGTATTGTCCTGGAAGGACACGACCTAGGGGCGAAGGGTCGAGACCGAGACCAAAGTCGTGAACGGTCCCTGACACTTTTCGCCTGATAACACACGTATACTGACCTTCAGACAAAGCTTCAACCAACTTCCAGTAATGTTCAAGCTTTCCATTCTTCACCACGTCCTTGCATACCTTCGCCCTCGCCCACATACTACCACCATATGTCTCCAAAAAAGATGAGTAATTCTGCTAGCAACAGCAATGATCACAAAAGGTCCGATTTTCTGCCTGGCCTGGAAGATCTTGGAAAATTGCTCAAGGCTTGCAGTCCCAATCAAGGGAAGAAGTCCGATCGGAGCCGGAATCCAGATGGAAAGGACTGGCAAACTTGCAACATCAAAGATACATGCAAGACGGTAGTACAAGCCTCAAACGAGCTTATTGAGCAAGGAAGCTCCATATCTGAAAAAGAGACGCAGCACAACAAGGACCAGGGAATGATCAATCCCACCAGAAAGCCAACTCAACGACAGCCAAAGTACATATACACGCATCAAGACGGCGGCCAAAGACGGACATGCTCAAGACAGCCGAACAAGCCAATGAGGGTGCACCTACGAAGGCTGCAGAGAATATCTCTACGCTCGGCGATGCTGAGGGGTTAATTGACGATCCAGACGCTGAGCTGGGCAATTGAGACTCCACTAGATAAAATCTGGCATTGATGGAATGTTTCCACCCCACCTCTGAAAGTCTGAAAGTTTGGCGAAGTCCTCAAACGTTCCTTGAGCCGTCCTTGCTATCATCTGATGGCTTTCATCCAGTGGTGTCTAAAACACCCTCCATAGATCAGATGTTGGTGAGAAACATGTAGTAAAGCATTGAAACGTCCGTTCCTTGGATGTTGTAACCAAGCTCGCAAGGCAAAGTCTCCCTTAATTTCGAGCAACTTTTCGAGCAACCTTTCCTGTTTAATATTTTGCGACAAAATTCGTGACCCACAAGGTCTGTTCGCTAAGTATCACAGTCACACCATGGAATACCGCATGAGGAGCCCATTTCACGGTTTTCAGATTTCTCCAACAATGCCAATAGTAAACAAAGTATCGAGGTGCTACTGGAAATAATGGTTCATACTTTACTTTACCTTCAGCTTTTTGCCAAGACTAAGAGGCGCCAAGCGCGCCTAGAGATTTACCACATCACCGGAGCTGGCCTCCGTAGGTAGCGTGAGCCTCTGGTGTGACTGGTCAAGCTGAGAGTGCTTCGTATCTTGCATGGGAAAGAAAGCAACTCCACACAACCAACCTGAACCCATCTACCAGCCCATTAAGCGATATAGCCATAAGTACACCCGAAACGATAGGCATTCGCCGTACAATCCGCGGCCGCACAAAAGTTCTGTGGATTCTACGGCAATTCCACCCATCCGCTATTCCCACCGAGATTCAGGGGGCCCGTAAACGTGTTGATGCCCTGCGCCTGGATACCGAAATCTCCAGTCTTTATATGGTACTCCGGGCTCGAGCGCGTCCAGTCGTCTGCGTTCGCGGGGTACGGTGGTGGGCGCTTGCAAAGTGGTTCCGGCGAATTGCCCCCCTTAATGTGGCTGCGTAGGGAGGAAGGTCAGGGAAAGGATCGTTGAGGTGGGTGACGCGGTAACTGCCGGCGTAGCTGAGGTCATCTAAACGTGGGGAGCTATTGACCCGATTGGTTGTTGCGTTGTTGCCGATTCGGGGTTGGCCGTAGGTCTACTAGTCGCATTCTTTTTCTTCGAGAGAGGGTATTGGAAGAGTACGGGCTGCGTACCAATGAGGTGGAGGTGCTGTTGACGGCTCGAAGCTCGGTGGCAGCTACGGCTGCGTGGGCGACGCGTAGACTGTGGCCTGTGACCCCAGCATCGTAACCGGGATTACTTTCAGTCAGTTCAGAACCCCAATGTGTACATGGAAACCAAGATCAGATAATTCAACCCGTCCATCCTCGGAGGAGTCGGGGTTACATCAGCTGTACTCTTTACAAACCCGGAATAGGCTTGACAGTACAAATCTGGGGCGCAGTTCCTGCAGTTACCAGGATGTCAACTCGACTTATTAATTGCACCTCGCCACCCCCATTGAACACCGTTATACATAATCTAATCCACTACATTTCCATGCCGTGGCCGTCGCTCTCGCCGTCATTGAAATACTCGTTTGTAGCTGTGTTGAGATTTGGATATTAACAAAGAACGATTGTCGGCTCAATGAATTTGGGAAAAAAACAGCATGAGAAACTCAATACGATTCTTCCTTGAAGCGACAATGAGAGAGGGTAAGGTTTATCTGATGCGCGGGTATAAGGTAAAAGAAGAGAACACGTGAAGAAGCAACGTGCCTCTAACCCGACTGTCCAGTGGACTTGTAAGAGATCAAGGTTTAATCACGAGATCCGTGAAGCTGGTGCATTACACACGACCTTGGTCCAATCATAAATCAGCCAAAGTCATTGTTACATCAGAGACAACTTATGATCGTAGTTTATCTTGCGACTTACAAAGTGCAGCCCTCCATGGCACAATCCTCCCCTTCTTCACGAGTCAGCTTTTGTAAAACACCGCTCCTACATTGTTTCGGTGCGCGTAAAGATTTAACGAATTCGTCCTCCGTGAGTCGAAAGACACTGAGTAGCAAGATGAAGGTGCTGTATATGCGGGTTTTTGATAAGACACTCCGGAAGCTGGCCTTGGCGCAGCTCGAAGCCGCGACGGGATGATCTGGACAGGGCACCCGTAAGTATCAAAACACGAGAAGGACAAGAGGATCAAATTGCTAACGCTAAGAAGACACATAGAGAATAGTGAGCATCTCCGCTTTCACATGCTCAGAGCGGTGTACCATCATTGCAGACACACCAAACATCAAGGTAAATAATAGCCGTACACCTCTGGGACCAAGTAAGTGTTTGTTGAGGCTCGGATTGGCAGGAACCGGGAAGCGCTTACCAAGTCGACATGCGGATGGGTCGTCTACTTCATGATACCAACTTCATGATACCAGCGCGATGACCACCGGGCATTCTGAGTATCAATGTTGACTTTCATGGGCTCGGCACGTAAAGGCTGGGATATTTGAGCAGGTTGCTCCTTAAGTCGCATGACTGTGGAGGAGTCAGACTTCAAAAACCCAAAGATCTTACAGAGTACCTCATCATCATTGCGGTTAGCCAGTCTGTCGGTAGTCGAAGTGGCTTTTTAATAGCTTGCCAGCACTTTAGTGGGAAGCTTTCGGCTATCTTCTTCGGCCATGGTCAGCTTGTCACTACCAGGATCTCGGGAAGATGAACTTATCCCCGAGTTGGGCTGATATTACTTGGCATGAGCAGAATTTTACCCGTTAGTGTCAGTAGCAAGGGTGCGCATAGCTTGGAGAAGGCGCGTGAAGTTTGGCATGCTTCATCTTTTCTCATTAAGGAACAGCATATGGAGCAAACCGAAGAGTATTGGAGAGCCCTGAGGAAAGGTGGAATCACGCCCTGCACGCCGGATCAGAAACAAACAGTCCGACTGCGGCCCGTATGACTACACGACTATCTCATGCTGATTCGTCCTGGTATCACTGTTCCTTCACATTATCATGGTCCTTTTGCACCTAGTCACTCTCAAGCTTCGCCTTTCCCTTTCTTCTTTTGCTCCACCTTCAACAACAGAGCACGGTTGATATGCGGCAGCACACCTCCGAAGGCGATGGTCGCGCGAATCAGGGTGTCCAATTCTTCATCACCGCGAATGGCAAGCTGTAAGTGGCGAGGAGTGATACGCTTGACTTTGAGATCTTTGGCGGCGTTACCGGCAAGCTCGAGGACTTCGGCTGTGAGGTATTCGAGTACGGCGGTGACATAGACGGCGGCTAGTAGATTACGAAGATTAGTCTAAGTCTTGCAGGAGACAGGTTGTCCTCGGTCTGGGGACTGAAACATTTATGGTGAGAAAACCTCGGACATACCCTTGGCGCCAACGCGCATCTTGTTCTGCGTGGTGTTTCTTAGGAAACGCTTGACACGGCCGCAGGGGAACTGTTTTAGGACACGAGGAGTCAGTAATAATTTATTATGTATCGGAAAATTGATAGGCTAAGCGGCAGGCTGTGAGGAAACCACGCGCAGAGAGTGTGCGGTGAGCTGCGGCGCGTCCTTGATACCAACAAATGGAAGCCGGAGCACATTGCGCGCGCTCTGACTCATGAAGTCCAATGGACACAAGGCAACTATTCTGCTCTGACTGGAGTCGAGGCGCCGAGGACGCGCCCACCGTAGACAGAGATGAGCGTTGAGAAGTGAGAGAAGATTGATACTGACTTGTAGACCAGCTTTGGCAGAGTGCGACTTCTGCTTATGCGGTGGACTCTCTTTGGGTCCTGCCTTCCCACCAGTGGATTTGCCTTTTCCGCCAGCCATTTTGCGTTCGATCTTGTTCGAAAGCTAGAATAGGGTTGAGGATGGTTACGCGACGCCAGTGGAGTATTGGTGACGGTGTGGTGATACCGTTGTGTAGACGCGAGATCCTTGTTGAAAAAGTGACGATGGTTGATAGTGTGATGGTCCGGGAGGCTGCGAGGCGTGATGTTGTGTTTTCGAAACTGCTAGGCATAACGCTATCTCGATGCACTCTAGTGCAATCAACGGTCACGTGCACCCAGCTTCTGCCGCCGCACTCGAGCTGATGCTGCGACGAAAGGCTTCATAGTGGCATTTGAATGTAAGAGCCATGTTAAATGTAATGTCAGTTCTGCTTCGTGTGCGTTGACCCAGAGAGAGCCTGCTCAAATTGATGTCGGTGAGGGAGAGAAATTTTCTTGACTTGCTATCAGACCATACATCGCCGTCCGATTATCTTGGACATAATGGTGGCGTTCAAGGCCGGAGACGACATAGCTCAAAGCAGAGGAGAGACATTATTGTTGCCACTGCCTGTCATGAGTTCGAAGAAGCCAAAGAAAGAAGATGTCCAAAATGGGTGAGTAGTTGAGGCATCCCAATCTCGTCGCATTGAAGCGCCGGTATCAATACAACAGCGCTATACTAGCGGCGTAAACTATAGCCTTACATCCACTTGCAGCAGAAACACCATAGGAAATCGTCGTTCTACAGACACACCTTCACAATGGCAGCAGTAAGGCTTGATCATTCGAAGCAAATATCGTTTGCTGATATGTGTTCTAGGCTATTACAACTGTCTCTGAGAGCCGCGACCTTCGCGGCCTCAACCTCGTCGCTGCCCATTCTCATATTCGCGGATTAGGCGTGGATGAAGATACATTAACGCCGCGAGCCTCTTCTCAGGGGCTCGTCGGTCAAGAAAGAGCAAGGAAAGCAGCTGCAGTTATATTACAGATGGTCAAGGAAGGAAAGATTGCTGGAAGAGCTGTATTGATCGCTGGTCCACCAAGCACTGGGAAGACTGCAATAGCAATGGGGATGGCTCAATCGCTAGGATCGGACACACCTTTCACCATGCTAGCATCATCAGAAATCTTTTCGCTGGAGATGTCCAAGACGGAGGCCTTGACGCAGGCGTTCCGAAAATCGATTGGTGTGCGAATAAAGGAGGAGAGCGAGATGATCGAGGGAGAAGTGGTGGAGATACAGATAGACCGGAGTGTGACAGGGGTTCGTGCTGTCTCTCTGGATGTCGAGACGGATTGCGGGACTGACAGAGACTACCACTGCAGGGCAACAAGCAAGGCAAACTAACCATCAAAACCACCGACATGGAAACGATCTACGATATGGGCACGAAGATGATCGACTCAATGTCAAAAGAGCGCGTCATGGCCGGCGACGTCATCTCAATAGACAAATCTTCCGGCAAGATCACAAAGCTAGGGAGATCATATACACGATCACGAGACTACGATGCAATGGGCGCAGACACTAAATTCGTGCAATGTCCAGACGGAGAACTCCAGAAGCGCAAGGAGGTCATACATACAGTCAGCTTGCACGAGATTGATGTCATCAACTCGAGAACCCAGGGTTTCCTGGCGCTTTTCTCGGGTGACACTGGCGAGATACGCAGCGAGGTACGGGATCAGATCAATACGAAGGTAGGGGAGTGGAAAGAGGAGGGGAAGGCTGAGATAGTACCCGGAGTGCTATTCATAGATGAGGTACACATGCTGGACATCGAGTGCTTTTCATACATAAACCGCGCGCTGGAAGACGAGTTAGCGCCCATCGTCATCATGGCAAGCAATCGAGGCAATACTAGGATACGAGGCACAAGCTATCGCTCACCTCACGGTCTTCCCCTAGACTTCTTAGATCGAGTCGTCATCGTCAGCACGCAAGCGTACGGCGAAGACGAGATCCGACAGATTTTGTCCATCCGAGCACAGGAAGAAGAAGTCGAAGTCACAGCCAATGCCCTCGAACTCCTTACCAAGATCGGCAAAGAACGAGGCTTAAGATACGCAAGCAACCTAATCACCACATCTACACTGCTGAGCCAAAAGCGAAAAGCAGATAAGATCGACCAGCAGGATGTGGAGCGAAGCTACACGTTGTTCTACGATCCTACGAGGAGTGTCCAATTCGTTAGCGATTTCGAGAAGCGCTTTATTAGCGACGAGGGCGCTGTCAGCTTCGCGATTACTAACGGTGATGCTATGGAGATGTCATAGGGAAAGCACTCCGGCCATCAGCGTTGGCGTTCTGCTGGGAAAAGCGCTGATGCATGTTGTACTATAATACCCGATGGAAGAGCGACATCATATAGAACCTGAAAAAATCTGCTTCGATCATAGATGCATTCGATCATCCGCTATGCAACTTTTCTTTCATACAAAATCTACATCTCGACTCCACCATTCGGAGCCAGCTTCTCTAAATTCGACCCCAACCCCAAAGTATCCAGCATCATTCCACGCAACCATCATACTCCCATCGTAAGGCCCGTTAATTTGCCCTCCATCTCGTCGATCTGACCACCGGTACTCCCATTGCTTTGCTTCCCTGACCCCATCCGCACCCTCTTCTTCTTCCTCATCCCGAGGAGCGTCTACCCAGTCCTCGCCGGTCTCGCGGCTATACTGCCGCATCAGTACCTCCCGCTCTGTATCATATATCTCCGTTTGTCCTCTTGTGAAAAGTTGATCTGCTGGGCCAGTTATAGCTTCGACAGCTTCCCGCCGCCGTGTCTCTGCTGGGTCTTCAGGAGTTTTCTCGTGGTCAACATCCATAGCATCGTCTCCTTTCCGCTTATTCCTATTATGCCATTTGGGTTTCTTCTTTTCCTTGCCTCTCCCCAACCGCGCCAGAGCCTCGAGCACCGTTTCTCCTCGCTCAAGGTAGGGTATCAGCGTCTTCAGGATGTCGCTTGTCAGTATAGCATCATCCTCTTTCCTCTTCTGCCTGCTCTCCTCGTCCCTCTTATCCGCTGCTTCTTTCGCTTTCTTCATGTCTTTCTTCGACACCCCCTCTAGCCACGAATCGTGCACCGCATCTGGATCCGCCGCCTTCCTCACGAAGTTGCCCTGCGCATCGAACCTGCCTTCTTCCTGTTCGTTCTTCATATTGAAAGCGTCGAGCTTTGGGGCGTGTTCTTTCTTTCCTCCAGCTCCGATCTCCTCATCCACCTCTCCCACGTCTGCTCTCTCTTCCTCGCCTACATCACTCTCGCTACTGCTATCCACCTCTTTGCTTTTTCCTTTTCGTTGGGGAGCACCATTTCCATTCAGGAGTAGATCCGCACTGACATGACCACCACTCTTACTGCCCGCAACTTGACCCTCAATCTCGTCCTCTCCCAAGAAATGCACTTCCTTCCTTTTCTTCTTTCCCTCCCTCACGACCTCCTCATCCTCATCTCCGTCCTTGACATTCTCATCTAAATCCGCGAACATATCGTTCTCCTCTTCCTGCTTCCCCCCATTTCCACTCCCACCAACGCCTCCATTCTTCTTTACCACTTTAGCCTTAGCATCAGCCCTGGCATCGAAACCTTCATTCGAAGAATCTGACTCATAGCCATCGATGTTTACGGCATTGCGTTTCGTCTGCTGACCCCTCTTCCCAATCTCATCGGCTTCGAGAATTGCATCTTCTTCTGGAGCATCTGGTGCCAGAGCAGAAGGGTTGCGGACGTCGAACCGGGGCTTCTTTAATGATGGACCCTCTTCCTCGAGGTAGTGGGTACGAGCGAATTCTTCGCCGCCGCGACTGGGGCGGGGAGCTGGACGGCGATTCGACATGCTGAGGTCGGGTGTTGTATCATACTCAGGGGTAGCCAGCAGTTTTAATGATAGGGTAACATGACATGAGTAAATTCAACACAAGTGGGGACTTGAGTACTACCTTACATACTGTTGCAGCACCCTAAGGCTGAGCTTCAGGCGTCATCCCGCAGAGTGTTTTACCGAGCTTCTGCCAGCTTCAACATCATTTCTCCAGCTACTCCGAATCAACATATTCTCTTATTAGCCTTAGGACTTTCAAAATGGTACCTACCTCCACCTCCAAGCTCTCAAACCCCATATCACTAATCTTCACCATCAGTTCAATCCAGGCTTCTATCAGGACGACGACCCTATGTCCGGCATGTTTCCCCCAGGCATGATGGGCAGAGCAGGCGGCATGCCACCTCGCCGCTTCGACGAATACTACCGCTGTTACCCCGTCGCCATGTTGCCTGGTCCCGAGCGAGAGAATGTGAACCACGGCGGAAAAGTCATCATGCCGCCCAGTGCTCTCGACAAGCTGACACGCCTACACATCACATATCCTATGCTCTTCGAGCTAATAAATGGGAACAAGGATACTATGACGCACGCGGGTGTATTGGAGTTCATTGCGGAGGAGGGAAAGATCTATCTGCCTTATTGGGTACGATCATCCTGAGCATATGGCCATCTAATAGCATATTGCTAAAGAGATGCGGTGTCTAGATGCTCGAAACCCTCTCTCTCGAACCCGGCGACCTTCTCCAAATCAAATCCACCGACCTCCCCTCCGGCCAATTTGTCAAACTCCAAGCTCAATCTACATCGTTCCTCGATATATCCGACCCAAAAGCCGTCCTCGAAAATGCCTTCCGAAATTTCTCCTGCTTAACCGTCGGCGATGTCTTCACCTTTGCATACAACGACAGTGTCTATTCCATGAAAGTGCTTGAAACAAAACCCGGCATCGCTGCGAAAGGAGCTATCAGTGTACTCGAGACGGATCTTGAAGTTGACTTCGCCCCTCCGGTGGGCTATGAAGAGCCGAAACGCGTCAGTGGTACCAGCACACCTAGATCAATGACAGGCGGTTTGCCGGCCGGCGGAACACTACACAGCACTGGCACCATGTCCAAAGCAATCAACTACGCCTCCATAGCACCTACATCATCCACAGCAGCCGATGGCGCAAAAGCCGTCTCCTCCAACTTCCTCCTCGGAGGCCAAAAGCTCAACGCGCGGAAGGGCAGTAAAGCGCCCACACCCAAAGCGTCCACCCCAGTCGCAGGCGCTTCGACGAACCCTCCTCCAACTACCATCAGGCGCACCAACGGACCACAACCACTCCGTCTGCCGCCGGGGAAACTGTTCTTCGGCTACGAAGTCAAACCCGTACGCAAGACTGGCGAGCAAAAAGAGAAAGTTGAAGATGAAAGCAAGCCGAAGTTCCAAGGGCAGGGACAAACGCTGAGAGGAGGCCTGAAACGCAAGGGTGGGGAGCCGGATGCCGTTGAGAAGATAGAAAAGGGCAAGGAAGCGGAGAAGAAAGATCCTGGTGCAGGGGGTGGGCAGAAATTAGGTGGGAGAACGTTGAGAGATGCGCCGAAATGAGACAAATGTGTACATATGCATGGGTGGCGTTGCAGGCAGGGTTGCATAGCGAGCGTGTCACAGGCCGGCAAGCGATCAACCAATAAATAGACCTTCAATCAATGACGAGACATGATCCTTTTCCAGAATCTCCATTCACTATGCCTGCAACCTCGCAGAAAGTATACAGTCCGTTACCACACGTCTCTCCTCCACCAACGGTCAACAGCCACAACCCGGCACCGACAGCAGGGCCCCCAGCTGCCACATACGTACAACCCAGCTTTTCCATAGCCGTAGATTCCGGCCAGTCACGCCTTACACACCGTCAAAGAATGGAAGGGAAATCTGACAGCAACGTCAGCACACCAATCACCCTCTGCACCCTACGCATCATCATCATCGTCCATCTTCACCACAGCCTCCTCCCCCAGCCATCCCCTCCCCTCTTCATCCCCACTCCCACGCTCGCATCCCCACTCCCACACCCCCAGCATCAAACACTCGCCTTGCGCTTCCTGCCTGCGGCGCTTCAGGGGCCTGCCTTCCATCATCACCCACTTCTTCTTCCATAATTCCACACCCGTCGCTCCACCCCCCTCGTGTGCAAACTCAGCAGCGCCGCGTTTGCGGTGCCTGCGACGATAGGGGCGCCCGGGGGGGGAGGGAGGGCTTTGCCGTCTTCGCGGAGGATTCCAAGATGTGGCGTGATGGCTCGGGGTGGAGCGCCTGGGGTTCGTGAGGTGTTGGCCTGCATTGATGTCCTGATGGGAAGATTCTGAGGAGGAGTGTGCGGTGGGGGTTTTGAGGCAAGGGAAAGGAGGGGAAAGGAAAGGAAAGGAAAGGAAAGGAAAGGAAAGGAAAGGAAAGGAAAGGAAAGGAAATTGCATCTTACCATGGAAATGGGTGGCGATTTCAGTCGCGTCAATATCTTTGTTGTTGACGGCGTGGACAATTTGGAGCTGGAATTTGCAAGTGACGTGTTAGTGGAACTGGGAATGGCAGTCTCTCAAGGTCTCGGCTTGGATTGTGGAGGGAAAAGGGTGGAAAGCATTTCTTAGAGAGGAGATGGAGTGTATTCGCGTAGCCCTCAGCTGGATCGCGGAAAGAGGGGCATACCTTGCGCTCGTTCTCTGGAGTCCAGGACTGTCAAAGAGATCGTGGACACATGAGATAGGGGTTGAGTGAGTGAGTGAGTTGGAGGCGATTTGAATGATGTGATCCGCTTCCAGCAGTTGTATGAGAAGATTTGCAGAACGTAAGAGCAGAGGGAAGATGTGATGGTCAGGAGCTCTGCTTACCACGGGCACCTTGGCGGTAGTTTGAAAGTTGTTACGAGGTTGTGATTGCTGTTGGTGATTTGGGATGGTTTGTTTTGACAGCTATCATTCGTATTAGTCAAGTCTCGGTATTGCATTTAGACGAAGGGTTCTCGCTAGTGATGCAACAATGGTCAGGAAAGTGCTGGAAGTTCTGGACGAGGAAAGGAAGATGGGAAACTACAGTTTCGTGAAGAGACCCAGTGGTTGAAGCAAAAGTGAAACTGGCGTGTCTTCCAGATGGAAATCTCTTAGGTCCATCGAGACAAAGGTGTGGGACAGAGGCAGCACGAGATCTCAGAAAATAACACGAGAAGTAGAACAACTCTATTGATATATGTGTCCTAGCCCATCTTGCAGAGGCCAAGATGGCTAAAAGCCCGAATCTAGTCCACTTTTTCTTTCAATATTAACCTGGTAAAGACCTATGTACTTGCACACGGAGCATGGAGCTCGATTTAACAATTGCAATTGTATAGTGGTAGCAGCCTCAGTGTACGTTGATTATATAGGCTTATTTCACTTGCTGTAGTCTGCAAGGGTGGAATTCTCGCCTTTGAGATAGGTGGATGAACGGCATAGAGATATGAATTTGGCTTTCTTATACTGATGTACTGGCGCAAGAGGCCACCTAGTGGTTGGCGTGGTTGGAGTTTCTTTCCCCTTGCGGTCGCCAGGATATCCATGGATCCCTTTCCCTGACTACTTTGGTGCAAGCGAGGATCCACTATGCGCCGCTAGAAGGCAGAACCCCTCCGAGCATGTCCGGCGGCGTGGATATGAGACGGAGTTATGCCGACATGCTGGGGGTGTCCCCCGTGATTTGTGCACTCCAGCTGGCAACGCACCTTGACACCTTTTCATTTGGGGCTTTTAGAAAGGATATCTTGCAAGTTGAACGAGCTTTGTGGGTACACCTACTCAGCTTCATTCATTTAGCGATTCACCTGCGCACGTTGATTTAGGAGGGACGAGCCATGTCCAGTTCTCGGTCTGATAACCCAACGTGTTCGTTAGATAGGATTCTGCCACTTCGTGCTGGCGACGTGGACGGGTGGGACCCTAAATCAATCCGTGGCGTTCCAGGTGAAGCAACCTTCTCAACTGTTGCACCGTATGACATCTTTCCACTATCCATATACAGGAATCAGCCGAAAGGCGATTGAGAACGATGTCTTTTGGAGCGGTACCCAGGTATGTAGACGTTGCTATCAACTGCTCGCAGTGTAGCGCAAAATGAGAAAGCTCCACCACCATGACAAGGCACTTATACTCTCCTCGCTCTAGCAACCTCCTCGGATGTCCTAATCGAGAGCGCTTCAAGGGCCGTCCGCTGGATATCCTGTTACGAACTTCCGGTCTTCTCCCACATGGACTATGCCATTCCCGGACATGCGGCCAGACACATAGCGGCTTATACAATAAGACAGGTACTCGTACAATGTGCGATTTCGATCTGCTTGTCGGAACGGTGGTCAAAAGTCATGTCCTAAGTGTTGGACAGCCCTCTGCTTTGATATGGCCGACAGCAGTTGGAAAGCTAGGCGAATGCCCAGGGTCTTTCGAGTAAAGCCAGTTCTGGGGCGATCGGAGGGATGCTACCGTCTTTCTGATATCTTCGATGACCATGGTCAGGATCGGAATATGCCAATTGAAATATACGATGACGTCAAAAGATGTTATTGTTGGGGATCATTGTTGTGTGAAAGGCAGGCCAAGTTGACTCGGCGACCCCAGATTTGCAGCACTTGAGAGCGGTGCCTTGAAGAAGTGCGCGTCACAGGTGCGACTAGAGGCAAACGGAATGATATTAGATCTATTAATGCAATCAAAATATAGGCACGACTATCTGATTGCAATTCTTAGTGCACGAAAGACTATTGCATACCCCCATTTCATCCTGATCCGGCAGGCTCGTCAACAACTGAAGAAGACTTAGATGTACTTGAAGATAAAGTGGAATAAGGTGAGGCTGTGATCTGTTCCCAGCCGAGCAGATGCGGCGACTGTAGGTGTAGGTCTCTATCTTGCCGTATCGTACGTTCTCGGAATGCCTAGAGCTCCAACATTTGCAATAGCAAAGGGGAGGAAGGGTCTCGGTGCCGCATTTGATTATAGAGTGTAGAAGAAAGCAGGTGGCGAAGATGATGAGAGTAAATGCGCTGCGAAGGAAATTGAAATTCATTGACCAATCTCAAAGATCGGGGTATCCCATCAAAAACCAAGCATGGGAATGGAGAAAGGGTAGCCCCTGTTGTGTTGTCTAGATGTCATATCATCATCCGTCGTGATTCGTTTCTCTGACAGAGCCGAGCAGCCTTCGGAACCTAGCGGTTACTCAACGATGATCTCCACTTGGCTGGACTGCTGTCTCAGCTCATCGCTACCTCGAGCTTGATGGCCGTTCTGTCGTCCCCGGGAAAAAGCCGGAGGCCCACGCTCTGATGGCCCGCGCGGTTGCCTCATGGGCAAGCCTCTGTCTTGTGAGGAGTTGTCAAAATTCATGCTAAAGGACCGGTTGCTGCCAATAGCTCCAGCGCCCGACGGTCCCGACGGTCCCGACGGTCCAGCAGCCGATTGTTGGTTATCTTGGTCCCAAGAGAAAGCCCCTCTCAGACGTCGAGGGCTTCCTCCGTTGGGTCCCAAATTTCCTCCTAAGGACATACTGCCAAATCCATTGACAAGAGCACTTTCATCGCGATATTGCCCGAGAGCGGAGCCAGAAGCAGTGGGCGTCAAGGTTGGTGCGGCGGACGATGCGCTTCCAGTCCCATAGTCCTGGAACCTGGCAATATTGGATTGTAGGTTAGGTGGAAAGCTAGCTGTAGATGGGACAGGCGACGGGGTGTAGGATCGTAGATCTGCAACAGACTTGGCTGCCCGAAGATTTTGTGCCGTCCCAAAGCCACTTGGGGAGTCGGGGATACCTAGGAAGCCAGAAGACTGCTGGCCTCGGAGAGTATTGTACATTCCCGAGTCAGGATTGTTCCGAGCTTCGTTGAAATCTATTGTAGCAGCTCGATTGAGGCCCCTGCTCCTTGATGGATCTCCACCTTGAAGGGCCGAAACTTGCGGTATTGGAGGGCTTATGCCTTGTTGACTCATATCTGGACGGTAGACGTGGACTTGTCGTTGTTCTCCATTACCGCGAGAGACGTGTGCTAGCTGCATGTGATGCGCTAGCGTATGTACTATGCGCCGTTGAGGTGGAGCCAGAGTCGATGGGAATATCAAAGCCTCCCTTGACTTGTCGTCTCTAAAGAGCAGAAGCTCGCTATAGAATGACAGCGTTTGGGGATCGTTCAGATCTATGTCTTGCGAAACATGATTAGCTCCGGTCAAACATGTGCCAGACAGCTTCTGCTTACCCGGCATTTCATTTCTAGTGCCAATAGGTGACGGAGTGTTTGCTAGCCTGTGGGAAGACAATGATGACATTGATGGCTGACTGTGTAGCTGAGGCCCACCCATTGGTCTATGCTGCTCCTCGAGTTGACCACGGCGCTCTCTCTTCTCTCTTTCGATGCGCTCTCTTTCCTGCAGTGGCAGCATCTTCTTGTACTCCACGCGCAATTTTCTCCCTTGCAGCTCATAGTGATTCAGTTGTTCGATCACCTGCTGAGTCTCGTCCGGCGAAGTAAAGTTTGCAAATGCAAGGCCACGGAAGACGCCATTATCGAAGTGGTAATTGAAGGCGTATGGCAGTGGAAGATTCAATGAGGTCATAAGATCTACCAGTTGCTCCTTCTTCACGGCGAATGGAATGTTCTTGATAACGATGGCAGTTGGTATGAGCTCCTCGTCAGGATCAGTCGCATATTGTTCGGACCGCATATGAGACATCCCAAGAGGCGAAGGGCCGTGACCGCCTCCATAAAGGTTTGGATTAGACATTTGCTGTGTGTCCATCCATCCCTGCACGTCTCAGCATTAGCAAAAGGACATGGGATTCTGAGGCGCTGTGAGCGCGGTGTACATACTGTTGGCAGAGCACTTCGTCCTCGTGTCTGGGACTTCATCCTTCCAGTAGCTGCTGCGAAAGGAGGAGCGAAATTGTTGTTGTTGTTGCTGCTGAAGGCGTTGGGGTTCCACGTCTGAGCTGGAGGAAGCTCATAGCTATAACCATTTCCTTGCACTTGACCATTCATTCTATCAAATCTGTTCGTCTCATATCTCATAGATTGATCGTCGGGCGTATATACATTGTTTGGCATTTGGCCGTAGGCATCGAAGTGCCGGGAAGGTTGGCGGTGGAGCATTTGCTGTTGATGGCGGTGAGAGCCTGGAGAGCGTGATGACGCCTGCTCGTAATACATTTCGTTGTGATGATGATGGTTATTCATGTTGGCTTTCTTCTGTGACTGGATGAGAGTTCCGGTGTCAGGCGGAAGCTGTTGGAGACTCGCAGTCTTGGAGTATTTCAAGGCGATAGCTGGATTCGATAGACGTCTTTCTTTTGGGCCGAGTACAGAGGTGGGTACGTTTCGAGTATTCTCAGCTGCAGCGATGGTTGGAAGTTCAAGGGGTATTAGGTTGGCTTGAGTTGGCTCTAGATCTATCGGGGGGGTTGGAGGTCGTAGATCGTTTCTTCAGTGGTCATGTATCGTAATGTGAGTCGTAACAAGGATCTGACAGTGAGTGTGAGGAGCCGAAGCAGATTGGTATGGCTTGACAGTCGTAAGTACGTTGATGATGGCCGTGGAGGAGTGATCAATAGCTCTCCATGCGAGCTGAAGCTTCACCCAGAGCTTTGCTTGAGAGGAAGGACCACGGCTCAAGGGACACGCATACAGCAGGACTTGGGCCTGTTAAGAGAAAGCTTGTAGTATTAGACAGCCGTAATAAATGCAGACAATTTGGAAAGATATAATGTCGGTCAGAAGGAATGCGCCATGAGAGATGCGATGGGATAGATGATCGCGAAAGGTTGAAGCAGGAACAAAAGAGCTCTCCCATGACCGAGTGTAAAGTAGAATTACTTTATGATCCAGGATTTCGCGCTAATAGCAGCTAAAGTAATTTCTCGCTTGGGGGCCTTGGTCAACCCCGAAACAATGGGTCGAGGGGATCCTTGTAAGCAATCAAAACGTGCTTGATGGACCTTATTATTGGAAAAGGGGCATTAATTGGTGCATCTTCAACAAGTCTAAGGTACATACTTGTGAATACGAGATCTTCAAATCAGAACAGAATCACCCTCCTCTCTGCAAACGGCCTGGCCACCCCGCTCAATTCACTTCGCCAAATTTTCCTATTCCTTGGTCATACTCTACTCTATACGATAACTCCCGTGAGGTGTAAACTACCGCTTTCCTGCTCCTCCATACAGAGCGTTCGCACGCCGCTTTGCACGCATGATTGGGTCTTCCCCACCGAGCTATCTGCCAAACAGCGTGATGCCGCCGCCGCCGTCAATTGGAGGCCAAAGATCTGCTCTTCTAGTAGGCTTCTAGTCTATTTGGACGTCTGCTAAGCTACCTAGGCATAGGTGGTCGGGGGCTACTATGACGGAAGCAGCCTTTAGGGGCCGGAAAGATATCCCAGCTCCCACGCGCTCAGGAGATCTGTAGACTGTTGCTACATAATCCTTCAAGATTGGGGTTGACGACATGAAAAAGGAGTACCGTATCCTCGAGTCGTGACTAGGAATGCCATGGAGCGCAATCCTGCATCTATTTGGGCTTTGCGCTCATTACCGCTGATTATGGCAACCTGCAGGTAGACTACCATAGCGTTGCTGCGAACCCCTCTTTCGCTGGTCATGGGACATGGGTGTCCCTCACGGCCCCAGCGGACAAACAAGAAGTCTCATCCCCGACGATCACCATGGCCAGTGACTGCGACCTAGGGATATAGAAGTGCGCCTTTGTTCCATGAGTGTATTCGTGAAATGGAAGGGTGAAGGTATGACGCAGTGCCCCCAAAAGAAAAGGAGTCTTTTGTGTATCGACTTTCGGAGTGGTGGGAGGGTCAGTGGGTCCGCTCATCGGCTTTATGCTAGCCTGCTGCCAAACAGCTCACCAGCGAAAATGACTGGCTGCCGAGCAAAGGTTAGCTTTGACTGATCCTTCTGCATTTGCGGGTCCTTCCAAGCGCGACCCTTTACCCTGGGTCCATTCTGGTCATGTGATCTCGGAGAGAAAACCCTTTTTGGCAATCCTTGACAGCGAGGAAATCATTTTGCACCACCCTAAACACATGATTGGGGTTTGGGAGACGCGCAGTAATTGATCCAGAACGATGTAAGAGACAGCGTCAGGTTGAATCAAGAAAAGAACGTACGGGAACGGGTTTGGATTGTATTTATTTGTTTGGAAGCAATCATATCTATGATGCATCAATCTCCATTGAGCCACTCTCTCCAGATGCAGCATTCTCTTGCCGTGACGAACTCCGTGTCACGCCATCATCAACCTTCCGCCGCTTGAATGTTCCTCTTGCCTCAATTTTTCCTTCTGCTGGCAGTACCCTAGTAGCAGTGAAGACATAGCCTTCTGAGCCACCACGCCCTGTCATGAGAGGATGTGTTCGCCCAGGTAGTACTTGCCAACTTCTACTGCGTGCTGTCTGTATTGTAGGTGCAAGCAGGAGTGTTGGGTTGAGAGGAAAGTCTTCCGTAGGCATCGAATCGAAATCCGGTGGGTTCGTCACAAATGCCGTCCGTCGACCTGTTGAGTAATAATCTGACAACTCGACCAGTGGCTCGATGGTAGGCGAGTAAACGACTACTTGAGCCGCACCGCGTAGAAGTGGAACTGTATGCCGCAATATTGAGACAGGGTTCATGGTTGAGGCGACAATCAAGCCATCGAATTCGCCAGCGCGTGTTTCATCCACAACAAAATTTATACGTTCCCATCGCCGACGTTTTCGGAAGTGATTGCTTCTCTTCCCACTCCTCCAGCTTTGGATGGTCTCTTCTGAGACGATCTCGGGCTCGGCACAGCCCATGTCGTCTTCTGGCGAAAGAAGCTGAAGCCAGGAGAGGGTCTTGAGGTGGCTCTCGAGCGGGTGGGATATGGATGGATTGAATGCGTCGAAGTGGAAGTATTTGAGCAGGGACAGGTTTGGTTGAGCGTTGGCGTGGATAAGAGTGATCGTATTTGTGGTGCCTGGGCCAGATGTCTTGCGAGGGCGAAGGTGGTGCGGAGGTGGTGCAACTACATGTTTAGTCGCGGGATCTCCAATTGAATCGTCTCCGTTGACGGCATCGGTTTCTCGCTTCGACAATACTTTGCCCTCCGCTTCTTCTCCGTTGTGGTCGGGAGGATGTAGGATTGCCATCTTCTCCGCCATGTAAGCCACCAGCAGCCCTGCTGTCTCATCGACTACAAGCCACCTCCCTCCTTTGGTCTGCATACCTTCCCCGTCGAGCGACGGTGTTGAAACCGAGGGTGTACAGTGCACGTTTGACCAGCTACCAATCATAGATAGTATTTCTTCTCTTAATTCCATGATCTTCATGGGTTCCTTATCGGTCAGGATCCACCGCACCAATGTCGGGACATCCAAGGGTAGTACTGTAAACCTCCTCAGGTACTTCTTTGTCTTTCGCAACGTGTACTTGGCAAGGGCAAACGCCGTCTTCTGGTCCAGAGCTGAGTGTGACTCGAGGATCTTCGCAATCAACTCTTTCCCCGATCCTGTACTTTGCGCCTTTAAGGCTTCAATCTCATCCATTGTCATGATCTGGCTGCTGGGGTCGTCGGTGATCCGACGGTTGGTTCGCATGACGACTTCTCCATTCTGGCCCACTATCTCGTATTCCACACCATCTCCACTCGCGCCAAGATTTCCTGCTTCTGCTTCAGTAGGAGTTTCAGGAGCCTCGTCCTTGATGTCTGCGTAGAGCTCGGCGGCTGGCACTATCCGAAGCCCTGACTGTGCTTTACCATCGCTGGTGACGGTATCTCGAATCTCGAAGGTAAGGTGGTAGGGCCGACCCAGGATATTGTTTGCTTGGAAGGCCCCATATTTGCCAATGGAGATTGTACTTACTCTATCGTCAGCCGCGAAACGCGAAGGAGAAGGTGAGACCGCTCACTCCAGCTACTTCACATACGTATTTGGCAGGACCTGGACAACTATGGTCGAATCTGAAGGCAAGCGTAGCGCAACATATGCATGTGGCTGAACAAGCTCTTGCTTCATCCTCTAATGGAAATGCATTTGCAGAGTATTTCGTTGTTACTGTATTGGTATTTGCGTTGGAGGATGCTCTAGGATTTGGTTCCTAAGGTAGGCATGGTGGTATGGTTCCTGAAAATCCGCTTTTAGCGCTACGAGTACCTCGTTACCCCTATATTCTTAATCATTGGGAAACTAGAAAATTAGCATTCGGGCTAGCACCCCCCCCCCTAAAAATCGTACTGTAGACATGCCCATCATATTATCGTTCCACAACCATCTACATCGTCAAGTTAAGGCTGGAATTGCTCGTATATATAGAATACTTGATATTTTTTTTAGTCTTTTGCTAACGTATAGAAGGCCTTAAAATATCGTTTCCTTTACTATCCGATGCCTATAAGGATCGATTTAACAGTATATCCTTAATGGCTTGCTGTCGCCTCTATTATTTCCGTTAAAGCGTTAAAAGAGTATTACATACCGCATTATCGATAACCTCCTCGCGTTTAGTACTTATACTACGCCTTATATAACTAAGAGAGGATGATTATTCGCGATTTTTTCGACTATAAAAATCGAATTAAGGGCCTTTATCGAGAGCAAGCTGTAGATATATTAGGACGAGATATAGTATAATCTATTTAATGGATTTAATCTACTTATCAGCTAGTTTACGATCTTAAAGACTCTATATTCTATAAAGATTAGTAGAAAAAGTCTTCGCCGCGAGGTCTTAAAACGCTTATAGATTTACCGTAACGCGTACTTTTTGAAGGTTAGTAAGTTTATATATAATATACTCGTCTTTTTGAATGAAAGCGTCGCTAATAAGTATATAATGTAAAGGAAGCGAGACTATACAATCTTTGAAATTCGGCTAGCGATATAGATTTCTATTAAATATTCTAAGCGATATAGCGTTCTATCGACGTATTACTCAGATAATATTTTTTACTATTATATTTATTAGAATAGTATCGACGGTATTTAATTCGAGTAATTCTTTAAGAACGAAGTTTTTCTTCGCTATAACCTATTCTCTAGTTTAAAGTTAATTCTCGTTATAGATAATTATTCTATATATTATATCGTTAACGTTAGAAGACTCTACGAGGAGTAAAACGTTATAATCTTATATTTACCCTTATATTCGTCGGATTTTAATCTTATTAAGAAGTTCTTTTCGGTTCTTAAGGTCTGGCTAAAGAGGTATTTTAAGCTAGCGAAGAGTATATTATTTAGACGATATTTAGAGCTGGCTATATAGGCTTATAGTGTAGGGATTTATACTAAGGCCTACTTCGTATACGCCGATATATTAGTAAGCGATTATAAAGAGAAAGAAGAGAAGTTATATAAGGAAGATAAAGGCTATTATTCGAGTAGCGAGGAAGTCTAAAGATAGAGTTTTAAGCCTTATCTTAGCGTAATATAAAGAAAAAACTCTTATATCTAACATTTTTACACCAAAATATAATCGTTTCTCGAGATTTTTTTTTTATATTTTAGCCCACATTTAACTCGTATTTTATACTATTTAGATTATTTAAATAGATAATTATTAATTAATTTTAAATATATTAAATATTCGAGATTTGCGTGACGGCGGTAAGCCCGGCGCTAATTGTCGATTATCGAATCTTATTTTCCAAACTCCGATATATAGCTATTCAGGCCTTCTCCTCCCCCTTCTCCCCCTTCTTATCGCTATTCTTATTAATAACCTTATTTTTTAATAGGGTAGCGGCGGCGAGGGCGTTTAAAGTAGTATATAATTAATAACTAGCGAACTTAGTAGTAGAGGTAGTAGTACGAAGCCGTAGTACCTCTATAAAGTTCTTTATCTTATCCTTTAATCGTATAGTTATTTCTCTTAAAACCTCTATCTTTTTTTAATTAGAAGGCGATATTCGACGTATTTACTTTAGTGTATATAATTCTACTTTAATCTTTTCTAGAGCGTTTATAAAGGCTACTTTCTTACTCGAATTTCTCTGAATTTATTAGGTAAAATAGGCCTTTCGTAGTTTACCTATATTACTCTTTATCTAAATCGAATTACTCGATAATTAAAACGCTTTAGAGGGCGATCGATTAGCTATATCTAAACGAGATGGTAGTTTAATTAGATTAGATAGGTGAGGCTAAATAGACTAAGTCTAAGTATGCGCGTACTGCTGTAAGAGAAAATATTAAGACTGTTAAAGTATTGATTAATAGGGCGAATAGCCTTAAACTTGCTGCTATTGATATAAATTATATTACTATTAATACGCATTATACTACTATTACTAAAAGCCTTACGTCGGCGAGGATAAGGTATCTAATCTACTAAGTAATATACTAATTAATATTAAAGTAGTAGTAGAAGTAGAAATAGAAGGGTTAATAATCGTATGAACTTTCTTCTTAGCCGACTTAATCTCTTTATTAATAGCCTTTATCTTTATAGCCCGATCTTATTAAGACTTTATTCGCTTCTATATTCGTATAGACGGGTTTTCGATATTAATATCACGTTTCTACTTCGCTATAGCCTTATTTTATTTAGTGATTTAATCGTCGTCGAGTAGATAATAAGTATCGTCGAGATCGTCTGGTTATTAGTAGTAATACGTTTTTTCTCGATAGCCGAGCTTTAAATATAGCTATAGCTTTATAATCTTATAGCCTTCGAATTTAAGCTTTCTTTTTAATTTCTTCGCCTTCTTTGCATATAGTATTTACTTAATAATAGCGCTATTAAACCTAGGCGTCTTAATCTTCTTCTTCTATTTCTTCTTCTTATTAGATTTAGATAATTTAGAATCATCTAATATAGTAGCGGAGTTATCTAAAGAAGAGTTATCGTCGATAATTCCACTAGTCTTCTTTTACTTCTTCGAGGGAGACTCTTCCGTAGTAAAGGATTTCGATTTAAAGAAGTCTTCTTTAAGATTATAGATATATATAATTCTTATAATAACCCTCTTTCTCTTTTTCTTAACTAGCTATTATCTCGCTAGATTATTAATATTCTCTCACTTAGTAATATCGCCGTATTAACTATTTATAGTCTTAATATTTTTTAAGAATAAGAGCGTAATAATAGCGTTCTAAAGGATTATCTTATAGTCTTTCTTTTTTATCTTCTATTTAACCTCTTAAATAGCCTTTAAATTAAACTCGTGGAAATCGAATCGTTTAAAGATAGTAGAACGGGCTTATACCTCCTTCTCTTTCTATAGAATACTCGTATTAATAGAATAGGCCGATAGTTTTATAGAAGAATTGATAGGCTGAAATAGGACGGTAGGAGGAGGGCTTTATTCGATTTTATTAGGCTTATCGATAAGGAGGGAGGGTTTCTTCGTCGAAGGTTTTAAGATAGATTTCTTCGGTTTACGCCCCCCTTTAATGGCGTCGGCGACGATTTAGACGGCCTCCTTATTAAATCTGTTAGGGGCCGCTTATTCCGTGTATTAGTAGCCATATTTGGTAATAGCGAGGTATGGGGAGATTGGTGGGAGCGATAATATAGTGGGCATGTCTACAGTACGATTTTGGGTGGGGGGGGTACTAGCCCGAATGCTAATTTTCTAGTTTCCCAATGATTAAGAATATAGGGGTATCGATAAGCCAGCGGCGGGACCCCGGGACTCTCACCACCTGGTTGTGGATGCGTACGCTATTACGTCGCCCACTTGCTTCTCATCCATCTTATGCAGAAAGTCTCAAAACTTCATTCAAGGTTGAATTTGAATATAGCCATTCATTACCTTGTCAAGTCTTTTGCCGAAATTTGCACATCTCCAGCTATGACCGTTGCGCATCTAGCTACCGCCCTAATTACCAACCTGCACCGCCTCTTCAAACCTCTCTGCCTAAATTGTCATTGAATGACGGAATGAACCTCAACTGCTACCTTCACGATACAGGTACTCTTCTGCTACATTATCGACTTAAAGTGGAGAGGCGCGATCGCAAATATAGCCCATTTCCATCTCAATTAGACAAGAACAAAGCATGATGGTCCGCAAGCCATTTCACTCTGCCAGAGGTCAGGCTGCACCAGCGGTTCCTTATCCAGTCACGCCTTCATCACCCATTGCAAGAAGCTCGAAGCTACCAGCTTCTCCTCGTGATGTGCAATCACAAGAGTTAGCTGAGAGAGCAACAGGGGGTATCAATGCACCTAATCTTGCCGATGGCCCGCGACGCCCCGTTGAAAGCACGATGAATCATGAGCTACCTCCTCCGCTGAGAGTGGGCGCAGGACTCGCAGGCAATGGTGATACGCCATTAAATGGAGGCTTGCCATCTACGTTACAAGTTGGATCCGCGGATGCCACACCGAGGACCTCATCCGAAAGCCAGAGGTCCAACGGCTCAGCTAGACATATACGTTCAGATCGTGCCAGTACTACCGGCCAACCTATCCAACGGAGACAGCGATCATCTTCCAGTAATCCATTTCGCCGCAACAACGATTACAATGGAAAAGCGCCAGATCGGCCCAACTACGGCGGAGAGAGCAGTGCTGATGTTTGGGGTGAGGGCCCAAAAACTGACACAAGAGATCCGTTCACTGAGCCGTGGATGGACTTCAGTCAATCGCCAGAAAAGCAGCCCCAGCCTCAGTTGGATTCTGAATCTCATCTTGCGGATACCAGACAAAACCCCGGATTCGCAACAAACCCAGCGCCAGTCTCAAATGAGAGCATGAGGCCCTACCAGCAAGCTTTGCAGTTCGAATCTCAAGCTGTAGGAGCTCCAGAGGTGGATGTACGCCCATCAGTGAATCAAGACAATCAGCTAGGGCAGATGCCAGGTAGTGGAGAAAGACTTGCGGACCCTTCCTACAACGTGTGGGATGACGCAAGACCGACCTCCGATGTTATCAATCACACTCCTATTAATGACTCCAACGCCCAGAAAATATTTTCAGAATTGCCATCAAATTTCTCACAACCAGAGAGGCTACCCCCGCAACCTCCAAGGCCTCCAAAGACTCTCGATAACAGCGGGAATGCAGCATCCACAACAGAAGTGCAAATGCCTCGGGATGAGTCTATGAGACCGAACAGAGCCGGCGAAAGCTATCAGATTCGGCTGGTCAATTGGTACGATGCTTCGTCTCCTACTAATCCGCGACGGTCGCCCATTATGGTTCAAAACGCCAACGGCCCTTGTCCACTTCTTGCGCTGGTCAACGCCTTAGTACTCACGACTCGGTCTGATGTAAGTACGGCCTTGGTAGAGACGTTGAGAGTTCGTGAGCAAGTCAGCCTAGGCCTCTTACTTGATGCTGTCATCGACGAGCTCATGTCCGGCCGAAGACGTGGCTCGGGCGGGATTTTGCCTGATGTCAGCGAGCTTTACGCTTTCCTTGTCACACTACATACAGGTATGAACGTGAACCCACGTTTTGTCCCTTCAGAACAACTCACAGTCAACCTGATGGATGCTCCACTTGACATGCCAACGAGCTTGCACGAGTCTCGAAAAGCCGGAGGGTTTGAGGACACCCGAGAGATGAGGTTTTACAGCACCTTCTCAATCCCTTTGATTCATGGATGGATCCCTCCGAGAAATCACCCCGCCTTTGCTGCTTTGAAGCGTACAGCAGAGACATATGAGGATGCACAAAATATTTTGTTTAGAGAAGAGGAGCTGGAAGAGAAACTCCAGCGACAAGGCCTCAGCCCGGAAGAACAACTGATCCTCGAGGATATTGCCAGCGTCAAATATTTCTTGTCGTCTACCGCAACTCAGCTTACTGGCTACGGCCTCGATACGGTTACCGAGACCCTCGCGCCAGGCTCTGTCGCGATATTATTTCGCAACGACCACTTCAGTACACTATACCGGCATCCAAAGTCGGGTCAGCTTCTGACCTTGGTGACCGACATGGGGTATGCCGGTCATGACGAAGTCGTCTGGGAAAGTCTAGTAGACGTCAGTGGTGAAGGCTGCGAGTTCTTCGCAGGCGATTTCAGACCTGTGGGTAATGTCGCTGGAGACACCCAACAGCAAGCGACAAGCAACCAAGCAGAAGATGACTCGGGGTGGACGACAGTGGGTAGTCGATCTCGACGTGGCCAACAATCAAGCAGATCTGATTCTAGTTTACCGGCTCTTGATACACTAAACATCAATGATAGTCATCCAAAAGTCGTATCTGCAAACACCGAGCAAGAGGATCACGACTTGGCCCTCGCCATGCAACTCCAAGAGGAAGAGGAGGAGCGGGAGCGCCAAGAGTCTGCCAAACGGAAACGTGATGATGAACTCTCCCAAGCATATCTCAATTCCGCAGACTCGCAAGGTCGCCGTACCTTCCCAGGTTTCGGTCGCGGCGCTAGCGCAAGTGGTGGCGGTCCCAGCCCTCCTCCTCGTGGCCGTGGAAGTGCAAGACAAGCACCAACGAAATCGGCCAATGATGATGAAGACGCGCCACCGCCTACCTACGAGCAAGCTGCGAATGGTCCAGCATATATTCCTCCATCAAACCACCCAGTACATCCAACCGCTTCGCCAAGCCCTGGTGGCATCCCGTCAAGACCAGGACCTATGTCGGCGACGAGGCCAAGGCATTCATCGAGTGCGTACATCGAACATGCTACTTCGTATGGACATTCGCCTTCGTATGGACCTTCACGAAGAGGCCACATGCCTCGATCCTCAGCCTCTGGAACGGGAAGAGGAGGTATTGCTGGGGTGGATTGTGCGCCTGGCGTGGTTCGGAGACGGAGTGGTGCACCCGGCTCGGCTGTCTCGCTGGAGGGTGATAAGAAGGACAAGGACTGCGTTATAATGTGATGGTCTGGGGACTTCTTACGATTTGGGCTAGCCATTGGAGTACCTTAGTTTTGAGCGCGGCGCGGATTTTGCGTTGAATGACCCAAGCATTCGCGCAAAAGGATCTTTTGTGCTTTGGTCTTGAATTATGTAGATCTACCTTGGAATTGGTGTTGATTCGTTGGGTTGCACGTTTTACATAGTCAGGGAGAGAGGGAGATTGATTATGTATAGAGGACAGGTCTCAACTGTTGGTCAATGGAAGCTTCCAAATCGGACAAGTCAAAAGCAGAATGCTTCACGGGCCCAAAGACGTCTACCTTAGTCTCACGAGGACTAAGTCAATGTTCACGCATAATGATAAGCATCGACTAAGTGACCGAACATTACCTTACTACCTATAAAGCACAGCGAGTCCCACCGTGATCGTGTTCCTCAGGAATGATGACATGCGGTATTGTATCCTTTCTGCTACTGGAGTCACCAGAGTCTTGACACAGCTTTATACTTTGTTCTCGATAAAAGTACCCCACGCTCCGATATCGCCTCGTCCAAAGTCGCAGAGAATATGTCATGCTGGCGTTAAATTTAGCTTTGTCACACTTCCTAGAGTCTTGATCTCAGTCACAGAAACGCAACCAGAGGTGCTCTATCTACGTCTTATGCATGCCATATCGACAGCGTTCCTCCCCGTCTGCCTCTTGATCGAAAATTCTTCTGCTTCCCTTCCAGAGACAGGAATTCGTGAAATCAAATCGATCAGGCTCAGGACGAGATGAGAGACGTGTAAGAGATATTGCAAGGTATCGTCCAAGATTCTCGGCTGTTGATTGCACCCCCAAGACGTAGGATAGCAAAGAGACAACATTTGCGGACAGGCCATGACGAATGAAAAATGCTGTTGTGTGAACGATTCTCCACGCTTGGGGATTGGGGGTGCGGGAATTCGTCCGGCGGACCGACGTGATTTTTGCCTTTGAGATGTAAGGTAATGACAATTTCAATTGGTGTACTCGATAGAATCTGAACATGCCAGAAGATAAGCTCATGCTAGCTCCGAGGTCTCTCTCTCTAGTGGCCAGGCTCTAGGCTTGTTGAAGCCTAGACGGCCCCACCTGCCGCCTCAAAACGGTCCACCAAACGGCGGATCCTCGCGCCTAGAGTAAGTACCTAAAGTAGGTAAGGTACCTTATGCCTTATAGTATTGGTTATGATGGTCCCCTCGTACATGTAAATAAGTACCTGAAGGGCTTGGAGGGTTGGAGGCTAAGTTGCTTGGAGAGCTGCCTGCGTGTTAGCGGCCCACCTTTTTTAGCGGGCTGATAGGTACTCTACACAGCCTTAGCTACTCGTAAGCTCCTAGAGTATGTTAGAAGAAGTACATGCAGTAGCTGCAGCAGTGTGATTCATCTGCCTTCATTTTCATTGCAGCCTCATTCTGGCATGACTACAGTACACATCTCGACATGTATCCACCTTTAGACTAATTCCAACTTTGCTTCCTCTGTCAAATCAAATTCATACAGAGGCTTCTTGCCTCTTTCCTTCAATCGTCTTCCATCCTGATACCCACACCTACTTTTCCACTTCTTCTCGCTTTGAGAAGGTGCTATCAGCTATCTCCGTGCTACTGGAAACTACATCCTACATCGCAGGGCTACCACCATGGATCCAGCATCCATGAGTGGTACCGAGCCCCTACAACCATCAGATGAAACTCTTCCGGCCCACCATTCACCCAGTCTTCCCTCCCCCCCACACCATCGAAGACATATTCGCTACGCAACACCAGAGACCTCAGACCCACCTCCACCTCACTTTATCCTCGAAGCCGCCCTGACCAGCGTCAGAAACATCAGTGTCCCGCCCAGTCCTCCGCCAGCCATGGCCTCATCCGGCCAACAACATCAAAGCAGCAGCCCGGGATTCCAGCTCGACACTGAAGGTCAAGACCACGATAGAATGGAAATGGACGATGAGAGCGACGAGTCAGACTCCGGTCCCGACGACCATACCCCAGAGCATGAGCCAGGAGATGCAGAAATGGAGACTGCACCTCCACCTCCAACAGAGGCAGAAGTGATGGATACATCTCCAGACCATCAGTCAGACCCAAGGCATCCAGAATTCGGACGACCACATACCAGTATTGTCATACAGACCAACCCAGAGACCGGCGAATCAACTGCCCTTCGCGTTGTTACCATCCCTGCTCCTACCAGTGGTCTGAGTACTGCACAACTGCGGGAACAAGCCGTTCTTGCTGCAGCATCTGTACATCTACCACCAGGGCTAGACGGCAATACCCAGGACGTAAGGGTAGCAGCTGCAGAAAGGGAGTTGGCAGAATTACGCCGAAGCGACCAGAGGGACAGGGCTAGAGCCAGAAGATTGGCACGAGAGGTGGATGATGTGCCCGAAGGCGTCGGAGAAGACAGCGACGACTCAACAGACGAAGAAGAGCATCCATACTGGACGAATCTCAGGGAAGACGAATCATCCCCAGATGAGCAAGAGCTCAAAGAGATTGAAAAGGAGGTCGAGTTCAGTGCTCTTGACCACGACCACTGGGAGGAGGTAGCGTATCAGCCGCTTGATGATCCAGAGTACGTTCCTGCGGAGTCGGGACGTATTACTTGGACTGTGGATGGAGTACGTGGCACTCCCGAGAAGCCGAATAGAGAGAACATCATGAGGTCTCCATCTGTCTTTATAGATGGATACTATTGGAACATTAAGTACTACCCTCGCGGAAAGGACGGAACCGATCATATGAGTGTCTACATCGAATGCTCACCAACACCGTACGAGGAGGCGGAACATAAAGCGAGCAATGCTACATCGTCAAAGGCAGTGCCAGATGCAGACCAAACGTCGATCGTTGTAGAGGAGAACCACCATAACGCAGCTGCACCTGGAGCTCCGCCACCATCTCTTGAGGATGCGCATGTTCCAAATATATCAGAGGAAGACGCCGATTCCACCCCTACCCCACCCAAGGAAAGAGAGCTCGAAGAGCAAAAGTCATGGGGAGTGGCTGCGCAAGTAAGCTGCATCATCTATAACCCTGACGAACCACGGGTTTATGTCCATGACAAGGGCTGTCATCGCTATTATCAGGACAATCCAGAGTATGGATGGGTTCGATTCAATGGGGAGGGGCCGGATACACTTCCGTGGGACGAGATACACAAACGTCGACGGCTGAAACGGCAAGCACTTCTCCGAAACGATACACTCTCATTCACAGTATATATTCGTACCGTTGACGACGATACCAAGACCTTGTGGTGGAGCCCTCCCGACGACAAGCCCGGATGGAACAGCCTGGCAATGACTGGTATTAGGGCATTCGAGTGCCAGGAATACCAGTCAAGTGCCATGATTGCTGCTTTGTCAGCATGGTTGCACCTCATTCCTGTTGTTGATCTCATTCGCACCACCCACATACCAGATCCTGTTCTGGAGCCGGAGACACGGATGAGACCAGTGCTTGAGGAGCTTCAGGACATTCTCAACGAGGACTCGGATCTTTTCAGTCCTGCTGATAGTGCTCTTCCCCTGTCGGACCTTGTAAGAACTCTGAACTTTTATGGCGCGGAAGTTGACCGTAAAATGGACGTGGTAATGATTTGGGAGACCTTGCGGCGCATTATCAACTTTGAATTTTCAGATCTTCGTACCGTGGAAGATGCGAATGGGCTTGCTAATGATCAATTTCGAGAGATACTGCTACTCAAGCAGCCAGATTTGATGGGCAAAGACGACTCCGTTACCAAGTATCAGAGCCTGGGTGGGGAATATCACCCCGAGATCCTTGACACCGAACCTCAGAGCGTCACGGAAACCCTGATCAAAGCTTCTCAAGGTCCAGCTAACTCTTTCCGAGTGTGGCAAAGTTTTGCAGGGCAACTTCAGATCCCTTCTGGGAGTCCTTCGATCTTGCAGGTCGAATTACATCGGCAGGACTTTGACAAGGTAGCTAGAAAATGGAAGAAACTCACACATCAGATCAAGATCGAAGAAGATCTGACGTTCAGGGGGGTAGATTATAGTCTCTACGGCATCGTTGTACATGAGGGCGGTTTGGAGTCCACCGAGTACTACTCTGTCATACGGCCCGAAGGACCTGGAACAAGATGGCTCAGATATGCAGACGAGAGCAATTCCAAAGGAGTCACCGTACTGACAACAAAGCAAGCTATCGATGCTCATGAGGGAAGTGGCACGAATGTAGATGAAACAGCAGCAGTTGCCTATGTTGTCCTCTATGCACGTACCGACATAATCCCTCATATCTTGTGCACTCCTTTTCATCATAATGAGACGCAAACCACCCACTTCGACCACGCACAAGAACTTCCAGGCGCAGCAAATGATATGATCACAGACAACAAAGATGCTGAGCATGATATCCCCGTCTATGTGCATGGTCACAAGCTCTTTGAAGGTTACTCGGGTCGAGGAGTATTCGACCCATGGTTCCGAGATCAAACAAGCGGCGATTTGCCAGGACACAAACATTCGTTCCCCGCCTCGACGACACTAAGACAGGTGAAAAAGTATTTGGAGGAAGATGTATTTGGGCTCGTGTCAGATGAAATTAGTTTGGAACTGTGGCCACTCGACACAAGAGCTTCGTGTATGCCAAATGCCTATCCGCAACTCCTCTCATTCAAAAATCACAGCGAGGAAGAGTTGGGCGACATGATTCACCATAGCGGTGGCTGTCGATTCTGGATGGCTTTGAAGACGACTGATCCTGTTACCGCGGCCAAATTCGGTCTGGCTGGCCCATCGCCAGCCCCGGAACGCATCGAGCAAGCCCAGTCAGACTCCAGGGCTAATGCCGGATTGTCAGCTACAAGAGCAAATATTGAACCAGCCGGCCAGGCATCTGAGGAAGCAAGTGGCGGAGATATAGGCCAAGGTGATACTGAGATGGCTGAAGCCTCAACTGGGACTCACGAGACCCCGTTGGCGAATGACTCAGAAATTGTAAAGCCTCATACGCTTGTGCATCCTAAAGAAATCTACTTCTTCGTGAAGCTTTTCGATGTCGAGACTCAGACTCTTCGTGGAGTAAATAGCCACTTTGCCAGGCGTGATGCGAAGATCTCGGATGAGGCCAAACGATTACTTAAAGTTGGCCTGAGCGAGGAATGGGATCTCTATCACGAGCGACATTTGAAACTTGGGCGTAAGGACCTCGTGGGCGACCATGAGACGTTCGAGTATCGATTCGGTGATGTGGGTGGAGACGGCAGTATATTCATCGCCCAGCGCCGTCCCCCTAAAGAGAAGTATGCGCTCCTGCCTTACGACTTGAGCTTTCTACTAACGTGACTATCCAGTACCACGGACACGGTCAGTCTCCCGGGCTCGATCACGTCTCTCGAGGCCGCAGGCAAGTGTGCTAACCCAATCGACTTCTTCCGGTTCCTCCGCGGCCTCGACAACCCCTCATACTTCCGCAACGAAGCCAACAGCTCCTATTTTGGCTGCGGCTACAGAGCCCACTCCCTCAAAGGCGGCCGGGCCCACGGCAACGGAATTCTGATTTCCCTATCCGGCGATGCTTACGATGGCGACTTTGTCGCCGGCAGGAAATGCGGCCGAGGGTCCATGGATTATGCAAACGGCGACAGCTATAGGGGTGAATGGGCAGCCGATGAGCCCAATGGTCAGGGTCGGATGGAATACGTTAAACATGGCAATGTCTACATCGGCGAATTCAAAAAGCGGAAACGTTTTGGCAGGGGAACGATGGAGTTCAAGCATGCAGACGAGGAAGATTATTTCTGCCATATTTGCTGGGAGAATGAGATCGATGCGGTCTTCTTGCCTTGTGGGCATCTGAGTGCGTGCGAAGACTGTGCGAGGCAGATGCAGAACCACGACTGCCCGGTTTGTAGGAAGATGGTCAAGCAAGTGGTGAAGGTTTGGAAGGTTTGATAAGGAAGCTCACATTCTTGAGATTCGGTATGAGAGAACGAGATAATGATTGTGCATGAGATTGATTAATAGCGGGGGTGTTATCCTTAAGAGAGGCTTCTGATGGATAGAATGGGTTCTGTACCATACAGCATGCCCAGTCCTGCGGGACAAAGCCATTCATTTCCAGCATAGCATAATCACAGGGGTTATATCCATCATCCAAGCTTATTGACTACGCCCAGGGCCCCCATGATCTTGCATTTCAATGCCTGCTTGTTTGTCAAAATCGCATTCACAAGGAGCCGACGTGTATCATTAGATCTATTCTGAGCCTGTTTACCCATACACTTTTTCGACCATAGCCAAACGTGCATTCATCTCTGCATCTTTTACTCCGCGGTACTAGACCCATCCCCTTAATTCCCCGCACCTCGCCCCTCCAGATCGCAAGCGCCTCGGTCTGCAAGCAAGCCCTGGTCGATATCTGACGGACTAACCCCCCCCCCCCCCCCCCCCCTTTTTCCCCCCCCCCCCCCCCCCTTTTTTTTTTTACATCACCTCTCCCCCCTTCCTCGGTTCTACATCACCTCTCCCCCCTTCCTCGGTTCTACATCACCGACACAGCGCCACTCAATCCCCTCCCTTCTGCCCAGCCTTTGCGAACGTAGCTGCCACGATGAGTGGAAACACAACCGTAGCCTCCGCATACACCTGCTTCCCCTACGCCGTCAGTCCGTTCCCCCCCCGCACCACCAAGGGAGCAAAGGGTTTTCCACTCACCTTGACGCTGTCACCCCCCACCTTGATCTTCCCCCAACTGACCGCCTCGTCCGGCCGGGCTCCCGCATCGCTCCCGTCAAACTCCTGCGCCGTGTTCACATAGACGGCGCTCTCGGCGCCGTTCCGCATCAGGCACGCATTGGCGATGTGGTGCTTCACCAAGCCGCCGCCGAGGATGATCATGCCGGCGCGTCGGGCGTTGATGGCGATGTCGTTCAGCTTGCGGATGTCGCGGGTGATGGAGATGTCGAGGACGGCGGGGGCGGAGCGGAAGGAGTGGAAGTAGAGCATGTCGCCGAGGGAGCCGTCGGTGAGGGCGGGGCAGAAGATGGGGATCGAGTTCCGCTGCGCCCAGTAGAGGATGGAGGACTCGTCGGCGATCTCGGCGCCGAGGCGGGCGACGACGGCGCTGGGCGTCCAGACCAGGCGGTCCTCGTCGCGGGGGGCGGTCCGCTTGGAGGCTTCCTGCTCGGCGAGCATGGCGTCGAGGATGGGGACGACCCAGTCTTCGAAGGCGCAGTAGTTGCTGTTGGGCACCACGAGGTTGCCGATGCGGTTCATGCCCCGGCGGCGGAGGTCGGCGCCGTCGGCGCCGAAGGAGGAGAGGTAGGTGGGCGCGAGGCACTTGATGAGGTCTTCCTCGACGCCGCCGGCCGTCGTCACGACGGCGGAGACGTGGGCGTGCTGGACCAGGTAGCGCAGCGTGGCGCGGAGCCCGGACGAGACGAGGTTGGAGGTGTAGCCGAGGAAGAGGGTCGTCTTCGCGCCCGTGGCCGGGTCGCGGAACCGGCGCATGTCGTTGATGATGCGGACGGCGTCGGCGACGGCGCTGGCTTGGAACCCCGTGGTCGTCATGTCGGAGACGAGTTCGGCGACGGTGACGTCGCGGCCGGCGTAGTCGTTGAACTCGATGCCGGAGACTTCGTGGACGTCGGCGGGGACGGGGGCGGAGGGTTTGAGGACGGCGTCTGTGGAGAGGGTTGGGGCTTGGGTGTTTGGTTGGTCCTTGGTGGTCGTTGGTGCCATGATGGATGGTGATGGTGTCGAATACCGGCAGGGTTTTAGGGGGTTTATTCTTTTTTTTTCGTTTCTCTAAGAATCTAAGTAGAATCAAGCCCGACTTGTGGTGATAGATCCTGGGTTTGACAGAGATGTTGCAGCAGAGACTGAACGCTCGTCCTTCCTTAAATTTTGGAGTTAAGAGCCTGAGAACTTCTCCTAGCTCTCGATAGAAGGTTTTAAAGTATTCCGAGGATAATTCCACTCGATATCATATACTGAAAGTCCTGGAAAAAATTCCATCCTCATGGGAAACATGGATAGCAAGTTTTAACAGGAGCTAGTGAACATGCTGTCTTTTAGTTGGCATCAAGGTAGCAGCGTATTTGGCCAGCTCCTTTCTCATCTCTTGACCTTGGAGTCTTATCCTTCGAGGTTGGTGAGTAAAGATACAGATGCTCGGTTTCTCGCACTATAATATTGATACCTGACCGAAAGAGTTTAGCCTTACCGCAGCAACCAAATAGGTAAAGCGCTCTCTCCCCACATCTCTCAAGAATCACGTCTCAATTTCATCCAGATTCCTGTCTAATCTATATTGGATTCAACATGCGGCTGTACATAGTTTCTTAGGTCTTCTGCGTCAGTCCATTGATAGGTACGGCGCTGTCATGCCTCGCCTTGATGGCTCTCTCTTTATCCGTGCACCTCACATTCCCAGTCTCACATCTCTATTCGTGCGGGTTCATCCCGCTTGGACCTGCATCTGATCGCCTTTTAAGCCAGCAACGGTATTGTTTGCGAGGTCTAGGTTGTTTTCTTTCGATCTATCTGCTTCTCGGAGCCAAAAAATGCAGGTATCTCGGCACCTTGAACAGCTGTCTTGGACTCGAGAGCACTCGTCATTCGTGAGGAACAGAGCCATTGCCCCGTGCGTCCTCTGTCTCAATGCTCGATCCGAACATGCGGCTCCCTCAAGCTTGATTTAGCTGGACGCCCGCTGATGTTAGTATATCAAGATCTCTAGTGAGAAGTTTCATAGGCGCGGAAGATGGTGCGATATGCGATTAGGACTGCGAAAAAGCAATTATTCCCCGATTTCCCAACCGGGTAATTCCAACGTCAATTGCCAACTACAAGTCCAGGGCGATCCAAATTGCCAGGTTTTGCGGCTTCTGGACGAGTCTATTCACGGCTTCGTTCGCGTGTGGAAGCACTACAGCCAAGCCAGTGCAGAGGTCCAGCAACGACTTGGTAAGAAAGTGGCGCTTAGACACGCTTCGTGCTAGCTGATCTCGAGATGGTTTCCCTCGTGGGATTGGGATTTATGGAAAGCATGACAGTAAAGATATCGTAGGCACGACCACGTGCGTCATGGAACGAGCGATACGCGTGAGCTAGCTCAGCAATCACCTGCAAACGTCGACATATGGAAGCAGATATCACCAAGGAGGTGTTGATTCTGGATGACTTGCCAATGCCATGACGTTTTCATGCAATTGGTATTTTGCGGAGCGTTTGTCCAGTAATTCTAAGCAGGAAAGTCGCCTACCTGACCCATCCTTCAGCCTTGCAGTCTCCGAGCTCGGAATCCTTTCATACGACGCCACCACTTCGGGACTCGACTGCATATTACGACGTTGCCATTAATAATGCCAAGTCGAAGGTCCTTCTCAACTGCGGGTAAGCGGCAGGTCTCGGTAAACGGAGAATGGCTTTGCAGACTTGCAGTCCGTTTGGGCGTGAGAAGGTGGGATCACTGATGCAGTGATGATGCTATCATTCTCTTTCACTTTTGACACGTTCAATGCATTACATATTGTGGAAGCGATGAGTAAGAGGAACTCGCTTTCGCCTCCGCTTTCGCATGCCATGAGTGAAAAATCCATCTAACGCGTGGGCAATTCTGCGATTTGAAGGCTAGGTACTTTACGTTTTACAAGAAGTGAATAAGGTACTGCCTAGGTACTTTTAATTTTGTTTGTTCAGGTCGGGTTTGTGCATTCTTTGACAGCAGAGCCTGGGTACATACGTGTATGATTGGTTGAACAGTGGTCCTTATCAGTGCGAGCGTAGCGCTCCCGCTGAGTGGCGCTTTTAGTTAGGTTGCTCATCGGATGGCCTCGCCTAAGCATTGTGGGGGTAAAAGTAAACGTGGGCTGGTTTTAACCGGAGTCTAGTTCCTTGGCGGTTCAAGGGATTCGAGGGTTTTCTTCGCGTGTGCCGGCAAAATGCAACGTCCCGACTCCCTGCAGGGAAAAAAGAGGCGAGGCTGCATATGGCTGCAGATGGCTGCATAACGGCAAGGCTCGGGTCCGTCTCACCTAAGTTTGATTATTCGCAATCATCCCCAAGTTTGGCCTTGCTGGAATCTTCATCTTACTTGATTTCATGACCCACCGCCAAATCCCAACAATGAAAGACTTTATTGCTTAGGGCCCCTACAACCCGCACTCAAACCAACGATATTCTGACATCCTAACAAACAAAGCGCTGATAACGCTAATGCCTCTCATTCGTCCTGACAAGCCCCCCCCCCCAACATCGGCGGCACCTCCGCTCGTACACCTCACATCCCCCTGGAGCTATGCGCATGCGCCTCCAGACTCGGCCGTGGACCCTGGGATGACTGCAGCTCAGGCCGGGCTAGCCCACTAGCTATATAGTCCTGCAGGGTCCCTAAACATCATGTAAATACATCGCACCAATTCCTTTGTACCACTTCCCAGAGCTCCCAGAACCTTCTCATTCCCATCACACACCATGGCCACCCAACCAGCATGGCTCGACAAGGGCGACAATGCCTGGCAAATGACCGCTGCTACCCTCGTCGGGCTGCAGTCCGTGCCAGGACTCATGATTTTGTACGCAGGTATCGTCAAAAGCAAATGGGCCATCAACTCCGCTTTCATGGCATTTTATGCCTTCGGCGCCGTCCTCATCTGCTGGGTCATTTGGGGCTATAAAATCGCATTCGGAAAACACATGCTGCCATTCGCTGGCATACCAGGCCCAACACTGTCAATGGAATACGAACTCACCCAAGCCTTATTACCAACCTCCGGAATCAGCGCCAATTTCCCAATGTCCGTCATGGTCTACTTCCAGTTCGTTTTCGCAGCCATCACTCTCGTCATCACAGCGGGCGCCTTCCTCGGCCGCATGAACTTCCTCGCCTGGGTCATCTACGTGCCCCTCTGGCTTACCTTCTCCTACTGCGTCGTTGCCTACTCCATCTGGGGCGGCGGCTTTCTTGCGGTCCTAGGCGTCATCGATTACTCTGGAGGCTACGTGATCCATCTCTCCTCCGGTACCGCAGGCTTCGTAGGCGCATGGTGGATCGGACCCCGCCTAGACGCGGACCGCGAAGACAACCGCCCCAACAACATTGGCTCCGTCTTGATAGGAGCAGGTATCCTCTGGCTTGGCTGGAACGGCTTCAACGGCGGTGACCCCTATGCCGCCAGCATAGACGCGGGCGTTGCTGTGCTGAACACGAACATCTGCGCCGCCATGAGCATGCTCTGCTGGATGCTTTGCGACGTTGTCTACTACGGCAAACCCTCCATCATTGGCGCCGTCAACGGCATGATCTGCGGTCTGGTCGCCATCACCCCGGCCGCAGGTGTCATCGCGGGCTGGAGTGCTATCGCCATAGGTCTTGGATCCGGTACCGTGCCCTGGCTCTCCATGAACATATTCGGCAAAAAGGTCGCATTCATGCGCTCCGTTGATGACGTCCTTGGTGTCTTCCACACCCATTTTGTCGCTGGTATTGTCGGGGGATGCGCCACCGGTATCTTCGCTACTATATCCGGCACCACGGCATTTGCTCTCACAAACCCCGGCGGTGCGATCGCGGGAAATGGCGTGCAAGTCGGCTACCAGATTGCAGGCGCCATGTTTGTCATTGGCTGGAATGTCGTATGGACAAGCTTGATCATGTGCTTCATAAAATATGTTTTGCGTATTCCATTGAGGATGTCTGACGAGCAATTGTTAATTGGTGATTATTCCATGCACGGCGAGGAGGCATATGTGTTTGGTGAAGGGACAAGTGCTTTTGTGAATGGGCCCCTGAGGGGAAAGGAAACTCATGGTGCCGCTATGGGTGAGGACCAGGCGGGCATTATTATGGGGAAGAATCCGGAGGTTGAGGAGAGACATACTGGGTCGGGCTCGGGCAGTGATCCCGTCGTGGATGAGATCAAGCGAGATTAAGTAGAGGAGTGAGTATGTCTGATATAATACCATTTTGCGTTTTGAAAGTGTATGCCTCCATTGGAGTTTGTGTGCTTAGATTCCGGTAGATAATAGTCAGGTAGTATTCTGTAATTGATGTCAGACTTTGAATATCAGGACTTTTGCACAGATCAGATGCGTCTCCCTTGTGGAGATATCATTCCACACATGCCAGCCAGTCTCTCCCAGCATAATTGCAACAGACTCTTTAAAGCACTCACATGACAATCACACGTTGCAATAGCTTCATCAACATGCTCTATCAATGGATAATAGTCGTCTTACGCGTTGCTTCAATGAGTGTGTAGAACTTTTATTGTACGCTTAGATGCTAGACCTGTATGCTCATGCTATAAATCAATTTGTTGAGACTTGTATACTTATGATTTGTGGGCTTTAAGGGAAGGCCATCTCCACATAAGGTAATAACAGAAGTGATGTCTGCAAAATGTGCAGAAGTCGAGAATTCTAAGCTGTGCAGTCTATGTAATTTCCGAGCCACTTTGAGGCTGTAAGAGAATAATGATAGATCCAAGATAGGGAAATTTTCTGTCTTGGCATTTGCATTGGCGCGGCTTCCCTATGGGGCTCCCACTGAGCCACTGAGAAGGTTTTGGAAAGTAAGAAAGCGTGGGCCATGGCTCTAGTCAGGCCCCGTGGGTACGTTGAACGCGACCTTTGGCCTCCTACTACCGCGCCAAGCTTGCCTGAGGATCTGTCGTCAAATCATACATAAATTGCTAAATCGTGATAAGAAGAAAAAGCCAAGCATACGAGGCGAAAAGCGGAGCAGAAAGTGAGATTTTCTAGAGAAGCCACATACTTACTGATCAAAGGATATAGACCAAAGCATCTCCCATCTCCCAGCATGGCTACCACTGCCTATCGATGGATCAGGATCAGAATCATTCATATCCCCAAACATACGCCGCTGCCGACAACGAAAGTGATGAAGGAAGTCAATCAGAGAGACATGTTCGCACAGATGGAGTGTCTGAAAGCTGCACTACTTTGCAGTAGGAGATCGAATCTGTCAAGAAGGAACCGGCCTGCGCTGCCCCCCGAAGAGGACAGCTCGTCGCACACGAGTCGGCCTGGATAGTGGTTTGCGGTAAGATACTCATGTGCGGTAGCTGGTGGATGAAGGTACGTGTGAAGGAGAAATAGCAAGGTCAACGCGGAAGTTATAAACGTGCATCTCCAACCTAAGGTACATGTACCTTAGAATAGGTTCGCGCTAGCTAGCCAAGCGGCATCTTTGATGATCAATTGAGCCTCAACTCAAACTCCTTTGCTGAACACCTAAGAAATCTCCTTGATTCCTTCAGAACATCACTCATAATTCTCAGTCATTCAGTGCCCCTCGAGAATCAAAAATCCCATCCTTGCTCTTCCTGTGCATCTATCTACACAGTAAGCCGGAGCCGCCCCCGCTGAGTCCTGACCAAACAACAGCCTCGGCTAGGCGCGCTGAACCGATTGGCCCATCCAAGATCGAAGGACAAAGGATCGAGGGGAACACCACCAAGATCACGAAAGATCTGTACAGATTCCGCTGTGACTTGGAAGCCTTGCCAATACCCCCATCGACTCAAGATTCTCATTGTTTACCATATTCATCCGTCTCACGGACCAAGTCCTGGATCTCTGGGGACATCAACCCCTACAATCATACCATATCTGACCATGTCCTATGTCTTCACGCTTCCCTCCTCCAAATCCCAGCGATCCTCGCTTTCCGCGAGAGCGTTCACCCCCGAGATCACTTGACAGACGGCCATCGGCTGCCTACAATGACGGACCTCCCGGTTCACGCACCAATTCCAATGACTTCTACGGCTACTCGGGTCGAGGACGGGAACCTCCGCGCGAGCCTCCGAGTGGCCCCAAGGCTCTTCGGGATGCACCAAGAGGCGGCGGATTCGTACCAAGAGGAAGAGGATTCTTAGCACGGGGTGATGGAAGAGAGCGGGATACAAGAGATGTGGGGCCTAGAGACGAGCCATTCGTGAGGAGAGGCGGTAGAGGTCAAGAATGGGGCCCCAGAGAGAGGTTCGATGGAAGAGATAGAAGACCTTCGCCTTCGGGTCGCGATCGGTCTAGATCTCCGCTCTCAAGAGAATTCAGAGACACACGCGATGTCCGGGAATTCACGCCTAGAGATGACAGGAGGGATCTCCGAGAAGGACCACTGCCAGCGCCCTCTGATGCCTTCCCCCTTCGTGGACGAGGCGGATTCCGGGGACGAGGAAGGAGTGATTGGGACTTCAATAGACGCGGAAGAGGGTCGTATCCTGAAGAGCGGCACGATGCTACACCCAGAAGCCGATCCCGCGACAGAGATTGGGAGAGGCAAATGCGCGATGACAGAGATCGTGAACGTGATTTCGAGACCAATAGGCAGGAGGACGACCTTCGTAGGGAGCGGGAGGAACGCGAAAGAGATGATCGTTTCAGAAGAGAGCAACCTTTTCGTCCAGACTCCAGAAATTCGACAGGCGGACAACAAACGCCCATCACATCTCGTTCAACTTCGGTGACCTCAGCTCCCGTGGCCAATTTCGATCGCTTTGGTCAGAATAACCGGGATTCTCGGGATTCTCAATTGGAGCAGAGACCGAGACCTACAGGCTACAATGTCGACGCAAGACGTGCGAGCATGGATATGGACTTAGACAGAGGGGATCTGCATCTCCGACGTCCTGTTGGTGATCGTTATGAACAGCGAACGGCCTCTCCGCCACCACAAGCTCCTCCTGTCCCAGCTTTTGGATCCATACCACATCGAGCACCAATATACAATCAAGAGCCTCAGCCCAAACAAGACTCTCCCAAAGACCGTTCTCCATTAGTACATCCGTCTCGATTGAGTCTGCTGGAACCATCTAGGGAGCCACCATCCGCTCCAAAAGCCCAAGTTCCTAGCAATGCGCCCAGTGCACCTAAAGCACAGCAGACACAGGAGAGATGGCCATCTAATGAGACTCTCGATCCTAACCGGCGCCCGCCTGGCAACGATGCGAGCGGGTTTGGACCTCAGCATCAATCATTGCCTATGTCAACAAGTGCCAATGCCAAAGAAATTGAAGAAGTTCCAAATGTCTCGAAACGTTTCTCTGATACCTCTCCAATTCGGCCCCCTTTCCTGTCAGCGTCTGGCGCATCAGACCCCACACAACCCTCTGTCAGAAAAGCGGTTGAGGAACAAGGCCGTAATGGCAATGTGGAGGCTTCAGCAGCTGGCCCCGTTACCAATCTCAGGCCGCCCTTGGGTGGCTCCTCAAATCAAGGCACACCCATCAAGATCCCGACTGGACCTCGTGCAGAGCGTGCTCCACCTTCGATCAGACAGCCAGCCCCTCCTACCATACGTGCAGCTCCAAATCGGCCTCCGCCAATGATGCAGCGTGGAGGACGTGGGGGCGCCTGGTCCTGGGTCAACCCGAATCCGTCTTTACCCAAACATACTCCCCGCGGACCTTCAATCATGAATACCGTGCCAATTAAAAGAGACTATATTGGGGACGAGAAAGCCCGGGGTGGTCCACCGAGCACCGAGTCCGCCGAGTTTGCACTTGATAAATGGCGGCGTGAAAATGTACCCACCAGTACCATCAAGGCTCGCACTGCATCCGAGAAGTCCCAGGACATCGACCACAAATCGTTTCCGGAAGCGCAGCGCAAAGAGTCTGTTGGCGGTGGAATCAAAGTCGAAGAATCCGATCACGGAGAGCCGAAGCCTAGAATGATGGGACCCGATGAGGAAAAAGAGGATGAAGAGTCTGACGAAGTTGCTGCTGAGGAAGGAGAGATGGACCTCGACGAACAAGATTTTGCTCAAGCCGAGAAGAAGTTTGATCATGAGATTCAAGCGTTGGAGGCGAAAAGGCCACCGACGCCTCGAAGTCATCCAAATATCTTGGAATTGCTTGAAGAGCTTGATATCTTGGCCAGCGCCCTCGAGGAGAGGGTAAAGACGGGCCCATCAGACGGAGAACCACCTGCTCAAACTGTTCCACTGGGTCTGCCGTCGCCCAAAGTCGACGATGCAGACGAGATGGATTACAAGCGCGAGATTGACAGTCCTCCTCATTTCAAGACTCGTCCGCAAACGCCTCCTGTTGCGAGCCTTCCATTCCTCGTTTCCGGACCTCCTACTCCTTTCTCTGATATCGAGGATCTGCAAGAAAGTCCATTCCGACAGCAGGCGATTGAGGCCTTGCTCGTTGAGGAATTGAAAAGGCAGCGTGATCTTCTGCAATCCAAAGACGAGGTTGAAAGAAAGAGATTCATCTCGCACTACAAGTCTTGGCGAATTAATATCGAAGACTACGAAGAGCAAAGAAGGGCAGAGGACCCTATGGCTGTTTCACCAGTGCCTGACAGCGTGCCATTGTCCGCACCAGCTCTGCCGGTGGTGGGCAGACGTGGAAAGATCATCAGTGAATTAGACATGGAAGAAGTGCTCAAAGTTTCACAAGAGACTGCCGCCAAAGAGGACCGAGCTAGACGAGAGCGAGAAGCACCTATCTATGTCCCTCCAGAGACTTTCAACCCAGACAGAGAGGCTGTAGTCCCTGATATGCTAAGTTCGTACGAAAAAGAGACTTCCACATTCAATGACAGGAACAACCTGGTCAATCACGGGGATGCTCTCGATGCTCTCAACTTCATTCCGAGAAAGGACGACTTCACTCCAGCAGAACACGAATCTTTCTTGTGCAACTACCTCTTGTACCCCAAGAGATTTGGCACCATTGCGGAAGCATTGGAAGGACGGGACTTCCGGGATTGCGTAGAACACTACTATCTTACGAAGCTATTCGTCAAGTACAAGGACCAAGAGATAGCGTTCATGAAGACTAAGAAGGGTAAGAAACTTGCCGCCTCCGCCCGTGGTCAGCAGATTCGGCCCAGGGCTGCCGGTTTGATCTCTTCATTCGATGGTGGGATGGACTACGAAACGCAGAACATTCCGCTTAATGAGAAAGGACGGCCAAAGCGTGCTGCCGCACCAACTTTTGGAGATAACGCTGAGCCTGAGGCCGCAACGCCTGCACCAACCCCCGCACGACGCAGCGCCGCCGCCATTAAAGAGGCGAATGGCAATCTCAGTACCGAAAAGCTTACTGCCAGGCGCACACGAACGGTACCTGCGAAGGAGAAGGTGGGCAGAAAGGGTAAAGCTCCATTGCTGGCTGCAGCACCCGGTCCTTCCCCTCAGAAAAGTATTCCTGAAGCTATGAGATCCGTAAGCAAGGAACCGACCGTGGACAACGAGCAGCGTGTCGAGGAAATTGAGGGAGCCCAGCTTCTTGCTGGACTTACCAGTAGCCAGCCATACACGGTGCCTGTCGTGCAGCAGACTCCTACGGAAAGCTGGCCTGTTGATCAACCCGTGCCAATGAGCGTTGATCCAACCCAAAAGCAAGTCCAGCCTTTCATTCAAGAACAGCCACCTGCGCCTCAACAGAAGAGTGGCGGGACTACATCGAGCTATTGGTCTGTGCCTGAACAAAATGATTTTTACAACCTCCTACGATATTTCGGAACAAATTGGCCCGCCATCGCTGCGTCCATGAAGACTAAAACTCACATCATGGTAATGGTCCCTTTGCCCAACAAGCGAGCAGAAGTACTGATTGGGTTTCTAGATCAAGAACTTCTACAATCGAAAGATTCAGGAAGGTGATTTTGGCAAGCAGTTGGAGGAAGATGGTGCACGTGCGGACAAAATGAGAGCAGAAGGTGCAGACATGGGACCTCTGCCAGCTCCAACGCCAATTGGAGAGAAACGACGCTATGTCTACAGCATGACGAAGGAATCCCAACGGCCGTTGGCCCCGAGTGTCGAAGGCATGGAAGGCGAGGCTGGATCTCCAAAGTTACAGCAAACCAAATCACAGCCTCGATTCAAGCAAGAGCCTCCAAAGTTCACTACTTTGGCCTCTGCCGAGCAAGGAGCGGCGGCAGTGTCTTCGCAGATGCAAGCACAAGGTCGCGATAGTCTGTTGAACCGTATCACGATCCCGCTCAAAGAAAAGGCAGTGATAGGTCCCCACTTAGGCACATTCCCACCGGATGAGCGACCTCGAGCATTGTTCTCATCGAGGGAAACGGTCAAAGAGAAAGAACAGCGGGAGATGCAGGCACGGCAACAGTTGCACGCTCAGGAACGAGAGGCTGAGAGGGTGAAAGATCAACAAAGGATGAGGGAGGTTGAAATGCACATGCGTCAGCAACATATCCCGCCGCAGCGCGAAGAGCAACAGAGTGCTCAGTATAACACACATGCCCCACATCTGGTCTCGGACTCTTTGCGTACGTCGCTGTTGGGACAACAAGCTTCCAGTCTGCAGGCTGGCACAATTGACTTCAAAATGGATGAGAAGGCTCGGAACTACCTCGAGGCGCAGAAGCAAGTGGCTGCTCAACAACAAGCTCAGCAACAGGCTCAGCAACAAGCTCAGCAACAGGCTCAGCAACAGGCTCAGCAACTACTCCAGCAGCAGCAGCAGCAGCAGCAACAGGCCCAACAAATCCAACAGCAACAGCAACAGGCTATGCAACAGCAGGCCACCCAACAGCAGCGTCAGGAGCAACCGCAACAGGCCATGCAACAGCAGGCCACCCAACAGCAGCGCCAGGAGCAACCGCAGCCGCAACCGCAACAACAGCTGCAACCGCAACAGCAGCAAGCCATGCAACAGGCCTCTCAACAGCATCTGCAGCAGCGACAGCCGCGTATTGATACAGCACCTGCTATGCGCCGTTTAGGTCCTGCTGCTTATGGGAATGTTCCCAGCCAATTCACCCCTCGTCAATCTCCAGCAAGTGCGAATCTGGCAATAGCACCCATCTCTCCTCTCTCCGAGACAATGCGGCCAAGCTCTGTACCTGTGCATGCGTCAGCTCAACCCCTGCCTCCCCGTGATCCACCGAAGAAGTCAAGTATCCTAGATCTTTTAAACAACGAGCCTGCCGAGCCACCTCGGAAAAGGCTGAGCGATCAACGGCCAGCTGTTCCTACACCGCCACCTCCGCAACCTTCGACCTCGACTCAGCAGTATCAGCCAGCAAGTCAGACAATGCAATCGCAGGTACAGAGACGAGATACAACCGCAGAATCCCTTCAGCTTCTCCAGCAGCAGCAGCAGCAGCAACAGCAACAGCAACAGCAACAGCAACAGCAACAGCAACGAGCTTCCTACCAGGCCAGCCAGCAGCAGCAGACGTCTCAACCGCGTGAACCTATACGAAACTGGCCCCCTGCGCTTCAACCAAACCAAATGCAACGTCCGTGGCTCGACTCACAACCCCAATCAACGGTGTCGCCTCAAGCGCAATCTAGCTTTCTACCACCGTCTTCGCGGCCACCTTTTCAAGCCTTGCAAAGAAACCATGGACCCAGTCCACCGCCGCATATCTCGCACTCGCGCAACTCATCGTTCCAGACCATGCAGTCTCACACTCATCACCAGCAACAGCAACAACAACCTCCACCACCATCAATACCTTCGACACCTGCCGAACCCAACATTCGCCCCTCGCCTTATGCGTCATTGACTCCGCACCCGCAGCAACACCAACAGCAGCAACATCAGCAGGCGCAACAGCACGCACAGCAGCATGCACAGCAACAACAAGCGCACCAGCAACAGCAACAGCAACAGCACCAGCAACAACTTCAACTTCAACAACAACTGCAACTGGAGCAACAACACCAACAACGCCAACGCCATCACCAGCATCAGCATCAGCATCATCAGCACCAGCACCAGCAGCACGGCGAGCAACACCAACTGGAGCAGCAACGCCGCCAGCGCGATGCACAGATGGCGGAAGATTTTGAAATGCGAAGCCATCTGGCCCACCGGGAACAACAAGAAGCGTTGAGGAGACAGGAGGAGGCGAGGAGGGGGTTGCAAGGACAAGACAGGCAGGCTTTGGAGAGGTACCAGGAGACTCTGGTGAGGGGGGAGCAAGGGATGCAGAGTATGAGGCGAGAAGGGGAGGGCGAGCGGAGGACCTATGGGTATGAGCCTCGGAGATGAGGGTACATTTGAGGGGGTGGTGGTGGTTGGTGGAATGTATTATGATTGATGACCAAAGATGCGAGCACCGTTGGCTCGATTCTCCGTTGATGACACAGGGGTGTGTGTGTGTCTGTGGAAGCGAGGAGGTTGATACCCCGTGCTTGTTTATTGCGTGTTGTACGATATGCAGTGTATATACCATGTGAGAGCAGCGAGGCATTTCCAAATTGAACATATCGCATCCGATACCGTTCGTTCGTCCGTTCGTTGCCACGGTCTAATTCCTCCTCCCGACTAAAATCAAAACTTCCCCTCAACGGATAGACCGTATACGTATAATGGCAGATCGAAAGGAGGATCTCACCCCTCATCAGTGAATCCATCTCGCTTTCACTATTGAGCGTGAGTGACGCCTTCGACAGCGAGAACCTTTTGCACTGTTTTTCCATCACTATCACTATCACTATCACTATCACTATCACAGGTATGTATATTAGCCCCCGTGCAATGCATCATCAGCGACGAGATTTGAAAAGCGAACTCAACCCTTGCCTGTGTACGACCGATAACGCCTTTTTTCCAACAACCGAAGCGTGTCGGGACGCCCATCTGGAGGGGGAACCGCTGGAGGAGAAAGCCCCCCCCCCTTTGACGGACGACGGATGGAGCGCTCTCGGACCGCGTTGAGACTGAGTTGTAGGATATGGCATCGAGGCTGGTTCTCACAGGGGTGGGAAAGACGGTCCGGGGATATGGTTGGAAATTCCGTCGAGGATTTATCTATCTATCTATCTATCTATCTAATCGATTCCTGCAGTTTCACACCACCCGTCGCCGCGGCCGAAGCTTCCTTGCGCCGGCGCCGGCGCCGCTTGCGGTGCGTAAGCCACCGCAGCTCTCGACTATTGGGGAAATTGTTGACGTGGGCCAAATGAGCTATTCATCCCTTCCTGCGTACACGATGTGGCCAGTGCGGCTAGCTAGATGGGTGTGGGAATGTGGTTGAAAGTGATCCGAAAGGTCGTGCAAACACAGTGATGTTTTTTTCACGACACTGCTCGGGTTGGGGAAGCGAACGGAGCACGATTTTCAGATGATCATGTCAGGAGGATATGGACGCCGGTTGGCAAATGCCTATCATATTCCGACAGAGGATTTTTAGAACTTTCCGATCCAGCATACTCTATTTGTGAAAGATGTCCAGTGCAAATAATCCATGGTTACTAAAATCACTGTTCGAGGGGTGAATAAGCATTGAAGCAGCCGCTGGATATGTGGCAATTAGTTGCATCGCTCGTTTGCTAGGGTAGCTGACACGCCAGATCCCTGACGACTGACCGACCGACGTGGCGCGGAACGAGGTATAGAATACGTGCGTGGCATGGTTCGCAGATTCTGTATCCTGGTTACTTGACGGAAGGATTTTGGGGAAATACATACTCCATACAATATAAAGCAGGCGATCAAAGATAACCCGCGTCGCCATCCTCGCCTCAGTCCCTAATCTATGACGTGCCAAGGTGCTAAGCCCCTTCGGGTTAGCAAGCTGACTTCGCAGCCTTCGCGGCCACGCGGGTGACAGAAATACCTGCACACCTTGAAATTAGAAATTTGATGATGATTTCACAACGAAGAGCCCTAGCAGAAAGGTTTTGCGTTGTGATTTTAGGATATCGATAACACTGATATATTGTTCCGCAAAGTCTAATTCATAAGGAGGGTATTCGTTGAGTTATTCCAGCTGACAAGGTGAAGGGATTTCTCGGTGTATGCAGGTATTTCTGTCACCCGCGTGTGGAGGCTGCCTGGAGGTTCCGTAGTAAGCAAAGGGGCTAACCCGAAGGGGCTTAGCCAGCGAAGAATGAGCTTATCTTAGCACTCTGAGGGACTGAGAGCAGATCTAGTGCACCGCTGACTCAGCTGACTGCACAAAGTAATTGTTTATCTTGGGAGATCTCCCTCCTTCTTTCGGCTTTCTTCGAGTATATATTTCCTTTATGCTCGAGCAGCTAATTTCATGATCCAGAACCAACTCAGAGATTGAACCTCCTTCCGCAAGATTGGCTTGTCGACTACGACTTTCTGGCGACTACCCCATCAAATTCGAACAAATCAAGGTCCAGTGAAGCGGGGACTTGATCAAAGAGCCAGTCTTCCACTTTCACAGAACACTATTGGGACCTGTTGCAATTCCATAAGATGAAACCTCAATACTCGCTGCCGCAGCATTCCGAATCGCTCAATCGCATCTTTTTTTGATTTATTCGAGTCCTGCGCCATGTCGAACTCCGAAAGTCCAGCCAACGTCTGGTACGAAGCCAACTGCCACTGTGGAGCCATCAAGTACAAAGTCAACGTACCATCGCTGGAAACGCAGAAAGTTACCAACTGCAACTGTTCGATCTGCTGCAAAAACGGTTATCTCAACGTCTATCCCAAGCGTACCGACGTGGTGTTCCACAAGGGCGAAGATCATATGAAAGGGTATCTCTTCGGAGAGGAGAGATGCATGCATAAATTCTGTCCGACATGCGGATCGTCTCTGTTTGTGGATCCTCACATGGATGATCCCGAATTGATAGTGGTAAATGTATGTGTCGGTTTCGTGATGGTGCTGTTACGGAATCCGCTGATTTGGCCAAGGTACGGATGTTCAAAGATATTGACGTGGATAAGTTGGAGCTGTGGAAGTACGATGGGTTCAATAGATTACAGCCTCGATATGACGTATGATTGGTTAGCTATAACGCGAGGCTATTTTTCGCCAGTGCCTCGGGAGCTTCGATGGCAGTTGGTGGTCGGATGTCTGAGCACTCAATCGCTTGATAGAGACGTAAGCAAAGCAACTGACAGATTCTGTTCTTGAACGAGCCAGGGCCATGGATATATTCATCGTACAATCGAAGCGCAAAGACGCAACTTCCCAACGTAGTAATAGCAACGTCGAGGTCATCTAGCTGGGGCCTTGACGGATACTTTTTGTACAAGGCCCCAGCGCATGCAAGGCTCATATGTTCGTAGCCAAGCCGGTGTATTCCTTGATGGTATTGAAGCAGCAACTCTGCTTGTAGTTTAGCGGTGGTGAGACGGGGTAATTTCCAGCATAAGTGGACAGCGGAACAACGTTCTTAAATGGCATATACCCAGCATCCTTCTTTGAAACCATGGCACGTGACCAGGATCGTCGCCACAATGCAGTGACATCGCGTCTATTACCCGCGGGTGAGGTTCTTCTTGACCACCATGCATATGCCGTCAGGTACGGCGTATGATTAACATCTGGGCGAGATTCGTGACAAGGCGGATCAATTCAGCAGATTTCGCAGGTCTGCCAAGCTCTCTTCCTGTTGCAAAGCCTTTTCTTGTCCTGCTGTACCTCGGTGTTGCTTCCTCTGTCAGAGCGAGGATGCTGCCTTCCGCTGTAGTGGTGAGAGGTGTAACGGTCAAAGCGGACGGTTCCGCAAATCGGAACACTCGATGCACCTTCTTTCATGTATGGTAACTTCAACGTGCCCTCTCACCTTTGGTTGGCAGAGTCGTCCAACAAGCAAATGCAGAGTTGGTTTTGCTTTGGAGAATTATATGGACAGATGTTTAGATTAGTTCCTTCGATACTGCTGTCACGCGCAATGCACCCGTGCAGAGTGTTCTGTTGCGGTTATTGCTGCACTGCTGCCGCAAGCGTCCGTCGTCTCTGGAATGTTTGAATTTCCTTTATTCAAAACAATGTTGCCTGCTGCTCTTCGGAATAAACTGTTCCGAACAGCATGCGTATCTTGATATCAGTAAAGCGTGATAGCTCCTCCATGCAGAGTGCTCGGTGTGGAGAAATGTGGAGCTGGATAGGCTCAAGGGCCATGTCTTCGGGCAGGCTCCAGGTTGTGTCGGCCCTTTCTTAATTTCCATATTTGCATATTTCACTATTCCCATATTTCTTTAATACCGTTATGCTGGTAATTAAAGTAAATGCAAATGAGCTTGTCCGGAAACGACGGACATATGCTCTAGGCCAATTCTATCATTGTCTTTTGTTTGACCGCCATGACTCATGGATCATATGATCACAAAAGTCTCTGCCGACTTTTAGTGGGGGCTGCGGGAGAAAGTCGGCAGAGACTTTTGTGAAAAAGCTGCCGGCGGGTTTTTAGGGGTCGCTTATGAAAAGGGAGAAGACATGTTCAGCTTTTTTCAAAGTGGGGTTCGAATTGCCTATCACCGCCTATCATAGCCTATCATTGCCTTTCATTCGCCAATCCAGCAGGGATAAAGAGACTGACTTTCCACTAGATTCATTAGTTCTTGCGCTAGACGCATAACGTAGGGCTTAGTGGCAAGAATCTCAAAAAACAAGAAGTCAATGTACTACGTATCGGCCTTTTGCCTTTCTCCCGCCAGGAGAGATTGTGAGAAAGAAGAGACGCGTCCGAATTCCTCCTGTACTTATCCGGAATGTGATTACCTACCAGTACCGTAGGTATCCAATTTATGATATATCAATTCCGCGTGAGAGGTGACCATGCAGTTATTAAGCGAATGGAGGAGGGCATCAAGTCGGAAGCGCGCTGCGGAGGAAAGCAGTGAAGAGAGCTCGAGAAAGCGCACGAGGGATGATAATGGAAGGCGTGGCTCAACTGGAACCGGATCTCGAACTGGAATTGGGACTGGGAATATACTCGACCAAGAGTACAAAATTCGTGGAAATTCCACCGCTACGAAAGATGGGTTTCATCATCCATCATCGCCATTGAAAAAAGAATCCGCTTCGTCTCCCGTGGCTACGGGACCACCGCCGTCACCGCCAATACATCCGGACCGGCGAGCCAACTTCTTCAATGCTGCTCCTACTCCTGCTCTTGCTCCTGCGCCTGCTTCCGCTTCTGCTCCCGCTCCTCTCGGAAACAAGGCCGACTTTCCTCCGACTCCGTTGTCACGAAGCCCAGAGCACATCAACAACACTGAAACTGAGGAGCAAAGAAGTAAGACACTACTTTCATTTGGAGAGCTCAGTATTTGAAAGGGCGTCCAATTACTTGGATATCGGACATGCACCTTCCCTTCCCATGTCTCATTTGCTTTACCAAGTTTAACACTCACACAGCTACATTTCTTCCTTCACCGTCACACCCAAACCTCCGCATAGACACCATTCGCACTTTGAGCAGCTTCGATCCACGAAGTCCGGATTACAGTCCCGCCATGACTTCACATTCCAGTAAGTGACCTCATCTCCAGGAAGGACCTCAGTATTCGGCCATCACTTCACCGCCCACCGTGATCCATTCCCACTGACCCTACCTCGAAGATGAAAAGTCTCGTGACACGCCAAGCCATGATCCACGGAAACCATCAAACGATAGCTACCCTTATAATGCCAACCCGCCACCACGCCGAAAATCCGACATCATGCCTCCCCCCACCAATGCCACCAAGACTACTCGGTCGGAGACCTCCACTCCAAAACTTACCTCTTCGCCTACTAACAGTGACCTTGAACGCCGGCCATTCTTGACTACCCAGCCCCAAATACCTCTACTCGACAGCCTCAATGGCTTTGCTCAAAATATCATGTCAGCTGCTAGCTTGACCGTGAGACGCGACCTTATCAAGCAGCAGGCTGTCGGACAGCAAAAGGAGCGTGACCGACAGTCCAAATTCAAATCTACTTTTCTTACACTAATTGAAGATGCCGAAGCAAGAGTCGAAGGTGTCGAGAAAGTTGCCGTGGGGATCGAAAAGCAGATAGATCTGAGCTCGGAGGCCCAAACCAAAATTGTCATTGCCTTAGCCTCCCAGCTACAAGAAGCTGAAATCTCCGACGCTCCGTCCAGCGCCCGTGATCAAGGCCTTCTCAAGGATGCTATTGCTGATATGAAAGCGGACCTCAAGGCTGCTAAAAAGGAGATGGAGAACACCAGTGATCGCAGCCGCTTCAAGGAACATCTTGCTGATATAAAGGCCGATCTCAAGGCTGCTGGAAAGGATATAGACTACCTGAACCGCGAAGCTGTAATGCCCGACAAATTGCATAAGAAGCTCCGTGGTCTGGCGACCAAAGATGAGCTTCAGGGACTGGTTACTAAAGATGAGCTTCGTCGTATCACTACAGATGAGGTTCGCAAGCATGTTACCGAGGCACTGGTACCAACGGAGAAGAAACTCGCTTCGCTGATCGTAGAGAACGCAAATCTAAATCAGAAAACAAAAGGCGTTGAAGTTGCCATACACAAGCATCACGAGACAGCGGAAGAAAGGGATCAGCAACAATCTTCTCGGTTCGGCCGTTTAGATACCTCTTTGAACGACATGCAAATGGAGCTAAGCCGCTTAGAGCTGATACTCCAAGAACAAAAACAAGATTATGCTACTGTCAAGGTCGATCTAGGAGCCCAAGACAAAGCGCTGACCGACCTCGACACTTACGTGAGGCGCGATCCGAGCGATGACGATCCCAGCTTGGAAACACTAGTCCTGAGAAATTCAGATCAGATTCAGCTGTTACAACAAGACTGCGAGAAGCTCGATAATGCGGTACGGCAAACTCAGGACCTCCAAGCTGCTTCAATAATCGAATCCTCGCCTCAGGTCTCTAATGCATCTGCCAAGGTCGATACGAGCATTGAAGAAGAGGTGAAGTTGATTCGGCATGGCCTGGATGCTCTGGAAGCCGACCGAGAGAAGGTCGCACTGATTCGGACCGACTTGGATTCTTTAATCAATGAAGAAAAGCTCAAGGATGTGGGCGTAGCTGAAGGGTTCGAAGTGATGGAAATGAGTCTGAACAAACAACGTGAAGACTTAGCCCGTCTTCAAAACGAGTTCAGAGTAGTCAAGCAATCGCAGGCTTCTCAAACGGTTCCGAACCATCCTCCAACACCACCATTCGCTAGTGCTTCCACGAGTCCTCGTGAACCAGATCACCAGAAGCTGCAAGACGTGGAGATCTGGCTCACAAAGCTGACGAAAACCACCCAAGGTCTCGAGTTGTTCGTCAATTCTCAACAACAGAAGTTTGATGGACTAAACTCAGACCGCGTCGTACAGAGCATGGTCCATCAAATGCAGCAGATGTACCCGCATCACCCAGGCAATCTTCTTGCTCTACTCAATCAGACTGTAGCGAGGCAAACTAGGGTGGACAGCTATCTCAGTGGAAATCTCAAAGATCGTCTAGCCAACATTGAATCCCAAATGGCTGACCGAGTGGACACAGACTCTAAAATCGAAGAGATCAGCCAGTTCACGACCGAGAGCCGAAAAATCCTCTTAGCCACCATCCACAGTCTAAAACAGGACATCGGGGGACTGAAAGAAGTAGCAATCAACAACCGTCCGCAAGAGACTTCTGACCATGGCAACCGAATCGATGAACTGGCAGATAGAGTGACGGCCGTCGAAGCGAAATATGTCAAAGCAATCGGCGATTTTCAGGCAAATCAAACGGATCTGATCCGTAATGTCACTCACCTACAGTTTCGAAATGCGACCGGCTCTGCCAGAAATACGCCCGGAGAGCTTACTGTTGTGTCGAGAAGCTCGAAGAGCGTTGAGCCTAATAGAAATACCCTCTCCTTTGAGAATGTTGACGATTCCAACAGCTCCGACACATCTTCCAGTCAGCGTTCGAGTCGTGGAGTACGACGAGACAAAGAAGAGCGCCGTCCTTCTGACCCCAACCTCAAGAGGAAAGCGGTCGATTCAGATGACGAAGATGAGGGCGAGGATGCTAGGCCTACGAATGCAAAGAAGGTTCCCAAGAGAAGAAATGTGTCAGGCAAAAATCCTTTTTCGTAACGACATGCAGATCCCGCGATTTGTCGCTGGGTATAGGGGAATGCAAGTTGCTTCGTTCTTGATCTGGAAGGCTTCTTAGTGCGACAGGAACATGTACATACCGTTCCTGGGCTTGAATCCCAGCTCAGATAATGGACACGATGGGACACACGTGATGGCTGAGAAGATCAGCTTTGATCTTTTTGAAGAAGTTCTATCTAAGAGACTCCCTTCTATATCCATACCCATGTATAAAGTAGCGAATCCTTATTGTAAAGGCTTGGCCACTCGAAGCACTATCGATTTAATCGTATAATCAGATATTCTTGAACTTGCCGACTTGTAGTAGAGCTCCTGTTGGGGCATATACGTACCCCTAAAAGCTTGCCATAAAGTAGTCGCGTAGAAGATCTGTAGTAAAGACCTTTTTCGCAATTGCCAAACGGCGAGTCAAAGTCGGTGATGGCGGCTCCGGATTCTCTTGGCACGCTCAGCAAGTGAAGAGTACTTGCTCCTTGCTCTCTAAATCGACCTCGACCGCCTCTACTGTATCATCACCAGAACTTCAATTGATGTTCCTTAATACCCCAGTGAGCAAGCTGTCAGATGGTAGTGGGCGGTGGAGCTGGCCGGGTTCAGAGTATAAAGTTTTACAACAGTGTTTGCACCTCTGCACCTTCTCTTGAGCCATTGAGACACCCTCTCATTCCCTTTGACTACACTCGACCTACCCTCATTGCATTGCATCTGGGCCTGACAATCTTATAACACTCTTCTCGGCTCTAGACACTTTGTTCAGTAATAACTGAGGCAATATGGCTAGAACTAGGGATGTGGGCGAGCTGGAGGCTAGCGATGACTCCATTTCACTTACGTCCACTGTATCTAGCGCCAAGACCGAACGCTATGAAGTGGACTGCCTCGTCGCTGAAAGGAAGTCGAATGGAGTTATGAAGTACTTGACAGCGTGGAAAGACTACCCCGAACATTGTCACACCTGGGAGCCCAGGGAGTGTTTTTTCGAGGATGATGTGTTTAGTGAATGGACCAGGACCAAGATGCGCGTGACTCAAGGTCTTGAGAGACCTTTTGATGTCAAGGCTTGGGAAAAGAGGTGCAAGGCGATCAAAAAGGAAACTCGCCTTCGGAGGGAGCGACGCCGAGACAAGAAACTTCGGCTCAGTAACCAAGATGGGTTGGCTTCGGGGCCGGGAGAACAGGACGCCAATATCGAAAGCTCGGGTTCAGAACCTGCTCCGAGACAGCCTGACAAACGCATCAAGAGGAGAAGCGTGCATCAAGACTCATCGCCGTCGTCATCAATCTCTGATCCTTCGTCCAGCTCCATTTCCGAGGACAGTGACAGACCTCTATTATCTCGACAAGAGTCAGAGGTCTTCGCCCCGAGTTCTAAGTGGACACAAGCCGAAACGATTGCTTTGGAAGAGGGTCTTCGGACTTTGAAAGGCCCTCGCTGGAGGGAAATCCTAGGCCTGTACGGGCATAACGGTACAATAAGCCAAGTACTGAAAGACAAAACGCCCATTGATTTGTACGACAAAGCAAAAAGCGTACGCCAAGAATTCGTTGACAGCGGCAGAGAGCCCCCCGAATATTTGAAGCCTTTCTCGACATCAGCTTCCAGTAAAGGATCAGGGACCGCAACGCCAAATGTCTATTCTGAAAGCAGGGGTCAAAGCAGAGCAGCGTCAAAAAGGAGCAGTAGAAGTACGTCCGCGGATTCAATGATGGCAGAATTGGATGAGAAGCAACGGATCCGGGAAGCAAAGAATCGAGAGAATAGTCGACCACAGCAGACTACCAATTCGACAGAAATCCTAAAATCTGCAAAAGGACGCGAGAAAGAGTCAGACACTGCAAAGAAAATGTCGGGCAGGAAACCCAAAGCTTCCCAGGCTTCTCAAGCACTCGCTCGGAAAGCGGAAGTAGCTTTTACAAGGGAAACCCTCGAAAAAACTCCGAAAGCTGCGCAAACCAAACCTCACCCCAACAAAACAGGTCCTCATACAAAAGGGGCAACCGTAGGCAAAGAAAGTAGCACGGATGTATCGCATCCGGGAAGACAGTCGAAAGACGGACATCGTGTAAAAGAGCCGTCCAACCTCAGTGCTATCCATCAAGCACAAAGTCAGCCAAAGAGCCTAGCTCCTACTGCAAAGGAAATTGCGAAACCTGCAACAGATGTTGCTACTCAGCCAGAGTCTTCCCGCGCAAAAGTACCCGAAAATACCAAAATCATGCGCGAAGAGACAGCCCGGACTACTTGGTCCGGAACAGCAAGAACGCCAACGGCGCGCCCATCGGTATCAAAATCATCTCGACTAGGAGCCGTAGGAAGTGGACCAACTCGTCTTAGTTCTTTGAAACTAAAGCCCAAGCTTGGACAAATTGAACCGAAGAAGCCGAGCTTGACGGGCGATGTTACTGCTGCATGGAATGCGGAGCCGAAGAAGCGAAACTCGAATAATTGGGCAACAGCGAATGTAGATTCAGTGAATGGCCAGGCTCCAAAACGCAGTTACAAGTTGTCAGTCCAGAATAGAATCTACAAGAGTCGTCGTGATGGACGCGTACCAGATCCGAATCGTTTGGTCTTCATAGATCCCAAGACCGGGAAGGCACCCACAGCAGTCCCTGCTCCTTCGGCTACCGCGATGCTATCTAAAACGCCTCTGCAGCTACACCAGGAAGAACTTGCTACGAGAGAAGCTGAACAACGTCAGGCTCAAGAGGTGGAAGACGCCACGCTCATTAGTACAAACGAACCTGATCCACCACCACAAAGCACAGACCAAAACCATGAACTGAAGGCTGACAGGCGAGGAGTACCTGAAACAGGTAGATCAATATCGAATGCTTCTACACTGGCGATCAGACCTACAGCTGGTGACATGACCGACCGCCCGGCATATATCAACAGCCTCAGCCGTCCTTCGCCAGCTTCCCCACATCATGCTTTCCCCATAAATGTACCTCTTGGACCTAAAAAAGAGACAGAAAGAATGCCTACAATGTCTTTACACGACTACACGAAACGCTCAATGTCATCCAGTCATCTTTTGAACGAAGCCGTTATCAGCTCGCATCGACCGTACTCATCAGATGACCCTTCGAGGTTTACCCTGAGGAGTTATCCTTCGTGGGAACACAAGAACGAACTCCTTAACAGGATAGACACCAACTTGGTAATAGGGCATATCATCCTTGGGAAGGATGATCAGGAAAGCATCAGTGTGAAACTTGTAGGCTTTGGATTTGAAGTGAAGAAACTTCTCTTGACCGTTAAGTCCTGGCCTCGAACAGTGCATTTCGTGTTCGAAACGGTTTGTCTGGCGAGCGAATACCAAAAATACTTTCCAGCAGTAAGTTCTTGGTGCCGATGCAAGAGTGTTTGCTAACGTTAGATAGGAACCTCCCGATTACTTGGGGTCAGGCTCTATCATTTCATATAACCAAAGCGCATTGGCTGTGGAGGACATAACAGAAATCCTTGCGAACAATCTGCAAGGAGGTCTGTTCTTCGCTCATCAGTACACCATGCTCATCTACCCTGCCGGCGCCAGCGTCTGGGCATTTCTGGATAAAAATCTACCAAATGTCCATCTGGGGACATCTTTGAGATTCGTCATCCGCAGACCACTGTCACCAACACTAGCAGACGTCCACGGGCTAGCAACTGATCAGCTTTCAAAGAAAAACCCCGAACGGTACGCGGAAATTGTGACTAAACTAAAAAAGAATCCTATCCAGGCCGAAGACAAAAATATCAACATTGTGTTCCGCGACATGTTCGAAATTGATTACGCTCGTCTCGTTGCTCAGAACGGGCCTCAACAGCACCCCCCAACCAACATATTCTTCCTCTGCTTCATTCCTCAAGGCTGTGAGAATTACGAACCAGATTCAACAAAGCGTTCAGCTCTGCGCATGAGGACGTCTGAAGAGCATGATCTGTTCATCAAGTTCCTCCAAGCAAACGGCGCCGAAGAAATTTATAGTATGCAGAGCACTGGCTCTCAAGAGATTGATAATAACGGTGCTTGGGATTATTTCTTCAAGAACGTCAAGTCTGGGACGATCATTGTAAGCACTTCTTCGACTTTGAGATATAACAAAGTGCATCGCTGATATGGCTAGTTCCATGATGCGTATATTCGTTTTGATTTAGTCCCTCGCCTTGCTAAGCATCTTTTGCATGGTTCGGTCAGTGTTTGGAAGACATCTCTGTCTCCCATGCACCCTGGGGAAAAACACCCCCATTTAATTCGCCTCTTCCCTCACGGGGGCGTCCTGCTCTTAACCGAATCTCTGGTTCTATACCGGCCGCGTGAGACTCTCAGAATTCTGATGTGGTTCCGTCGTGTTCACATCCCGGGGAAGGCACCTGGCACCTGGAAGCTTGCCGTACGGCCACATGTTCGTGAATGGCTTCTTGGTATCATGGATGCATATTCGGATTCAGGAAAAGACATTTTCGGATGCAGCATACAGATCTTCGCGGATATCTACACAGAAATCTTTTGGCTTCTCCAAAGCCCTGATCCAGGCGATAACGGCCTCATGTGCTACGAATGGGACTACGAAACTCCCACTGACGAAGCTCTCATCGTCAGCTCCTCCAGTCTACGTGTCTTACAAGCTCGCAAAGAGTGGAAAGGCGAAGGAGCGGACAGAGAACCGGACGACAACAACATCAAACAAAACGACGATCTCCTTGTTCAATGGTTCGCCGAATGGGCCATGGTCAACCTTCACAACTTCCGCAAATACAACGTCATCCTGGGCTACACGAACGATGATCCTTTTACCAAGAGAGCTATTTCGGATTACGAGAAGGCCTGGGGTCACATTGAAGTCATGACACCTGAAGACGCCTTCACGCGTCACAGGGTCACCGCTCAAAGCAAGCTCGACGGAATGGAAGCTGACAGACGCAGGAAGTCGAAAGAAGAACTGCCGGCTAAGAGAGCTGCGGCCGAAAAGGTCCGCGAGGAGGAACGAGAAGCTGCGAAGGTGGCCTTGGAAGCCAGAATGCAAGCGTTCAGAGACGTAGGTGCTACGGAAGAGGAAGTGATGAGCGCTGGACGTCAGCTCCTGAGAGGTTTGGGCGGCAGTGAGAAGGAGGTTGAGGAATGTAAAGTGGACACGGACAGGGTGTTTGTGGATAGATGGTGGGAGGAGTCGGTGGAGGACGGCGAGGTGGATCTGGATGCAATGGACACAAGTGAGGCCGCATGAGGTCGTTGATGTTACCACAGGTACAGGACCGGTCCCCCCCCCCAAAGGCTCAGGACTGGGAACGCGCGACAACAAGTCGTGAAGCTTCAGCGGCCGGGAATGATATGGCCCAAAGCATGGATATGAGCGGCTGATTGGAGATTTTGGGAACCGAAGATAATTTCATGTCAAAAGGTGAAATGTGATGGTGATTGGATCACGCTTCGAACGAGGAGTCGGTGCCATATGCAGAGCGAGCAAACTACAGTCAATGGCAGATATCTGAATGAAAGCATAAAGTCTGGACTTGGCCTCTTAAAAAGGCCTACAGACTTGCCAGATACATTTTGAACGACACCAAGCCAAACAACAGGCTACGCATCCTTCTCACATTGGTGCGTCCTACAAGTAAGTATATATGCCATCCCTCCCGCCATGCGCCGACAATCCCAACTCAGGTATAGCTAGGTAAATGTGCGGAAAGCACCCACCCTCTCCCAACAGCCATGGCGTAAAGGAACAGCGTCTGATGATCGCGAGTAGAATCGTGAACGAGTCGCTATTCGCAGCCGGAGGGAAGACGCATCGATGCTTCTCTTACGATTTATTTGCCTCGGTCGGATCTTGACGGTCCTTTACCCGACGGCGTTGATGATGATAGCTGAATGCGTGTTGTTCTGCTTTCAGCATCTTCATCTACGAAGGATGGAGATCGAGAAGCTGCGGTGTTGCCGTTTGGAGCATTCTGTTGGGTTGGGAAGACCCTGAGTTGGACGACTTTTAACCGATGGCGTAGAGGCGCGCCGCGGTGGCTGCTGGTAGGTCTCCAAAGTCACAGAGGATGCAGGGGAAGTGGAACCATATCTTATACTAGCCAGTGTTCGCACACAGCTCAGGGACCTTACTAGCACCAACCCCAACAAGTCCATCAAAGTATTCCAATAACGTATCAACCGGCAGCATATCCACAAGCCCAAGCACCGGATTCGAGCTTCGGAACAACTCCCCACCCCATAGAATCCTCACGAACCTCTCCCCACTCTTGTTATAGATCTCAAACACCACCTCCGCGCCCAAGCCAGGCCATATCATTACATCGACTTGCAGTATTGACAGCAACATCGCCAAGCTACCATCATGGGCGACGTTGTGTTTGTATATGATAGGGCTGACGCCGCTGATGCTGTCGCGGATGTTTTGAGCTAATTCTGCAACATAGACACCGTAGCTGGCGGTACTGGCGGGAAGGCTTTGAGAGGAGGAGCGGTAGATATATGAGTATTCGTAGAGGCCGAGGCGGAAGACGGCGTTCGCAGTGGAGGCGGTGACGCAAAATGTTGAATTGCTGATCTGTAGGGTGTCAATAGAAGGACTCAGTGCTTGAATATCTCCGTGCAGACCTTGCATGGTAACGGCTTTCCATGACATAGTCGCGAAGAGAGATTATCAAAGTAATGGTCCCACGACTGGTGGAAACCTGGGTCGTTGGGTGCGACGCCGGAGATATTATCTAGAATATCGAACAGCGGCTGTGAGGCAGTCAAGTGTTCCGTCCAGTTGGGATTCGTACTTCCAACCCCATACGAAGAGTACAAGGCAGCGCCTGCATCGCAGGTATATGTTGGTTCTAGAGAGTCGATGCTCGCCGGCTGAAGCGCCAGTGAAAGTTCCTTTTTGACAGACTCGTACATCGCAGCCACTACCATACCTGCGACTTGAGAGGTAATGACATTGTTGGTGACCCTATATGAAACCTGGTCGCTTGAGTTGACGAGGAGGGAGCCAAATCTGTCTTTGTAAACTTTGAAGAGGTCTTTGCCATGCTGCCAGCTATCATCTAAACCGCCTCTCGTGATCTGTGGGAATTGACAGGTCCCATTGAATCCTTGTGGGGCGAATGGGTTTGAGGGACTCGTATACACTGACCAGTATGTAGGAACCGATTCCTTCCCGCTTGGATTCAATGGTTTGCCATAAGTGAATAGGCCCTCATCATCGCAATCCCAAGCGTAAGATTCTCGAGGAAAGGTATTGGCAGCGTACGGCGTACGTTTGTGATGTCTGTGAATCTAGAGACCTTGAGCAATGATGATTCCCTTGTCGTGAGATGATGAGAGTGGAAACTGACCACTTCGACGTACTCCAGTGAATAACCTACAGGAGGCACGGGATAGGTGTCCGAGTTGACGTGGGGCATATTGCACCAATTGCGTATTCCATCACTAGCATTGCCAGGCGGGTTGTAGACATCGCTGAATATGAATCCGAACACGTCGGTGCCATTGATCACGGCTTCGAGGTCATTGATCTGTGTATTGTCCGGTGAAAACCAAGAGCCGTTGAAGCTTGGGCTGTTGTTCTGCGCACTTCTTGGGAAATGAGTGTGTGGCCCAATGTAGGGAAAGTGGGCCAGGTAGACTAATGCCCAGAGAGCGATGAGAAGCAGAAATCCAGCGGTGTGTGTGTGAGACATGGCTCATGTCTGGTTGGATTCAGGATTCCGTCGAGTGAGCTTCTTCCCGAGAATGATAGCTCGACTGCCACCACTGATTGACGGCCATAACCTCGTCAACTCAAGCTTTGTTCTTGCAAGATCTCGAGAGATTCCATCTACATTCTGCGGGTTCTGTATAGCTGCAAGAAAAGATTGGCTTTGGAGGTGGGAGCGTGGGGGAGGATAGACATTCTTGGCGAAGGTGAGTCGAACCGAATTGTTCGTATATTTTGGTGATTGGCTCGCTTCCATGCCGAAGAAGATTCGAGAAACAACCCGTGAACCACAAGATTCTGTAAGTGAGTCGTTAATGGAATCTTGGGGATTCTGTGTGCAGAAAGCGAAGCATGACCACCATGTCTTCTTCCGAGTTCTTCGTGGTACGTACTTAGTCAGTATTCATAGCCTTGCCCTAATCTTATCGGCCATACGATCTTCCGCTGGCGACAGCGCTAGAGTACACTAGTCTATGAGTGGCAAGCAGCTCGCGATTCTTGATTCTTACACCAGTTGGACAGGGTCTTTGGATATAGGAAAGTCTTCGAAGCCAATTGAATGCTTCCTGTGTGAACTGTGCCATTCCCCTTGAATCCATCTCAACTCTTTACGCGGTGTATAAATAGAATATAAGAACACGTCGCCAGGTATAAGTAGAGGCTGTCTCCCCTTTCGCATTTCTCTATCTCAACTTCTATCTTTCTCTCCTCTATCTCAACACAGTGTATATCATATCATTTCTAGCAGTCTTTGCACGTTGTGTCTCAAGCAACTGAGCTTTCCTCCTAGTCTATATACTCCACCACTTAGTACAGTATGGGTCCCCTTGTCAGACTTGTAGGCTCCGGCATCAGAAACCCTTGCTGCCCGCAAAGAAAATAAGCAAAGATCACGTTCGCCTGGGCCGTCTGCCCCAGCGAGTGGCAGCGCCAACCGAGCACCGCCTGCATATGATTCTCTAGACCCATGCTCTACAGATTATGGGCTGGTCGAGGTTGCCAATGAGCATGAAGCCAGGCAATTGATTGACCAAGGCAAAGCTCTACCCGCTGGCTCACCCCACGAAGTCGACTAAGGCGATCCAGAGGGAGCCGACGATGACGAAGCATATTGGGAGCTTGATGAAGCGACGAACCCAGATCCACCAGCATATGATTACTCGCCCTCGGTGAGAGGCGAAATCGATCATGCGGAGCCCGAAAGTGGAGAAGCTAAGCCTGACGTCCATAAGCTGGTGCAGAAATTCCTCACTTCGCATCCAGCACCTACGCATGGAACGGGACGATTGCCGTGTCCGGTCATTATTCCCCAGCGACGACCGCGTACGAAAAGCCGTGGGTTCGTGAGGGCGTATGTGCCTGTGCTTGCTGATTGCGGTATTGATCAAGATGCTTTCCTCGAGTTTCTCAAGACCTTTTACAAGGCTAGTCAGGTAAAGAAACGCTCTTTCATCTGAATTTTTTTGCTTCTCCAATGTCGAAGCCAACGTCTTCAGGCATCGCCTGACTTCACGGTGATCTTCCTCGCTGGTCATGCAGCAGGCTACGCTCCCAGTGTATCGGCCATGATCGCTTCGATCATCACGCAAGCCACCGCCGGAGCGGCAATAGTAGTTCAATCACGTCACAGGTCTGCTCCCCCTCCCTGCCCCCAACATTATTGTGGGTTATGGTATACTAACCACCGCCCACAGGACAAACAACTTCCTCGACGAAATGAACACCCACTTCTTCCGACCCCGCGGTCTCTACGCAATGCTGGTCACCTACAAGCCATCTCGCCATCTTTGGTCTTCCGCCCCAATGGACATTTCGCACGACGTCTCCAAAGCCCTCGGCACGGACACCCTCGGCTCCAAGCTCAAGAACGACCTCAAGTTCACATCCGGCAAAACCCACACCGAGCCCGAATTGCCCGAAGCCGCTCCCCTAATATTTCCCCACCTCGACGCCGCCGCCGACGAAGAAGAAGCTGGGAAGAAACCAAACGCGTTCAAGAAGAGCGGCAGGTTCATCGGCGAATACATGGATCGTAGAGCCAATGCTACGTACAATGCTGAGAATCCTGAATCAAGCCTCTCGACGGGAGCGCCGGAGTTCAAGTCGAGATATGCGGATCCAAATCATCCCGCGAGTAGTGGGAGTTTGATCAGTCTGGTCACCGGGGGTAAAGTCGATCCGAGGGGGGTGAATAATAAGAACCAAAGCAAGAGAGCGGGGAGGGGAGGGCTAGGGTTGATTCGGGGCTCGGTCAATTATATCAGAAGGGAGAAGCCCGTAAAGAAGATGTTGAGGCAGGTGAGTCGATTGCGATGATTTTGATATCCTAGGAACAGAAATGGAAGGCTGACTGTTTGTCTTACAGAATGTCATGTATCTCATGATTGTGAATATGCCATCAGAGGAGGAGTTGGCGACTGCAAAGCGAGAAATGGAACAGGAGAAGAAGAAAGGGAAGGCGCCTTCTGAACAGGCATAGTGTTGATTTAAGATGACTCGGTATACTTTGAGAAACCTATGACGGCCCGGGCGACCTCTACAAACCTCATACTTTTGGGTGTTATATACTGCACACTCAAGCCCCAAAACCTGAAGCGTGCAATCAAACAGAAATGCGGGTGTGTTGGACTCATCGTGTTGTTGAAATGAGCTACAGGACTAGCGTCGAAAGGGTTTGGTTCCGATGCCTCCATCCGGGCAAGTCAACATCAAATTCTCCCGTCAACGAGCCTTATATCCAAGCTTCCCAGAGACTTCCTCGTCATCGGTCACTCAGGAATCCAATCCTCAAGCCCCTTCATCCTCGCCCTTCTCCCCACCACCCACCCTGACCATCCCCCTCGCCTCCCCGATCAAACTCCTCACCTTCGCCTGCGTCTCCTCGACCCTACTCTTCAGAGCGATCAACGCTCGAAACTTCGCCCCCAAGTCTTCGCCCTCTGCTTCTAAGCCAGCATATGAAGTGTCGACCTGCGCTTTCCAGTTCTCTGCCAGCTGGATCTGGGCGGTTTTCATTTGCTCCAGGAGCTGCTCGCGGGCGAAGAGGGCGGTCTCGCGGTGGTGGAGATTATTTCCTTTGTGCCACAACTCTTCTTCTCTGGCTGCGATGGCAGTGTGCATCCCTAGAAGGACGTGTTCTCCTGCGGAGGTGGAATTGGATATTTGCTCGAGATATGTGGGGGACTTCTCATTCTTCACAACGGCAGCGGGCCTTATGATCGGGCTAGTCCAACGTTCACTCTCTCTTGCTTCAGCAGCGGCTGCCTCGGCTTCGTCTTCCATCGCAGCATTCGCACCATGGTGCAAGTCTTCGAGTGCTTGCTCCTCTTCCAGCCTCACGACTCTGCGCTCGCGACCCGCAACATGTTTATCTCTTGTCTCGACGGCGCGCAACAGCTCCGTCGCCTCTCTCATCTTCTCGTCAGCCACATCCTTGGCTTGTTCGAAAGCCTCAGTCTTTACCAACAACTCCATCTGCTTCGCCTCTGCCGCCGCCATCTTCTCTTCGGCTGCTCTCAGGGTCTCAGCTGCGAGGCATTTATCTTTTTCGGTTGCATCCAGATCGGCTTTCCGCCTCACTAAAAGAGAGGTCAAGCAATCTGGAAACCGCGATAGACCTCGACTTACACCCTCTAGGTTATTGTGTAGAATACTCTGGTGGTCCTGTGATGACTGAGATGGCAGATCCTCGATAACGTTCTTCAGGCTGAGAACGGCATTCAATACCTCTTTGGCTGCTTTGTTCACGGCTTGGATCTCGGTGTGGCCAGTTGTCATAGGATAGTCGCTCACTCCTGGATCCGAAACCTTACTACTGGTTTGCTCATGGATGTTCTGCTCCTTCACATCTGCTTCAGCTGCGATCACGTCTGTTTCCATGTTCACAGCGTCCACACCTTGGGACCGTGTCTGCTCGCGACTCTCTGGTTTCGCCTCTGGCTGCAAAAGGAGCGAACAAAGAGTCCGTCTAAGGAACTCTATCTCAGCCTTGAGATCATGGGTTTTGTAGTCGTCTCGCAACGTCTTCCGGTTGTACGCGAGCTCGTATCTGCTCAGGCGGCCTTGAAGTCCTGCTATATAATTCGAGAGGACGATCCTGACAGCCGGATGATCATGCTCAAGTTCTGCCTGCACGAAGCGTCTATGAAGTCTTGATAACGCTGTGCTTTGCACTTGGTCAGAAATCTGCCGGTAGTAGCTGATTGGAGTGCCACGTTCTGTCACGCAACGAATGCAAGGCACAACAAACGCATCCTGCTGTGCTTCGGCTTCTGCCCTTAAAGACATAGCCTTAGAGTACACATGCAAGTTCAACATATCAGGTATCACAGCGCCAAGGTTCATTTGGGCGAGCACGCTGGGCTGCTCCTTTGAAACAGAGGTTATTGCTTTATGAATGGAACCTTCGACGTTACCGTTAACACTTTGCGTGTTCTCTTTAGCGCCGAGAGGCTTTTGTGCAGAGCTGGTGGCCTTGCTGATACTCTGTATACATGGCTCCACAAAGGGGTGAGAGTAGACTGTGGGAAGTGTTGTAATTGCAATAATCAAGCCCAATTAAGCTTCACGGGTGTTGATGTACCCAAGTCAAGTAAACATGTGAATGCAATTAGGCTAGTGTCAAAGTGACGGAAAGAACACTACTCCATCCTTCCCTTAAACCTCGATTTACGCAAATTCGACTTCCCAATTCCATTCTAGCCTTCTGGTTGAGTAGTGAGGAAGTAAAACCATTGTTATCACAGTTCTTTGACCTTCGTGGTGTAGCATGTGATGTCTCAAACGACAGTTGAAATCAAACGAGGTCATCTTACCAAAGCGACCGACCTCGGTGGAGGGGCCAAAGAGCCGGCTACAGCCTACAGCTTAAGCATACTAGATGGTAAACTGCCAATGATCATTCTATAGTTTATGTGCTCCTGCCAACGAATACAGACGAGCCAATGGGCCTTGATGTACTTAGTGCGCTGGACCAAGCAGCAACGAACTATATCGAGTACTCCAAGACCATGAGGGCGACCACTCCAGCCACTCCGCAAGGTACTGGTCTATGTGTTTCAAGAGTTCATTCTCCGGCCCTGCTGTATGCTGATCCCTTCCTTGGACTTCGTCCCTGCAAATGGTTGCTGATACGCACTTGGAAGGCAATCCTATTCAACGGACCAGGGAGCGGGTGTAGCTCGACAGTACTTACCTATGACCGCAGCCCAGCAAAGTGGATTTTTGCAGGTAGCTGGTAGAGCCTCTTTGCAGGGTGCGGTTGGTCACAATGCCAACCTCACAAATCGGAGCAAGAGCCGGAGACAAAACAACAATGTCAATTTCATCTCAGAGTATGTAGCCGAGGCTGACTTTGATCAGAACGATTTTTCGGGACTGAAGGCAAAGCAAAAGGTCTTCGAGAAAGGTGGCCTTAAGAAGCAACCTCATCGACGAAGGAGTCGCACTGACAGCAAAATCGCATTTCTTCAACGTGGACGCCGCGGTAGACGTGGAAAACGCTCTAGTCCTCAACATAGATACCCACCCAACCAGAGCTTCAGTTCTGCGGCTCCAAGTGCAATCCCAGAGCCTGCCGACGGTGAATATCCTGCAGCTTCCCACCCGGAGTACCAACAGCTGCTTCCCAACGCCCAAGCCAATTCCATAGCCCAGCCAAACACCCAACTCCAACCTGCCTCTCAGCTTCAACCCAACCCAACACCCTCCCCACACTTGCCAGTCGCCATCTGCCACGACTGCAACGCCCGCATCAATGACCTTTCAGGCTCCCCACACGACCTACCAACACCGTGTCCCCCGTGCCAGCGTGCTCGAGTCTACCGACCTTCCGAAGAGAAGCCTCCGCCCACACCTAAAACCAAGCGGTCGATTCCGCCATCTGCCGCCAGATCAACGACCGGCGGCCCGAGCAGCCTCGAGATCAATCATCGGGATCAATCCCAGACCGTCGACGGGGTCAGCGCTTACAGCCACAGGCCAGGAGCCGAAGCAGCGTGGTGGGGCAGGGCAGGAAAAGGCGCTGGACGTCGGCTGAGAAGAAGTCGGCAAAGGTAGGCAAGAGGGTTGCAGGAGAAGAGGATGGGAAGAATGCAGCAGCGGTGCGTATGCGTGCGGAAGCGACCGAGGATGAGGATCAAGTGGGTCTTATCAAATGGTCTCGCATAACGAGATCGAGGAAGTCAATGGGCATATGGGCGAGCATGAAGATGTCAATGTTGCACAGGAAGTAGGAGAACAAACGGTTTTCTAGTATCACATTGCTTGACCAAGGAGCGTTGTACCCACTGTACCCATATACGGAACCCATCACATCTATGGCTCAAGATCTCGAGCATGTGCAGGCCATATGTCTTCACCCATCAAAGCAACCCGTTTCTCACTCAACAAGATCTACAAGCTCCCTCCTGCAAATCCCCTCCAACCCACCCTCAACCAGCTCACCCAACTCCCTTCCATCACCGCCACGTTCCCCAATGACAAAACAAATCGTCTCAACCAACGTCTCCCCATTGTTCTCAAACCAGTCCCCCAGGGCTGCCACGAAATGCTCTACCATTGCTTTCCTGCTGCCAAAACCGTAGCCCGCCGTCAACTCTGCATCAGAACCAGCTTGACCCGTCAGGCTCTCAAACAGATGCATCAGCTGTCCGGGATCAAGCTTCAGCATATCCTCCACGACGTAGTACTGAGCAATCTCGTCGCCCCATCCTTCCACGGTGGCCCCATATTGGCGGTGGTTTCTCGCCATCGACAATCCCGAGACGTGCGGTGTGCTGTGAAAAAAGGCTTGGTGAAAGTCAACAAGCGGGTCATTGTACTTCGTCGCCTTCGTCGTCGAGACAAGCGGGAACGGATCGTCCGGGAATCGCTGCTTGTGGCGACGTAGAACAGTGCCATTGCTAGGACAGATATGTGAATGTAAGATGGCGCGAAAGATAGCGTACAGATCCAACATCTCCGCCAACTGTTCTCCAGGCCAGGGCCTCAGTACCTGCGCCCTCGTTCTCACAACCTGCGGCAGAACCCTGCCCGTACGAGCATGCTGCGGTGTGTGGAACGCCATATCGTACAGCCAGATGCGGTAGCATGCTCGCCTCAAGTTCCATCTCTCTTCGCTAGACAGCAGCCGGCGATTGGCACTTTCGTCTCCCGTCCATTTCTGGCTTGGATACACAGTCGCCCATTTCTCCGCTATCAGTCCTACTTCGACGAGGCGTTTGAGCAGAGCCATCGATTGCGGTGGGGCAGGGCGTGGTAAGTGAGCGGATTGGCTGCTGTTGTATGTGACAAGGCGGATGGCATCATGCGAGGGGCCGTATTGGGCTTCGAAGGATTGGTAGAGAAGGGGTAATTTGTGGTGGGCGAAGATGGAGTGTAGATGCTTGCAAGTTGAAGCTAGGGCGAGGAGGGAAGGGACGGTCGGGCAGGATTGCAGAATGTGTAGGAGAAGTTCATTGGCTAGATCTGTGATATACATTGCGAGAATACGTGTTGTGAAGCGTGCAAATTTTCTGTTTTGATTCTTTTTGGGCGGGGGGGGGGATGGTTTCTTGTTGTTTACGCTCCTTTCTTTCTGTACCCAATTAGCTACGGTCATATTAGCAAAGAAGCATGACTTACTATTCAACCCTTCCTTTTATCTTCTCCCGCCCCCGTAATTGACGAGGGTTCGTGCAAGCTGTACTCCCCTCTCGTCGAATGATATATCTCAAGGGATTTCAACCGGCGAACACCCCGTCGTTGGGGCTATGAGTCGATAGAGATGCATCTTGAGATGATCCCTGGAGCATACCTATCAGATTTGAGGCCAACCCTCGAAGGGCTATGGTTGTTTCGGATATCATGATTGCTGCGAAAAGGAATAAGAAGAAGCTCGAAAGTCATATAGAAATTAGCGCCAACAGCTTGGCGGTGAGCGCGCTTAGTCATCTGCCAAGAAATCTATACTCATGCATGTTCAACTGCAATGGTGGCAGGATAGACAGAGCTTGATATTTACAAGAGTGCGATATCCTGGTCCTACTCTACCCAGACGCCAGTCATATCATCTCACAGATTCTGAAGGTCTCAAAAACATCCATCGTATCACAGGCGGAACCGGAAAAGTCTGACCTAATAATCACATCATTTTCTCCGCTTCTTCGATGTCATCGTCTCTTCGGACCACTCTCCTTGTGATGAAACCCTGTACCTCCTCCTGATGCTGCCCAAGCATGTCGTTCAAGCCACAAACCGGACTCCGCACGAGATTCCCAAAGCGTTTCGAGGGTTTCTTAGAACCGTCTATATCCCAGACCAGATGGTTATTTGCCACAAAATTGACAGAATTTGCTCGGTACCATTTGGACAATGACTGGCCATGCTGGAAGAAGCCGTGGTCTGAGACCGCTTTCAGGCGATTTCCAGAGATGAAGTTGACCATACCTGTGACCCGCTTGGTGAAATCTTCTTCTATAAATTGCAAAGTCGTCAGCTGGCGGCTTGCTTTGGCAAACAATGAGGTTTGAAAACATCACTGACCTCGGTTGATGAGGAGATGTATAATGCTTTCATACGCAAATCCGGCGCCGAAGAAGAAGATCTCTGTGGCATCATTGCAACTATGGAACGTCAGCAGACGTATGCTCCGAAATTATACAGAGCATGAACGTACTCGATGTAGTTCTCCCAAAGATATACAGCAAGCTCATTGCTTTCAGATAGACGCTCGGCCTCGTCTTCTACCCCATAGCCTTCGTTTTTCTAATGCACTAGTCAGCGATACCCTCATGATTTTCGAGGCCTGAACATACTTCAGTACTGGTCAGGTGCTTAGGAACGTTCACGTCAATAACTCCGTATCCGAGGTTTGCGGCCCAATCGACATAATGCTTCAAGTCATCAGCCTTCTGCCGGTCAGCAAAGGATCGCTGCAAAGTGAAACGTGTAACATACGAGCCATGTATTATGCAACTCCAGCTTATGGGTGACAGGATGTGGCGTCCCCATTAATTCCGGCCTAAGCTGAAGTCAGTACCTTGAATCGAAACAGTTGATACGATACTGCCTACGGGTCATGGAAGATCACTACTAGTGGCACTGCGTCCTCAAAATTGGGCCTGCACACTGGTCACTCATGAACTCGGCTGCCTTTCACAAGTGTCTTACGTTGCAATCACTTGATTTTCAAAAGACTTGGAAAGCTTCTCGCGATACACCTTGACATTAATCATGTTGTGGTTCTCCTTGAGTTGGCTTGCTTGGTAGTAACGTATCACATCTAGCTAGGGTCAAATTCTGTCAGGGTAGGGAACTGTAGAAGCTGCATACCGTGCATGCGCTCCGCGCCATGTTTATTGCTAATGTCTGGATCGGTCATCAGCTAGGCTCATGGTCACTTGAATAAGAGAGCAACCTTGATGCGCGTCCTTGGGGTAAAGACTTGTCCAAAACCGAGACTGGTACATAGCCACCATTTGAACGGTTTCGATGCCTGTTTCGGTCGCTTTTGTATCTCGTATTCGGTCTGGCATCTCACCGATAAGAGTTCGCGTCACAGCTAAAGCCGATTTTGAGATTGATGTGAGGTTGTAGCCACCCTAGTTGGCGGTCAGGAGTTGCCAGAAGGCCGTAGAAGTAGATACGTAAGGAAGACGCGAACCTCAAGACACACTACAAGTTTTCCTTGTGCAAGACTCATAAGCATGTGTGTCATTTGAGCATAACACGCTGGAGTGACGAAACAGCCGCCAAGTTGATCGCCCTCAGCCGCGTCAAATCCAGCGGCGACTGTAGCATGTTAGAGATCCTCTGAAATCTCTGCCTACGAGAACTCACTAATCACCAAATCGGGATCGAACTCGTAGGCAACAGGCATAACAATATGCTGAAAGGCAAGCATATAGTCTGCGTCGCCCATGCCTTTGGTGGGCCAGGGGATGTTAATGTTCCTGCACTACAGATTAACGGAAGTCATGACCCGAAGGCTCCAAATACCACGTACCTTCCTAATCCAGCCTCACCACCACAGTGCAAATGATCACCATAGTTACCAGAAGGGTAAAAATTGCCATCCTCATGAACGTGGAGAGAGATGTACAGAACATTTGGATCTTGGTAGAACGCCTGCTGTATGCCGTTACCTAGCATTTGTCAGCCAAGTCTGTTAGGAGCGGCGAAAAATCCCAAGTACCATGATGAACATCCCTACAACACCGAACGAGTCAATAAGTGCTGTTTTCAACTTGGAGGAGAGCATACCAATCAAGTATCAGGATCCTTTGACATGTCTCTGGAAAATCCGACCGACAAACTTTGGCGGCAATGCTGACGTTATCGAAGATACAGAACCCCATCGGTTGATTACACTCTGCATGATGTCCCGGAGGTCGGATCACCGCAATGGCATTCTTGACTTGCCGTGAAGTAACCGCCCGACAAGTCTCGATAGCTCCCCCAGCAGACAGTAACGCACATCTAAAAGTCGTGACATTCAGATAGATAGAGTCGAACGTTCTTTCCAAGACAACCAGATCGTCCGGTGCCATACCTAACGGCGACATCAGCTGTCATGACCAATGTGTAAGCTCGGTACTGTACGAACTTGCAGTAGTCACCATGAAGTCCCAATGTCTTTTATCGTGTACCAAACAAACCTCCGACTCGGAGACATTGCGAGCGTCGATCCGAAGAAGCGGGTTGGGTATCAAATTCCCGGTATTCAGCATAGGATCGTTGACCAGGCCGGCCATACATAGCTCTTTGTAGATCTTGAAAATCCGCCGCGGATCCTCAGGATGAAAGTCCCGACTCTGTTTTGGTGGATCGAGCTCGCAGTGGTAACGCATACGGACATCGTAGCAAAGTCCGGTAGGTAATGATGAGACGTACGGCGCCGTAGGCCCGTGCTCCGCTTCATCCAGCTCATCGATGAAATCGTCAAGTCCCTGCTGCATTGGGTCCTCCGAGATTTCAATGCTGAGATGGTTTGCTACATTATTTGCCAAGACGGAAGACTCTCGAGATGGTTCTTGGAGTCGCTTCGTTGCTACGTTCAGATACTCCGCATCCCCGTTGGGCGCCAACATTCCAGCCATGCTTGTGGAAGGAATGGAGCCATGAATAGGTCCTTCCACTTCTACAGACGTGTGTAGGGTGCCTCTTGAATAGCTTTCTTGTACATCCAGCATTTGTGAATCATCATCGTAGGGGTCCATGTCCTTGTTGACAAGCGATAAGGTCATAAAAGAGCTTTCTCCGCAGCAGCATATTACGGAAGATAGAATGGGCCTGGCGGTATCAATTTCAAAACAACTTTGAAGTCATGGTCTATGAGGTCTGAATTCAGAATTCTTCTGGTAGAGAAAGAGGTCTGGGGTTAGTACTGGTCCGTTCTGGAAGCTCGGAATTCACGTGATTACTGTCATAACTTTTTTCTTGTGGCTAATGAGAGTTGCAAAGGAGAAACAAGGTGATAGTATTCTCTCTTCAAACATCGAGCTTTGGCAACAATAGACACCAATGGCAAAGGCAAGTAGAACATTCATACTTCACACTACGAAAAGTCTTGAACTTACAAGCTAATGTCTTGCTTTGTCATATATGAGCGAGACCAAAGTGAGAGAACAGTATAATCAAGTGTTTGTAGTAGTGTCCAGTCTCCGTGTAAATGAAGCTTATAAAGTGGGCGGTAGCAAGAATGCATTCATAGAGCTCTCTCGCTGCCAAGACATTTTTACTTGTCTCTGCCCGGTAATATACTTCTTAGTAGGTTTCAATTTACCACTGCACCCCCTAATTTAATTTTCCAATCATCTTACTTAACAAAACACCGTTTGCAATCCATTTTATGCGCTCTGATATTTCAGACCACTTTGTATGCAAATGGTCTTTTCCGCGATTCGTCGTTCAAGAAATATACCTCGGTGAGTTATCATTGCATTTTCCACCAACCGCACTTGTGGGTTAAAAAGAAGTATCGTATTCATGTTGGGACGGGATAGGTGTACACAACCGCCTACGGTTAGTGTACAGCTTCCGGGCACCATGGGTGTCAGACCCGACGCACTCTGTTTTGCATTCTGGGGGCACTTTCCGGGTCAATACGAACATTCACCGAAACTGTGTAGGAGCGAGTACTTACAGGAGGGGATCTCCGAAGGGAGGGAGGATCCGGTTCACAAGCCACGCACTCAGGTAGCAATTTAACCCGGCTTTAAAGCGCTCCGACACTGCGCCTAACCCAATCAGCCCGGAGACAGTACCCGAATGTTTGGCTTGGAGAAGGGGGGGGGGGCGGGGGGGGCGGGCGCGGATGGGCACAAAGGGGGTGTACAGCTATCGCTTCACTCCATATTTCAACGTAGAATCTGTTCGCCAAGCTGTGAGACTGGGAAAAACATGTCAAGAATCGCTGATGGTTATGACGATGCCGTCAAAAAAATCTTATGTGCATGCATGACATGCATGGCTGCTTTCCCAAATCCTGTATAGGTCTGGCAGAAAGAGTAGTGAGTGGTATTTGGAAAAGTTGTTCATGGTTCTGATTTTTCATTTGGCCACATGTATCTATTTAAGCCACCTGACAACGCATCAACACATAGCCACCGTACTAGCCACAGAGAGGTCATAATCTCGAAGCCTAGACATGGTCGCTCATAGCATGCATCGAACCCCAGCGCTCTGTCCTGATTCCTACTTCGAGTGATCGACCTTGGAGATATAGGCTATTGCACAGTCAGCAGAGCTCCCCTCGCGACATAGCCAAAGATTGGTACGTACCCAAGAGATCCAGGACACGGCGGGAGTAGCCCCACTCGTTGTCATACCATGCAACGAGCTTGACGAAATGCTCGTTGAGGGAAATGCCGGCGGTAGCATCGAAGATACAGGAGTGATTGTCTCCATTCAAGTCAGTGGAAACAAGCGCATCCTCCGAGTAGGACAGAATGCCTAATTATGATTAGCTGTAATCCAAGTGTCGTTTCACTTCTTTAGTCACACCTTTCAACTCTCCCTCTGAAGCCTTCTTCATCGTCTCCTTGATCTGATCATAGGTGACCGATTTCTCCAAGCGGCAAGTCAAGTCAACAACTGACACATTGGAAGTAGGTACACGCATAGACATGCCCGTAAGCTTGCCATTCAAACTGGGGATGACCTTGCCAACAGCTTTAGCCGCACCAGTGCTGCTGGGAATGATGTTCTGAGCAGCGGTGCGTCCACCTCTCCAGTCTTTTGAAGAAGGTCCATCCACGGTCTTCTGGGTAGCAGTGTAGGAGTGGATAGTAGTCATGAGACCCTCAATGATGGTGTAATTGTCATGCATGACTTTGGCGAGAGGAGCCAGGCAATTGGTTGTGCAAGAGGCGTTGGAGATAATCTCGATGTCGGACTTGTACTCCTTCTCGTTGACGCCCATGACGAACATGGCCGCGTCTGCGGAAGGTGCCGAGATAACGACCTTCTTGGCGCCACCTTTCAAATGGGCCTTGGCCTTCTCGGTGGTGGTGAAGACACCAGTCGATTCAACGATGTAGTATGCGCCTGTGTCTTTCCATGGGATGTTGGCGGGATCTTTCTCTGTATAGAATTTGACGGTCTGGCCGTTGACAACAAGGTCTGAGCCTTTGACTTCGATAGTGCCCTTGAATTGGCCATGTTGAGAGTCATACTTGAGCATGTATGCCTAGGAAAAAGCAATGTCGAATTAGTCCGAGCTTCGAAGACTCGGCGACGTTGCCAATCGAGAGGCCTCAATCTGAACTTACAGCATAGTGAGGCTCGATAAAGGGATCGTTGACTGCCACGACTTTCACATCACCGTGCTCGACGCTGCCAATAGGTTATTATCTTGAGCTCCGCTGCCGGTATGACAGGGAAAAAGCACGGCGGGGCACATACGCATTACGGAAGACGATTCTGCCAATACGGCCGAAACCGTTAATGCCAACGAGTGTTTCAGACATGATTATCTTTAATGTGTATAATAAGAACCGAAGAGTTGGGAATACTTGAGGGCACCTTTTTGGTTTTTTGTTTTTCCCTTCTGCGTTGTTGTTGTTGATGATGTCGTTGTTGGAAAAGGAAATTTTTGGTGGGGCAAGGGCGTCACTTTGGGTAAATGCCGAGCTGCCGGCGGACTTGGCTCCCCCACCAAATGTCCATGCTCCGCATCGGGGGGAGCCGAACGGTCTCGTTGGGTTCTACAAAACACTTATCTTGGGTCTCATGATGCTCAAAAACGAAGACGATTTCAAAGCTGCTATATACGACCTAGCCAATTACCCTAGGATACCAAGATCAGGTGCAATATCATCATCGCCGTGACGGGCCAGGCTGGTCTTTGGTGCTCCTTCGGTCTAAAGCGTAGACTCCAATGCAAGCACCTGTCGAGACATTTGTCAGCTTATATTCAAAGCATGGCTCGGTGTACGAGAGCGGAATGACTCACAATTGCAGTGCGGACCGGGATGTACACCTGAATGAAATTCTTCCGTTCGTTCCACCGGAAAGGTGTGGTGAAGAACCTTGTCCCTTTGGCATTCCTTCCAAATCCACCGAAAGCCGGGTCATCTGTATCCAAAATGATCTGATAAGTCCCCGCCGCCTCTATGCCCACACGGTAGTCTGAGAAGCTTTGAGTAGGATGGAAGTTGAAGATCCATAAAAGTCCAGCCCGTTCGAATACAATCACTTTGTCTTGCTCGTTTTTCAAGCTAAGACACGCTTCGTCCGAGTGTAGCCAGCCATACTTCTCCTCGGTCCATTGCATCTTGCAGTCGAATTCGTTGAGAAATTTGTATCGTAGCATGTCATCGTCCGGGAGATTGAACTGTCTCCGAGCATACCAGTAGCTGTTGTCATTACCATCTCTAGGGAAGTCAAGCCATTCTGGGTGGCCAAATTCATTGCCTTCGAAGTTGAGATATCCTTCCCCTCCAAGACCGTGCGTGACGAGTCTAATCATCTTGTGCAAGCTCAAGCCTCTTTCGATGACAGGTGTAAATACTGAGAGGATTGACATATTAGTGTACAGCTCCTTATCACATAGCCACATCAGTAGTGACTTGTCTCCCACGAGCCTGGCATAGTCCGTCAGCACAATCCTACGGTATTCGCCGGAACCGACTTACGCTTGGTCGTGACTTTCAGCGTAAGCGACTGTCTTCTCCCCGTGTCTTCGGTTGACGAGAGTGTGCGTCAAAGCACCCATATCCCAATCCGCATCTTCTTTCTCTTTAAGCCACTTGATGTACATATCTGGAATCGCCATAGCAAGCCGATAGTCGAAGCCAATGCCCCCAAGGGATAACGCCACACATAGTGCAGGCATCCCCGAAACATCTTCTGCAATGGTAAGGCAATTAGGGTACAAGTTGTGGAGCATTTCGTTAGCCAGCATGAGATATACAACGCCATCTTCGTCGACGTTGGGCCCAAAGTATTCGTGATAGCCCCCCGAGAATCCACTACGCGTATCAGTGGGCATTCACGAAAGTCGTTGCCGGGTTACTTACCTTCCAATGCCGTGATGAGTATAAAGCATACTCGTAACACCGTCAAAACGGAACCCGTCAAATCTATATTCCTCCATCCAGAATCGTAAGTTAGACAATAGAAAACGTAGAACCTCATGATGCCCGTAATTGAATACCCGGCTATCCCATTGCTCATGCACGCCCTTGCTACCTTCATGAAAGTACAGGTTGTCTGTCCCATCGAACTCGTTTAGACCATCCTCAGTGTTCTTCGACGCATGACTATGGACCATATCCAGGAGCACTGTGATGCCCATGCCATGTGCGGTATCTATCAGCTCTTTCAGATCTTCTGGGGTGCCGAACCGGCTGCTCGCGGCGAAAAAGCTATTGATTTGGTAGCCAAAGCTCGCGTAATATGCATGCTCCATTATGGCCATCAATTGTATGACATTGTATCCAAGATGTTTTATCCTTGGTAGCACACTCTTCGTGAATTCTTTGTAGGTTGTGATGCGTAGCTCGGGAGATGATATACCTACATGGGCTTCGTAAATGCGGACGCTCTTTGGCTTGGGCGGCCGTGGGTGTCTGAAAGTGTATCTTTCATTTTGTGGTGGATGCCAAAATACTCCATCATAGACAGGCGAGAAGTTCAGATTCTGGGTGACGCGAGTGATCCATGCTGGTACTCGCTCTAAGCGTTCATGTGACGTAGGTATGACCAGAGAGATCTGTGCGCATTTGTCAGCAATTGAAGCCTATCACCTCCAAGTTATAGAGCCCACCTTGACTTTGGAGCCGTGTGCAATTGCGAGCTGCCCATCTCTTGAAGATAACGTAACCTCCCAACGCCCATATTCACCTCTGGTCATTGGCGTAGCGTCCCTGTTCCATTCATCTTGTGATGAATGCCTATAAGCGATGAACCTAGGGAAGAACTTGACGAGAACGCCTTACTGAAATCGCCAATTAGATATGCTCGTAAAGCATTGGGAGCCCATTCTCGATACGTGATGTCTCCATTGTCATGGACCACAAAGCCAAATTTCTCAGTACCCTTGCTGAATTTCTCCAGACCACCCTCTGTCTCATCAATTGTCTTGATCAACTTCTGAGCGTGGCTGTATCTGCTTCGGAGAGCATCTTTGAAAGGTTCTAGCCATGGGTCGAGCTTGATTACGCCTGAACAAGTCAATTGGGGCACCTCGAAGCTTTCAACGGGCACTTACCTGTACCATCTGCAGGTATTTTCTTTCCACCCGTCATCCCCATGACGGAGTTTTCGGATTCGGAGTTCAAGGCAGAAGTCATTTTGTGAACGCCCTTGCGGACTCGTTTGAGCATGCGGTGGGACGGCTTGGCCAAGGTGGATCGGGTGCTGCAAAGGCCACAACCGGTGGAGAAAAAAAGAATCAATTGAATGCAAGGCAAAGGAATAGAGGAGTCGAGAGTATTTCCTCTAACAATAATTAACTCTATGGACATGTGGTGATGGTGGGGTTTGCGCTAGGAGCGTGAAGGCTGGCTCAACGTCCAACGACTTGCCCCGCAATCGTCATGGTGCATTAGGGGCTGATGGGGGCAACAAGATCTCTAGCCGTACCTACTTGTATCCGTACTAGTAGAGGCTATCCAATTTCCAATATGCACATGAACCACTTGCGATGGTGAATTCTTACTACTGTATATCTCCATACTGAGGACTTGACGCATTCCTCCGTCTGACTTGTGAAAGCCCTATTGTGAAAGCCATTGTGACTTGTGACATACCCATGAAAGCCCTTGACATACCCAGCAGAATTCGATGCCATCTCTAGAACGTCTTCGGCGCTTCGTTGAGCCTCGAAATCTTTCGTCTTTTGTTGCTCTTTATTGCCGTGAGCCCATCCTTTGCCCACCACTGCTCTTCAGACAAAGCTTTCCTTTCCCTCCAGCTTCGGCGTGTTGAAACCGACGTCATTGGGATGGACAATTGTGACTCACTCAGATTGTCAGGTTAGTACTCCGGGAGGAAACAGGGAGACTTCCACGAGCCGTGACAAGACCGAGCCACCAGCTGCTTTGAGCGAGAAGCATTCCCACTAAAAAGAGACAAGTACGACACCATTGCCATCAATATCCAACCATAAGTCGACACGGAACATGCCCTCGAGTCCTCAGCGAAATCGTCGAGTAATTCATCGGAAGTCGGAGCTTTCACGTCTTCAAAGCGAGCCAGCCCAACACAATCAAGTTTCCGAAGTAAATATTCGTACGCACTTTCAATCCTAGAAAGAGCGGACGTGGTAATCACCCGTGAATTCCTCAGACAATCCACATTCGCTCAACTTCAAAACGAGGAAGTCGGACAAAGCAGTATCCAAGCGAGACCCGACAAGCCTCGTGAGGTCATTATAGTCTCCACAGGAGTTATTGGAAGCATCAACTAGACCCCAAAGTCTAGCATGGCATCGTGATACGCCGATACACCATCCCAAATAACGGTTTTCAACTTCTTCAGGATATCCTTGGACTGACGTTTAGCCCTTCACGGTCTAGGCTTCCAAACGAGATCGTCTTTGTTGCCATTAGATTTAAGTATCTGTCTAACATCAAACACCATTCTAGCAAACAGTCGAACAACTGAGTCGGTATTGCCATTCTGGACAGCAGGATTGTGATCTCGTCGCCACCTCGAACTGCCATATCAACGTATTATTTCGTCACTGAATCACCTTCTTATTGTGCCGCTACCACTAAGAAGTTCTTTTCGGTGAGACGATTTCGATATCTCAGCGAGATATATCCTCAGACAAAGAAAATTAAGAAGAAGCGTGGGATACAGAATCACAGGAGCAAATTCGAGCAGAATGGGTGGGGTGGAGAGTGGGGGAAGCGAGTGATGCGGGGAACTTGAAATCCATCAAGGCAAACTCGTTGTCTCTGTCAGTGTAGCGAGCGTGCCGCCTGAAGGAAGTACAGTGGATACCCAATATCCCACCGGAGGATTAGCACGTACCTGAGATTCAATGTGTGGAGCCACCACGATGTATGCGTTTGGATAGGTCCTGCGCCCGGTAGATGCTGTAGCGCGCTTGCAAAGTTTATTTGATGCTCCAGCTCATGCTCTCAGCCCTCCAGCTTCTCACGCATGTGTTCTGCATCTTTTTGTTGTGGAACTGGTGCTGTAGTTTATACTTTGCCGCAATACCGTTGTAAGCTGAGGTAGAAAGAGGATTGATAAGAACTGAATGCCGGTGTAGCAGGACCACTAGTCGACTTTTTCGGTGACGAGGTCGAACTATATTTGCTGTTGTAGCATACTCACTGTCTTTAGTGCCGTTCTTCCTTGCGGTGTGCTTCCTCTGGCTGCAATTGCTCCAGTGTTGTCGAATTCTGAGCTTTATTGTGAAGGTTTCTTGCCGACGTGAAGCCCAGTCTAAGAAAAGTTCCAGGTGTCGAGAATGTCTTACAGTGGATATATTTTTAACACAGACACAGGGTGCTCCGATTCCGATCCGTAGGGGTAATTGTACCCTACGGTAAACGTCAACGTCAGGGTAGTGCTGTGACCCTCGATGATGATGATACATCTTAGGATATTGCGCCCCCTTATGATAAACATCGTGCTATTCTGGGTGAGCGCACAATACTCAACGATCTCATAATCGTTTAGAAGCATAACGAGCGTAAAATGTTCATTCGTTGTCAATAGCAAGCGCCGTAGAAATGAAGAAAATTAAAATCGAAAAGAGAGCTAAAGTACGCCGGACTTGCTAGGTCGAACGCTGAGTTTGCCCGAGTCCTTGGAAGCCGCTACTCTAGCCCTCAAGTTTGCCCTTATCGGTATCGGCGACAATGACAATGTCTCGAATGTGAGCAAGCTTCGATATCAAAGCAAGTGGTAGCAGAAGAGAGCGGTTGCTGCCTACGCTCCTTCAATTCAAGGCAGCATGATACGTGGAGCTAAGAGCACCATGGCTTATTCCTAATCGAAACCAAGTCAATGGCTCTCCTTCTCGTTGCCTGCGGGTCTCCTCAACCCCAAGCAAGACTCTCATATTTATCCCTCTCCTCCATATACCGCTCCTTCAACACGTCCACGTCATCACCCTCCTCTTCCCAATTCCGCCGCTCAGACTTCACAGGCCAGCCATTCACAGGGTCATATGAGCCTGGAGGGAGAACATCGGGGCCTCTTGGAGATGCCTCCATTCTTGGGGCGCCGACACTAACACCAAAGGCTTTAAAGGAGCATCTTGATAACTTTGTCGTAGGGCAGGAACGGGCAAAAAAGGTTTTGAGTGTGGCCGTATACAATCATTATCAAAGGATACAAGAGTCGCAACGGCGAGAAGATGAAGAGCATGAGATTCTACAACAGCAGCTGCGAAGGGAGATGGCTGAAAGCCATCCAATGGAGGGTATAGCAAAACTTCTCGTGGAGAATGTAAATTTGCTAATTGCGCTCAAGACGAATTCCCGGGCCACCAGCAAGCCATCCCTCTGAACCCCCCGTCTTCTGGCTTAGGCGCTGCCCCAATCTTCGACGCATCACCGCTCACCCTCGAGAAAGCCAACATACTCCTCCTCGGGCCCTCAGGCGTAGGCAAGACGCTTATGGCCAAAACCCTTGCCCGGGTGTTGGCGGTTCCTTTCAGCATGTCCGATTGCACGCCTTTCACTCAAGCAGGTTACATAGGCGAAGACGCTGAAATCTGCGTCCAGCGATTACTAGCAGCTGCAAATTACGATGTTGCAGCTGCAGAAAGAGGTATCATCTGCCTCGATGAAATAGACAAAATTAGCACGGCGAAAGTCAGCCACGGCAAAGATGTTGGAGGTGAAGGCGTACAGCAAGCACTTCTCAAAATAATCGAAGGAACGACCCTCCAAATCCAAGCCAAGCAAGAGAAGTCCGCACGCGCGCCTGGTTCCTCCAACTCCAGCTATCCGACCAACAGTCCGCTCTCCGGCGGCATGATGGGCGGTCCCTCCTCCACCTCTTCCGGCTCAGGCAATACCTCCTCTGGCCCATCAAAAGCAGAAACATATAACGTTCGCACAGACAACATTCTCTTCATCTTCGCCGGCGCCTTTACTGGTCTGCAGAAAATGGTCATGAATCGCATTGCCAAAGGCTCGATAGGATTCGGCTCGCCTATACGCTCTTCTTCCTCATCATCTTCCGTGTCGTCAGGTGGCCGAGATAGCACCATCTCTGTGAAGGCCGGATCAGAGGAAAGCAAGCTCTTTGAAAAACATCTCCCCTTCTTCGCACCCCAATCGCCCGACCAACCAACACTAACCGAATATAACCTTCTCGATCTAGTCGAGCCTACAGATCTGCAAACGTACGGCTTGATACCTGAACTTGTAGGCCGCATACCTGTATCAGCGGCTCTATCGGCACTCGACGAAGACGCGCTGGTAAGAGTCTTGACTGAGCCGAGAAACAGCATGATAAAGCAGTATGAACAGCTATTTCAGCTGAGTGGTATAGAATTGCGATTCACAAGAGGGGCTTTGATAGAAGTGGCGAAGAGTGCATTGGGCATGGGAACGGGGGCGAGAGGGCTGAGAACCGTTTGTGAGAGGTTGTTGACGGAGACGATGTTTGAGGCACCAGGCTCAAGCATCAAGTACGTCCTCATGACTGAAGCCGTTGCGCAGCGCAAGTCCGCGCCCATCTATCTCGCCAGAGGCCAGCAGCATAGATTTGAACAAATCATTGCTGCCGAGGAAGAAGAATGGGATGCGAAGACAGACAAGGACCAGAAAAAGGACGATGGTGCTAGTGCAAATGGCGGAACTGGTAGCTTTGAAGAATATAGAGAGAAGAGCAAGGCTGCTGGAGTCATGTAGCGATATGATATGTTATGCATCATTTGTGAATGTGTTTACTGGGCGGATATAGCGCAGCATTGGGCATTGCGAAAGGCACGGGGCTGGCGTCGATCTGCATATAAGAATGGGAGTCTTAGGCGAAGCCGCTAGAGCAATATGATTTTTGGTTTGTCACATGGCGGATCTGTTCCACAATCTCTATCCATCCGCTGTGTGAGAAAAAGCCGAGCTCAGCCATGCTGGCCGTCCAATAACAAAGCTGATCGCCTCATGTGTGTTACAAGTCGCGCGGCAGCAGGAGCAATACTACGCTTCATATCGACGTACAGGATTCAAGGTACCATAGACGTTCATTCCCCCCTCAGTCTAGGTATTCGGAGTCAGCATGCCTCTTTTGCGATCAAATATGAAGTCATGAAAGAGGTCCCGGGAGCGTCGAGGATGACTCACGCTTGGCTGTAACTTCGTCCCCGGTGAGCTTCTCGACAGCTTCCTTCGCCCTGATAGAAAATTATTAGTGATGGACTCGAGTGTTGCATGAGCAACAACTCACATGTCACCCAGCGCCACCATGCATATTGTCTGCCAGACACCCAAGGCAATCCGAGGTGTCACACCACGGTACAGACCCTTGAGGCCGTTGTTCGAGTAGATGTATCTTAGCGTCTTTCCCACAGTCAAGTTCTTAGGCCGATTTGGATCTTCGGTCTTGCTCTGCATCTCGACTCTGATGACCTCAATGGGTTGGTTCCAAGCACTCAGTCCACCACCAAGTCCACTGGCTAATATCTTCTCTAAAGAGCCGAGCTTTTGCCCTTCCTCCTTTCCTGTTGCTGACCTGATGCCCGACTCTGCCAAACGTGATAGACCGAATCTTGAGCCCCAGTTCGTAGTCTGCCGTATCGCGACAGCGTTGACCCCCTTGTTGATACCCCTTATCCCCTCTTTTCGGTAGATATCCATAAATGTCTCAAAAGTTCCTGGGGGCTTAACGCCCTTTGCCGCTATCTTGTGTTTTGTAATTTCAACGGTCTTCATGCAAGTACAGAAGCCCATTGTAGCGTATGCTTGGGCGACACCTCCGGCCATACCACCGGAGATGCCACCGACGAAGTCATTGGCTCCGAAGGATTTGGCGTAGAACTCGGCTTCGGAGGCGACAAAGAGGAGAACTGCGCCTTTTGTGGAAGCTTCTATCCAGGCCCAGGGGATAAGACCCTGGTAGTCTGAGGTAGTGTGTTAGTGAAGGTATGGCCTAAAGTCATAGGAAGGCCAAGCTCACATCCTAGTACACCGCCTCGTCCCCAAACTCTTGAGAGAGCTCCGACGAAATTGTCGCCTCTGTTGGCCGCCATCGTTGTCTTAACTACCTCAAGAGGCTAAGTTTCGGCGTTAGTCTGCCGTCAGGTACAATGCTTGACTGCGGGCTCATGGTACCTGGCCTAGAGTAGTGACTCTGGAGAGGCAAGATGTCAGCCCACTCACAAGCATCGCCACGCCATAACTCGACTTACTCAAACATGTTCAAACCAGCACCCACTATATCAGACCCATGTCAGACTTGCCAGACCAGCGTTTGGTCCTATGTTGCTCACATAGAAGATTACTGAACTTGACAGGCTTCTTCTCGAGCGTTGCCGGTGCAGAGCCTGCGACTGGTGTTGCGGCCATTACACTTGGGTTGTATGACTATGGCCCTGACCAAGGGAAGAGTGGCGCTTCGTTGCTGAGACAAGTACAGAGGTCGAGCCTTCAAATCTAGCTTGCAGCAAGAAGAAGGGGATGCTTTCTCTCTTTCAGACCAGATAAGACCAGACCTCGCTTGAGACTTGGAGCCCAGTATAGTCTTGTAGAGGATGACTGGTCAGAATCCGCAACTCCAATCGCAATGGAAAGGTATGAAGACGGTACGGGGGAAAAGATGGATTTGATAATCGCCGAGGTTTTCGGAGTTCTTTGTAGCTCACCGTTCCCAATTCCCATGCCGATTCAGGGTCCACTCCCCAGGCGCTAACCGAAACAGCTTGGCGCGCTTGGTTGGGCGCGCTAGCAGGCCAATTTTTTGGCTTTAGTGCTCATCAAAACATTTCATCGTCTTAACCTCTATACTTAGGCCACCAGGGCTACTATCTCGGTCGCCGAGAGCCTCACGACGCGCCAAAGCTTCACTTATTCTACAGATTAACGAGCATACAGTAATTGACGAACTGACAATCACTGCCCACAGACTCAGCACGCACGGCAACGGAAAGCAGGCCACACTAACGCTGACTTTTCCTCGCGCCCTCTCCTTCCGTCTTGTTGCCAGAGAACAGTTTGTATTCCTCTCATTATTTCCTAGATCGACTTTATCTGTGAAGCAGACAATGTCGAACACCAGAAAAATCGTCCCACAGGTGTCTAAGGCCTCTCTTCCTCTCCTTATATCTATAGTCAGAAATGTTCTTCGACAAGACTTGCAAACGCTAAAAGAAGCAGACTGACAGGATCGCTCAATGGCTATTGAAGACAACTGAATGATGTGGTTACAGACCAGCGTCTTGCCAGAATAAGAACCTATCCCTGAAGGCGCTTGGAGGTCGATTGAAAGGTAAGGCAAGAAAGGAGGCCCAACAACAGGAGTCATCTTCCCTTTCCCTTGCTCCAGCATTTCGCCTACGCTTGGCTCAATTTACAGAGCTTGCTCACATCATTGTCAAAAACAAGAGACTCAGTATTCCAGAAACCTTCTTCAATCTACTGCAGCATACAGTCAAACTCCGAAGAGAGTATTCCAGCCTTTTCGCCTCATCTGAAGAAGACCCTTCGCTTCGCGAGTCGAACGCGACGCACGACTACTTCATCGATACACTGGAAGGTGTCCTCAATATATTGAAATCTCAGCACGCTTCCTATTGTAAAGGACCCGAAATTTCGCGGACGACAAAACCTGACGGAAAGGAAGCCAGTCTGGAGAACCGATTTGCTGCCCTTGAGGTCCATGAGCCAACAGAGACAGAATTGGACGACTTAAACACTCCAACATCGGCTCGGCAAGGGCAGCCAAAACGGCGCCATGTTGTATGCGAGGCCGAGGACCATGACGTACGTTTTGCAGTCCTTTGCTACTTTGCCGATCTGCAAAGCATTTGCCAGTTCATTCAGAGGACAGGGGAAGACTATAAGCTCAGCAAAGTGAGTCTCATGACAGTATCCATTGTGACGAACACTGCATTTGATGCGGTCCGTCAGGCGCATGGTGAAGTACACGAGTGCCTTTCCGTCGCTTGAGAAATATAGACCAGTCAATTTATGGTTCTACATCGGATTTTGCATGGTCAGTGGCGTGGACGCTATGTACAAGGAGGCGCCAGATGACTTGTTCAACTACGAAATCGCAGACATGGCAGGTTTTATCTACATGCCTACTACGCAGATCCTCTTCGGGTGGAAACGTCGCTTCTAAAATCAGGTAGAACCTGAGGCGTGAGGAAATCACCTAGCGACTGCGATGCTAGCAGTAGTCCCACGGTGTCTGGCAAAGCCTACGCTGAAGTCCGAGCAAAGCTTGCCGAGGACGAAAGAATCTTGTTGGAGACATTAACGGAGATCGTCTACCTTGGCCTATTTGGCCTTGACATCCCTGGCGAAGTTACAATGATAGCAGGTCTTAGGGGAGTAGCAAGGCGTCAAAAATCAATTTCTGGTTGGCTCTGCTTCGCTACTCAGGTCTTTCTTGACATTAACAAGATTACCGGCAGTGATTATCGGAAGGCTTTTCAGGAATTACAAATCGCAGGTCGAGACGCGATAGCAACACTAGAGAATATAGAGAGAATAGGCCAGCAGCAACCCAAAGCCCAAGTTGGCTCTCAATACCAGCGGCTAGCGAAGGATTCTCGCTTGGGGAGAACGATTGGGTATATTTATGGCTACATCCTCGATGACAGCGCTGAGATTAGGCAACAGTTTTTTATGCACGACACGGTACGTGCGAAGCATCCGGAACCGCACAGGCTTCTCGTTCGTGACCCGCTTCTATGTGGTCTGATCAAATTCTCCTTAAGCATCATGCTCTATAATCTGGGAGTAGAGTTTGCCAAAAACTCTCTGTGTACCTTACCTACCACTGATCTTTACCGTGCTCTTCGATTGACATTAAATCTGGACCTTGCGTGGCCAGACACGGATCTTTTCGTTAGCAATATCACGCCAGAAAGGCTTTTCTTTGGAGGCCTCCCAAACAAACTGGAATCTTGCCTCAAGCGATTGATGCTGATGCAAGGTATCTCACCAGAGATCTTCGTGAAGGGTGGTAAGAGACGTTCAGGCCGGAAGAGCCTTCCTTTTACACCGTCGATCTCCAAGACTGGTCGAGACTGGCACGAAGCGTCTGCAGTCATCAGCGCCTTCCGAGACCGACATATCATGAACAACACAATCAAGTGGACCTTCGAGACCCTCGAAGCTGTCTTTAAAGAGTCTACGAAGAACAACGCTTCACAACGCGCGGCCCGTGAACATTGGATCAAATCTCGGCAGATCGGTACGGTTCCACTCCTTCAATGTGTCAAAACTGCCATTACCACGGAATTATCTGTTCTTATTTTCGACTACTTTGGATTACATCTACGTTGCGAAAATTTCCTTGTTAAGCTACGCTCAGGGCTTGGCGGAAACATGAAAAAGAACGATGGAATCACACACTCAAATGACGAGCCACGCTGGCTCGCAGGATGCATGGTTTTTGCAATACTTCGAAATGCCGTCGAATGGGAATTTGTGGCAAAAGATACGGACGGTGACGGCGGCCTTTTACCAGAGTGGCGGCTCTTCATGGACGCAGGGGCTCTGTTGAAGGAATTTAACCAGAGCGAAGGGGATTGCGAGAGCAAACGCTCCGAAAATTACGCAGAGTAGATGAGGGAGGAAGTAGTGGACGATGTGCCTGTTGGCGGTGCTCGCAAGCCTTACAATCCAGAATACTACAGGGAGGAATGGAAAATGTCTCGAGCGGAGAAGGAACGAAGTGAGGCCATGATGGTGGGAAACGCGTGACGTACACCAGGATGATCCATTTCATACGAGACTACGTCATTGATGGTGTGAATGGCCATTCACACGGTAAGATCTCTTTTGCCATTGAGCCGGCTATTACCGACATGAAACAAATGATTGTTGTGAGCGGCTGTAGGATCTCATCTCGAGACTCGGATTGCTTTGCCTGGCGGATACCCATTGCTGCATAGCTTTTTCTGTTGGAAAGCAACGGAAGTGGAGCAAGATGTTGCATGCTACAATAACACTCTGTGGCTTTTCCAGCGCATATCCCCTTTGCATGGCTCAACCCGGGCAAAAATTCTAGCTTACCTTTCTAAATCAATTCTTTGTCTCAACGACAAGATGCCCGATTTTGAATCCAGTGTACTACTAGGTGCAACGAGGAAAGAAGAAATCTATCAAGAGGCTCTCTTTGGTTGAAGAGAAGTGCTTACGCAGTGACTCGAAGCAGATGGCGAGCTGCCGAGAAATAATCACAAATCATGTGGTAGGGTAAAAGGAATCGAGCTGGTGTGAATTGAAAAACGTCAGCAATGTCGAGAAAGGATAGATGATAAGTACTTACAGCATCGAATCGATGTACTAAAATTCATGTAGTAAGAGAAGCTATCAGCCGAGCAGCCAAGGATCACCGCAGCGCGACGTAGTGGAGGAGAGGAAACCAGACTGGAAAGCTAGTAACTGGGAGAATAAAAGTAGAGAGGAGAAGGGAGTGAGTGATTACAACATCGAACCCATGAAGTCTATATTTGTGGGAGAGGAGGAACGTCGGATAGCGTCGACGATGTTGCGCATCAGGGCGAGAGAGATGATCGAATTGCGTGATTACTGATGTCGGCAATGTCTGGTGACGATGTTGAAAGCTTCTTGATAGATTTCTGCCGAGCTGCAAGTGTTCGGTGAGGGGGATTTGTACTTGTATGTGAGACGGATCGTAGTTTCGCCTTCTGTCATTCTGATATAGCAACCCAGCTTTCAAGGTCATTATACACTGCGATTGGGTCAAAGTGCACAGAATCATTGACGAGGTACGAATGGATACACAAAGCACAGTTGCAATGGCACACTTGGAATCGGTGAAGCTGAGAATGCAATCTTTGGAGCTAAGGACGCAATATCATCAATCAATCTAGGCAATACACTTGCATCGCTAAAACCAAGCCCCTCCCTTCTTCTGTAACCAGATTTCTTACCACTCACCACCCCGCCCAATTTTACATAGCGTGCAGTTACCTATAACGTTGCTCCAACAAGCTTCGCCCAAGCCTCCGTGCTAAAAGACTTAGGTCGCTCAATGGGCGCACCAACCGCACGGTCAATGATCAGTTGTGGTAGGACACCAATCGCACGTGAAACACCGAAGAGGACTGTGTAGAAGCTAGCTTCGGTCAAGCCGTAGTATTGAAGGAGAACACCCGAGTGCTATAACAGAAGTCAGCTCGCGCCCTGCATTATGGTAGAGCTAAGGGGCCACTTACAGCATCAACATTAGGGAACGGATTCTTCGTCTTCCCATGCTCTGTCAAAACTCCTGGGGCGATCTTATATACCTGGCTGACCAGCTTGAACATTGGGTCATCAGGCAAGTGACGTAGAGCAAACTCGCGCTGAGAGACGTAGCGGGGGTCGGTCTTGCGTAGGACGGCGTGGCCATAGCCGGGAACGACTTGTCCAGATTTCAGAGTGGACCAGAGATAGTCCGTAATGGCCTTGTCGCTGAGATCGCTACCAATTTGCTTCTTCATCTTTTGCAGCCAGTTGAGGACCTCTTGATTGGCTCTGCGAAATTAGTCAGCGGTGTGGTTTTGGAGGGGTAGAAAGGGAGACGAACAATCCGTGCAGCGGGCCAGCTAGGCCGTTGAGACCTGCTGAGAGTGAGAGCATGGGAGAGCTGAGAGCGCTGCCGACCAAGTGCGTAGTGTGAGCGCTGACATTGCCGCCCTCATGGTCGGTGTGGATTGTGAGATATAATCGCAGTAATTCGATGAAGTCTTTGTTCTCGCTGAAGCCGAGCTGGTTGGCAAAGTTGTAGGCGTAGTCCTTGTCCTTCTGTACAGCAGGCACTTTGCCATCTTTGTAAACGTTGCGGTAGATTCTGGCGGCGATGGTCGGTAGCTTGGCAATCAAGTCCATTGAATCTTCGAATGTGTGGCTCCAGTATTCGCTCTTGGGCATGCCTTTGGCGTAAGCTTTTGCGAAGGCAGATTCGTGTTCGAGAGCTGTGACCGCAAGGGAGAACTGAGCCATTGGATGGAGGTCATTGGGGCAGCGATCAATGAGCTCTTCGATGAATTTCGGAACGTCAGAGCGGGCGGCCCATTCTGCTGAGAGATCTCGGACTTGTTCTTCGCTGGGAACTTCGCCGGTCAGAAGGAGCCAGAAGAGACCTAATGTCGATCAGCTTTATGGAGAGTCTGGGAAGTCCGCAGGTCTTTGTACCTTCCGGCAATGGTTCTTCTCCGCCAGGAGCTTTGGGCAGCAGTTTTTGACATTCGGGAATTGTCTTCCCTCGGAACCGAATGCCTTCTTCTGAGTCGAGGACAGAGCCTTCCCAGACCAGGGATTTGATACCGCGCGCTCCACCGTAGACTTGGTCCAAAGTCACCTCGCCAATGACCTTGGAGCCGAATTCTTTTCTCAGCTTCTTGATCTTTTCAATCTCGCCTGGGAGCTTCTCGGCAAATGACTCTTTGAGTGTCTAGAAGGCCAGTCAGCTAGCTCATCCAGTGCGGTAGGCGTTAAGCCTACTTGTGATTTAGCTGAAGAGTAGCATCGTAAGCCATTGAATGCGGCAGTTTTAGCTGGAGATCGGACGGAGCTCAATGCTGGGCGCAGGGCAGCATTGCTGAAACGTAGAGCTGTTGCCATAGTAGTGTATGGGAATGTCAAAAGTCAATTAGGTTGTGGTGTTGCTTTGAGAGAGCTGGGCTTTCAAAGGGAAAAGAAAATGCTCTCATCAGCTCAACGTAATAATGTCCGGCTACAATGCCCGCCCGCTAGTCTAAAGTACGGTAAGGTATGTAATGCCGATAATTACCGATTTATCTCGGGCACTCTCAAAGTACCTACCTACTTTTATTCTCCTGTCCTTTCCTCTGTGCCTCTGTGTACTCTCGACTCTGCATCTGACCGATCTGCTTGCTGGCTTTCATGTCTCCACCTGTCTTCAACTCTTAGGTCTCAACCTCATTCATCAGCTGCTCTGTTCCCATTCAAGACGAGTGGCACCACCGGGATCAGAATCACTTGGCACTCCGAATCGGAACTTGCCGGATTCCATTAGCGTGAAATTCTCAATCATAATGTCCGCTTTCCACCTTGATTCCTGCCAACCTTAACATCATCCACAACAATCACCTTCTATCACCACACGGAAGAAGAGAATCGAACACGCATCAGCATACGGTTTAAAGTGTAGCGGAGGTCAAGATCTTGCATCAGCAGTACTTTTGCTGGTTGTGGTGGCTCTGTTGATCGTCTTACTCAGACCTCGATTCGTGCGACACTCCCGCACCAGTTCTGTGACTATTCACCACTTCTGCACTCTTACGCCTCCAGTCACCACATTTCGACACTCACCTTTAAGCTCACACCTTCCTTTCTCTCCTTTGTCACTTCAATAGCAAATACAAAGGGCATTACTCGCCTCTGCTGGCAAGGCAATTAGTCGTACTGCGACCGTAATTTGTTCCTCGATCAAAGGCACAGCTGAAATTGGCTGGAGTAAGCTGTATCTATCGATCTTCTGACATCGCAGCCATGTCTTGCGTAGCAGAGCTCGACGCCATCCTGCAGTCCATGCTAGCCCTGAAGCCACCTGGGGTCACTGGGGGCAAGATCTCGAGCATCACCACTCTCTGCAATGCAAACATCCAAGTACGTCTGCTCATGTAAACCCGTCCCTTCTCGTTCAATCAACAGTCACTAACCTCCCTGGCTCCTTACAGTCCGAAACCGTCCTCATCCAACGCGTCTACACACACTTCAAAAAGGCTCCTGCATCACATAAGCTAGGCGTTCTCTATGTTGTAGACTCTGTAACACGAGCATGGGTAGAGCAGGCACGCAAGGCTGGGCAGACTTTTGGCCCATCTGCACCAGATGGTACTTTCGCTGCCGGTGTCAATCGTGTTACTGAATTGTTGCCTTCTTTCATGACAGATATCCTCACCAACTGCCCTGAAGAACAAAAGGTACGATTCCTAGAGAGCATGCTTGGGGCTATGGATCAGTTGGTCATCAGCATAGGTGCTTGCGCTGCTGTGGCCACTCTGATCTGTCGACATAAAAACAAGAAAATCCCTCCTTCCCCCGTACTTGTCTGTAATTCCATACTCACGTATACTTCTGCGCATTAGGCTAGACTGTTGAAGCTCATTGACATTTGGGAACGTGGAAGTACTTTTCCGAGCAACATGCTTGACGGCTTTAAGCAGAAGCTAGCAGCTCCCATTCCCTACGGTAAGATTTCCCCCAAAATCAATTGCTTCTGAGAACGAGGAAAACGCAATTGGGTGTAATATGGCTTCTGATACATTTCTTTGGTCTGTAGATCCTCGATCAACGACGCCCGCTGGAACCCCCCCAAAGGAGTTCATCCCCCTCAACGAATCAAATGGGAACATCGCAACTGCTGGTGCTCCCCGAGCGGACACATCGCAGATTCTGAAGGCTCTCGCAGATATGGCTAAGACGAATACTACTGCAGCGCCTGGAATGCCTTCCCAGGCTAGTCCAATCAATGTACCAAACTTACAGAATGCATATCAGCAGCACATGAATTCGTCCGTAAACCCAGCTGCTTCTGCACCGCAATATGTTCAGCCTGTAAATGTACCAGGAGCCGCAATCGGCGCAAACCCATTTGCTGGAGTCATGAGTAGTGCTTCGAACTTTGGTCTGAATCAGGGTATGCCCAGTGGGCAGACAAACGTGCACGCAAACCCAGTGATGCCGCAAGGCACCACGCCTGAAGCTCTTCAGCAACAGGTCCAACTTATTCAAATGCTGCAAGCGCAAGGTGTCCCACAAGACCAATGGGCCACTGTGCTTCAAGTTCTCATGGCTGCTGGCACTGTTGGTGGTGGTGCTGCCAGCGCTCCAGCCCAACCCAGCTGGCAGCAAAATGGAGGGAGGGATGACTCATCACGTGATCGTAATGGGTATGATAACTCGTACAATATGCGCTCCCCTTCCGGCCGATATAGAGGCCATCGTTCGCGCTCCCGGTCACCAAGTGGCTATAATCGACGTCGCGAACCTACTCCACCTCGTCGGCGGGATAGTCCTAGCTACGGCGACTATGGTCGTGGCGGCAGGTCAGGCCGCCAAGAGAGAAACCGAAATGAATATCGTCAAAGAAGCCCACCAGCTCCTTATCGTAGGAGTGACAGTCCCGGACAGGAACAGGTGTTGCCACCCCCAGGACCGAGAAATCTGCAGTACGACCATTCGCTTCCCCCTAACCACATCAAGGGTAAGCCGAGCCAGCCCCACGAAAGAGTGCTCAATCAATACTGACAATCATAAAGTCCTCAGTCGGACTCTGTTCGTCGGCGGTGTAACGTGAGTGAATTGATTATCCAGATATCCCAAATGTTTCTAATCATCTCCAAGTTCCCCGGAAGATGTTCTGCGGGGAATATTTCAGGGTTTCGGAATAGTGCAGACATGCATCGTTAATGTCGACAAGCGCCACGCCTTTGTCAAGATGCTTTCTCGAAGCGACGCAATGACTGCAAAAGAAGGAATGGAGCGTTATAAATCAGCTGAGATGCAGCTTCGAGTAAGTCCATTATCACCCTTCCCATTCAAGCACCTCTTCGGCCCCCATGGTCTTCCTTTACTGACTTACATAATCTAGACTCGCTGGGGTGTCGGCTTCGGGCCCCGTGATTGCAGCGACTACCAGACTGGTATCAGCATCATTCCCATCGACCGCCTCACCGATGCAGATCGCAAATGGATGTTATCAGCAGAGTATGGTGGTACAGGTGGCAAGTCCATCGAGCCAGGGATCGTCGTCGAAGAGCCGGATATTGAGATCGGCGCTGGTGTCTCGTCCAAAGGTAACGCGCCTCCGCCCTCTTCTCCAGTTGATTTCTAATACTGATCTTCTACATAGCAATCAGCAGACGTATGGCTACAGACAAAGGCGGTCAGCAAGGCCCGCGCTCTACTCGAGATCCGCCGACCAATTCGAACCCTCCACCCCAACAGCAACGCTACCGTCAGCCAGAGCGCAACGACAACCATGACAACAATACCATCGGCGTTGCTCCTGCTGTCCCTGGCTTTGGCTTTCAATTCCCTGGCATGCCAAATGGTTTCCAATTTCCGCCTGGGTTCATCATGCCCGGGACTACGCCAGCGCAGCCCCCGCCACCTGGGGCTACTTGAATGCTCTCAAAGCAATTTCTCCTGTGAATTAACCGACGAGCAGCAAGGCATTCAGGGCATTATCGGTTCTAGCGACATACCCACAACGGCGTTCGACGACGGACTTGCGCACTTCTTCCAGGCACGGCGTTACGACCGATAGCCGACTATTTATTTAGTTCGCTCAGGCAGCTGCACTCCAGCAAAGTTTCACGTACGAGAGTTTTACCCAATTGTCTGCGGAATGCAAGGTGGTGGAGAATCTTGCTAGGATAGCGATGTATTTTCCAGAGATGGCTGCTCATCCCAAGGCAGCAAGAAGTACTTGCTTATGCGTGTACTTTAGATCAGAAGCAAGCTTGCATGCAACGATGAGATGCAATGACAATCAAACTTCACCAGACCAATGATGCAAAATTAAGGCCCTGATATACAGTCTCGTAGTGCATGCTTGGAATCTCGTACTATACGCCTATTCTCTATCCCTCTCTCGCTCTATCTACCATCTCACGACGTTCCCAAACCTCCCACCACCATCTCTTCACACCCCAACCATGCCCCAAAAACAACAACGGCCATCACAATCGTAATAACCAGCCACATCTTCGGCGCTGACTTGCCTAGGCCTGGCTCTCTATCACGCATGTCGTCTCCCTCATTCTTGCAGAGGGTTACCGACGCGCGATTGTTCTCCTAGGAACGGGCGACTTGATCGATCGCTGCGATCGAGAGGAAAGTTTTGGTCGGAGAGTGGTTGGAGAAAGGAAAGGGAGTAGTTTGGGCTTTATCGGACCGTTGATTCTCGAACATGGTCGATGATGGCACTGGGTCAGCTTCAAGGGTGGAGATGAGAGGAGAGAAAAGGGGTCTTGTTCACCTTTTATTTCGAGTCTTCGACTATTTTACAAAGTTAGGAGAGGCAGTCATTGCTGAGTCCCGTAGTCATTGGTGAAGAGATCGTCTTGGCAACAGGTAGGGTATTCTGATGGCCGTCACTCGATTACTCGGTCACGCTATTTCGAAAGAAGAAAGAATATTACATGTAAAGGCTGGGCTGACTGGCTGCATTTGTTTTTGTCGTGCCTCCCTTCTCCAATCACTCTTTGAGGTATATACCCACTATGGCAAGAGCGTCCCAGCTTCTGTTTCCTCGCAAACCATGTATGCAGCATGCTTACCTTTCCAACCCACCTTGCTCTGGCACCTTACCCATCAGCGTTTACAGCAATTTTGATTACAGCCCTTCTCGTTGCATACTAAAACGTATATCAATCTTATATGTCCGAAGAGTACGAGATGGACGCTACGACGGCTGGTACAACCGCTGCTGGCACAACTGCTGTCAATTCGCCCACTCGGCAGCGCTCCGACGAGAATCGAAGGCCCAGCAATCCAGGGCGTTTTTCTCCCGGCATCCAAATCGGCGGGTACTACAACCAGGAGAAATCCACCCTTCAAGATGCTCTAGCCCAGCTTTCACCCAACGAGCCCGATACCGTTCCCGCGAACACTGATCCCATCGAGGATTTTGACGCACTGCTTGCCTCGCTCGAGTCAGATGACGAAGAGGAGCTGTCCATCGAAGACGAGATTCCTACTGTTGGAGAGGCTAGAGCCGTTCCCAGTTCGCTGCTAGAGACAACTCCCGATCAGGGCTTAGATGACGCCGAGGTCCTCTCGAGGAGGAAGCGGTATGGGTGGAACATGATGAAAGAGGAGAATCGTAGCCATCTGAAAACGTTTCTTATGTTCTTTGTTGGGCCGATCCAGTGTGTCATGCTTGTAAGTCAGGATGCGTATCCCTCGAGCCGATTTCCTGTCGAGGCTCATTCCCCTGGACATCAGTCGGTTTCCAGCTGACATGACTTTGGTAGTTGGCGTTTGTCCTTGCCGCGGGCCTGCAAGACTGGATCGATCTAGGAGTCATTGCTGGCTTGCTCTTGCTCAATGCAGTTGTTGGCTTCATTCAAGACTATCAAGCTGGGAATATTGTCAAGGAACTCAAGAAGACGCTGGCACAGAAATGTACAGTCTTGCGCAACGGTGGGATTCTGGCCGAAGTGGATGTGCCTAGCCTCGTTCCGGGGGACGTCGTCCATCTTGATGAGGTACGTTTCGATGAGGTTTCGAGCCTGAGCAATCGGATGCAGAAGGTATTGACATCGACGGCTCTAGGGCACCATTGTACCAGCGGACGGTATCCTAATTACTTCTGGGGCCTACTTGCAGGTCGATCAATCCTCGATTACCGGAGAATCGCTCGCTGTGCAAAAGAGAATGAGTGAAACGATTTACCAGTCTTCCACGATCAAGCGCGGAGAAGGCTACATGATGGTCACGGCAATCGGTGACAGCACGTTTGTTGGCCGCTCTGCCGCCCTCGTCAATGCTGCCGCAGCAGGCACCGGTCATTTCACTCAAGTGATACACGGTATCGGTAGTGTACTACTGGTCCTCGTCGTAATCACACTGTTCATCGTCTGGATTTCCTCATTCTATCGCTCAAACCCCATCGTTCAGATTCTTACATTTACGCTCGCCATCACGATCATCGGCGTACCAGTTGGTCTCCCGGCCGTCGTCACTACCACAATGGCTGTTGGTGCGGCTTTCCTAGCAAAGAAGCGCGCTATTGTACAGAAGTTGTCCGCCATTGAATCCCTTGCTGGGGTTGAGATTCTGTGCAGTGACAAGTAAGTTAAGGCCACTTCCCAAGAATCTTCCACAATCGACCGGACTATTACTCAACCATCTTCTCTGAGGGGCTGTTACCTGAAGTATTAACCATGAGCGAGTCTGGATACTAACATCTTGTCTCAAGGACCGGTACCCTAACAAAGAACAAATTATCGCTAGGAGAACCGTACACTGTTGAGGGAATCGACACTAGCGAGCTCATGCTCACAGCATGCCTTGCTGCTTCACGCAAGAAACGTGGAATCGATGCAATTGATAAAGCTTTTCTGAAGGCAATCAGGCGTTATCCTGGTGTCAAAGACATGCTCATGAACTATCAGGTGGTTGAGTTCACACCGTTCGACCCCGTCTCCAAGAAAGTAACCGCTCTCGTGCAATCAACTCGAGGTGAACGGATAATTTGTGTCAAAGGAGCACCGCCAAGCATCATGAGAATGGTCCTCGAAGCCGGTCCACTATCCGAAGAGACAGTCCAACAATACAACGAGAAAGTGGCTGGGTTCGCAAGCCGTGGCTTCCGTTCCCTTGGAGTTGCTCGCAAGCGAGCCGGCAACCCTTGGCAGCTCTTGGGTATTATGCCCTGTTCCGATCCGCCTCGTCACGACACCGCCAAGACCATTCGAGAAGCCATTGATCTTGGGTTGAAGATCAAGATGTTGACGGGCGATGCGGTTGGGATTGCCAAGGAGACCTCTCGTCAACTGGGCCTAGGGGAAAACGTTTACAACTCTGAGAGGCTCGGACTCGGTGGTGGAGGGGACATGCCAGGATCTGCAATCTATGACTTCGTTGAAGCCGCAGATGGTTTCGCTGAAGTCTTCCCTCAGCATAAGTACAACGTGGTCGATATCCTGCAACAGCGAGGCCACTTAGTTGCAATGACAGGTGACGGTGTGAATGACGCTCCTTCGCTCAAAAAGGCTGATACCGGGATCGCTGTGGAAGGGTCCTCGGATGCAGCACGTTCTGCCGCCGATATCGTATTTCTCGCACCTGGCCTTTCGGCCATCATTGATGCAATTAAGACTTCACGACAGATCTTCCACAGAATGCATGCGTACGTGGTGTACCGTATTGCATTGTCTCTGCACATGGATATTTTCTTGGGCCTCTGGATTGCCGTGCTCAACGAGAGCTTGAAGATTCAACTTGTGGTATTCATTGCCATTTTCGCAGACATTGCTACACTTGCAATCGCATATGACAGGGCGCCATTCTCGCGGACCCCGGTCAAGTGGAATTTGCCAAAGCTATGGGGTATCTCCGTCATTATGGGGCTCATCTTGGCTGGAGCATCATTTATATGTCTCACAACAATGGTGCTTGCTCAAACTCAAGATGGCATTGTAAAAGGGGGTATAGCCGAGAAATTTGGCAAAAGAGACTCAATTCTGTTCCTCGAAATCGCTCTGTCGGAGAATTGGCTGATCTTTATTACTCGTGCTGATGGCCCGTTTTGGACTTCTTGGCCATCCTGGCAGCTGATATCGGCTGTTTTGACGGTTGATGCTGTTGCGACTGTGTTCTGCGTATTTGGCTTGCTCAACGGCGGGCAGAAGGAGCCGGTAAAACACCTTGTCACAACGGCACGAGTGTGGATCTTTTCCTTTGGTGTGTTTTGTTTGATGGCTGGCGTCTACTACCTTTTGAATGATTTTGCAGCATTTGATCGGATAATGCACGGAAAATGGCCACGGGAAAGGAAGCACAAGAATAAAAACATGGAGGATTTAGGTACGTTGATTCTCAGAACTGATCATTTGGTGGGCGAGCGCTTAAATTCGTGGCGCAGCTTTCGCTCTGGATAGGCTTTCTCGGCAGCACGATAAGGCGGTTTAAGGGGCTGCTCCGGGGCAACGGAGGGAACTCTGGGGTTGGAATTCGGGGCGTCAAAAGTTCATTTCTAGGGTCCAGGGGCATTATTATTGTAGAATAATTGTAAACTTTTCTGGCCTGATATGTTGTACCCTTCAATGAATATTGGCATCCTTGATTCCATTACACGGCTTGATATAAATGAAAGGCTGCATAAAATATTCAGAAGTCATACAACTTAACGGACACATACGCGGACAGCTATTTGAGATTGTCCGCCCATTGTTGTAATGCCTACTTTAATCGTCTCTGCCCGTTTCAGCAATCCGAAGCCATATATCCTGCCACGCACGGATTTTTCACCCATAACGGCATGCTCCTCCTGATTTGCCGTGCTTCCAAAACACTTTGTCTTCCTACCTTTCTTGACCCTTCACTCCGACCTTGTTGAAAAAGACATCTTTCAAGAATCATGCCGCCTGCACTCCCAGGCTTCTATTATGACGCCGAGAAGAAAAGGTATTTCAAGATCCAACCCAATCATGTTGCAGCACGTGGATCAGCGAGTAAGTACTCGAAGGCGGCCCTGGAGAAGGAAGCCGAGGAGCAGCGCGAGCAGAAGCGGAGGAAATTGTTTGAACAAAGGGAGACGGAGATGAAAGTGAAGCGGTCAAAGGTGCTAGAGAGTCCACTCGGTGGGGGATGGGGTGTTACGAGGGAGCTCGGCGTGATGAAACTTGACCGCAATACCATCATGAGAGCCTGGGCGCAGGGTCTGCACAGAATGGAAGTTTCGAATTTCCGTCGCCCCGACGGTGGCTCTGGAACATTCGTGTACGATACGGCCATGGGGGTCCTTACGCATGCTGAGGCGCTCCGTGGCAATGGAGCCGATGCTTTATTTATCGTGTTCGTGGACATCTCGGTTGTGACTTTGGGGACGTGATGCTGATGATGCGCATTTTTAGGAACCATATTGTGCCCCCTGCTTGTAATTTGGGAAGGGGTAGTTGGGTTGAGTTGAGCGGGCTGTCGGGTTGGCATGTTTTCGATACTCAGGTAAGTTTCCACGAGATGAGACGGTGGTTTTCGGCTGATGGCCTGGTGTGTGTTAGATTACCTCGATGGACATTTCGCCTTCAAGGGTGCTCATGTGAGTACCGCGTGTTTATCTGCTTATGCTCTGTTGTCTCCTACTCCATGTTGATTTAGCTTCACTCATTGTTTCTGCCATGCTTGCTTTGACACACCCTTTATCCTACATCTTTGCCCAACGTCCCTCCACCAAGCTCCGTTTCCTCTCGTCCTTTCGTCCTTTCGTCCTTTGGAGGCTTTTTGTTCTTCAGTTTTCTCTCTCCAGAATTGGTGTATCGTCAATCGACAAACATGATTCGATCTACTTATGCTCCAATAGGACGACAACAATGGGCGGCAGCCAACCAGCTTGCGTTCACCTAACCAAACTCATCCAGCCGGAACAGTGGAGGGCGCCGTACCAGGGCTATACAAGGGCTCGATCACATGAACGACATAATGATCCGCTATCGTACACAAGCGATGTCTCTACCATCATCCGCCCCCAAACGAATACTACGTTCTGGGCTTCCTCTTCCCGCCCTGACCCCACGATTTCTGATTTTGCTATCGCCACAACGTGCGGTACTGTACTTGTTGCGGAATCTCAATCTTCGTGGACATTTGATCGAATCCAGACCTTCAAGTACGAGGACCCTGACGCCAGCCCCGAGGTGCTGGCTGTTGACTGGCTCGACACGAATGTCCTACTCAACGGATGTCGAGACGGTACAGTGAGATTATGGGATGCGAGGACTTGTGGCGCCAGTGGGACGAGTTGGAGAGTGAAGCATCCGAGTTGCATCAATCACGTCAGGAGGGTCGACGCGAATAGGATCGTAGCTGCTGGGTTGGAGAGGCAGATGGCGGCTTACGATTTACGTTACATACGACCCAAAGACGATCTCGCCAATGGTGTCACGAGACCTTACGTGGAGTTCCCAGGGTACAACAATAAAGAGCTCAATGGCATTGGGGTCGGATTTGACGTTTGTGGGAATCTTGTTGCGGCAGGTACGGATGAGGGAGGGGTGCAGATTTTTGATGGGGCGAGTGGGCGAGAGGTGACGGTGGGCATGGGAGGGGATATGGGCAAGGATTTAGGAGGGCCGGCGAGGTGTTTGAGATTCGTGGACACAGAGCAACGGAGGGATGGGAGAAGATTGTTTGTGGAAGGTGCGAGAGGGATTGAGCAGTGGACTTGGTGATAGTGAAATCTATGATGATGACCTTATATATGATGTAGGAATTAAGATGATGTCGATGATGTCAATGATGTACATTTATCTTGATCAAGAGACGAAAATGATCCCTCGATCGTATGTAAGTAACCCTCAGCCCTATATCTAATCAACATGGAAGCGGAGAGGTGTTTATACATTGAGGTGGGCTTGAGCCCAGCCAACAGCTTGCCAGATAGGGGTAGGTATCCATCCGAAAAGCTGGCCCTTTCTATACAATCGTATTGAATGCCGGTATCAGCGTCTGCGCAAGCCAAAAGCTAAACACCAGTTTCGGGCCGGTCATCAACAACTTCGGCGTCAACCCCTTGAAGAAACTCGTAAACCCTTCATTCTTCATCATGCTCCCCACAATCTTGAATCCGCTCTCCGGATTCTCGAAATTCCGATTCTGTATCCTCGTTTTAATCACATCCAACGGGGCCGACACAAGCAAGGAGGCGGTTGCACCAGCGATTGAGGCAACGAAGTTCTGCATGAAGCCGGCTGAGTTATAATCATCGAGTTTGTACAGGTATTGTTTCGCGGCTGCTGAACCACCAAAGAGAGCGAACGAGCCGGGGGCGTTACGGGCGGCGGTCCAGCCGGCGCCGCGGTAGAGTCCCATGCCTTCGTCCGCTACTATTCGGAAGACACCGCGGCCGCGGAAGGCCTCGGGGTTGGTTTGGCGTTTAATTTTCAGGACGTCGAGTGGGAGGAGGACGATTTCGCCTATGCCGATGAAGCTATGCAAACCAGGTCAGCTTTATTCGGGCCAAGCTCTAAGATACTCAGTGACATGCCTTCCGGCAGTCGCATGCATGATTGCCTTCCCGTTACCCTTTCCAAACGTTCGGTCGAACTGGTCTCCGTGATGTAATGCTAGATAGTCTCTTGCGAATGGCTGGCCGCCATACTTGTATATGCGTTGCAGCACCTTATATCCTGCAGCATAACCCAGCCCCGGAAATAAAGAGGTAAATTTCTTCCCAACTGTCGCATGAGCTGTATCTCTGAAAACCACTTCATTTAGTCTAGCAGCTGATGCGACTTTTCCTTGGTTGCTCATCAATCGTTTGGCGATGGTATCAACTGGGTGGAATATGGCGAGTTCGGCGATCCCAGCGGATCCTGAGGAAGGTCAGTGGCTATGGATGGGTAGGAATTGAATTGATGTACCCGACCCCAAGAGTCTGGCAGCGGCCGATTCTTTCTTGAACTCTTTTGCAGCGGAACTGGCGACGGTCTCCACCACCTGCGGAGCCATTCCCCTTGGATTCCCTTGGGTCTCGCGGCCCGTCGTATGATGGGAGGAGAGCTGCTACAAAGACTGTTTGTACAGGAAGCCCGGGGTCCGCAATACAATAGACCGAAAGTTGGATGCAAGCGGGCGGGTAGTAGTGAAGAGAAAAGGAGTGGATCAAAAGCACAGAATCATTAAATCCAAAATTTGGTTCACCAGGGCAGTTGAGACTTGAGAAGAGTAAAGTATTTTAAGGTTTTCCTATTCTGCTGTGTGCCAAGGCGCTAAAAGCGGTCAGTGCCGGGATTATCCGCTGAAGCCAATGGAACCGTGCGCATTTACCTTGACCTCGCCAGCCACTCTCCCACCTGAGAGGGCCTCTCCCCCTCCTCCCCCCTCCCCAGCCCATTCTTGTTTATTTTCCTTCCCAGCTTTCTTCCACCTTTCCAGCCTTCCCTTCAATCAGTCCCAGCCTCCGGCAGGCTCATTAAACATATCATCACTATTTTAAAGTTGTGGTCTCCTTGAGCCTACACTGTCCTTTCGTTTCTATCATGTCCTGGCTTCGTCGACTGTCTAGAGATCGCTCATCCAAAGGCGAGCAAGATCTTCCAATGCCTTCCAGACCCTATTCCAAAGATACCAATAATTACGACCCTCAACAAATACAAAGTCCGCCCTACAAAGACACTCAATACTCGAGCGGTTTCAATTCTCAAGATAAATTGCAATCCTTTCGACCCTCTACTGCCGGCGACCAGGGTTACAATACCACCCCTCGTGGAGGCCCTGTCACATCGACTGATGTGAACAATCGTCCAATCACTTCGACAGCAGTGGAACCCACACCCGATCCCTTGAGCAAGGCATTCAATGATGCCATCCGACCCTACCTCGATCAAATTGAGGATCTCAAGAATAAGGTCGAGGACACCAACTATCAGCTTCAGCAACTCGAGGATGAGCGCGCAGACATGCACGCCTGGATTGACAAGCGCGGTCTCAGAGCTGGTGAGTCTCGAACCAATTGATGTCACACCGAAGCATACTGACTGTCATCAGATGTACCTCCATCCATTGCGAACGCAATGAACAGCGACCCAACCTCCGCACAGACCCTCAACTACCAGCTCGATCGCAAAATGACCGTGCTCAATCACGACCTCCACCGCCTTCAAGACTCCCTCTCCTCGCACCTCCCAACAGCCACATTCGCCAGCACCCTTGCGCAGCTCATTCCGTCCATCGAAGACTTATCTGCTCTGCCTGGCGGCCCTGCGCTCGCATTCGAGCTCATCATCAAGCTTGGCGGAAATCTGAACTCACACGGCGGTGATGAAGGCTGGAACAACGACGCCGACGCGAGCAGCCGGGCAGAGTTCTACAACCGGCTTGATGACTGCATGTTGGACATTGTGCGACTGCGACTCGCGCCTGCGAGTGGAGAGGATCCACCATGGCAGGTCGGAAGGGACATCAAGAGGCTGGACAAGACGGGAGCTTTCTTGAGGACCAAGCTCGGTCTGCAGACTTACTTCCCAAGGAGCCTGGAACTCATGAAGAGAGGGGAGTCTCGGGGCGCCCAGTGATCTCTTTTCCAGGCGTTGTAGATCGATTTGATCGCATGTATCGACACACGGCGCAAAGAGGATGTTCGAAAAGAATTATAAGGATGATTACAAAAAAGTAAGCGATACATAATTGGATGTCAGCATCGGGCTTCAACAAGTGGAAATGGAGGAAACTAAGCCTGCTTCATGATCACGGTCCTTTTCTCGTACCTAATGTCAACGTTTGAATAGACGAACATTCATTCCATTAACCACACATGAATTCGCCAAGACAGATTCCCGTCACAAATATTGTGCCTATCTGTTTATCCTGGTCATAAGTGATTGATTGCGTGAGAAGAGTACAATAACCTCCCCTCTGGCAGACATTTCAGATGTTCGGCCAGAAGCCCCAAAGGTATATTACGGTGGAAGCTCGTTCTCTATCGTACGCGATCGCGTAGCGAGGTTTGCCATCTCCATCTGCCAAAGAAGCTTGTTCTGTTCGGTACTTCGATACTCTCTGTTCGAGAGATAGCGTTGGGGCATTCTGATTTTGGTGCATAATCAACGAAGGAATGGACCAAGGTTGAAGACTCAGAGTATAATGAACGCTGGGGACGGGCATGCATTTGATGTCTCGAGTACAGCTTGAACCAGCTGGGCCTAGACCGAGGATTGAGAAGTCATTTTAAGCGACAAACAGCTAGTGAAATTGGAGCATTGCTGAATTGGCATCCCCTTGACTAAGTGTACACCTCTCTACCGCAACTTCTATGCAACAGCTTACATCTAGTTCTTCTCCAGATCTGCCAAAATTTTCTCTCCCTTTTGGCGTGCAGAGTCGATATCGCCGACCATGTAGAATGCACCTGCAAATTTTCATTAGCAGAGGAATATGTAAAAGTTTTTACTGTTGTATACGATTGCAAATGCATACCTTCTGGCAGATCGTCACCCTCCCCGTTCATGATGGCCTTGAAGCTACGAATGGTATCCTTCAAGTCCACAAGCTTGCCCTCAATGCCAGTGAAAACCTGTGCAACGGTAAAAGGCTGGCTCAAGAATCTCTGCAATTTTCTGGCACGCTCGACTGTCAACTTGTCCGCTTCCGACAATTCGTCCATTCCTAAAATTGCAATGATATCCTGTAGCGACTTGTACTCTTGCAACATCTGCTGCACGCGCGACGCGGTGTCGTAGTGGTCTTGACCAACGACACGAGGGTCCAACATTCGGGACTTGGAATCTAGAGGGTCAACAGCGGGGTAGATACCCAACTCAGAGATACCGCGAGACAAGACAGTGGTGGCGTCCAAATGGGCAAAGGTGGTGGCAGGGGCAGGATCAGTCAAATCATCGGCTGGCACGTAGACGGCCTGCACAGAGGTGATAGATCCCTTCTGGGTTGTTGTGATACGTTCTTGCATAAGACCCATGTCGACGGCGAGAGTTGGCTGGTAACCGACGGCAGACGGGATACGACCAAGCAAGGCAGACACTTCGGAACCGGCTTGAGTGAAACGGAAGATATTGTCAATGAAGAGGAGCACTAACCAAGAGGTCAGCAAAGAAGTAGTTTCATAACCACGTCACTGCAGTTTCCTACCATCTTGGCCCTCCTCGTCACGGAAGTACTCGGCCACAGTCAAACCAGTCAGAGCGACCCGGGCACGAGCTCCTGGGGGCTCGTTCATTTGGCCAAACACCAAGGCGACTTTTGACTCGCCATCCAGGTTGATGACCTGAGTTTCTTGCATTTCATGGTACAGATCGTTACCCTCGCGAGTACGTTCTCCGACCCCAGTGAAGACAGAGAAACCACCATGGGCCTTAGCGATGTTGTTCTGCGGTCGAGTCAGCGCAGCTCCTTTAGACCAATCAGCTCATCCCAATGGGTCGCACAATCAGCTCTTGAATAAACACCGTCTTGCCGACACCGGCACCTCCGAAGAGACCAATCTTTCCACCACGAGCATAAGGAGCGAGGAGATCTACGACTTTGATACCGGTAATGAGCACCTCAGCGGATGTTGACTGTTCCACGAATTCAGGAGCATCGGCATGAATTGGCTTCTTCTGGGTATGTTTGATAGGGCCACGCTCATCAATTGGGTGACCCGTGACGTTCATGATACGGCCAAGTGTTCCTGGTCCAACGGGAATCATGATGGGGGATCCAGTATCAGTGGCCGACCGCCCTCGTACGAGACCCTCGGTACCTGAGCATGTGTCAGTATTGGTTTATCACAAAACAATCTCCAAGACGCAAATCTACCGTCCATGGCAATAGTTCGGACCACATTTTCACCCAGATGTTGCTGTCGAACAGTAAGCCTTGAAAGCAAATACCTCGTGGCATCAGATAGCTAGCGTACAGCAACTTCGAGGATCAATTTCTGGCCGGCATTCTCGGTTTCCAAAGCATTGAGGATAGGAGGTAGCGCATCAGTGTCAAACTTGACTATTTGCAAGAGAGTGGCATCAGCTAATGATCACGCCCTTCGTGGTCCATACCTGGCCACCGAGGCGCAAGCTTTTTCCAAGGCGTTTTGCATACCGTCTACGACAGCACCGATGACTTGGTGTATCTTGCCATCCCCTACACCACTTGCGAATCGAGCTCCAAGAGCTGGAGCGAGATTGCTTCTTATGGGTTGGAAGGCGCGTCGAGCTGCTGTTGGCCGTGCCAATCCAGAGGCTCTGAGAGTTCGAGCGAGCCCGCTGCATCCGAATCACCAGGGTTAGCGGGTGCCATTGAACTGAACAAGATACGAAGACAGAGTTTTGCGTACCTCTTCAACATTGTGATTGATGTAAAGGGACGGTGAGAGTCGGAGTGGAGTGTTGGACTTGGACTGATGGCAGTACTCAGAGCTTGATTGACAGAGGAGAAGATTAGGTTGAAATTCCATTTCCCGCTAGCATCAGCTAGCATCTTGACGCTAGTTGGTGAACCCAATTTGTGAACGACAACTACAATCATTATTGCTCACCTATGCGGAACATGATCAGTTGAGCTCTCACACCCAAGAGGAGCTCCATCGTCACGCTCAAGAGTAGCCTCGTTCATCATTCCATCCCGCCAACCACTTGTCCGACCTCCACAATGCTACGTTCGTTCCCTCGAGCCGCTCCATCCTCAATCCGAGGTCCATCAATTCGCAAATCTCTACGAAACCCCCGAACCACGCTCCCACTATGCACATCTGATGCAAAACAACAACAGACGCGCTCGGTCGCTGCTCATGCTATATCTAATCCGACTCTCTCCCAGATTGAGAAGCGATGGGAGGGCATGCCTCCTCAGGACCAGGCTGATTTGTGGATGGCATTGAGGGATAGGATGAAGAATGACTGGCACGAATTGACTCTGCAAGAGAGGAAAGCTGGTACGTGAGCATACTCTAGGTTCTTCACCGTGTAGTTCGAGTCCAGACGCTCTGCTTGCGTCTCCTTACGTCACATACGTCCAACGCGAAATTGGACCCCGAGCAACAGTTTTGCACGTGTGCGTCTCGTAATACTACAATTCTAACAGCATCCTAAAACACAGCGTACTGGATTGCTTTCGGCCCTCATGGTCCTCGCGCTCTCCCTCCGCCTGGCGAGAATTGGTATGTCTTCCGAATTACAATGCTCGGCATTGGCGTTTCCTTCGTTATTTTCTGCGCCATACGGACATTTGCACGACCAGAGCCAAAGACAATGAACGCCCAATGGCAAGAGATGACCAACGAGTATCTAAAGGTACGCAACGCTCACAAGCATGCCTGAGGCATCAATCTGCTTATCTCGAGCTTTATCTAACTAACGATGTCGTTTCGTCAGAACCAAAAAACCGAACCCATCACAGGTATATCATCCGAAGGCTATGTGGGCAAGGGAATGGTGCAGAGCAAGCCAAGGAAAGGGGGCGTTCCATCAGACGAAGACGAATAACTAGCGACAGAATAGTTGCTCCTGTATTCTACTTAGGTGCTTTGACAGCTTTTCAATCGGCTTTCGAGCATCAGTATCCGGTTGCGTTCCACCATGAGTTCAAAACACGAGAGACTGCAGGGAGCAGCTGGCAGAGAATTTGAGAACGTTGGCGTGGCATTCTGTTTATACTCGGGCACCTGTACAGACGCATAGAGCCATTTCACAGAAGAAATACACACTGGTAACTCTGGGGTTTCGCGAAGCTCAGGGGTTCTCTGGGCGCTGACAAGATCGGAATGCCTAGGAAATTATCATGAAATTAATGAGTGCTAGCAGTCTCGTCGCTACCTCTTTGTTCCACAATCTTCTTCTTTCTCCCGTGGAGAATGAGCAGACTATGGTATACCTACCAAGCGGATGCGCCTCTATCCTTCCGGTTGTCTATTTTTGCTCCTAGCCAGCGCCTTTCGCGATGCATTACCCATCCATGGTATCTTTTCATACTGTACAAATGTCTTTGGTTTCATCCCTCATCAGCAACACCCTCCACCCCACCCTCTCCCACCTTTTCCCCCGCCGATATCGTTCATCCCTACCCTCACAGTCCCGCCTCCACCCTTCCCTGCGGCACCAGCTCCTGGTCCCCGAACACCGCTCCTCCGGTCATTCAAATCATACCTTCCCCGCTCCACATTCTCATATATTCGTTCCGCTACTTCCAAAAACGCTTTCTCAACGTTCTGCCCACTCCTCGCAGAAGTCTCCACGTACGTCATCACCCCGTTCTTTTTGCACCACTCTTCTGCTTCGTCAACGGTCACAGCCCTTTTATTTGTGGCTTCCAATCCTTGCGCCTCGCCACTCGCTATGCCTAAAGTAACGGTGGTTGACGAAGCCAAATCACTTTTGTTGCCCACGAGGATAACGACAATCTTCTCCTCTGCAATCTGTCTGAGGTCATGTAACCAGGCCGTTGCATGCTCGAAGGTCGATCGCCGAGTTATATCGTAAACTAGCAGGGCTCCGGAAGCACCACGGAAGTAGGATCTGGTTATCGATTTGTAGGTTTCTTGACCTGCCGTGTCCCAGAGAGAGAGCTTCATGCGTTTCTGCTTGACTTCGCCCAACGGATGCGCAGGATCTTGAGGGTTCGAGGAGGTGGAATTGGAGGCGGGTGGCCCAACAGCGACAATGCGAGATCCAAATTCCACACCGATTGTCACGTCATGGTGAGGCGAGAAACGGCCCTCACAGAGCCTGATTGTGAGACTGGATTTGCCCGTGCCAGAGTCACCAATGCAAACGAGCTTGGCGATATAATCCCATGGTTGTGACATTGTTCTACCTTTATTATCGCCGGAGAGGATGGATGAGGACGGTTTGGGCGGGCTTGTCGGCTGCGTTACGAAATATTGTTACTTGATGATTTGTTCATGGAAAAGTTGAAGTGCCATGTTTCAATGTCAGTGTCGAGGACTAGGACTTGAGACATTTGATAGCCAACTCCTTGGAGAATACTTTCCGTTGTTTCAAGTTTCACAAGTTTCAACAGTGATGATTTATGATTTATGATTTATGATGCCTTTATGTCTCGGCATGCATAAAAGCATAAAGGCAGCCTAATATACTCTAGGTAACACCCGCGGCCTGAGCGCCCAGGCCAGCGTATGACCGTTAAAAGGCACAAGACTGACCCAACACTACCTCAAACATTTACGCGTGTGATATATTACTACTATTAGACAAGAATGATACTTGAGCATGAGACATACGCATCCATGCCCTAAAATCCCGTGATCAAACACCATCCTCTTTGCTGCTTCCAGCGCATCAGCACCCAGCGGACGTCATTGCTCTAGATACCTTATCGCTGTGGAGAGAGCTCACACCAAGACTGCCTCCTCGGAGGCATCAAAGGGGCTTCTGAAGAACGAATACCTAATTCAGTATGTTTTCTGAATGTGAGGATGCCTATACCCGTCTTGACCTTCTATTCGAAGCTTTCAACAGAACGATCAGGCTGACGAGGTGATACAGATGCCAGCCGGTTTCTTGCTCAGTCACAGTCCAGAGTTGGCTTGGGCCTGCCAGAAGAACCACCCAGAAATCCCCTACAAAGGCAACGGCGTCCAGAGCAGGGCTCTTCAAGGTTTCCTTCTTCAAGATCTTACCTTCAACGGCCCACCTTAGGCAACCCCTACCAAGCCAGCGCATCTCAGTTTTCGCAGTTTCCGTTCGCTTCACGTGCCGCTGCACCTAACGCCCCACTCTTCTACAGCGCTACAGATCAGTTCAGAGAGGAAGATGACGAAGAAGAGCACGAAAGAGAAGTAGCCGACTTCTACGCACTGCAAAAATCGAGACGACAATTCGGCGGAAGCCGCCTGGAGGAGTCTTCCGAGGCCGAGGATGATGGGAGCAGGGTTTCGGGGCTAGAAGAAAGCGGTGACGGTAGAGCTACCGAAGATCGGGGGTATGGCAGAGGTGGGGGTATCAAGAGCTCGTGGACGGGCGATAGGGCGCGAGGACGTGGTAAAGGAGTGGATACGGTGAAGATAGACCAGGATGACGGGATTCGTCTTGCAAGAGTAGAGAGTGAGGAAAGCAGCATTGGCAAAGGTAAGATGGTAGATGTTGGACTTGAGAGCGCGACCCGAAGCAGTACGGATGGTCTGGACGGGGACGATCCTCCAGACGACCTAGCTATTGAGATCCCACAGGACGATGACCCCCCATCGATACAACAATTTCGAAAAGCGCCAATAACACCATTTAATCCAGCATTACCTTTCTTACCCCAAGAGACGAGCCCTAACGATACTTACGGCAGACCTCGTCCACCAGAGTCAGACTCATCTTCAACCCCACCTACTGTCTCTTACCCTGTGGAGGAGCCCCCTCGGCATGATGCTTTCTGGGGTTCGTTGTACCTCATTTCGCTGGCAGCTTTGTTCGCAAGCTTTCTGCTCGTCTACCTGCACACTGCGGCGCCATCTCTCAAGCATCCCTTGGGCGATACCGTCTACACGACACTGCATGCATCCTACCACTTACTGGCGATTGACACTTTGGTGGCAGTGATCGTTTCCTTACTCTGGTTAGCAGTCCTACGATCCTATGTTCGACCACTGGTCTACATGATTCTTGTGGTTGTTCCTGTGATACTCTTCTCGTTCTTCCTCTACCCGCTCATCGCCAGCTATAGAGGGCAGTACCACGGGGCCAGCATACAGGACAAGGCAATGCGCTGGTTCGCCTTCATACCTGGAGTTCTAGCCCTCGTGTGGGCGGTCTCGGTCTATAAAGGTCGTCATTCAATGGGCAAAGCAATCAGTATCCTCGAATTCTGCTGCAGGATCCTTGCTGCCAACCCTGGCCTCCTTGTAGTTGGCTTCGCAACCCTCATCTGCGTCATAATATGGTCATGGTTATGGATGGCGATGTTCACGCGTGTGTTTCTTGGCGGCCACCTCTCGAATGCCAAAGCTTTCTTCATTATCGACGCCAGCACCTGGTGGCTCGGCGCGTTCTTCGTGCTCGTTTATCTGTGGACCCTCGGTGTTCTCTCCGGCATCCAGCGTGCTACAACTGCGGCGACAGTATCCCAATGGTACTTCCATCGCCTTAGCATCCCAGCGCCCACCTCCCGAGAGGTCATTAATGCAGCCTTCTCTCACGCCACTACAACCCTATTCGGCAGTATCTGCCTCTCCACGCTCCTCACGCTTGGCATCCGCCTCCCATTCCTAATCCTCCCTCGCCGCGTACTCGCTCTCGTAGGAATATGCTCCTACACCGTCATCCCTTCCTCAATCGCTACTCTCACCAACCCGTTAACCCTCACCTACAGTGCAATCCACTCGCAATCACTCACCACCTCCTCAAGGGCTCTCGCTCGCTTGTCATTCCTCGCTTCCAATGCTCCTCAATCGGCCAATTTCCGCGCTCGCAATTCGATACCCCGCACACCGCTACATTCGTACACCCTATCGCTCCTCCTCCTCCGCGCAACACGCCTCATCACATCCCTCGCCCTCGGCTTTGGAGGCTGGGTCAGCACAGCGCGCTCTCTCACTCTTACCAATGCTGAAGGTGCTCCGGGATCTACCATCAAAGGCAGTCTCTACGCCTACGTGGTAGGACTGATAGCAGCGGCGATAGGCTGGGGAATCCTCGGCGCTATGGACGGAGTAGTGGCAGGGGTAGTGGACGCGGTGGTTGTCTGTTGGGGAAGCGAGGTAGGCAGAGGGCAGGGAGAAGTCAGGTATTGTAGAGAAGCGGAATGGTTGTTTGGAGATGATCCGGCAGGGGCGGATGAAGAGGCCGAAGGTTTCCTAGGAGGGAGAAGGTGATTTGGATGTTTGATAGCAAGCGCATAGACGGAATCTGCTTCGAGCGAGTGCGTTATCATGGATGACCATTTTTGGATGGCATGAATATGTAGGGTATGATGGTTCAACGATCGAGACGATGAATTATATTCTTACTCATCTTCCTGATAATTGGAGTCTTTCGTAGCTGCACAAGATCGTTGCTGTATTGGGTCCACTCCTCCCATAAACGTGACGTCTTAAAATATGTGTGAACGATGTCTACTATGGTATGTAGACGCAGACCTTGCATTTCGATGCCTCTGACACAGGGCATAGCAAGCAAATGTCCATACCGTCTCGTTGAAAGGCTATGTCAAATTACACGCCCTTCTCTCGCTAATAACCACTCTACCGCCTGGGCCCTTTTCCAGCCGCCGCAGCCTGCCTCGCCTTCATTCTCCTGAAAGCGTCCTCACCACTCGCGCCCAACGGTCTCGCAAACATGCCTCCAGCCACCTGTCCGCTCCTTGGCACAATAGTATAAGTCTTCCTATCGACTTCCACTCTAGCTCTGTTGTTCGTTTTAGGCGGCGCCAAAGCCCTCTCCCTAGCTTGGCTTGCCGTCTCAACCGCCGACAGGGGCTGGGATTGCTTTTGGCGGGGGGCAGTGGGATCATAGTCTGCGGACGCGAGGACACGCTTGCGGTAATCATCACTTCGTTTGAGAATCGGGCGAGTCCATTCTCCCAAAAGACGCTCTGCGGCGCGTTTGATGGAGAGCTCGGGCTTTTTAGATTTGGTGTAAAAGAGGACTACCTTGCCGATGCCGCTGGATATCAGGCTTTCTTTATCGATCGGCAGTCTTGCCAAGCTGGCGAAAAGCTCGCGCTGGATGTTGTAGGCCGGTAGGGAGCCGTCGGAGAGGGGCTCGAGGAAGAAGCGGACGGATTCGAGAAGGTTGTTCTCAGGGTCGACGATGGCGTTTTCCACCTCACGACTGTTGCGGTTGAGGAGCGCGGTCACTTCGGGGAGGAGACGGAGCTTGTGCATGGCTGGTTTTGGGGGGGTGGAGTTGCGGGCTGTGACATCGAGTTCGGCGGCTTCGGCCATGCGGTTGCGGAGGTTGGCAATTTCCTCATCGGCAAAGCTATTGAGGTCCTAGATGGATTGTCAGTGGAGCTTAAAGGCTGATATAAGATGGAAGAGATGTACCATTTCGCCTGCCCTGCGGCGTCGCTTGGTTGGGTTCTTGAGGGCAGCATCCATAGCTCTGTCAAGGGCACGTCGACGTCCTTCGTACATGCTTTGTCAGTCTCCGTTTTACATGTGCGGGGACAGGAGGACTGTGGACTTACGCTCCTCGGGATCCATTGCCTCCTCATTTTCGGGTGTCGCTCTCCTAACCTTTGGCTTCTCTTTTCGCACCTTCTCCCCACTCTCTGTGAATGCCTTCTTCTTGCGGATTCTCTTCCCCTCCATCTCCTGCCCACCACTGAAATCATCGTCACTGTCCTGCTTTTTTCTTAATTTCTTTGGCTTTTCTCTCTTTCCCTCCTTTTTCTTCTTCTTGCCTCCCTCTCCATCCGCCTCCCCATCTCGCTTACGCTTGTGCCGACCTAGGAGTTTAACATTCTCTTCATCAACGGCTATGGCGGGACGTTCTTCGATGGCAATCTGATTAGGATCGAAGTCTTCGAATTGGGCTTCGTCGACATCGGAGAGGATGGACTCGTTATCTGAGACATCATCCATATCTGCTCTAGGGTTGAGTGCTGCAGGAGGTTCTTGGCTGTCTTCTAGAGCTTGATTTCGATCTCTTGAATCATGACCTACTTCAGGCTCGGGTGACAGGGGGAGAGAATGATCTGAGAGTGAAGGGGAAGAAGACATGATTGAGATGTGAGGGTGACGTGGCAGTTGTAAATATATCCGTAGTCAGGAGCATTGATATGGATTGATATGTGTTGTTATGAGGCGAGGTAACCGACGTCGGAATTCTCTTTACTTTGTGTGGTTGAGGTTGACAATGATTTTGGTGTTTATTGAGTTACCTGATTGAAAGCGTGAAGTCGCACCAAAAGCCGCGAGCGGTTGCCAAGCCCCAAAGTCTTGGCGCCAACTTGGTGAACCTTGGCTGGAAAACTATACCCAGGCGCCTTTTCCGGAAAGTACTCGCACTAATTCCTCTCAACGAGCCTCAAAGACTCTGTATTAAATCCATCTACAATCTTTTCTACATCGTACGGTTAGGTATCGACAACACTGGGGCGTGAGAATCACATTACTTTTGCCACTCCATTTCAAGGAGAAAGCTATATAAGCTGTTATCTGCCAGGATTCAACAATCCTTAGATGCAATTTTGTTAGAAGGTTAATTCAAACCAGTTCCATACTTGGCAGGCTTGCAATCAGTGAAAACTACGGGAATCATGCCTTTCTCACTTCTATGTACGCCCATGCGTACGACGTATGACATTTGTCAGTCAGAGGCTGCTGGATTTAATAAAGACATCAACGACATCGAGACAGCTACCGACTGCATCTGCTCCATCTATCCCACCACAGCCTGCTGAAGAAAGAGTATACCCCGGCAGATCCTCACGGGCCCACTCTTTCAACACCATCAACAAGATCATCAAGAGCTTCGACAACATCAACAGCTTCAATCACGTCTCGTTCAATGCAAATCATACATATTTCCCTATCGCTTTCCATAACATTGGCTTATCAAAATGAGTCTTTGGCTAGCGACTCACTCGAAATGCGGCTGTCCCGGCTGGACGTTGCTTCACTCTGGAGCAATTTGAGGACTGTAGCTTTACAAGAAGACGGCCACGATCAGCTTCGCTCAATCCTTGACCGGAAAAGTTGTCAGCATTTAACTCCTTGCGCTCCAGGTCTACCACGGCCGTCGCGGATGTGAATGGCTCTTACACATGGGTCCAGCTGCACCCACCGCTACCGTCTAGTAAAGTTGTCAGACACGCCATGACGAGAGTCACGCAGTCTTATGGATCTAGACGGAGAGGTGAGCTGGATGACAAGGCTAGGTAGATTTCAATTTTGAGCAAATACTTTGTCAGATGTCCACTAGATCGGTATAGATTTAGCGTGCTTTGATAGTCATTTGGCTGACTTTACTGACCTTGGCTTTGGAAGTGTTTCCTCTGTACTGAAATTTGTTCTGGCCTTGATTGAAAGACCGCGGTCCAGATCAATGCTGAATATACAAAGGCTTCAAAGCCGCCTTGAAAAGCCGTTGAAAAGCCGCTCACTGGCTCGCTCTGATAGCTTTGCTTTTCTCCAAAATTTCACGTGGGTGGGTCCATCTATTATCTGGCCTCCTTCCCGAGACCGTCGTACCTCTCGTGCAGATTGTCAGATAGAATGTGGAGCACTAAGTAAGCCGTTCAAGGATTACTTGGCCTGCCGCAAAGCAAATGTTCGGGACCTGTCTGGACTAGGATGTTTCAACTTGGAAATCCGGAGGGACATTCAAGCGGCAATTTGGGGGCTGGGGCTGGAAGAGCATTGGATGATGCATCAGTTCGATCAAGGCATATTTAGGGTCCGCGAATAGCAGAATGTGTAAGTCATCTTGCTCCTGCCGCCGACTCACACCTTTCTCTTCAGTCTCGAATGTGTTGCACCCCTTTTACTATTTCGTCAAAAGATGAAGTACGTTGCAAAGCATGGAGGATACGATTGGAAGGATGGCTTGTACCTGCAGTAAAGCAGATGTAGAGTAGAGTAGAATGTGTAGCCGAACGTTAGAAAGGATGGCCCGATGGATCCAATTCAGTGGCCAAGTTTATGCAATTTATGCAGCAATGCATGCTTGAAGCCGTTTCGGTTCATGTCATTAATTTACCACCAGATTCTACCCACACTCTTTGACACTCACTAATCTCCTTTTACTCTTAGCTCCAGATCTATCGCGGCAAATAATACCTTAAAAGTATCCACCCGATCATGCAAATTTCAGCAAATTTAGATCTTTACTTTATCGTACCGTATGTAGTTACTTTACTTGACTGTACTTTTTACCGAACACTCATCTTTTTTCTTTACCTTACTCCTGACTCCCTCCACTCCCTCCACTCCCTCCACTCCCTCCATTCTCCACGCCAACTTACAACAACTTCCCTCCTGTGCGCCAACTTGGCCTCATCATAATGTCAACCTCCGGCGCTGATCCTGCATCTAATTTGCCAGGCTTGTTTGCCAACCTACGAGCCAATCACGCCAATCACGCCAATCACGGCCAGACAGCCCCTCACCAAAGCTCACCTCCAGGTGCAGATCGTCAACCATATTCCGCGGCCGCAGCTACCCCAAGCTTACCACAACCTCAACCTCAACCACAATCTCAAATTTCCCACCAGTCAGGCGTCATGTCCCCTATTTTCTCGTCTGCCTTCGTGCCACCTCACTCACGTGCTTCCGGTGTCAACGCCAATGTCAGCCGAAATACAACGCCCGCGCGCACACCAGTACCTCCTGGCACTCAGTCCAATTCAGGACAGTTGACGAACCCCCTGCTCAACTTACTGAAGTTTGGGTCGAATACAGCTTCCCCTCAAGCCTCTCCACTACAGCAACCTGCAGCACCATCAAGACCAGAGTATGGCAGCGCCAGCACCCACAGCGTACATGGACGTGGTATATCAGCGTCGGATCTAGTTGCCTCATTCACAGGCGGCAAGTCAACTACGTCTACACAGCGTGAGAAGATATTGGCTACATCATCAATCAATCATCAAGATGCTTTACTGAGGCTTCTCAACCAAACCACTTCCCGAGCCGATGCTGCTCATCAGAAACTGTCCGAGTCTACAGACGCTACTACCAACCAGCTTTCCGAAGACCTGGCAGGTTCTTCATTAGAAGACCAGCATCAATCCGTCTTGGATACGAAGAGCAGTGTCTCTGGACGCAACGAGTCACCGATTCGTTTCTTCGGCAGCAACGAAAATACTACACCAACGCCATTCGAGCCGCAAGATATACCAAAAGCAGAGCCCTCTCAGAAGACGGGACCCATCTTCACATACGTCAACCCCTTCGAAAACCTTGCTGCGTCGTCGCCTCGCGGTGTGAATCCCAAGGTCTCGCCCAACGGCGACATCCACAAGCGCAAGATTAAATCTTCGTCTCCTGCAGCCGTCCATGCCTCATCACGGCGAAAACTTACGCCATCGGCCAAAGACGTCTTACAGAGTATCGAAACTTCAACGCCACCACCTCTTGATGACGGTCGAGGTCAAATCGAGGCCCTCGTCGGCATCGGTGCGCCTAGCAAAGATGTCGAGAAAGATGCTGAGACGGTTGCCCAAGCCTTGCACGAGGTTGGGAGTCAAGTCGATCGACAGGTAGAAAGCGCTTTGGCCAGGGCTGAGGAAAAGACTGAAGGGAAAGAACGTGGAACAGACATCAAGCAGGAAGAGCTCGAAGATGAACAGCAGGCAAAGTTGGACGGCCTTGTACATGATGCGGCTGTCGAAGTCAAGAAAGAGCTAGACAAAGCTGAGAATCAAGGAGCGTTGGAGGAGTCCATGCCAGCATCGATGGCAGAAGCCGTCAAAGAGGTAATCGACGAAGCTGCGCAGGGCAAGGGCGCTGACGAGTGGGAGAGCGCTGAGGGCGAAGGAAATGCAAACAAGGCGAATCCCAATCGTGTTATCCAAGTTCACCAGTTCCCGATGCGGCCGTTCGTGTCCATCGATCTTGTTCAAAAGGAACCTGCTAGTCTCCCCATTCGAGAGGATTCAATCGTCAACATCGCAAGATTCAAGAAAGACTTTGACCAAGCAGACCGAACTTTGGGGACCGCTACGAATGAATACATCGTTTACGGAATGCCAAAGAACGGTGGCATACGAATAATTCAACAAGACAATGGAAACTCCAGCCTTATCTATTCAAAGACCCAAGATCGTATCTTCAATATCGGCATTTCGTCCGCTCATCCAGGGAGCCCACTACGAGGCACTCAGACGGTAATCGCCACTGGCGTCAGCGGGACTGTCTACTGGACCGCCATAGCCAGACCCGGAGAAGAGCTAACCCAAGACGACATGGAGAAACAAGGCCTTATTATTCCGCCAGTACCCAATCAGCTCGACTCTACATCGGGTGGTCAATTGAAGACGCGTGCCAAGAAGAGTAGCCGCCATCCAGAGTTCTTCGCGATAGGCCGCGGCAAATCCATCTACATCGTTCTCACCGCACATGCGCAGAAATCCTCTTTAGTGAACAAGGATGCAGTTCTGGATACGGATAAGTACTTTGCGGAGCGCAATTTGAAGGTCACTACCGGTAAGGCGGGCAAGGACTTTACTTTCAGCGAGGATGACAGCACAATCGTCACCCTTGACAAGGCTGGGAAGCTCAGGATCTGGGATATTCGCGAGTTAACAGATGAAGCCAATGCCGGTGCATCGATGATTACACCAATCGAGGTTAAAGCTCCAATGCTATCTTTCAGCACGGCTCACTCGACAGAAAAGTCGTGGCCAACCTCGGTCCTCTTTGTGGACAAACTTCGCCCTTATACGAAAGGAATAGCCCTTCGATATATCATTGTCGGTATGAAGCAGAATCATACGCTTCAGCTTTGGGACCTTTGTCTAGGAAAAGCGGTTCAAGAGCTCAGTTTCCCTCACGAGAAGGAAACCGACGCAATCTGCAGTGTCACGTATCATCCAGCTTCAGGTATCATCACTGTTGGTCATCCGACCCGCAACTCCATCTATTTCATCCATTTATCCGCACCGAAGTACAACCTGCCGAGCATGTCGCAAGCCAAATTTGTACAACGTCTGGCCAATAAGGATTCTAGCCTACCAAAGGCAGAAGCTACCGCTATCATGAGCGGGATGCGCGAATACTCATTCGAGAGCAAGGGCCAGTTACGCAGTGTCGAGCTGGTACCATCTTCCGGTGAGCCTGCAAGAGCTGTGGAAGACGAAGAAGACCCACTGCTGTTCGAACTTTATGTGATGCACTCTAAAGGTGTCACTTGTCTAGGTATCAAAAAGGAGGACCTTGGTTGGTCAAGCGACAGCCGAGTCCTTCACTCGATAGATGCAGAGCAGGCTGGTGAAATTGTTATCAAGGAGCTTCGAGAGCCGTCAGCGATCTCCGCAAGTGAGCCGTCGTCAACCTCAATGAATGGCGAGGTTTTAGCCACTTCTTCTCCTGCAAAGCCAAAGACCCCTTCGAAGGAGATCGCCAAATCGGAACGTGCCGCAACAGAAGACGGGCAGGCTGCCCCCAACAATGCTGAAAAGGTCGACAAGAAGAAGAGCAAACGGAATGGCGCTATCGAACCGATTAGTCGCCCTGCGGCTCCATCTCCTGCGCCCGAGTCTTATGCCAGTGCCGCCCAGCGAGCATCGACTCCCACCCCTCAAGTTGCTCCGAGTGTTACGAAAGAGACGTCCCGGCCTTCGTCGCTGAAGGATGACTCACGGGAAGCGCCTGACACCGTCCCCGCTTCCACTGGGGATAAGTCAACACGCTCGATAGCCAACGGAGAGTCAATCAGCCTGGGCATATCGGGTGAATTCCTCGACAAGGAGCTCAAGAAGATCGAGGTCGGAGTCTCCAACGAGTTCAACAAAGTTTTTCGACGGGAGCTTGAGACTCTGTACCGACGCTTCGCGGAAGACAAGCGTGTCCAAGACGCTGCTGGAGCAGCCAAGCAAGATGCGATGCTTCGTCTGGTATCGAGTACTCTCAGTGACAATGTGGAAAAGTCGCTATCTCGGATCATCCTGAAGAATATTCAGGACTCTGTAGTTCCGTCCGTTGCCGATGTCACCTCGGCTTCCCTGGTTGACGTGCTCCCAACAGTCGTAGCTAAGCATGTCAACGAAGCTATGCCAAGTGTTATGAAATCTGCTCTACCAGAAGCCATTGGCCGAACTATGCAGAATCCCAACCTTCTTCGCTCAATCTCAGAGCACATTACAAAAGCGTTGACTGGCCATGTGGAGCGCGAATTCACGACGACCTTACACAATGTCATCGTGCCTAACTTCACTAATCTTGCAGTTACTGTTGCACAGAAAGTTAGTGATGATACAGAACGTCGTGTGCGTGAGCAATTACAACAAGCGGAATTGCAACACCGCGATGACAGTGTCAAGATTGATCAGCTCACGGACCTGGTCCGTGGGCTTTCTGAAACTGTGCACACAATGGCAGCTGCACAGTCCGACTTCCAACTCGAGATTCTCAAGCTTCAACAAAAGGCTGCCCAGGAAGGTCAAAATCTGGCTCGTCGGCCTTCACCAAGTCCTAGCGAATCCGCATCCATGCACATGTCCCCTGAACAGGAAGAGCTGGAAGCAATCGCAGCATCAATGCGAGAGGGCCATTTCGAAGACGCTACGGTTATGGTATGTGACGAGGCTTCTGCAATGTATCAAAACAAAACACTGATCCTTGCAGTGGCTCCAATCAAACCAACAAGTAGCTTTGTTTGACAACCTATTTGTACGCTGCAACCCAGGTTATCTCGGACAAGCCTCACCTTTGGTGATACTTTCCGTCGGAGCTGCCGTGACTACTTCGCTAGCGACAAATGTTATGGAGCGCTTGTCTTGGCTTGAGACCGTTTTCCATTCGGTCAATCCAAGAGTAAGTGTCCCTTAGTATTCCTTGCGCCGCTAGTTGACACTGTCTAGGACCCAGACATACGTGATGTTGTCGGCAAAATACTCGAAATATTAAGCCAACGTCTCGAAGGAGAGTACATGCGCATCGCTGAGGAGGAACCTCAGAATCCCGCTCTCCGCAAGATTCCCGGTTTGGCAAGGCAGGCACGTGAGCTCAAGTCTTACACTGAATGAACGATGGGCAAAATTCTATGATCATAGATCAGGAAGACTGGTTAGACTTGAGGTTCCAGTTTAAGTCCCCTACCGTAGCCATATTGCCGAGTCTCGGAGTCGTGGACTACAACGACTCAATACCTCAAGATCAACGGCGCTGCGGCTGAAAGCTTGAACCGACATCAGCATGGATCCCTGTTGAGATGACACGAACCTTCAACGCATTGCAGATAATATCACTTCTGTATTCATCACGGAAGCGACGATGGTAAACCTTTTTAGCACAGGTGGACATTCTTCGCTTTAGCGATGCTCAATACTTTTTCTTTGATTGGAATGAGATACTTACATGGCTCAAGATCTTTACATTCAGAACGAAGCTTCATCCTCAGAAGGTCTTGCATTGAAGGCGGAGTGGGATAGCAAACGAGTGACCCTAATGGGTATTCATTTATCGCTTCGAGGCGTCCCAGGATTCGCATCAATGTGCTTTCGACTTTTGTACCTAGAACCCCTCAAAGATACGAAGTTCAATCTGCGTCTTTCACATCCTTGCATTGCATTAACTCATTCATGCCTGGAGACTCCAATATATACATTCATGAATGACCCTCGATGACCTCTACTCTGGTTTACGATAGCTCGACATGTTATGTGAGAATATTTGCCTATCCCGCAAGTGTACAGGAGTCTCATTTTCTGGCGCTCCGGGTATCATCTTCTCGAGTTTCTGGGTAAGAGTCTTGATTAGCGTATGTTCTATGTGAGGTAGAGAGAGCCTTACCAGCTTGTCGAATACACACGCATTGAGCAGCTGTTCCGGTCTTCTACAATGCCACAGCTGTTGGTTGTTATTGTCCAAACACTCCCAGTGTTTCCGGAACTCCTCAAGGCAGTTCTTATTGATATCATCCAGCCTGCCGATTACGCAAATTAGCCCAGCCCCTATGCAACTCCCGTCTCTCCCAAAAATCCCCACCCTGCCTATGCACCCATGCATTCTTCGTCTTTGCTCAACCCCCATAGACTTTGCAAGAGAAGACACTCACACACTAGCTGCACATCTCGTGACCTTCCTCCCTTCCTTCATACACTCCACCTCCCCCTTCCCATGCGCCTCGGTCTTGCACTTCATGTAGTCATCATTGTATGCACCGCACCTTGCTCCAATGAAGAAGGATGCGCTGAGTAAAGGAGCGGAAGAGGCGCCGATTTCAGGAACCTTGGGTACGGAATCGGGCAGGGGCGTGGTGTCGATGAGGACATGTTGGTTGAACCTATGGGCGGTGAGATTAGTTTTTGGTAGCTGATGAGGAACAATGCGGAATTAGAACATAAGGGTGGGTTACCTGGGTTGGCGGGCGGCCATCGTGGAGGATGTGCTTCCAATTGGCGAAGCTAGACTTCTGACGGTAGAAAAGGTGGTGGATAGCGTTACTTTACTCTACTTTATGAATCGACAGTTGTGATTGGCTGCGCGGGAGACGCGCTTAAAGGGAATAACGGCCTCGAATTTCAATAACAATGAAGAAAGTCGGCGCCACAACATTTCAAGGTAGGCAACACCTTCGTTACTACCGCTATCGCTACTCCTGTGTCAAAGCTCCTATCGGCTACAGAAGGACAGCTGGACAGGTGATTTCTGCGCGCGTAATGGTTTGAATTTGTCTTTCAACTTCTCTGTTAGCTGAGCGCGCCCCTTGTCTTCGATTCTTCTGTCGCCATCTTTCAGCACGACGCGCGAGATCCGCTAGACATTGTCACCGATGTCTTCCCTATTCGGCCAACCCACCAGCTCGCTCTTCGGCAACAACAATCAACAGCAGCAGAACACCAGCAAGCCAAGTCCTTTCGGATCGCTCAATACGAGTACGACTTCGCAGCCACAGCAAGGGGGAGGACTATTTAGTTCTACATCAACTTCTCAGCCGCAACAAGGAGGAGGGTTATTCGGCTCTACCACGACTTCTCAGCCGCAACAAGGAGGAGGGTTATTCGGCTCTACAGCAGCCTCTCAGCCACAGCAGGGAGGACTTTTCGGCTCCCTGAACACGAGTGCCCCAATTTCTCAGGAGCAGCAGGGGAGTGGATTGTTTGGTCGCATTACAGCGCCTCAGCAGACTGGTGGAGGACTGTTTGGTTCTACGCAACCTCAACCTCAACAGCAGGGCGGGCTTTTCGGATCTACCCAGCAGCCGCAGCAACAGCAACAGCAACAGCAACAGCAACAGCAACAGGGTGGTCTATTTCAAAGCCAGCAGCAGCAGCCTCAGCAAGGAGGTGGTCTCTTTGGCGGCTTAGGCGCAACTACAAATCAGCAGCCACAACCGCAGAACCAACAGCAGCAGGGAAGTAGCTTATTTGGAAATGTGGGTCAGCCTGCACCGCAGCAGCAACAGAACCAGCAGCCAGGAAGTGTGTTCGTGCAGAGCCAAGGTTCCATCTTTCAGAATGAGAATGCTCCACGTAAGCTTCATTTGTATCCTTCAATGATTATGTACCTGCTTATGCAGCTTTTCGATAGGACAAAAGCCCGTACTCGCACAAATCGACCTAGCTTTCTCGAAATGGAATCCTCAAAATCCCGCTACTCCCTTCCAAACATACCTCTACAACACTGTCCCACCAGAGCAGGCACCTTTCTACGGCCCCACAGCGCAAGATGACGAAACAAAATGGGAAGAAGCGCTCAATAAGAAACCTGGTCCCGGGGCAATCCCAGTCTTGGTCAAAGGGTTCCGCGAGATTGGAATGCGGATGAATATGCAACTTCAGGCTCTGCATACTCTCGGTGGTAGACTACATGAGATCAACAGTGGTCTAAGTAAACTACTGCAGAAACACGAGTTGAGCATATCCGTTCGGGCGGCAGAGTGTCGGAGAAAGCATCTCAGATTGAGTCATCAATGCCTAGGGTTGGCGGCCAAGACGCAGGTTTTGAGAAACAGAGGATATGCTATGGACGGTCCGGAAGAGGAATTGAGGAACAAGTTCTTGTTGTTGGAAAGAAGCGTTCTTGATCCCGCGCTGAACGGTAGAAGCGAAGAGATATGGGCAAGAATGGTGAGCGTTAGAGAACGAGGAAGACTGCTGCAGCGGGAGTTTGAGAAGGCTGGAAGGAGTCTATCGCAGGAAGAGGGGCAGGTGGTTGACGAGGAGGTAATGAGGAGGGTGAAGAAGGTATGCGGTACACACCACCCTGTCAAATTCGACGCTGGCTAACCTGATGTAGATCTTGGAAGATTACAGCTCACAACTCGGAGGTCTAACAAAGGAGCTAGCGCAGCTTCAAAACCATTGGGCCGAGTGGGAGCAGTCGAAACCTCTCGCGATCACGAATGGCGTGGGGAGGTAGCACTTGTATGAACATGTTTCGATTCTTGGTCGCAGGCATGGCGTTCCGGTGATCTCAATCGTAGCAGACATACATAGTTCTCCGCATCTTCGAAGAGGTGAATGATGAGAGTCGGGATTTGGGTCTGCCACGGTGTCCCTTCAATTTTCGTTGGAAGCGAGGCTATGATTACTTTCTTTTATGAGATCCGTCTTCATTTGGCCACCAAGCGAAGGTCCTCTCGAAAGCTTGACCCGAATGGACCCTACCCATGTATACCGTATGTAAACATCCGTGAACATCTCCAGATATACTCCCCTGTCGAACCCGCAGTACCTCACCAAATCAATCGCCTGGAATAGTTCGCTCCATGTGAAGGCGCGACGCTCAGATTGCAAATCGTTCGCATAGAGTACCCTTGATGATTTCCGAGTCAGCATTACTCTTTCGGGAGAACATCTGGGTGACGAGACATCTCTTAGGAGCAGAGAACTCTAGAGACATGTTTGACGACTCATAAGACGGCATGAATGGGGAAGGATTGCCTCGGAAATTATAACGTACAAGTCAGCTTTGTAACGCCAGAACCGGCCCGGAAGGATGTTTTGGATTCGGTCGGAGCCATGGCCCATGTTAAGCTGGGTTTGAATATGACGTTGGGCAGAGGTGAGGAGGGCGCCTATGGCCGACTTGGAGATGGAGGCGCCTAGGGTGTAGTTCAAGGACATGGGCGTGTAAGGGAGCTTGCATGTGTAGTGGGGTTCGCTGCTGTAGTGGATAGGGGTGAGTAATTTGTAGGGGAGAAAGATTTTGGGAATCTGACTTAGTGTACGCAAGAGCTGGGAGACTTGAGGGCGGCGAAAGAGCATGGCTGGAGGTATTGAGACTGACGATTCTCTCCAGGAAAGTGCTGTTAGAGATCATAGAGGTTTGAGCGGAAAAGACAACAGCAATCAGGGGAAGACAAATGATCGGTATCAATCGCAAGTGCATATGGCGCAGGACTTGGGACAGCATAATGCAGTCCTTGAAAGAAGTTCTCGAACAGAGAATCCCCCATCGTCTCTTCAGAAGATCGCTCCGCGCGTCCTTGCATGATGCTGAGAATTGGCTGGAGAATGATATAGGCGAAAAAGAAGAGGCGATGGGCTGACATTCAACGCAGGGTCGGGTATTCTCAAATTCACTCATTAATGTCACGAGAGTCCACAGCTTTGTTTCTTCAAGAGTGCCTATCATACAGCCCCGTTCTTCTCAACGCCGTCTTTATGCAATGTTTCCGCCATTTTGCGCGTAGGCCTGATGCTGTGATATTCACCATGCGTCCAATTCCTCCTCTTACTCCTCTAAACAAGCTTCTTCACGTAGTCGATGACGAAGGGCGCTGTACCATGCAAGAATGTGATCAGCCATGGTGTCTTCAACATCACAAGTGATCCCCAGAGCACAGCATAGACGATTGGGACTCACAGAGATAGAGCAATATGCTCGCCGCGGCCACTTGCTTGACGGTCTGGAATGCTTCGTCTTCGGCTGCCTGTAGTTTGATAGATTAGCAGGCCGTGGCAAAGCTATACTGTCGTCCAGTGCTTTGTTCGCAATTCTAGGGTATTTCCAGGACTGTGATTACCTTGAGCTCGGCCTTCGATGGCGCTGCTTGGGCTGGTGTTGGGTCAGTGGGTTCTGGTTCATAAGGAACTGGGCTACTTACGACCTCCGAACATCTTCAAGGTCTGCTGCTGTTGCCTGGTGGAATTGCCGTAGGTTGCAGAGAACTTTTGATAGCGCAGAATTGACAATCACGCCAAGACTTTGGTCACGGGACCAGATCTTATCACTTGAGAAGGTTTCAGTTGGGTTCACAGGCATTCGTGATAGGACGTCTACAAATGCGCTTGATTCTCTATATCCACGAAATTACTATATGCTCAAATGCTCAAATCAGTAGGTCAAGCTGCGTAGCTTGCACCACGTCCTTCGTTGCTGTCGTGAGAATGATAGTAACCATGTCCTTCGACGTGCGAGTTGCGCCATGAAGCATAGAGCCAACTGGAGGACTGGTATCAGGAGACTGGGTGCTTTGAGTAGCACGCAACACGTATCTTGCTTCCTTCGATCCTTCACTTCGAATCCGCCATAGCCGTTGCCAGCTCAGTTGCCAGAGGCCCGTTGATCTTGGCCTGTGCGTGGTCGACGAATTGCTGGATCTGAGAGCGCAGAAGATCTCGCTTTGGATCTGGTATCTCTTCGACAGTGAATGTTGAATTGAAGTCTTCAAGAACCATGTTGAAGACCCCCTGCACGCCCCTCAAGACTTCCGACTGTTGTCTATCGATCTCCTCCTCAATAGCCTTCTTGATTCCTGAGCAAAAGCCAGCGAAGGGCCCTCCCTTCGACATTGCGTCATTCAGTAAGGTGCATCTCTGCATATGCTTGTTCCTGCCTGTATCCTCTGCTCAGCACAAACCCAGGCTTTTACAGATGGCTGGATTTACCTGTCACTTTCGTACACTTGGCGTAGAGTGGGGACATCGCCTGTAGAAGGAAGCTATCTGGATCCTCATCATCCATAGTGATATTTAATTTCGTGTCCCTGTCGCCATTAGAACATCGCACAAAGAAATGATCGAGGCTTTATACCTGCTGATGGTCTTCACCTTCACCGAGAAATCGTCAAGGCATTTGCGCAACAATGTCTTCTTGGAAGCAAGTGAGGACAAGAAAGGGGCCATTGGCTCCATAGAGATTCCCTCTTCAGCTGTACCACGCGTCAATCTAAGTTCGTCAAGGAGTGTATGGTTGGGATGGAGCCGCTTACCAGCCAGATCCTCGCCGATGCCATCCACCAATCCGACGAGGGCCGCGAAGCAGTTCTCCTTAGCGTTAGCAATCCCGTCATCGAATACTTGCCAGGCGGTTGTCAGGTCTTTGAACACCGGACCCAAGATCTCTGCGTTCCAACTAACGTACGGTCGGGCTTTGGTCTTGTGTGCTCCATTATTTCGGCACCATGCTGCAAAGGTCGAGCCATGCCACTACACTCGGTCAGCGCTGTCTGATTCTACTATGCAAGAACAAATTCCTACCTCTTTCGTCCATTTCTCGAACAGCCGAACACTGTTCTCTACCCACGCTTCCTGGCAATCTTCTAGTCCGGGTCAGGATTTGGGAAACCCTTTATTATTGCGGAGAACGCACCACACTCCTGCAGAATGCAACTTTCCAAGACCGACTTCAATTCTGCAACGTACTTGAAGATTTCGGCTCCCACAGCCTGTGCGAGTATCTGTTAGCAAGATGCGAAGCAGATTCAGTGCATTCTTACTGCGCGCGGTTTCGCCACCAATTCTGTAAGCTCTACTCGCCGTTGGATTATAGACTGTTGGCTCCAGTTGTGCAGTGAGCCAATCATGTCTTCTACCGTACCATGGCAGTAGTGCTTCAAGGCGTGGAGCCGGCTTCTCGCTGGCATCCTGGACAATTGGTAACGCACACGAGGTATACCTGTCACATGAATGGAGACGGGAATTTCCTCGGACAGATCATAACCGTCCTTGTGCTTGATATAGTCTGAGTTGGATACCGCAAAGACGAAGAGTAGGGCACGATCTTGCGTGATGTTTTTATCCTTCTGACGCATGATCGTAGTGACCTTTCGATTCCTCATCAGGATGAGTCCTTCCCGCAATCTGAAAAATGTTAGCTAGGCTTCTCCATCGAAGCCCACCATAAAGATGTCCATACAACGCAGAGTAGATCTTCTTGTTAAGCCTGCGATGCTGTTAAATTTTCCCAGTCAAAAGTACGTGGTGGACTGACTCTAGATCTACAATCTTCTGAGTGAAAGTTTGCTTTGCTTTTCCCCTCTCCAGCTTCTTCAAGCTAGTCAAGCGACTCTTTTCCCTGCATACGTGGTCGTACACTGCTTTCAATCTCTCATGCTGTTCGATATCCTGTGGATTGGCATCAAGATCCGAAGGCTTCTGTTTAGCAGGCACATCCTGGCTGGTCAGTCCAGTCGCGGTGATAAGAATATTCAACCTACATCAATCTTCGAACACAGCAGCGCCCTGCGAGTTCCCAACAGCCTGTGTAGCTCGCCAAGTCGTCTTTGGACCAAATTATCTGTTTGGATGCGGGCGATGGGCGCAACCAACAACGCAAAGTCGCAACGTCGCATGTATCTGGTCGTGATGGTTGTTCTGATTGTGTTGAAATCTGAAAGACCTTGATGCGAGACATTTAGCTTCTGCTATGCGTTCCGGGGACCATTCTCCAATCACCTGGAAGATCTGTGATTATCAGACCACGCTTCAGTAACGGCGAATGCAAGGATACCCTTGGTCATCTTAGCTTGGTCCCCAGTTAAGAGGCACCCAGAAACATACCTGACTTTTTGGATTAGCGGCCATAGCGAAGGAACATGGCAGTCATTTTCGTCGAGCAAATGTTTGCATGACTTAATAAATCGCTCAGTTTCACTTCCGAGCTCCTCAGGGCTGTAAACGCTTCGGCGTATGATGCCACCTTCAGCACCACATTTTGAGATGGACTCCTGAATCCAGCCAAAAAGCTTTTGCAGCATCTCTGAATCGGATGCCGATTTTGCCTGCTCAAGGAACTCTTTCGTACGCTCCTCATTACTGAAATCTTCCCGATTCGCAAACAAAGCTTGGAATGTTTCTAAAGCCGTTGAGACTTGGGCGTTTAATTCGTCTATGGCTTCTTGGTCCATGGTTTCGACGGATCCATGCACGTAACGGTAATATGATCCAAGATGAATCTCCAATATTCGCTGCATGGAGGATGGTTCAAACAGGATGATCTCCGCCATAAATGGGGTCTTCTGAGACGGCTGCGCTTGGTGGTACTCAGTGATCACGTTGGTACAAGCTTCGCCGTTTGCGCCTGAAAGAGCAATATCGGGAGTGTCTAGAAGGGAGTTGATGAGCGAGCTTTTTCCAACTCCACTATCGCCCATCAAGCCAACTATTCTAGGTTTGGGATACTCAAGACTTTGGTTGCTTGACGCTTTCTCGAGTAGTTGCAGAATCCGGGTATCTTTGTACTCAGCATTCTTGAGGACGAGAGCCGCATCTTCCATCAATTCTGAACAGTATCTCTCAGCTTTGATGAATGAAGGGTGGTAGGCTGGGAGCTTTGGGAGTGCTTCGCTCATGGGGTTGTACATCGTGTCGGCTCCGTTCTTGATGGCATTAACCCTATCTCGGAATTCCTCGCCAGCGTCGAACTCGTCGTCACTGTTGTCAGTAGCCATCTCATCCTGGGTTGGATTGTTGTTTGTCCATTCGGGCGTTGCTGTGCTCTCATGGCCTTCAACTTGTGCTTGAATGAGGTTTGTGTGTTTGGGTGTTGCTATGCTATGATGTTTTGGCCTAGACATTGCCTCATGCTTGAGTACCAGATTCGTGTCATCCCAATGAGTCCGGTATGAAGACATACTGTGGTAGCTAAGTAAGCACAAAGAGCCAGATTAAGAAGTGGATGAGAAGGAGAATCAGGGGAATCATTTGCGATTAAACAATCTGAATGGGTGACAAGTGAGGCCTCGGAACCCGCTTATCTGTTTTGACATGCAATATTCAGGGTTTCATCAAGCTGAAACTACTTATAGACCGCACTCTAAGTGGGTGAACTTTCATAAAAGCAGGAAAAGTTGCTTGCGGGTTTGTGAGGACGCTTTAAACTTGATCACTCACTTTGAAATGATAGTTCCAAAGGGTACACTAAGGCGATGAAGAAGCCAAAGGGAAGCTCATATTATCAGCCGAAGGATGTCTTGAGTAGTAACGGACTGAGGCCAGAGCACATCTATGGATTAGTGAACGATGATCGCTGGTTATCGTTAGATCTGGAAAGGCTGAGGTAGAAGTAAAGAAGATCAAAATTTTGGTACTTGGTTTGGAAAGGAGTTGTCTTATGAGAAAAACAAGGATGAGATGTTATAAAGTCATAAATTGCGGTGAAAGAAAAGGCGGGAGAGCGTATGAGTATGGTTCTCCTCCCTACTTATCGCTCTTAATGGTTTAGGCGAGAGAATGTGGCAAAAACAATGCACAGAGGGAATCTCCAATTCTCGAGGTCTCAATAAGCACTGTCCCAGGAAGGGTAACAGTTTTGACCAAACGAACCCTGTATTCTCGTCCTTATTAGTGAAGGGAGATCATTTTCGAGCTTCAGATAGCCTTTTCTTTAAGTGGCTTGAGATGGAAAACTAGCTTGTACTGCTTGAGACCCACACAATTATCTCAGACTGAGACAAGAAGAAAAAGCCTATATGATTCCAATTTTCCCCTCTAACAGCTTGCTTGACTGTAGAGCTTTGAAAGCTTCAACTTCCACCTCACTGGATCTTCGTAACTTCCGCACGCCTGATCTCCCCCTCCACGCCCCTCCACGCGTGACTTTTGCTTGATCCTCTTAATATCATGGATGATTTTTTTCTGTAGGATTTGAGGATCCCCGGGCAAACAAACATGGCGTATTGATTGGAAGCCTAGTCGACTTAGCTAGCGCTTGACTTTTGTCTATACTGCTAAGGGTTGGTTGCATATCAGACGGGAACTATCAGAGAGGGACTTGAGACTTCAGTATATGACCTACCACTTGCCAGTGCTATGTTGTAGCTTCTAGCGTCGCCTCAATTGCTGGGTCTGTCGGCTCAACTTCGGCAAACCGTTTCCATACAACGTGAATCTGAAGTAGGCCAACCGAGGAACTCAAGTTTTTGTCAACATTGAGCTGACCCTTCACTTGACGAAGATACTAGGCCCCCCCCCCCCCCCACAATGTTCTGTCTAAGGGCTTGGGTGCCTTTGCTGTTCCTGCCAACTAATGCAAGCCCGGTGTTAGTATTTCCTCTACGCCCCCATCTTAGAGGGTTTTCCTCAAGATAGCATACTGAAGTCTTTCTGCAGATTCGTCGTGACCTTCTTCGTCCTCACCTATTTCCTCAACAGACCATGCATCTGTGTGTCCTTCCTGCATCTGACGATAAGATGATAGAGCTGACAATCCTCGAAGACTGCTCTGCGCTCCTCTTGATACTATTCATTTCGTCCTGCTCATGGAGAGACCAGTGCCTCTTTGATATTCACAGCAACTGGTTCGAGACCAAACATCTTGCTTCACCACTGTCGAGTGCATTATCGAATGCTACAAATTGGTCGGCATCGAATGCGGATGGAGTTGTTGGGGATGGCTCTTTCCTTGTAACGGCTATCAACGAGACGGCGTCGGCTTTGGCTGGAGCTGCTTTAGAGGAAATGAAGGGAAGGATGGCATACAAAGCGGAATGGACCGGCATTGGTCTGGGATGGATCAGGAGCTTTCTCGGAGCTAGGCAGTGGAGAGTGCCATGCGTTGACGTCTACGTCCGACTGTAAAAATAAAGTGGCTGTTGATACCCTACAAAGCGTGTATGGTAGCGGGAGCGAGCATTGTTGGCGTTATGGGAATCGCCGGATGGTCTGCTTGCATTTAGCGAATTGGGGGTTTTTGGGGAAACATAGCGTTTAGGATCAATCAAGGCCATCGACGTCTCTACAAAGCCTTGGAAACTGGACATTGCCCACTCTATACAGGGTCTCTAAGAGTACTATTAAGTCGATTGTTTTGTAGGAAATCGGATTATTCTCCCCACCAAGACATAAGTTCATTGTCCCGTTGCCATACGACCAGGACCCCCGTCATTCTCCAAAGACGAAACATTGCATGCTTTTTTCACGCAGTAGTAGAGGTCTGGGCAAGGTATTTCCTGGAACCCACTTTCCAAATCCAAAAACCAACGGGCCATTGCAGCCATTGCGAGCGGGGAACCTCCGCTCTTTGCACTTGCAGGTCCGGGGCAGTCCTGACATCCATTGTCAACACAAATATATTTACCCGGCCTTACTTTCTAGACGTCCTTCATCAACAAGTCAAAGTCTGAACTGTTTGAAGTCATCCTTTCCTTCGATCACGCTTCGACGCAGGTCGACTACCACCATGGCTGCCGCGGATCGAAACATCTTGCCTGATACGTACGTTTTGTCCTCCATTGCTAGAGGCCTTCTATTGACAAAATTAGCGTCCAAGCTATCAATTACGACATTGGGCTCTTCGACCTTGAGCTTGGCGGTGCTTTTAGCTTCCAAGGGATTGTAAAGATCCAAGTCAAGATTAAGTCGGCGACCAAGAGTATTACTCTGAACGCTCATCATTTGACGATCCATGAAGGCGAAATCTCTGGTAGAAGGACATGACTCCAAGGTGACCGCTTACTAAAATTACTTAGGTCAAAAAACTACTGATGTCTCTTACGACGAGAAGTCACAGCGCGTCACCTTGGTCTTTCCAGAGGAAATCAGTGCCTCTACTGATGCTGTGCTCTCTATCCGATATGCTGGTACCATGAATAATAGCATGGCCGGGTTTTACAGATCCAAGTATAGGCCAACAGTTACGCCCGTGGAGTCTGTCCCTATGGACGGAGAGCACCATGTCATGTTTTCTACCCAATTCGAATCTAGCGACGCGAGAAGAGCCATTCCATGCTTTGACGAGCCAAACCTCAAAGCTACATTCGATGTTAGTATTGAGATCCCGGAGGACCAAATAGCACTTAGCAATATGCCTGAGAAAGAGGTCAAGCAAGGAAGAGCTGGCCTGAAAACGGTAGTTTTCGAAAGAACCCCAGTGATGAGTACTTACCTTCTTGCATGGGCCTTCGGAGATTTCGAGTACGTGGAAGGCTTCACACAGAGAGAGTACCAAGGCAAGCAGCTACCATGCAGGGTCTACACCACCAAAGGCTTGAAGGAGCAGGGACGCTTCGCTCTTGAGAATTGTCATCAGGTAGTGGACTACTTTTCCGAGATCTTCAAGATCGATTATCCACTACCAAAGATGGACCTCCTCGCAGTCCATGAATTTTCTCACGGCGCTATGGAGAACTGGGGCTTGGTCACCTACAGAACGACCGCTGTCCTTTTTGACGAGAAACAATCAGACGCCAAGTACAAGAACCGTGTGGCATATGTAGTAGCGCACGAACTAGCCCATCAGTGGTTTGGTAATCTCGTTACCATGGATTGGTGGAGTGAGCTGTGGCTCAACGAAGGCTTTGCAACTTGGGTTGGTTGGCTGGCGGTCGACCATCTATATCCCGATCACGAGGTCTGGAGCCAGTTCGTCACGGAAGCTGTGCAGACTGCTCAGAATTTGGATTCTTTGCGAGCCTCTCATCCAATTGAAGTTCCTGTTCGAGATGCTCTTGAGGTGGAGCAAATATTCGATGCAATCTCGTATTTGAAAGGGAGTTCGGTGATTAGGATGCTGTCTGGTCATCTAGGCGTAGACACATTTTTGGGAGGAGTCTCTGCGTACCTCAAGAAGCACGCCTACGGTAATTTCACCCGGCCCTTCGTTTCCATGATATAGCTAAAATTCATATAGGTAACGCAACTACCAACGATCTTTGGGCAGCGTTGAGCAAAGCATCTGGAAAAGATGTCAATGTTTTCATGGTCTGTCTCACGGCAGTGACGCCTTTCTTCAGGGCTGATTGGAGAATGTGTAGGATCCATGGATCAGAAAGATCGGATTTCCGGTCCTTACTGTCGCAGAAGAGCCCGGGCAAATTGGCGTCCGCCAGTCCCGTTTCCTCCAAACAGGGGACGTAAAAGGCGAAGAGGATGAGACCCTATGGTGGGTTCCGCTAGGTTTGAAGACAGATCCAAAAGCAACGGGAGCCGCCACAAAAGCCTTGACCATCAAAGAAGACACGCTCCGTGACGTGGATGAGACGTTTTACAAGCTCAACAGCGATCAGGTAGGCTTTTACCGCACCAATTACCCGCCGGCAAGACTGGAATCGCTTGGTAAAGAGAGACACAAGCTCAGTGTCGAGGACAAGATCGGCCTGGTTGCAGATGCCGCAGCATTGGCTGTTGCTGGTCAAGGTACAACAGCTGGGTTCTTGGTCTTGGTCGAAAAGTTCAGCGATGAAAAGAACAAAGCGTATGTTAGCCAGATCGTATCTGAGCGCGAGATATTGACAGTGAACTTTTAGCGTCTGGTCCCAGATTATTAGCTCGCTCGGCAACATTCGGTCCATATTTGCGGACAACGAAACACTCGCCAACGGACTGAAAGCGTTTACTTTGCGTCTTGTTACACCGGCGACCGAAGAGATAGGATGGGACTTTGCTCCAAACGAGAATTTCTTGACAGGACAGATGCGCGCTCTGTTGATAAGTACTGCAGGCAATGCAGGCCATGCGAAGTAAGCCTCCCGCGTCCATAAGGTACTGGATTGACTGCTAACATCTAGGTCAGGACGATCGCCGAAGCAAAGCGTCGCTTCCAGGCCTACCAGAGGGGTGATCGCTCAGCTGTCCATCCCAGTCTCCGCCTAGCTGTCTTCCAGATCGTAGTCCGCGAAGGAGGGAAAACCGCTTATGAAGCCGTTCTCAATGAATATACCAGCACCACATCCATTGACGGAAAAGAGACTTGTTTGCTAGCGCTAGGCAAAGTACAAACAACCGATCTCGTCAAATCCTTCCTCGACTTCCAATTCTCCGACAAGGTTGCCCTCCAGGATGTCCATACTGGCTCGGTCTCGCTAGCTGCGAACTCCAAGGTTCGCAACGCCCTGTGGCAGTATATCAAGGAAAACTGGGATCCAATAAGCAAGAAACTCTCGGCTTCTTCAGTGGTGATGGATCGCTATCTCAAGACGTGTTTGTCAAAATTTGCAAGCCACGAGATGGAAAAAGAGATAGCGGCGTTTTTCAAAGACAAGGACACAAAGGGTTATGACAGAGGCTTGGTACAAGTCTCAGACACTGTGCAGGCAAACGCAAACTACAAGGAGCGTGATGAAGCGTTGGTGCTGGAATGGCTCAAGACCCATGACTACGTATGAGGAGGGAAAGTCTCGAAAATAGTATGCTGACGAGATATGAGTGTAATCATGAAAGCAATGGTGGAAAGGAGTCCAAAGCAACGATTCATGCTCAAGTATCTTGCCACAATTCACTACAAGTATATGGTCGGACGACTGGCAGATCATGACATTCTAGAGGCGCAGATTGTCCTCAAGATGTCCTGTAGCTGTCATCTCAGAACAAGTGATACATTATGATTTGGTCATGACCAAGACCATTCCCAAAGTCCATGTTCATGTGGCTTTTGCAAGGCTGAATGTTTCAGCCCAGTCGAATATGGACTAGCGCCATTCTGCCCTTATGTCCTGATGTCCTGCGTCTCTGTGTCAGGAAGAATCATCACCAACATCATCCTTCTCTGCACACATTGACATCTGATACTTGTCGAACTCTTAGAAACTTCTCTTCCTGAAGCTGATCCCAGGAACATCCATCTTCTCGACGCTCATCATGAATCCAGAGTAGTAAGTTGGGGAGACATGGAACCACAAGGCCTCACAGAACGCTGACCTTCGGATCTCGCAGAGAACACCCTGCCGTCCCCAGAACAAGAAGAAGCTGGATTCGCAGAAGGCTCAAGCTTTCGCTTCCCTCAGGACTGCTGGGCGGATTGCAGCCTTGCTAATCACCGCCTCTCTCCAGATACGATTACCTCTTCAAGCTCCTCCTCATCGGTGACTCCGGCGTGGGAAAGTCCTGTTTGCTGCTGCGATTTGCCGATGATACATACACTGAGAGCTATATCTCGACCATTGGTGTGGACTTTGTATGGCGCTTCCAGAATCCACCTCGGATCAAGAACCCGAGATGGCTGACAGGCTCTACCAGAAAATCCGGACGATCGAGCTGGATGGCAAGACCGTAAAACTTCAGATCGTATGCATAGCAGTCACTCGATTCAGTCCGCGGACGCTGATATAAGTGCTAGTGGGACACCGCAGGGCAAGAACGATTCCGAACCATCACATCCTCCTACTACCGCGGAGCACATGGCATCTGCGTTGTCTACGATGTGACAGATATGGATTCATTCAACAACGTCAAGCAATGGCTTCAAGAGATCGACCGCTACGCTACAGAGGGTGTGAACAAGCTGCTGGTGGGCAACAAAAGTGATATGTCGGACAAGAAAGTGGTGGAGTATACGGTTGCGAAGGTACGTATCATATAATTGACGACATTGATATACCACCGCGAATCAAGTCTGATATTTGATGGAAACATAGGAGTTCGCCGACAGCCTTGGCATTCCCTTCCTAGAAACATCAGCCAAGAACGCTTCAAATGTCGAACAAGCCTTCTTGACCATGGCGCGACAGATTAAAGAGCGAATGGGTACCACAACCGTCAACAACAAGCCCACCGTCCAAGTCGGACAAGGTCAGGGAGTGCAATCGGGTTCGGCCGGCGGGTGTTGTTAGAGAAATAGAAGCATGGGGGGGGAGAGGAAGATTAAATTGTGGTCAAGATGGAAGACCTGCCTCCGATGAGGTCTACGTATAACACATGTGTCTGCCTGCAGTCATGGTTGGTTTTACGAGCGTTAGAGGGTTCTAATGATGCGAATCTTGTCGGCTTGGAATCGAGGACCTCAGCATTTCTAATGGCCGTAGTATGATGGGAATAGAGGTCGTTGTTTCGTCCAGGTTCGGCATTGTCTCATAGGTGTTAGTGCTCAGCAATCAATTCTTCATGCATGCTTTGTGTTCATTGCGGACGCTACAACGCTTTGGGCTAATGATATTTCTCCCAATTCCCTGACCGTGTCTTTCAGGAGCAGGCTTTGGGAGCCCTGACTTTACCAGAATTCATTCTTGTTCTGTCAGTCCATGGTTCGTTACCCTTTTGTGAGTTGAGTCGGGGCCCCCAGCCTTCTGCCTCCGTCTACCTTCCTCGGCATATCTCTCTTGAACCTGCAAATGCTTCCCTCGGCAAAGGCTACAGCAGGGCCCAGCCCCCACCTAAATCGCAATTAAATCATTCAGCAACGCCACCACGGGCAAGATCACTAGCACGGACACCAAAATCACTGCAAAACCACCAGGCGAAGGGTTTGAAGCCGAATTGCTTCTACTCCCCTGAACTACGCTTCCTCTAGCTGTGCTCGTACTCGGTTTCGAAGATGGTCTGGAATGATGACTGGTTGATACGATGGTACTCGATGATGGCGCCGTGGACGTCAAGACGAACTCGGCCTCCGTCCTCACCGTTGGCGCCGTGCTTCCCGCCGGTTTATCACCATGATCGAAGCACGAACAGGCGCTCTCGACCTGGGGGCGCCCGAATTGGCCCACGTAGGTCGGGAGGAGGATCTGGGATTGGGAATCGAGATAGAGAGGGCAGAAGAGTGATGCGTCTTCTGAATTACTCCACAGGGCGCGGAGCTCACTGTCTAGGTAACACGGAAAAGCGACGGCAGCGAAGGCGGGTGTGGTCGGGCTCGGCGTTTGCAAGGTGATGTGTGGTGTGGATGTGTGAGATGTGTAAGAAAGGTGAGGGGTGTGAGATGGTTGAGAGATGTGGGAGGGTTGAGAGGCGTGGGAGGGGTAAGAGGGGTGAGAGGTGTGAGACGTGTGAGACGTGTGAGACGTGTGAGATGTGTGAGATGTGTGAGATGTGTGGAGTATTGTGTGAGAGGTATGAAGTATGTGAGAAGTACGAAAGATGTTAGAGGTGGAAGTTGTGTGCATGATGCGCAGTTTGCTTGTAGGATTGTTTCCTTTGCAGCTGGTGGGACTGAAGGGGTGGCATTGGGGAAAGGTGAGCTCTCAGGAAATTGGCAAATGGGCAAAGAATAGTTTACGCTGACAGTGACGACTGTCAGGTAAAGTACCTTACCTTAAGGTAATTAATTAGAAGGCTTCACTAGCTCGTTTAGCTGCGCGTGACCAGAATCAATGCAGGTCAGAAATCGGCATGTTTCATCGACGTCTTACGCTGATCGGTGAGTGCCAATATTATCATGGACACTTCTCAGACTTCATACAGTTCATCACCATCACCATCACCATCACCATCTCCGTGGCTGCTTTCCCCCATTTGCATTGAATTATCATTCTATTGAATTTTCGGATTATAGGATTTTTGGATTGTTGAAGAACATAAATATATATTCCTCGATAAATTTACCGCCCTCGGCACTCGTGTCCTGTCTTCATTGAGCCTCACAAGCTCGAGGATCGAAAGTCTGAGAACCCTTTCGCTGACACTCAAGCTCCCTCGCAACGACACATGCGTGGTTGGACAAGGAGCATTCTCTCCTGTTCTGGACATGTGATTGGTATAGAGTGGGCGTATGCAATGCCACAACCTTCCTTATCATGGTGGAAACCGACTACCAAATATTCACCAGTCAGCCACTCGGCACAAAGGTACAACTTGCCGGCGTTCTCACTGTTACTTATATCATCCAGCCACAGCAACAAGCCGACCTGATCTCCACAATCTTCTCTCCGGCCATCTCGACGCTGGATTTCATAGAGTGGTAAGCAGTACTGCTGTTCACCTTGCTCCCGCCGAGCGTCTCCTCGCTTAGTATACCACACCCACGCCCAGTGCATGCTTGCCAGGAACCAGCAAAGAAGCAAGAACGCGTGGATATAGACGCTCGTGCTACTCATTCCGTGGCCATCTGCAGTGTGCTTGGGAGGGTTGAAGTGTCGATAGCCAGAATGCCTCATGACGTGGGAGGAGTGACACATGGTAGAGCTGGTGGTGAGCGCTGGATGGGGTGTCTGGCTTGGAGCGTGAGTACAGCAGCACAGTCCGGTTTGGGATGTAAGTACGTGGAGTACTGTCGGGCTGGAGGTATAAGTACTTTGCAAGGGAAAAACTGCACGGGCAATAAAAGTGGAGAAATTTAAATCTCATTCAATTGTGCGCGTGGGTCTAGAATACTCTACTTTTCCAAGCGAAAACTACCTTACGTCCTTGGCAATTCGAAATATTCCCTTTTCCCAGCAAGTGACTCAAGCCAAAGTACGAGCAGCATCACCTATCCCTTGCACGAAGCGCGGCACCCTGTGGTGCATTTCTCATCCACATCCCCTTCTCAGTCCTCAGGAATCCCCTCGTGAAGCTCATATGCGGGTGGTGGAAGTTTGAAATCATCGTCCTCGTCGAGTAGGGGATATCCTGGGTTTGGCAGGAGCCTGCCCGTGAGATCCACCATGCCATTCTCGAGGGCAGCAAGCCTATCCTGCTGTCTTTGATCCCGTTTCCTTCGCTCCCGCCAGTCACAGATGTGGGAGAAGGCCAAAGCCGTGACGGCGATGAGGCAGAGCATCGTGTGTTTGGACGAGGGGTCTTTGGGGACAGCACCCGAGTATTCTCGAGAGGAGTGGTAGCTGGTGGGAGTGGACGCTTGCAGGTAGGTTAGGACGTAAGTCAGATTGAACACGTTCGTTCTGTGATGTTTGGCTTGTGGGTTTTGGTGATTGACGGAGAGGTGCAGTTGGGTTGGACTCCTGAGGAAGAAACGAATGGAGTACAGCATTTTATTTCGTAGATGAGAAAAATGCTTTATTTCTGAAGATTTCGGAAATTGCATTATAATGTCAAAACTTGCTCTGTATCCAGAATCCCCTTTCTTGCAGCCTATTATCAAGTCCTGACCTCTGGCATTGTCCCCAGCGTGCACAAAGTCGGGCTTCAAGCCGATCAACTTGATATCTTAATTGGCTGACGGCGTCTCATCGTCTGGAAAGACAGGTTTGTGACTCAGCAGTGACTGCATCCTTCCCCACCAAAATACCCAGCCTCGTGTCTCGCACGATGATCCGGCGAGAGATCATCTTCATACATCTCAGCTGCTTCGGGTTCTCACCTCAGACCTACACACGCTCAAAATGCTCTGGACAGTAACGTACCTTTCCCCGTATCGCTGAGCCACTGCTGATCAGCGACCATGGCCTTCTTTCTCTTGGGATCGCGGCGTCCCTTGATCACCTTGGCGATGATGAGGATGATCGAAATTCCAACGAAGAAGCCGAGCACTGCGATGGCACCGATGGGTACCGTGTTGGCAGAGTCTGCTACTATATCAGTCATGGTGGCGACGGAGCGCAATAGTCGAGTCGTGGTATTGTACTACCCGTCGTCTGCTCTGTTGCTAGAACATCCCGAACTCGTAGCCGAGATGACGAGGTTTCTGGCGCTTTCTTGCAGCCCCAAAATCCACACTGTGCCGTGTCAGTACCACTAGCAACACTGGTTCCAGTCCCGAGAAATCCAGCCATGCCTGCTGATGTGAAAGTAAAAGCCATGCTAGCTGTCGGTTCTCGGACAATCCATTTGTCTGGGAAGAAAACAAGAAGCAGATTGGGGGTCAGACAGTCTTGTAAATAATGAGGATGGGAATCGTCAGTAGCGTTGCTGCGTTCGAATCGTCCTCGGGCGTCGAACGGACTCAATTCTTCTCAGCAAGAGTACTACTTTGCATTTTAGGCCCACAATTGCTCAAACCTACTCCCAACTAGTACAGGACGGTTCTGCCATCAACAGTTGCTCGAAACAAGCCATGCCGGAAGCCAGGCTCGACATAGCAGGCATATGGGCAGCCCAAGGACTTAATTTACCAGAATCGAGAGAAGTGTCAATGGTCCATTTGAAGACTCGGCCCACCTATACATGACTGCCGTTTCTGAACTTCGCACTCTTTCTCTAGTATAGAGATAAGAACACAGGAATTTGCTGCCTCCGTACTGAAAACCCCTTGGGAGGGAGCGCCGGACATGGCTGACTGCAGACCAGTGAAGCGCACACGGTGAAAGAAATTGGTCGTTAAAGAAACGAGATCAGAAGTACCATGTTTGGATCAGGTGCAAATACGAGAAACTGCCAAATGAGATCTCCCAATCTCACACCGGACGATTTGTAGTAAGGAGTAAAGCGGCCACAACCCACTTTCTTACGATTACGTTCATGAACACAGCTTTGTAACAGAGGTAAAATATTGCAGCACGAAAGGCAGAAGCTTCAAGACTCGAAGGAATGTCGGTTACACTTCGTGATTTCAAACTATAAATTGATTCTTCAAAGGAATGTAGACCAAAGATTCATGTACCACAAAACCCAAGACCCGGATCTGCCGTCCATGATGAAGCTTGTCTCTCGGAAAGGAAATGGAAAGCGCGATGACAAGCCAGGAACGGACCATCTATAAAAGCGCACAGCCCTTCGGAATGCGCTCCACGGCAGATGTGCATACACTGTCAATGAACGTTGGCTGGTGGTTCAAAATCCGTTGCCCACCAGACACGCTCTTCGCCGCGTCCTGGACCTTGTCTCATATTAGCTACCCGCCGACCCATTCGGGATGACTCGATCATACCATTCTCGACTACACGGTTCTCGACCATGCTGTTTTCCATGTCTTGTGCAAGAGCATCGCCGATGCCTCGCCGCATGCGGAGCTCATGAAGTTTGTACGACAACCAGGACAGTGCGTCAGGAACCGCCAGCGAAAAAGCGAGCAGAACGAGCAGGCCAACTACGATCAGCGAAAAAAAGATGATGGCCTTGAAGAAGTTGGTAAGGAAGACAGAGGGATCCTGCTCGGAGTTCATCTCGACGACTGCTTTTGATGAGATTCGAAGCTGTATAACTATCTGGTTGATCTCTGGGAGCGGTGGGAGTATGGGTTGTCAGCGGGTTATCAGTAGCGGTGATGTTGGAATTGCAAGAGAGACTCAGAGATTTAAACCATCTCTAGTACGCAATAATGCAATAAAAATATGTTCGAATTGAGTCTCTGCTTTGAAGTATCGAACTTGGCCTATCTGGGAGGTAAATGCTTTTTTTACATGCTCGATTCCCGAGCAGGCTTCGACCTGGAATCCACCGTCGCCTAGGAAGTACATGCGTGTGGATGGCATAGCGAACGGGTATTTTATTGTTGAAATGTCCTGACGATCCGGTTTTATTTGAGCGTCACTGGGTGCCATCCCAAAACAATTGCGAGCAAGGAATTGAGAAGAAGGCATTGACACTTATTTGATATATAGCGACAGCACATTTCGATGCAATGGAGGCGCAACTCAGCTATCCTCGTTGTGACAAGCGTACAGATACGCCCCAAAGCATTTTTGAGAATGTCTTTCGCGTAACAGTCTTCTTCCACAGACGAGCCTGGTATAGTGAACCAAAGGATACGCAGTTCTTGATCCAGTCGATCGACGTATGCGGTTTCTTGCCAAACCACACTGTTTAATCTCTACCGGAGGCCCCTGACGTTTTATGTGCAACCGAGCTGTAAGACGTGAGTTGAGTCTGCATACTCGGTCTTCTATTGGGTGTGTATGAAGTTGGAGGTACTTGTGGGCTGTCTGTGTTTAGACCGTAGGCTAACATGCTTTCTGAAGCGAAATCCCTGGGGATCTCGCTGCTTGTATTTAGTTCTGATTGTTCATGTGTCTGAGCCTCGACGTCAATATCGCCATTGGTGCATATTCAGGTAATACGGAAAACATCTCATCAGCTTTGACATGGACTTCGGAACACGGCTGTGTGTCGTACCTATTGAAGAGGATCTGAGCCGTTCGGATTCAGATGTTGAAGCCTGCTCGGCAATGGTGTTTGGAGTTGCCATTAGGAAACATCCGAAAAGAGCTCCAATAAGAGCTCCGGCACAGGGGCAAGCAATGAGTATGATTTGGTCGTCCTCCGTCATGCCAGACCAGTGAGGCCAAGGAGGTACTCCGTATGAATCGGTTATGACTCCCACCGCGATCACCACACCGAGCAGCGCCATCAGCACAACGTAGGTAATCTTTGCTTCCATGGAATGAGGTCTTGTTTGAGACATGATAAAAAATTCGTCTGGAGAGATGGCTCAGGTGGTAAATCGTTGACTCTTTGGATTTCAAAGATGATGCTGCTATTCACTCTTCCTGGAATTTCCTTGTAGGATAGGGCCTAACGTATCTGTAAGAGCGTCGAATTGCCTCGTGCGCCAATTTCCTATTGGGCGCTCTCACAGTCACCGAGCTCTAGGTAGGTATGTTGTTACGATTGAGCATTTTTATCGTAAGCGTGCTTGGTCCTTTGTCGCCATTCCCAGACAGCAATGCGGTAGAGTAGCAGGTGCTCTGCGCAGGTCAATGAGAGAATTGCAACAGCTGGGCGAAACACGTCCTGCTTTCAAAGAGTAGGGCCAAAGGGACACGCCATCCGCGTTGGCTTGCTTTGGCAAGTAATAGAATGAATTTCGATCCGAGCAAAGACATAGAACAATCAAAGAGAGGGTGATTGGGGTACTTGGTATACTTTGGAGGGTTGGAGCTTTTCAAGTTGGCCACAGAGCAGCATTGAGCAGAATGTTTTCTTTTCTCCTTGGACGGTCACATTCAGTGCCACGTTCGAGCCTGATACCTAAGTATGATTAGAGATTTCGATTTGTCTCCATGAGCTTTTCATCTTTCGACGGCATTGAATTTTTGCTCAACACCGAAGCACTGACGGTATGAGAGTGTGTGGTTCCGAATGCTCTGGTGAGATACCTGTGACTTGTGTTATGTATGCTACAATCCATAACTTCACTTGATGAAGCTCGATGAGGATGGATGAGAAAGAATATGAATATGAGAAGGTAATGGGTGAGAGTGGTTGAGGATGAAGGAGGATGGATGATGGGTGAGGTTATGCCGGGCCATTGGGCATTGGAACATAAACTACGAGTAAGGTAAGGAGTAAATCTAAGGTACTTTTAAAATAGGTACCTTTAAGTACCTTACGGGCCATAATACTACCTTAAGGTACCAAGGCAGTACAAACACCTTAGCTCTCGGGGGAAGCCGACTAGCAGAATCCCTGGTTAAAGTAAAAGGTAAGGGAAAGTACGACTTACCTCAAGGTACATGTAGAGTACGGTACGTACTCAATGCAACATGTCAAAATCTTCAGATCCAGATCATTTCTTTCAAACCAGGTACTCTAGCTTCTCTTCCCCCACCCAAATCCAATTGATTTCTTCTGTTAGATCCATCACTCACCTCTCCCCAGTCATTCCCTCGCGGAAACCAGCCGGAAAACCCTCAAATCCAAAAACCACCATGGCTCCCCAATCCGTCTTCAAAGTAAAATCCTCGCCATCATCTCCCATCCTGCAGACCCGGGCGCTGTATACGTAGCCGAAAGTGCTGGGACAGCAAGGAGGGTAGTGCTCGAAGTAGGTGAGATCACCTCTGCCCATGTTGATCCCATATATCCTGCTGAAAACGATGCATTCTAAAGGCTGCTGAATCCTCCCATACCTATCGTGGACCGACGACACCCCTTACCTCGCTCGCTCTCTCTACGATATCCACTATCGACTCCCTCTTCGCTGGCTCCTGGGACAAATCCATTTGGTCTTGGAACAGAACCACGCGAGTTCCACAACGCCGCTACTTTGGCCATTCCGACTTCGTGAAAGCGCTTCTCTGCATTCGTGTCAATGGTGCAGATGTACTCATATCTGGCTCCGCAGATGCTTCCATTATCCTCTGGGATGTTGAGACTGGTGACAAGCTACATACGTTGAAAGGAGGGCATACGAGAGGGATCTTGGACTTAGCCGTCGACCCTATCACATACCCATCATCGCCGTTAGCGAAACATGATGGAAGATCGATCGTAGTTTTCAGTGCGGGGAGTGATCGAGAAATCAGGAGGTGGCGTATCAGCGACGACCTCTCAACCGCTCGCGAGACCGAGACGGACAAACCACTCCTCCAGCACGAGACTAGCGTGTACAGGTTACATTTCGACGCTGACGACGACCTGTGGACAGCAAGCGCCGACGGTAGCGTGAAATGCCTAGGTAGGGAAAGAGGGTGGCAAGCTGACACCACGCTCGTGCATGGAGATTACGTCCGAGCAGTGGCTGTCGATGAGAGAGGTGGTTGGGTTGTGAGTGCTGGCAGAGATGAAGACGTGAAGATTTGGGACAGGGCGAGCGGCAAGTTGCACCATACGTTCTCAGGGCATTTTGAGGAGATCACTGGGATGTTGTTGACAGGCCAGACGGTGGTGACGGTGAGCATAGATGCTACCATTAGACGATGGTCGCTGAAGGCCGAAGATCTGGGGAAGGCGGTGAGGGAAGCTGAGGAAGCCAAGAACGGGGTCGAAAAGGAAGAGAAGGTAGTGCAAAAGAAGGGGATAATAACGGATGACGAGGAGAGGGAATTGGCGGAACTGATGGGAAGTGATAGCGAGTAAAACGTTGCTCGCTGGCTGACACACGTCACGAATGCACCTCCGGTCTTTACATCCAATACATACACGTGGATCTCGCCATCCGATGCGATTTACTGTGACACTAGTACTCGCTCAATCTCAACTTCTTCCCAACAGCCCGTCGTGCATTGCCTATCGCCTTCTCGCTCGGCCTGTCCTTTTCTTCCTGGCTGGCCTTTAGCACTTGAAGCAGCATGCCCGCATCGAAGAAGCCATCTGGTTGAGCCATATCAGCAAGTTCTCTCAAAGAATTGCGAGGAAATACTCACAACCACCTAACCCGTCATCATCACTCTCTTCCTTCACATCGTCCACAGGGTCATCTTCTCCCACAATTGCCCTTCCTCTCTTTGGCACCACCTCTGGTCTCACCACCTCCCTCGCTCGACTAGCCTTTGTGCTCCTACTCTTTTGCTGTGTTGATTTCAGGAGTCTTCTGATCTCCAGAAAATAGCCCTCCAGAGCATCAATGAATCGCTTCGTCTGTCTATGTTTGCTACTTGCGCAAATAGATACAGAGTCTTCTTTGATGATGTAGCCAATACCAAACCCGTCGGCGGAGGTGGGGCCAAACCCGAAATGTCTGAGAGCAGGGTTGCCGCAGTTGGAGGTGGAGATAACGGTTGTATTGATTCTGTCCCACCCGCCATCGGCGAATAGGGCGGGCATTTGGTGAGTAGGCTGCTTGGGGTGCGGAGAGGGTGAAACGGAGCCGTCTTCTTTGGCGAACGAATTACGATTGGGTGATCCAGCCTCTGAGCCCGCGTCTACTGGGCTCGAGTAGCCATTCGAGCTCATGCCGTTGCTGCTTGCGGCCTCGGCTCCTTCCTCGTCGACAGCGCGCTGCCAGACGCAGTAAAGGGCGTAGAGATGGCGGTCTTGGCCGAGTGCTTTTGCACACTCTTTTGTATGGGCTGTATGCTTCTGTGTTGCTTTTCGCAGAGCTTCAACCTTTTGGGTGGCAGGATTCTCGCCCCAGAAGGTGCGAATGAAGTCCGCAGATTCTGGAGAGACGGCCCGTATGGCTTCAGTCCGGCCGTGGAGGAAGACCTTGGTCATGGCTGGCTCGTAGACGTTTTCTACACGGCCGTAGAGACCGTAGTAGGCGGCTTGGAATGCCATTTGAACGAAAGCGTCCGGAGAAAAGCCAGTTGAGGTCATGAAACTCTTTCCGTACCCGGTGAACTCCAATGTCTGGAATTCGTTCTGCTGGATGAGATCTGCTAGCCTCGTTTCAGCAAATCGTAATGCAGTGCTGAGCTCCGGTAGCATGTCCCATTCCAACTTGTGTGGCGTTGTGCTGACGTCTCCAAAACTTTCTGGGTCTCTCTTTGATGGGTCAGGACTGTCTGATGCCCACAGACTGGGAGCTTGTCCGTTGATACTCTTAGCGAATCGTAGAATGGTGTCGGTGTAAAGGTCGCTGGCAAATCGCAGGACTGTATGACCGTCGACACCAGTATGTTCAAAGTTGATACCTGCGCTGCCATTCTTGCATACAATGATCTGCATCTTATCGTACCATCGATTTGTACAGGTGCCAACTTGGACGCCCCTCACAACTTCGCTCGTGCCGCAGAGCATGTTTCCGCAAAGCTGAGCGCTTGTCTGTGGCTCGGTATAGTCAAGACATAAGATGAAAAGTGCAGAATCCACGATACCTAGACAGTCAGCGTTGTTCGAGTCCTCTTCTCGCGTCAGGACATCTCTCAGTCCTGACCAAATCTTTCGATTCTCTGTACTTAGTATCCCAAGTGCAGCTTTCGCTGCTTCTTGAATCGGTGTTTCCTCGGCATCGTCGACAATCACCTGCAGGTTCAATGCCATATCTTTCTCCGTCATGATCAGGTCTGCGTTGTCATCCAAGACGTCGTACCAGTAGAATTGCCCCTTGCAAAGCACGACAATATGCTTCGCACCGCTATCTTGCGCAATCTGGCATCCATTCTCTGTTGGTACGCGGGCGGTGCCAAAGAGTCTCGAATACTGGTACATACAGAGAGGGGTCCCTTTCAGGGTGTCTGGCGGTAGCTCTTCCTTCCGGACTGCACGAACAAAGCATAGAGCAGATATGACGAGAGATGCGGCACGTGTGACTTGATTGTTTCGAGCTGGCGTCGGGTCATCTTCGAGGAGGAAGAAGGGATTGAGGTTCAGAACAACAGGGTTGTCAAAGTTCAGATACGAATCGTACCCTCGAAGCACGCTGTCAGCCTCGGGAATGCCAGAAGTTGCGAAGATGGAGACGTACAAAATTGCTCAATGTAGCTTGTCTTTCCTGTGGCATATTTCTTGAGTCTCGCCTGTAGCTCAAGACCCTCTCCTTTCAAGAATTCCTGCGCCGCCGCACAGGTATCTTCTTGCTCTCGTTCGCTTTGAAGCGGCCGGAGCACATCCTGATATTTCTTGAGAGTACTTTCGAGTTCTGGTATTGGCAGTTTTGGGAGCTTGTCTTGAGCGGCGAAGGTGATCCCAGGCTGGTGCTTCGCTCCATGCGATGCTAGAGGTTCTCGCTGCGAGACGGAGTATGACTGCTGTGTCCTTTTAGGCGAGGAGCGATCGGCATCGGAGACGGGAGGCTGTGAATTCGCCAACGACTCGTTCAGAGACTTAGGCATAGTGAAAGTGCGTACTGTCATGGTGAAGACGTTTTAGTCAGGTGAGCGTAGGAGACACCAGCGTCGAGATAGACAAAAGCTTCAAAGCACTTCTGTAGAAGTAATGACAGTCTTGAAGGCAATACGAAGGCATTGGAATCAGCAACAGCAAGATGTGAAAGAAACAGGAATCCTAGCAAGGATGCTCATGAGGAGGTGTTGTATGACAAAAGTCACACTATTGCCAAATGATGCGGACCCCGGGATGAAGTCAGAGAGTGCGCTGTGCTGTTCTTGTGGTCCATGGACAAAAGCGAAAGCGCAGGCTTTTGTATGATGATGCACTATAGGACTGCGCACCTACCTCATGACCACCTATAGTAAGCGCGGGAAAAATCGACCGTCACACTTTACTCCCCGTGCATATGGTCCCCCAACGATCACTCGTCGTTCATGCACTCCACTTCAAAGAAGGGTCAATGAATGGCTTGTTGCCCGGACGAATGGCGTTTAGGGGTAATGAGATGATGAGATCACAGCAAAAGGTGGCTGTGTGTAATAGGTCTTTGGGGTGTGCAGTACGGACAAGAGGATGCGCCCATGTAGATCGGATGATCCGAAGCTTCGGACCAAGATGCAATTGTTTGCTGTCGATCAGTAGAGTATAAGTATTTTGTATTCGAAGGGCAGTCTTACTCTTAGCCCGACGAGCGCGTTCAAGCTGCAACGTCACCACGGCCTACCCCGCGTCGTCAGAAGGTGGGGGCCTCCTCCGCGGGGAGAATTGGCCTTGATGCCCCCCCCCTGTCTCCGGGCGATCATTGAGGCTCTTCGGGATTACAGGGTGACTTGCATAGGACACACACATCGAGGAGAATGAAACGACTTAAGGCTAGACCGACTCGAAACCCATCGGCTAGAGAAGGAGCCTTTTCCCGCCACCACCGCTCACTTGAGTAATAGATAGGATTCAAACCCTCACTCTCCGATGTAAGCATGAAGGTTAGCGTAGCATACTGTTCGTTGAAAAGCTTCAACAGTACCTACTCGTATGCGAGTATTGCGTTTCCCCCAAAAGGATATCATTGGAAATATTCATTGCAAGCTATCAAACGTAAAGGTGAGGAAGCCACAATTATAAGATTTAGAAGGGTTCGTAGCCACCCTGATGGAGTTCTGTATCTTCGAAAGCCTGAAGGACTTGCAGCTGTCAACGCTTGAATAGCTGTGCAAGACATCATCATGAATGGCCTGGAAAGCAGTGGTGCATTGCGGTCTAATGTTACGAGGTAAACACCTCCTGTACTCCGGAGAGGCAGAGTTGGTGACACAGCTTCTTGCAAGGACCGTGAACGGAGAAATTGGTGTCAGCGGCCCTCGATGGAGAGGGTGCGGTTTAAACAAGAAAGTCAACAGGTCTGCAAGTGAGGACCAAGACGCGCTAGTGCAGCCCTATCAAAGTATTGAGAGCTTCAACCACCAAATGAGGGTCAAGTTCCCTTTTCATACACCCCATCTTGCCGCGAATTCAAATGACATCTACAGGTTTCGAATTATCCGACATTCATAACTACTTCACTGCTACACGTTGATATCATCAGTGCCCTTTCCCGGAGCATTTCAACCGGCCAATCGACTATTCAACCTCACTGTCCAGCAAGATACCAAGGGCAAGATAACGTTTCCTTCCGGTTCACGACCCGAATTCAGCCATGTCTACCGCCCAAGTGTCCAACTCATTAGCTTACTCCGAATCTAAGAGTGCGAGGAAGAAGAAAGCCAAGGCTGAAGGCCCAGTTCAAACCGCAGCTTCACCAACAGAGCCGGAATCTGGAGCTGGGCTAACAGCCGTTGATGGGGCCGCAACCGCGCCAGATGGGTCTTACGAGAGTCCATATATCAAGGAGCTGTATAAGTAGGCTCACTATTCGTTGAGCTCGGGGCTCCAATATCATCCGAAGGGCTAACACGACCTCTAGGAACATCCGCAACATCAAAAAAAAGCTGGTGACTAACACCCTGTGCGCGTTCGTTGCAACCACTCTGACCATTGAGTAATTAGAATGCCACACAAAAGGTTGATTCTATCATCGCCGAGAACCCAGGCTTGTCGCTCGACGAGCTCCTTTCGGCTCGAAAGATCAACCAAGACCAAAAAGCTCAAGCTCAAAAGAAACCTTCGCTACAAGCTTCTCTTACACAACTCGAGGAACAGATTGCTCAGTACAAGCAATTCGACGAGGACTATCAGAAGCGCTTGTCCGCAGAAAAATCAGCTCTCGAGACTGCGCATACAGATGAACTGCACAAGGTCAAGGAAGCTGCAGTCGCCGAGGCAGCAGCGGATGGCAGAAAGGAAGCTAAAGATAATCTACTCGTGCTCAGCAAATTCCTGAGAGCAGCAGCAGCTAAGCGGCAGGGTGGTGATGAGACTTCACCCGAGAATCGGGCTTTCGAAGGTGCTCTGCTGCTGGTCTACGGAGGCGAGATCGGTGCGGTCGTGGCAATGGAGAGCTTGATTGCCGGTAGCGATGAAAAAGTGCCAACAGTTGATCAAACTCCCTCAGAATTTACCTGTAAGTCTTTTGCAGTTCCCATTCATTATATCCACGCTCAATCCATTGAAATGCCATGCATAGATAAGCAGGTCCGAGACTTAGCGTTTGAGTATGCACCATATGCAGCGGAAGAAGCTTGGGCAGAAGAAGTCGCTCAGTCGGAGCCAGCACCTCCCGCTGCCGAAGATTCGTCTGCGACCATTGGAACTGACCCTACGGTTGCTCATGCCGGACTCACAGAGATCGACGATTCAGCTGAGCCCACAGTGAATGGAGTCTCTTCCCATGTCGATACTCCCAATGTGCCAGACGCATCCAACATCGATGCTGGTGCGGCCAACGCAGCGGCCGGAACCAACTGGGAGGCCAAGGACCCGGCTTCTGCCGGTTCAGGCCACGACGAATGGGTCGAGATCCCACGTGATCCTACCGAGACAGACACTGGAAACTCCGCCACGCCCGCAGGGATGACAAGTACTCAGAGCTGGGCTGAAGACGTTCCCACTGAACCCACAGATTCCATGCCGACTCCAGGATATGCGCAGACCCCTGCTGACGGCGGTGATGGTTTTCATGAAGTCCAGCATCATCGTGGTGGACGGGGTCGCGGCAGTGGTCAAGGAGAGCATCGTGGTGGTAACCGTGCTGGCCGTGGCTTTAGGGGCGATCGTGGAGAGGGCGGAGGGCGTAGCCGCGGAGGCTATAGGGGAGATCGCGGTGGAGGAGAAGGCGGTGGACGTGGTGGTGGACGTGGACGTGGTGGATTCCGAGGCAACCGTGGGCGTGGTGAGGGAGCCCAATAGGCAAGTTGCGCTGACCCCGCACCATCTGTTTCATTAGGTCCTTTGTACGTGCGGCCTTTGAGCATGTGCGATCTTTCTTCTATGATGCAAAAAGGAAAATCCGGAAGAGCTAGAACGAGGATTAATTTAGCATTTCACTTTACGTGGCTGCCGATGCTTGGGCATAGCCGGTAATGTTGCGAGCATAGCGGGTGCATTGCGTCTAGAGCGGGTCTACCAGAATGATGCTCTCTCAAGCACCATGACTTTGAGATTTACCCTTCCGAGCCTTCCTGTTACATCCTACCAGATACAAGATACAAGACTCAGGGTTCTTTCTACCATGTCTAACTGCCCAATAGCAATTGGCCGCGGCCGATTCATGCAATGTGCGGCTGTCATCCGATCTAGGGCTGAATCATCAAACGTGATCTACTGCAAGGTACCTTACCGACATGCTTGTCCAACTTCTTTGTACCATGTCTTCCTTTCATGGAAATGTGAGGATGCCCTAAGCAAAAGATTAATTGTTTGGTGAAAATATTTCTGGGAGCCTAGGTATGCTGAAGATCGCGGCTACGGATAGATGCACAACACAAGGATTGATCTTTGCTATGAGGGTCTTGGTCAGCAAAGAGATGTTCTTTACGCATACCCCAATTGCAAAGGGTTGGGATCCGTTAAAGCAAGTGATCGTACATGTAGACAAGCAGTTTGGTCGAAGAGATAAGACCATCCTTTTTGACCTGAAGACAACGTCAACTAAAGCTGGAATTCGATCAATTCCAGAGTGACACAGTAGTGGCTTGTTCGAATGCTTCATGAAAGCTTGAGTATTCAGTCTTGGTGAGTGCCGTGATCTGATAAGAGCGAAAGCTCGAAGCCTCCTTGAATAGAACCGGCAGTTCGTGCGGAACGATGTTCTTGGCGCGGACACTAAGCCCTAAAAGCTTGGCGCAAGCGACACTCTAGACCTCAACCACGTCTTTACTGACCCCCATGGCATTTTAGCTGATCCCCTGGACAAGCATCAAGCAATGGACCTTGGAGATCCTCATATCAGTCTCTGATATCACCTGTACTTGTTTCTTGGGACATCCTTCGCCTAGGGAGGCACGAGACTCACTCTTCGGCCTCTTGGCATGCGACGAGAAGACTCGAATAACACTACTGGCCTGACAGTCTGATTGCACCATCAACCAGCGGTACTCGAGCGCTCCGTTGACTGTCAGCTGAAAGAGAATATCATTCGCCGCCATGGCGGATGCGGCCATGTCTCCACCCAGCGAAGGTGAGGTGAAGATGGAGATCGATCAGGCCGATAGCAGACCTGCCCTTACCCCACCCACGAGCGAGAATACTGATAAAAAGGACGACGAATCTGGATCAGAGCTATCTGATCTGGAGCCGGAAGAACCTTTAGAGGAACATCCTGTTCAACCGAAGGTAGAGGATGAGGAAGAGATTGTTCCGGACCACTACTATGATGGTGGGAAAGTGCCCGTTTTCAAGCCTGTAAGTATCCTACCCGCGCCAGAAGACTCTAATCTATGGCACGCGATGGGCCTGCGGTTGCTTGTTTCATCACACTGACATATCCTAAGACTATGAACCAATTCCGCAGTTTCAAAGAATTCATCCAGAAGATCGACAAGTATGGCATGAAGTCAGGCATTGTCAAGGTCATTCCCCCTAAAGAATGGTATGTATTCGCAATGAAAGAGCTGATTTGCCACTCAACGCCGGCTAATCAATTCTGACCAGGCGCGATTCTCTCCCTTCACTCGACGAACAAGTCAAGACCATCAAAGTCAAGAATCCTATTACACAGGAATTCCATGGTACCCACGGCACTTATACACAAGCCAACATAGAGAAACAGCGTTCGTACAACCTGCCGCAATGGAAAGCCTTGACCGAAGAGAGCAGTCATCAGCCACCAGCGAAGCGAGGCGAGCGTCGGCGTAACCAGGAAAAGCCTATCAGAGCGCCTCCTGCACGAGTGCGAAATCCTCCTGGTACAAATACGGGCCCAAAGAAAAGGGGGCCTGGTCGTCCTAGGATCCGTCCGTTGGCGGCTACTGTTGAAGAGAATGAAAAGGAGGCCGCTCAAGACGCAAATGGCAGTAGAGTAGAGACACCGCTCACGCCCGTTTCGCCACCACTGAAGCCAAAGAAAATGAAGAAAGAACAGTTCAGTGACGACGAAACACCCAAGTCTAAAGGCCGTCAACCAAAGTCCGGTCAATCAAAATCGGTTTCGTCTAGGAGACAACATAACCGTCGAGATCAAGCAGATGTGGTAGACGAGGAGGCTTTCCAAGACTTTGATTATCGCGTCTACAACCAGGGAGAATGGACCACGGAGCGCATACAGGAGCTTGAAACAGCATACTGGAAGAGCTTGAATTTTAGTAATCCGTTGTACGGTGCCGATATGCCAGGATCTCTTTTCGACGACTCAACCAAGGAGTGGAATGTCGCAAAGCTTGAAAACCTTTTGGACGTTCTGGGTCAATCGGTGCCCGGTGTTAACACGGCGTACCTTTACCTGGGTATGTGGAAGGCTTCTTTTGCTTGGCATTTGGAAGATGTGGATCTCTACAGTATCAACTACATTCATTTTGGGGCTCCAAAGCAGTGGTACAGTATCTCACAAGCAGATGCGCGGAAGTTTGAAACAACCATGCGATCAATCTGGCCAAACGATGCAAAGAACTGCGATCAGTTCCTCCGCCACAAGACCTACCTCATTTCGCCTCAACTTCTCGAATCGCAGCACAAGATCAAGGTCAACCGCCTTGTCCACAACGAAGGAGAGTTCGTCATCACTTTCCCGTATGGCTATCATTCGGGCTACAATCTCGGCTACAATTGCGCTGAATCTGTCAATTTTGCTACTGAGGCTTGGTTGGATTACGGCAAAGTCGCGAGAAAGTGCAATTGTGAAGCTGACAGTGTCTGGGTTGATGTTCGAGATATCGAGCGAAAGCTTCGTGGTGAGCCCACTCCCGAGTACTACGAAGAGACTGAAGACGAGGAAGACGACGAGGATGATGAGCCTACTGATCTGCCTACACCTCCGAGCAGCGACAAGGGCAAACCCAAACGAAGTCACAAGAGAAAGAGGGACGCCAACGAGAAAGACACCAAGCCAAAGATCAAGAAGTTACGAATTAAGATGAAAGCGCCTGCATATGAGCCTTGCACACTGTGTCCGAACGATAACTCTTATGAAGAGCTGCTGCCGACTGACAATGGCCACAAAGCTCATCGGCGTTGTGGTCTTTATACTCCCGAGACCTACATATCCGAGGAAGGAGGGTGTGAAAAGATCTGCGATGTCGCTCACATTGATAAAGCTCGCTTGGAACTGAAATGCAACCACTGTCGCAGCAAAAAGGGGGCTGTCTTCCAGTGCTCCCAGAAGAAGTGTGTTCGAGCGTTTCACGCAACGTGCGCAGCTCAAGCCGGAGTGCTCGTCGACATCGGTCTCGTGCCAGTGTACGGAGAGGACGGGACCGAGTACACGGACACTGGGATTGACTTCCGATGTCGCATCCACCGAGGCAGAAGAGGGAAGAATGTTGAAGGTGCTCATCTTGAGGAGAATACTTTGATAAGGAAGACTGCACTCAAGCTTCCCGTTGGAGAAGTGGTCCAGATGCAGTATCTTCACGGAGACATCTTCGCTGGTGTTGTCTTGGAAAATCGGAAAAGCGAGCAGACGCTGTTGATCCACGTTCTGCCAAGGGGGTAAGTCCTTGAAAAGTGTATCTTAGACTTCCCTTGCTAACGAAAAGTCCTACAGGGACAAGATCGAGGTCGAATACAAGTGGCTGCTTGTCTTTGATCCCATCAACTCTCAGCTGCCAATGCCTTCTGAAAATGCCAAGCCTCTGCCCGCTGAGCTGGCCCGCAAATCTCGAACTACTGCCGAAGATCCTGCGAACAACGACGATCCTAAACCAAACGATCCTTTCGGTGACCCTGATAGCAATTTCCGCTGGGAGGAGTTCGACTCTTGCAAAGCCTTCCGGAACCCGGCTCAGGTAAAGATCGACATTGACAAGCCGAGCAAGCTGTGGTACTATCTTGGCAAATCATCTACTGAAGCAAAAGCCCATTACACTGCACATTTAGCCATCCAGCAGAACGACCCGACTGCGAATTTCCTGGAGAGCGTCAGGATTGCCTCAGTAGCCGCTGCAGCTGCGAAGCCACCTGCCCAGCGAGTACCTTACTCAGCTTCGTACCCATCTGGTATCAATCATCAAAATGCCCTAAACGCTCCCCGTACTGGCGCCAACGTCCATGTGCCACAGGTCAAGCCACAGCCCAAGGCCGCGGCAACCCAGTATACGAAGCCAGCAGCCACCAAGGAACGGCCATACCACGGCAAATATGCTATCACGGATCCAATAGCTGCTCAGTACAAGCCTAAACCCGGTGTCAATGTCGACGCGCAAGCATTGTACAACCAGCGTGCATTCCAAAACGCAGCGGCTTCCCAGCTTCCGCAACAGTACCACAGCCATCAAAATCCTGGCTATCGAGCTCCACAAGCATCCATGGGAGCTGCAGCTCCTACAGCACCCATGATGTCTGGACAGCCCCAAGCGCCTCAAGATCCCAGGAGTCGAACTAAGTACAGTTATAACTACAACGTGAGGCTCTTCAAACATGTTTTCTCCATGTGACGTCCACTGACAATATTCAGCGAACTGCTATGCCGTGCCAGCAAGCCCAGGCTCGGCCGCAATATTCTCAAGAGCAGCACAGTCAGCCGCTGCATACGCCTCAGCCTGCACCATACTCTCGGCCTCAAGCTCCCGTTGCCAACATGATGGGCGTCCCTTTTACGACTACCACTCCTATTGCTAACCAGCACACCTTCAGTAGACCGTCATCGGCTCAGCGACGCCCATCATCAGTATCCAGTGCCCCCGAAAAATCTATCGTATTGACAGCGCTAGTACCAGAGACGAAGAAAATTTCTCGCATTAATGTCTCAGAGAGGTATACTTATCTTCACGATGCGGAGAAGGCTCGTCCCCAAGTTTATCAGTCACCATACGCTCTTGGAGGGGGCTTCAGTTCTGCTTATCTACCAGCTCCGGCCGCTGCACCCAAGACCCGACCAAGAGGCCCTAGTATCAGTGAAGAGTACCTCATGACGCGTACACCAAGCCAGCAAGAGCAAATCAGCCAGAACTCCATGGAAGCTAAGGTCAAGGCCCAACAATACCAGCATCAACAGCAATTGCAGCGTGGCCAGAGCATAAGCCAAATCCAGACACAAGGCCAAAGTCATAGTCGCAGCAACAGTATCAAACAAGAATATCAACAGCCTCAGCACGTGCAGATGTCAGCTATTCAGCAACCTCAGCCATCTTACCACCACCCTTCGCCCCAAGCGTACCGCAATTTTCATACGAACCCCCAATCCTACCAGCAATACAACCATTACTCACCCTCCTATGCTGCCAGCTCACTTCATCATCAGCCACAACCTCATCAGTATCATCAGTCCGATCATCAGCCTTATCATCATCATCAATCTCCGAATTATCCGACCCACTACCAACAGCCACAGACGTATCAAGCGAACCACAGTCAGCAACAAGCGCAGTATCAATCCCCACAAGACTTCCAACTGCAACTCCAACGCGAAGCCCAGCATTCTCCGCAAGGCGGATGGTTGGACCAATTCTCACGCGGCCTCCAGAACGCAGCTAACCACGGCGGTAGCCAAGGAGTACCCGTATACAGCGGCGCAAGTAGCTATGGCGGCATAGGCTATAGCAGTGGTGAAGGTGGCCAAGGCAGTCCGCTGAAGTACGAAATGGGCGGAGCTGGCACGGAAATGCTGCCTATGATGCGAGAGGGAGGGAGGTACTGAATCAATTCAAATACGGAGTTTGGAAGGTAATGGATTTTACTGAAGGCGTGTGTCAGCATCTCAGCCGGAATCATGTGGAAGGACGAGATGACTTCGTGCTTCATTGTACATTCTTTCATGGTATGTGTGCATGTGGAATCGGTGCTCCAAGGGCAACAAGGGACGGATGATCACGGACGTTGCTTCATGCATATGGCTACCCTTTTTATGCAGCGAAGAGACCAAGGGATGGGGTTGTATTTACGTGTGGTACTTTACGTACAGACGAGGACTTTGTACTCTACGTCTCGCTTGTAGATAAAGGGTCAAAGCGATTAATTTCGCTAAAACTGTGTTATGAAATGGTGACTGCTCGACTAAGTCTGATCTGATTGGACCAAGGGCCGTAAGTTTCAGGTCGTGATTGCAGCAGGTCATACTTTCTCCCTGGTCTACTGCCTATGTGGATTGAGATCAACTTCGTAGAATTTCCAAATTTCAGTGGTAGCGATGATCTGCTCAGTAGCCTCTACACCAGAGTTATCTGTGCATTCTGGAATGTCACGTTCTTAAAACCAAACCCACGATTCCAAAGAGCGGAGTTATTGGAATCTCGAGTGCCGTACTAGTACAACTATTGCTCTGGTCAGACTGTTCTTCGAGGTCCAAGTAGCTGCGAGAATGTATGTAGCTGTTGTTTAGGTTGCTCTTCTTATTCCATGGTATACAAGCAAAGCTCGTGGTCATATCAGAGCTTACCGTATTTTGGAAACATGGGCGATCCACAGAAGATAGCCGTACGGAGAGCATCACTTCTCTTTCGAAGAGCTCGAAGAGGAAGCGAAGGAACTGGTGGCGGCAGACAAGGGACAAGAAGCAGGTATGACAGCGACTCGAAGCATGACAGCAGTGAAAGAGACATGTCCGTGGAAAGATTGATGGAAGTAGTTTACAAAAAGTAGATATCGCAATGTAGCCTACTGTGGGATACCGTCAATGACCGTCCATGAATCAGCCGGAAGAAATCGTGGAAAAAGCCGTGTACAATAACCGCATGCCTATGGAAAATGATATTTGACCTGGTGTAAGTGATCCAGTGGCCGAGCATGATCGCACTCTCCGCTGTTCTCGCCAAGTTATATCTCCATTTTGTCTTGGTCTCAAGTTGATGGAGCCCGAAGTGGGCTTGAGACCCTTGACTTCCACTGCACATCTAAGCAGTCTGTTGGTCAACCGTCAGGCGACTCAAAGCGGGTCTTATTCAATGGGAAGCCTTACTCCCAGGCTTGGTCATTGATAGTCAGTCGGGTCATGCCAGCAGGGTTGGCCGTGAGTGAATCCTGCCCGTAAGCTAGCAATATGACCTTGATTCTCGAAGACAGGGCGCCTAAGACCACTGACTCATCTACTCGCTCTGCACTGTAAGAAACTTGCTTTATGCTTCTCTTCTCGAATTCATTGAAATCTCTATTCTCAAAATCTATCCTTGGGGAATCTTGACGCTACCACGGATGTCCATCTTCGACATGGATCGTCATGGACTCACGGAAACCTCTTGTGGGTACTCTAAAACGGCACAACTCGAGAAAGATAGCTGCGTCTAGCATTTGAATTTCATAAGACTCTTCTGCATAGTCGATCAGCCTTCTTCAATCACATCAAAGTCACATTGCATGCCCACCTCGCTTACTTCCCGGATACTGTCTGCAGTGATTCTCCTCCGATTTCCGTTCTTGATATGCATCGATGCTTCTTGAATCAAACTATAGATTACAAGATTTATTAATACTGCGGCGTTGAACGAAGTAAAGGTGGAAAGTAGGGCATGGACTCACTCTTGTACGAAGAGGGTGTAGTCTAGAAATATCTGCCTTTTTCATCATTGACATATCCTCAGAAGAAGCATGTTTCATACCATGATGCGTGACTTACCAGGACGTCAGCGTTCTTGCTGAGACTGCGATTCGAATGGGCTTTGACGATCTTTTTGATTGTGGATCGAGGGTAAAGTCTTTTAGATGCCATGGTAGGCCTCGTGGGCCTCGTTGATCTCGTTGAGTTAGCTGGAATGTATCGGGGGTAGAGTTCTGTTCTACGCATGTACTGGGAGACTGGAAGCTTGTGGTTGTGCTTTGTTTACGTTTGAGTCTTTTGACCATATATTCGTAAGGGAAAGTTTGCCGACGCGAGCCGCCGCGGGCAACTGCTATCAGATTTCCCCGCAGACTAGCATGACTCTATCCCCATGACAGACCTTCTTCATACGATCCCAGACTTTCCGACGAAGCTGTATACCCATCTTCTGCCATCGTTGGAGAAACATCTAATCACCACAACCGACCTTCTCACCCTCGATGCTTTGGAGGTAGCAAAACGGGCACATTTACCCCTCCTTGATGTGAGGAGACTGGCCAGTCATGTCGTTGCCATCTTACAATGTCGATTGGGGTTGAAGACAGACAATGCGCCTTCGTATCAGAACGCCGGAGAAGGCCAGGCGGGTTATGGCTCGTTGAGGAAGACGGGAAAGGAAGCGACTACCCGATTGAGCCTTATCAGCACTCTTGACCCTTCCATAGATGAAGCATTGGGCGGTGGTATACCAACAAGTTGCATCACTGAGATCACGGGAGAAAGGTATGACCTCTGATCTTTAATCTTGCTTCACAACAAAGGCTAAGACTTGATAGTGGTGCTGGCAAAACGCAACTCCTCCTCACTCTTCTTCTTTCCGCCCAACTTCCTCCACCTGATGGTCTCTCACGTCCAACCCTCTACATCTCAACCGAGCACCCTCTTCCGACAGTTCGCCTTGCTCAGATCCTCAAGAACCATCCAGTACTCTCCTCGCATCCAAGCCCACCCTCTCTCAATCGTATCCTCACTCTAAACACCCCGGATCTTGAATCCCAAGACCACATCCTGACCTACCAACTCCCAGTCGCACTCGCCCGTCATAGTGTCGGCTTGGTGATCCTCGACAGCATAGCAGCGAACTATCGCGCAGAGCGTAGCTCCGCCAATACGCCTTTCGCGCTCGCCACACGCTCTGCACAGCTTGTACGGCTAGGCGCTCTCCTGCGATCCCTTTCCCGCGAACACAATTGCGCAGTGGTGGTAGCAAATCAAGTCGCCGATCGGTTCGCCCCCGTCTCCACGACTTCTCGTGCATCGGCGTCGATTTCCGTAGGAAATGTCTTTTCATCCTCTCCAGCGTCAACGGCTACGACCTCCGTCCCTGCACCATCAGTATTAAGTCTTGACCACCAACAACGCTTCTTTACCGGTTGGGGCGCGGAACCCTCGACTCCGTCCCACAATCTCAAGACGCCCACTTTAGGCCTCGTGTGGGCGAACCAGATCACTTGCCGAATTGCGCTAGTCAAGGAGCGGGATTATGGCAGCGCAGGAACTGGGGAGGGCGAAGTAGCAGTTGACGACATTGGAGGCGCAGAATGGAACTCGAGGCGTTGGAGAAGGTGGATGCGAGTTGTGTTTGCGCCATGGGTAAAAGCCACTGGGGAAAGGGAGAGGGGAGTGGAGTTTGAGATTTGGAGTGGGGGCGCAAGGGTTGTCAACAAAGCCGCTGCACAATCTCAAAAAGCAATGTAGATGCTGGAACTGTACCTACAAATGACCCTGATATTGTTAGCCACTTGATTTTGGATGGCTCAAATTTGAGATGAGGAGGCACATTTTGCGAGAGGGGATCGTGATTCGACATGGCTCAGCTCTAAGCAATTAACATCCTATGCCACCAGATGCTAAGACGGCCATATCCTCTTTTTGGCGAAGTAAAAAACCATCATCACGCTGTGCTAGTATTGTTACAATCGATATCCAGTCCGGTCCACCACCCACAAGGACCAGCCTCCCTAAAGCATTTGCATTCTTTCTGTTGTTCCGAATTTCTCGTCTTCATCGCGTATACGCGTAGCCTAGCTTTCGGCAGCAACCGACCCCCTTCCTCTCATGCCACCTCTCCCTCCCCTAGGCGCTCTTCCCCCACGATAGCCTCGTCCACGGCCTCGGCCTCGGACACCACCACGGTAGCCATTGTCCACACTTCCTTGACCGAAGGTCTCAAGATTCTTCTTCTGCTCTTCGCTTCTGAACTCACGGCCTCCAAGGCGCTTCCCGGCTACATCATCTCGGTCTTTGCTCTCGCTGGAGATGTTATCAAAAAATGATGAGGTCTTATTGTAGCCAGAAGCAGCTGGGATGACGACACTGTGCTCGCTCTCTCTACGACCACCGTTGATTGAGGCTTCTGCGGGAATGTCGTTGGAGCTGTCGATAGGGCTCCTGATTGGAGATCCGGTAGCGATGGCTTCTTGGACAAGCTCGTGCTTATTGAACTTGGCATTGGCCTCAGCAAAGTCGTAGTCCGTCTTAGGCACCTCCATCTTCTTCGTGGGTTGCTCCTCGCGCTGACGTCCGCCACGGTAGCCGCCTCGTCCACCGCGATGACCAGTGGCGTATCCCCCAGTGCCAGGCTGTCTAGAAGTACGTATATTATCATTAGTCCTCATCTCATTGACCTTGTTCGTCAAATTATCGATTGCGCTCTCTCCATTGGTTTGTTTCTGTTGTCCGGGGGCGGGAGGCAGCTTGGCCATGGCGGCTGCCACCGCAGCTCTGGCGTTGAAATTTGCATCTTCGAGCGATTTTGTGGGGACCTGGGTTGGACGCGGTGCGGCCATTTTCGCAGGAATCTGGCTTGTCCCAGGAAGGTTGGTCGAACTTGATTGCAGAGCACCATTGGCGGGGGCTCTAAGCTTAACGGCAGGACTCAGGATTGGAACGGCTGGCATAATACGACCACTCTTGGGCGCACTAGTTGCTGGTTTGGACGCAGCAGGAACCTCAGCTGCGACTGTGGGCGCTGGCGGAGCCAAAGCCTCGTAAACATTAGGCTTTGATTCTGTTGGGGGAGGTGGGCCGTTCTGAGCTGCCGCCGCAGGGGCAGGTGTCGTGCTCGAGCTCGAGCTAGGCAATTTAACAGTTGCTGTTGGCTTTTCGACTGGCAACTCTTGCTGCGGGGTAGCTTTCGGTGCATTGCTTGTCAATGGTTCCGCGGGAGTAGATGGCTTCGATTGTATGCCTTGCTGGATGGGCGGCTGCCCTGGCGCTCCGAACGGCATGGGTGGTGGATAGAATTGGCCAGGTGGTGCATGTGAGAAACCCTGGCCCGGCGGAGGAAACCAACCCGGTGGCGGAGAGCCGTATGGTATTGGAGGGTAACCATGAGGCGGGAAGCCTTGCGGACCTCCTGGGCCAAAACGCTGGTTGGGTGGGGGAGGGTAGTATTGGGGAAAGTATTGTTGCTGTTGAAACCTCGGTGGACCTTGCTGTTGAGATGGTTGTTGCTGAAACCGCTGCTGCTGTTGCTGTTGATTTTGCTGCTCCTCTTGAGGAGGTTCGGAGAAAGGTTGCTGCTGCTGGTTCTGAGCTTGCGGCATCGACGCCGGAGTGCCGATTGGGCGAGCGTTCTGCATGTAAACTGTTATCAGCGCCCGAGGGAATCTTTGTCTCGTTTTAAGAGCAAGGACTGGATCCTATGTATATCAGAAGGAAGGCAACGGAATTTTCCACACGATTTTGCGCTCTCGGTGATATAATTTGTGATTTACATCCGAAATACTTCATCAGGTAACAGGCAGACATGGCATGCACTCAGCACACGACGCGACCAGAACAATGGACTCACCCCAAGTATAGCTGGATCATCAGGCACCTGAGGTTGTGCAGGCTTTTCTGGCTCTTTCTCAATCCTCAGATCCTTGACATCGCTACCCCGAAAGACAATGTATTCATAAACGTAATCCGACGTTGCGACTTCATCCTCAGGATTTCGGCCCTCAGTGCCGAATGATTTGACATGCTCAAGTGCGACGGTGGAGTTCTCGGAGCTGATTTCATGGAGGGTGCCCACATAGCTGGTAACGCGTTAGCTATGATGCCGCTCTGGTACTGTTCTGCATAGGTGTGAGACATACCGAATGTCCCTTTTTGAGATGAGGGAAATGCGAGAGCTGTGCAGACTTTGTCAGCTCGAGCTCATCCTGAGCCTGATATCGATGTAGCCTTACCCAATATATTCGGCCATTGTGAGGTGGAGCGCTCAGAGCGCCAGTACGACAATGGGTGTGCGTGACTGCGTGACAGTTGTTTTGGAGGAGAAAGATCCGTAGAGAGGTAAACGTGAGAGGTGGAAGAGGTGTGACGGTGGTTCTGTTGAAGTTCGCGAGTGATTTCCAGCACAGTTTAGCTTGGTACATGTCAGCCCTATGAATATCGTGCAGCCTTGGTATAAAACTTCCTGTAGTTGGACACACGCACTGAATATGTTGCCCACCGGTTTCGACGATGGCTACACAGCACTCGAATGTCGCTCTGATACCTCAGGAACAATATGTGGCGACATTTCAACAGCTTGAGGATTACGCCTGGGACTCGGATCCAGAATTCCAAGGTGGTCTACAAGCAATACTCGGGTCAAATTCTTCCACAGAACAAGCTGAGCACCTGACTCTGCGTGCCAGGTGCTTCTACTTTGCTCGGTAGGGTATTCTGTATGCAAGTATCGGTGCCTCTGAAAGCTGAGGCTTCGTTTCATTTAGCAAAAACAACATTCCCATCGACTTCAACGCCTACCATACATGGCGGTCTCAGCAGTCTTCCTCTCTTGCCAATGGCATGTCAGTCATAGCCTCAGCGTCTGACCCTTTCATCGTGAACAACATTTCCCCGAGACCTGAATCAACTTCTCGCAATTTCACAGACACCAGCCCAGGAGACGTAGAGCCGCCCGCACCATATCCGACATCCTTCAGCCAATTAGTCGAGCTAATCACAAGTGGGGAGCTAATACCAGGTATCAAGGAAGTTCCGAATACTGTACTAGAAGGGCAAGCTTCTCAACCAACGACGGCCAAGCGGAAAAAACCATGGGAAATGGACGATGCTAGTACCGGCGAGGAGGTTGTTGGAACAAATCATTCACTCACGAACATTGCATAGATTGGCCCCCAGAACTCTGGTCAGGATTGCTCACAACGTCTTCGCGAGTCTTCCATAATGAATGGAAGAAGGAAACTATGACAAGTCTATTGTAAATCTGCTGATTCTCGAATGGGCACGAAGCCGAGTAAAAGTACACGTAAAAGATGATCCGCTCCTCATCTGATCACACGTTGAGGAAGCTGCTGCTCTGACAGAACCACCAGCACAGTAATCGAGATACAAAAAGAAGTAGCTGCTAAGAATTGAAAGCTGTCCGCACATGAGCCTCGCTTTGCTGCAACGTGCAAGCTGTGCCATTATTTGTCCTCTCTCGTCTCCATTAAGGTAATGTCCCTCGTAACTTTTCCAAAGACTCCGGGTCCGAGGTGCCGTGGCTGTCGACATAACGCAAGAGTCTTGCCTGCCTAGAATGGAATATGATGACTAGAATGTGGTAAATTGGAAACGAAAGTGGTTTGAAGACTGGAAGACGAAGTCGTACCAAGGTCGAAAGCTTAGGTTGGAGCAAGTGTCTGGCCTCCAACCTATCGGAGCAACGATAAAGTAATCTCGAAGGTCCCAGAGACTGTGAAGGAAGGAAGCCAAGGGTGTACCAGATTCCGGGAGCCAGAAGCGGTGCGCGGCTTTGATCTTCAACGGTAAGCTCCGCCAAAGCGGGGAATACTGCTCGGAGCACTCGAGAATCGATTGGTTGGAAGCCCAGCCCCAGGGCCAGGATGAGTTGTATAGGCAGGATTGCAACAGAGCATGCCAACACGAGATCCAAACTTGGAGCCACGTAGGGAGACCATGTGTTTGCTGTAGAGTATTAGCAATCATCGCAAAACTGCTGAGACGTGACTCACCGGATGTGAGAAGCCACAATGTCACGATGGTTTGGGTTCGCATGGGTGAGGATGTATTGAATGAGATAATTTCCGTACTGATCGCTTGCGACTTGAAACGAGATCAGCAGCGCCGTGATGGGATTCTCCAGACGACTTACTATCGATCAAGGGAATACGAGGACGATCCGCCCGGCCTTCACAGACACGCTCGAGATAGCGCTCAAGGAAATCTACGCCACCAATCTTAAGACACTTCTCGACGACCTTGGAGGCGAATTGGTCCATGCTGTACTCGGTTGCGTATCGGAGAACATGGTCGATGGCACGGCTACGGTCAGCTGGTAGGCCGTGCTCACAGATATGCTGGATGCACCAATTGCCGAATTGGCCATGCGCAACAATGTCGATGCTGCTTAGGACCTCGTTGATGCAAGGACGCTTTTTGGATGTACACTGATCAGCTTCGTGACGCATACGGGTGAAGACGGGTTGAGGTTAGATCTAATGTCTCCAAAGTGATGAACGTACCTTATCCTCTTCTAGGCAATTCTCGAAAATATTCTGCACAACCAGACTACCAGTCTCCCCCAAGGCTACTTCATGCCACATGCCACACAAAGCTTCGTTGACGTACTTCATAATTTGTGGTGGTGAGTCACTCCAGCGCAGCTCGAACAGCTTTTGCCAGACGTGACAAGCATAGCGATGGATGACTGTCTCTGGGATACGGCGAAGTAATTCATGAACCATGATAGCCTTATACTCTTCGGGTACAGCATCAAATGCCTTTTGAACGACGTGGCAGCCAAATGCATCCATGCTGAGGCTCAAAGTGTTCCCACGGATGGCGTTTGCAATAGCAATGACCTGCTCTGGAGTCCCATGCTCGAAGCAACGCTGGACGAGGAAGTTCCCGAAGCGGTTGACCATCAACGGATAAGCTTGTGCGACAATAGCTTCAATGATCTCGTACTTCTGCTCCACTGTGCCAACTTTGAGCTTCTGCTGTAGGAAGATCGAGGCTTGCTGATCATTGTTGCAAACGATCTTGTCGACTATGTACTTCCAGTTGCAAGTCACGCTACGGTCGAGGAGGCGACGGTAATTGAGAGGCTCCATAGGTGAGACGTATGTTTGTCCAGGAGAAGCGGGAGGCTGTAAAGCTATCAGTATCTATCTGCAGATTTGCAATTCGGTATGACTCACAGCAGAGTTCCAAGGGTTAGCCGAAGCTTGGCCAGCCCTAAACTCAGCTGCCGTGGGGGAGAGAGGCGTGCCAATTGGCCGTGGCTGGTAAGCTGATGGATACATATTCAAGGGCTGGTATGTAGAGCTAGGGCTCATGCTACCAAGGTTCATACCATCCATGGGACCAGGGCCACCTGTGTATACGTCCCATCCATTGCCACGCTGGTATGATGGAGCGTTGCGATTGTCCCGAGGATTCATCTGGCCGTAGCTTCGAGCTTGATTGAATTGACCGAAGTCATTCATCCCACGTCCACCTCCGCCTGACACTGGTGAGACCGGCACAGAATAGTTGCGTTGCTGCATTGGTGTTTGCTGAGATACCAATACTGGTGGAGGCAACGCGTTGCCCATCGCTCGCTGGCCCCACGAACGAGGTCCCGGCTGGCCCCAGCCTGAGTCTGGTTGTAGTGCGGCATTGAAGCTGGGCCGAGAAGGATTGGACCAGGCATTTGCTACAGCATTGAATGGACCGACCACATCAGACCCATCAGAACGGGCATCTTCATGACCCCAGTGTCCCTGGACTGTGCCGAGAGGGCGGTTGGAAGTCATAAACGCATTGGTCGGATCAGTAACATCGGTCCTAGGGCTGAGTGCAACTTCGGAGGGTGGTCCCATTGCTTGGTCGAAGGTGTGCTTGATCACGCGGGTCTGATCAAGCTCGTGCTTTTGGCGTGCAATTTGATCTTTGGCGTCATCGAGTTCTTTCTTGAGGCGTGCCATCTCCGATGCCTCGATGCGTAACTTGTCATCTTCGTCATTGGCGGCATTGGCGGTATTGGTGTAGCTGAAAGATTCTGAAGCTGGAGTCAACAGGGCCGAGCTGGCAGTGGATCCTTCTTTTGTATGGCTCTCGATGTCTCCTTTGGTCGGCAGAGTTGTCTTCTGCTTCGCAAGTAGAGCCTGTTGCTCTGAAAGCTTCGCAAGTAAGGAGTCCATGGAGTCCGGCTGCATCTCATCATGGAGAGCGGCGGCAGAGTGCTCGACTTTCATCTTCTATTCTGTCATGAGCAAAAGTGGAGGATGATGGGTGGAGGTCTTGGGTGAGGGTAGAGATAGTGATTGCGGACGTACCTTGGAACCACTAGAAGGACCTGGAGTGGGCTGTAAGTTCCCAAGCTTCGAGGTTGATAAGGGCATTGGACCTTCATTGGTGGTGATACCGTGCTTGCTGACACCTTGCTTCGACGTCTACTGCCGGATCAGTATGCGAGCTCGGAAACGAGAGGCTGGTTTCTAACCGAGCTTGCTTGACGCGAAGACATCGAGTTGTCTTGATGGTCCGTCTCATCGTGGACGGCAAATTGTGTTGTTGAAACACGTCCGCGTGCAGCAGGGGAGCCGTTTGAAGGGAGCCCAGCCATGGTGAGCGACAAGATTGTGGGCTTACTACCTTTGTGCTTCAATGTGATGTTGGGACGTGTAAAGTATGCGTAGATGGATGGTATGGTTACACACCGATCAAATGCTCGACACAATGGGACCGACCCACGTAGAAGGGGTTTCTGAGGCTCTGGGATGTCCAAAACTTTGAAGGATCGTGACGGATAGATGGTAGCGGTAGCAAAGATGATGGAGCTTTGAAGGGAAGTGAAGGGACGAGATGCTCAGTAAATTCGAGGGATGTTACCTAGATGGTAGTGGAGTTGATTTTGGAAGGAGCGTGTTGATCTTTCAGATTAAGAACATGGTAAAAGATATGTTCCTGCTTTAGTTGAAAGGAGGAAGGAAGGTGCAAGATGTAAATGTTGACGAGCGTGTAGATTACTTGTAAGCAGGAAAGGAACTTTCAACTCGCGTAATTCCCGCGCTAAGGTGTAATTGCCGCCAAGGTTCCTTTTTGATGTCAACACAGACTGCCATCTCTACGATTTCGGGTGTCCTTCCGCGGGCAGATTAAGCTGACAATCTTTCTCGGTCTAAAGAGCCTCACGGCTTTGGCCAACAAGACCATCTGAGCATCAAGCCAGCTATTTCAACTGATGAACGAAGCGTCTGACACTCTCCAGAAGTTGTCAAACGATCCCATAGCAAGTACGCCTGCAGCGCCTTCCCATGCACATCTTCTGCCGATGACGACAAAATCTGGCTGGCCTACGCCCGTCAACATCGGCATCAGGCGAGCGGCTCGCCTGAGCCCCTGCTTATCGAAGCCCCAAACGACGAGTTCAAGTCTCTCATCCAGCAATGGCCTGAGGAAGATGGCTCCCATACCGACCTCGAAAGGAAAGACTTTCTTTATGCCTCCACGTCTGCGAATATAAAGTCCCACGCTGTCGTCTAAGCCAATCGATTCCGAGTGAGACCCTAGCATTAGGGAGTCGGATCCTAGTGTTACGCTTATCACATTGCCTGATTGCGAGCCTACAGGAGCACTTAGATCAATGATCTCGGAGTCGGCAGCAAAGTACTGAAAGAGGTTTCGAGCAATCTGCACTGCTACATCAGAGACAGACGCGGATGTCCGTATTAGAAATCGCCCAGCACTGCGAAGAATCGAGTCAAGCGGTCCCAGTTGCGCGCCGTGACGTTGCTCTGTGAGCCATTGACGATCATGAGACACCTGAGAAAGTAAGCTTCCGGGTCGAATGGTTCAGTGGCACACTTCTTACATGCCAAAAGCCTTGTTCAGACCGAACGAGCCAGCAGGCAAATTTCTTCTCTCCAAGCGGCAGCTCCAGTGAGCTTTGGTCAATGACTAGCTTATGAGGCAGGATGTCTGACTTTTGAGTGGCGGTAAAATGAAATCGAAGAACGTTGGAAGTCCTCAGAACCCAGGCTGCTGAGAGTGGACATCTTTTCACCTCGATCCTCCCAAGTTGGTCTGGACTACTCAATTGGTCTACCAAGAGACCGCCCCTTGCGCCCATGTCAGCAGGATTGGCAATCATGATAGTGAAGTCTTGGGGCAGCTTCGCCCAATCCGCTTCACGCCCAAGAATGTCATAGAATCTGAGAAGTGGTACGGTGGTCATGACACCATCAAACCAATGACTCTTGCCCTTCAGCTCTACGTATTGGTGATTGTATTTCCCGTTCGTCTGAGAGATCAGCTGATTCATACGCCGAGAATGAAACGCAGGGACGTTATTGTCGGCGCTACCGTGCTGTTGCATGACGGGTATGCCCTTAAAATTGGCTACAAGAAGCTCATGGCGAAAGCTTCGCGTCGAATTCTGCAGTAACATTGTGATTTCAGGACTGGCTTCCGCCCACATCTGATATGGCACATAACCTAGGATGTCATATTGTGAGGCCTCCGCCTTACGCATTTGGACGTGAAATTGAACTGACCTTCTATCGATGAGTAGCCTGAGACTGAAGCAGCCCCAATGACTTTCTCCGGTCGATGAGTGAGTGCGTACCATGTTCCTTGACCTGAGATATTTTATAACCCTGCTTCTCGCCCCGAGATTCGGTACTCACCACCGTTCGAATGTCCAGTGACCAGCCATCCACTGGCATCCACCGAAGGCCCGTCCCACCCGACAGTCTCGATCCAACCGGAAATTGCTGCTACTGCTGCTTCCACGTCCGCGAATCCCCATGTATCTGGCCAATGTCAGTACAACACCCCACTGCTCGAAGACCCTGAAGACTTACGCCAATCATCACCACTCCACCTGCACATTTCGGAGTCAGCATGGCTTCTTTGAGACAGAAAAGTTAGGTTACAAGACAATGAGGGGGGCTGAAACTGGCCTTCTGCTCACGAGATGTGTCTTGCGGCTTGAAACTAAGGGTTTAATTAGGAAGGGTTCGCCCCGAAATGTGCACTTACGGAGTTACTCCGGTGGGAAATATAACCCATGACGGAAGATCAGGGACCGAATCAAGCATATGGCGCACTTGATGGCTATCTGCTTCCAGTCCGGCTCCATGAAGGTTGAGAAGGATCGGCAAGCGTTTGTTTGGAGACAACCCAGATATTGCTTTCTTTGAAGGGGCTCTAAGAATAGCGTATGAGACAATACCGCCAGGGTGAAGGAACGTGATCTTGTGCGGGGAGTGGCTATCATGCTCCGAGAATGCAGTTGAAATTACAGTGCTAAGGAGACAATCAGGAGAGTCACTTTCGACGTAGGTGACTTCAAGAGAAAGACATATAGGCGGATTGCTCTGCGCAGACAGACGAAATGTCAGTGGCCTTGTTTGGCCTGGTGCTAAGCTCAATGGTGAAATTCCAATCATGGCAGCACTAACGGTTCCCTCGAGATGCCATCAGCAATATTGGAGACTTCCGACAGTGAGTGGACATACCGCGCTAGTCGTAATGTCCAAGATGTCAACAGCTTTTCGTCCTTCGTTACGAGCAGGCACGAAAGCAAAAGGGCTTGCTAAGACTCCATTGACGATAGCAGGAATCATAGCCTTTTGCTCAACTATCGCCAGGCTGCCCTCGGAGCTTTCCGCTCTCAACTTGATCGATATCTTCGGCTCTCCAATACCGCCCATAACACGGACATCGCGGATCAATCGTATGTCGACATTATGTTTGCCCGGATCTAAGTGAAGGACTAACGGTGCTCTGCGGTATGCGTAATAGTCTCCACCGAAATAGTGACTGTCATCAATCCAGAATTCAAGAACATTGTCAGCATAGAATATTATGGGTTGTGCAGACTTTGCTGCTATCGTGAGACGCCCTCGAGCCCAGGCTTGATACTGCAAAGCAGCCCAGCCATACACGGATTGCAGGAATGGCCAATCGATAGTGGGAAAGCCGACGATCAAGGAAGCTTCAGCAACATCTCCAGAACTTGATGAGCATTCCAGTTGGTGGGTTGACCAAGATACTCGGCCACTGGGAGCAAGCGAACTGGGATAATTCGTTTCATTGTCATAATCGAGGGCGCGAAAGCCTCCCTCAAACTCCAATGGATCTGCACCCCAGCTTGCTTCTGTCATGTGTTAGGGATTGTGACTGGGAGACGCGCGGCTCTTGTCACCTCTTGTTCCAATCTGAAAAGGCCCAAGCACGTCCCATTTCAAGGAGAAGCTAATTGAAGGACATTCACCTCCATCTTGCCCGTGTGTGATCGACATTCTTACTTGTATCATGTATGGCAATCAAAAGAGGCCTCGACGCCTTTCATCTCTCATACTTTTACCAAATTCATCAGTTCAAGGCATACGAGTACAGGAATGTTGCAACAAAACATTTTTTTTTGAAGGGGGGATAGCGGGCGTTCTCTTGATTTACGTCTTCCGTCTTATTACATAATACGGCCGTAGCGTAATTCCTCCAATCAATATTGAATAAATAATTCAGCTTATTCATGAATAGATGATCAGTCAAGCTCGAAGACGCTCATACTGACTCAGGAGCTCTTCTGATCCTTGTCCACCTTTTGACTTGACTTGAACGGTCGAGCTTACACTCGTTTACTAGCGACAAGCTATCGACCTTGCGAATGGGCGTTCACAGAGTTGCGAATCCCTGCAGCAAACTTGCAGCCACCTTTTCGAGCAACCATGTACTTGTCAGCTCTAAAAACACCTTTCTATTCACAACTTATCATGCAATAGCAACGCGCGTTTGTATCAATTCAAATGCATACAGAACCATACAACTCATAGGCATAGTCCAGATCTGAACCGCAATCGTGCATAAGATCGATTCGGACTATGAGCTCTCCTAACGTCGAGCGCCGTCGGTCATCCTCTTCCAATCCCAGGGAAAAGTTCCCAGACTTGGACGCCTCCCAATCCGGAGACTGTCTTCCCGAATACGATGAGAGCGAAACTGGTAGAAATCGATCCGTTAGAACATTAAGCCCCGCAAAAACGAACGGCGTACTACACAGCGAACGGTGGCAGACACGGAAGGATAACCATCTGGCATGGGGAGACGGCCACCTCAACGTTGCGGGTCCTAGAAAACATGGCCGGCATAGGAGTATCGGTGATGCCTTCAGGAACATTCGTACCAGGAAAGCTAGCGTCAGTGAAAATGCACATGAGATTGCGGAGGCATTGAAAGCTCCTATATCTCTTAAGATTTTAGTCGGTGAACCTGTGGCATTGGGACCTGCACCAGCTGACAGATATATCAGGTGCTCTGCCTTATCTGGTACTTGAGCTCGGCCTTGACCAATACTTCCTCCAAGTCCATTCTCAACGCTTTTCCCAAACCGATCACTCTGACTATTATACAATTCGCCTTTGTCTCCGGATGGTGCCTATTCTTCGCATCCCTATCTCGTCTTTTTCCTCCTCTACAGACTGCTATTCCAGCCTTGAAAAACGGCATTCGATACCCTAGTCGGGAAGTAATAACTACTACTATGCCTCTCGCTCTTTTTCAGATCGGTGGACACATCTTATCCTCTACAGCTACGGAGAAGATTCCAGTATCTCTGGTCCATACTATCAAGGGCCTCTCACCGCTCTTCACGGTCCTAGCTTACCGCTTCGTCTTCCACATCCACTACCCTACAGCAACATACCTCTCGCTCATACCTCTGACACTCGGTGTCGTTCTAGCCTGTAGTGTCGAGTTCTCGGGCAACCTTTTTGGCGTTCTCTGCGCTTTCGGCGGAGCCCTCATCTTTGTCACGCAAAACATCTTCTCAAAGAAACTCTTCAACGAGGCCGCCCGCGCGGAAGCTGATGGACCCGGTATGGTTGCAGGGCAACGCAAGCTCGACAAGTTGAACCTACTTTGCTACTGTTCCGGCCTCGCCTTCGTCCTCACTTTCCCCATCTGGTTATGGACCGACGCTCTCCCTCTTTATTCCGCACCACTATCCCTCACGCCTCACACTACCCCATCCCCCTCGCCTGCATCTTCAATGTACCTACCCCTCGAATTCTTCTTTAATGGAATATTCCACTTCGCACAAAACATGCTCGCCTTCATCCTCCTCTCCCTCGTGTCTCCGGTCACTTACTCAGTCGCCTCCCTCATCAAACGTGTTTTCGTCATTGTCATAGCCATTTTCTGGTTCGGTAATAGCACAACATCACTACAAGCTGCTGGCATTGCTCTCACTTTTCTTGGACTGTACCTTTACGATCGTACAAGCGACTCGGCAAAGGCGAGCCAAAGGGCTAAGATGGAGTCCTTGAGCATTGACAAGCCCTTGCTACCACTGAGTAATAAGGATGCCATTTTCGACGAGTCACCGATGAGTACATTTTCGAGCAACATGTTTGGAAATGCCAACGGCCATGTCATTGGGGATGATAAGAAAATAGATGCTGCTGGGCCGGGCCGGCCAAGAGCAAGGAGTCAGGCTAGCAATTCGTGGCGACAGCCAGGAACAAGGTAGGAAGAGACCTGGAGATCACGAGATATTTTTATTAATCCGAGCGCTGGGTGAGGAGCTCATGACTTCATGACTAAATGCCGGAGATTTTGATATATATGTGACGCTCAGTGGCAGCTTTACGTTATTGCTAAATAGCTTGCCGGCGTGTGCGATATAAGTGGGCCTAGAGTGTCAGAAAACAAAGCAGCTGTGAACAAATTGGTCAAAGTTGTGGCTTAGGGCACTCAACAGTGTGCATCCACAACTCCATGTAATCGCCCCGAGCATCGTAGAGCCTCGCAGGTGCCAGATATGTAACTAATTTGCTTGATCCGTGCCCAGTTAACTCATCGAAGCAAACCTCTCAAGTATCTCCAATCGAATTCTGTAGCTACCGTCGGTAAGGAACACAACATCATCAGCCTCCGTCAAGAAAACCTCGTTTGCTCCAGCTACGGCGCCTGTTAGAACTTGCTCTTGGATCAACTAGCAGAGAAGGAACTGGTAGCTCTGAAGTTAAACTCCGCCAGTTCCTCCTACAATAATATGCGTCCTGATGAGTATAATTGGAAAAGAAGACGATCGAGCGCGGGAAGATTTTAATTTGTGGCCGCGCTTGTTTCGGCTATGAGTAATATAGTACGGGAAGCGCGGCATTGCTTCCAAGTTCCAGTTTCCACTGTTTACTTTATGAACATTCCTCCACACAGACTGTGTTCTCAAGAATACAATCTAGTCTCCCTTTGCTCGTCACTATGCTTGATCCAAGATCGCGCCGAATCACACACGGAAGACCTGACCGTTTTCTCCTAAGCTTGGTGCCGGACGCTCGTAAACGATATTGAATTCTACTCCATTGCAATCCGCTCCCGCGTACCTACCGGCAAACACCCAGTATTCTCTTTTTGTCCGCACGCTCTAGACGTCCACTACAATTCGCGCCGACATCGCCTTCTACTCTCTTCCTGTCCCCAACACATATACCTTCCTCACATTCTCTTGTCGGTGAAATGCATATGCTTGTGTCGCTGGGAGACGACATAGATTTGGCGCATTGAGGCTTATTGGCGGCTTTGCTAGATGAGGTGACGGGCTAAGGGAACATTGGAGGATGGGCACGGAACGGTGCTAGCCACTGGTGAAAGTCTATTCGTCGGGCTAAGGGGGAAGCTATGAGATATTGACGAGATCCAGGCTGGGTGCGGAAGTTGTGAATGTAGGAGTAATGGTCACGTCTAGGATCCTTGAGATATCCGGTATTGGGACTTGGGATTTGTCCATACGCTCCCTTCGATGTACATATGCATTCGGTACCTGAGTCTCGAAGCGACAGTCGGTTTGGATATATGTGATAGTAACCAAATGAACAAGAGCTTTGCTGAAACATCGACAAACGGGTTCTTGTGCCTTTCGCAACTGAAGTAGTCTGGCAAGCCTATTTATTAGAATAAGGAAATGGTGTACTCGCCCCGAAGTTTGTGTGATTTCAATTGAAGTGCTGAATATCCGTAGACATCCCGGAAAATAGTACATACGATCAGTCCGGCAGGCTGATTAGACTCAAGTCCTTTCACGATTCTCCCATCTCCCCCCAAAAACAAACACAGACGAAGAAGTTTCTCCCTTCGATTAAGATAGATAGATAAATAATAAAGACACCTAGACCAAGTAACCGAAGCTATCAAAAAGGGTCTGCTAGTTTTATAAGGTCTCTGTTCACTGCTGCAGGATCATTTTGAGAGTTTGACTGTGGATTTTCAATTTTTGAAGATCTAGCGCGGCTATTGAGCCAATCAATAGGTTTCTATTCATTGGCAAGCGCTAGGGCTCTCCGAGCCGATGGTGGTGAAGAGGATCATCATTTGTTGCAAATAATTGCCCACCGAGTATAAAGTACAATTGTCCTTTTGCCACGTCCTTTCTTTTGCTCTGTTCCCCAAGATGCTCCGTACGCCATTTACCAGGTCTGCGGCTAGGCTAGGGAGGCATGCAAAATGGCAAGCTGGCGCGAGGAGTTTCAACGCCACAACGAGGAGGAAAGCGGAAGTGCAGCTCACAATTGATGGCAAACAGGTCTCCATAGAAGGTATTGGGTGATAGTAGCCTCATTTACGGCTACGGAACCGCTGACTTGAAGTGCAGCCGGCTCTGCTCTTATACAAGCATGCGAAAAGGCCGGCGTGGTTATACCGCGATACTGTTATCACGAAAAGCTCATGATTGCTGGGAATTGTCGTATGTGTCTAGTGGAAGTTGAAAGAGCACCGAAGCCTGTTGCATCATGCGCCTGGCCTGTACAGCCTGGTATGGTAGTCAAGACGGACTCGCCACTCACACATAAAGCAAGAGAAGGCGTGATGGAGTTTCTGCTCGCAAACCATCCACTGGACTGCCCGATCTGCGATCAAGGAGGCGAATGCGATCTACAGGATCAGTCAATGCGATATGGAGCCGATCGGGGGCGATTCCACGAGATGGGGGGCAAGCGCGCCGTCGAAGACAAGAACATGGGCCCTTTGATCAAGACTTCCATGAACAGGTGTATCCATTGCACGAGATGCATTCGGTTCGCAAATGATGTGGCAGGAGCACCAGAGCTCGGGTCAACGGGCAGAGGCAATGATATGCAGATTGGCACATATCTTGAAACAGCTCTTGATTCGGAGATGTCAGGAAATGTCATCGACTTGTGCCCTGTTGGCGCCTTAACTTCCAAACCATACGCTTTCCGTGCACGGCCGTGGGAGTTGCAGCATTTTGAATCAGTGGACGTGCTTGATGCCTTGGGTTCAAATATCCGAATAGATGCAAGAGGGATGGAAGTCATGAGGATTATCCCCAGGCTCAACGATGACATCAACGAGGAGTGGATCAACGACAAGACTCGATTTGCTTGCGATGGCTTGAAGACACAACGATTGACTACGCCTCTGATGCGGCGGGATGATAAATTCATACCAGCATCATGGGAACAAGTTTTGACCGAGATTGGCAACGCCTACCAGCGCATATCTCCCAAAGAAAACGAGTTCAAGGCCATCACTGGCCATCTCGTCGAAACGGAAACCTTGGTCGCCATGAAAGACCTGGCCAATAAATTAGGATCTGATAATCTTGCCCTCGACCAACCCTTCGGCAGCCAGCCCATCGCCCACGGAATCGACCTCCGCTCCTCCTATACCTTCAACAGTAAGATCTATGGTGTTGAAGAAGCCGATGCCATACTCCTTGTCGGCACCAATCCCCGCCATGAAGCCGCCGGCCTTAATGCCCGCATTCGCAAGCAATGGCTACGTTCCGACCTCGAGATTGGCCTCGTCGGCGAGCCCTTCGAGAGTACCTTCAACTTTGATCACCTTGGCGCTAACGTGTCTGCCCTAAAGAAAGCACTCCAAGGTCCTTGGGGCAAAGTCCTACAGTCTGCCAAACGCCCTATGATCATTGTCGGTTCCTCGGCCGTGGAGCACCCAGACGCAAAAGCCATCTTCGAAACCGTCGGTTCCTTTGTCGATAAGAACGCCGCTAATTTCATCACCTCTGAGTGGCAAGGCTATAACGTACTCCAGCGCGTCGCCTCCCGCGCAGGGGCTTTCGAAGTCGGCTTCACGACGCCCTCTCCCACTGTCGCGAACACGGTACCTAAATTCATATGGCTGCTTGGCGCAGATGAGATTTCTGAATCCGATATTCCCAAGGGCGCATTCGTAGTCTACCAAGGCCACCACGGCGACAGAGGCGCCCAGCTCGCCGACGTTATACTCCCGGGGGCTGCGTACACAGAGAAGCACGGCACATACGTCAACACGGAAGGTCGTGTCCAAATGACCCGAGCCGCCACTTCAATGCCAGGAGCAGCGAGAGATGACTGGAAGATCCTACGGGCAGCGAGCGAGTACCTTGGGGCGCCGCTACCATATGATGATATAGAAGCTTTGAGGGATCGTATGGAAGAGATCAGTCCTGCGTTGAGACGTTACGATGTCGTAGAGGGGACTGGTATGCCCCAGCTTCAGAAAGTGCAGCTTGTAGATCAGAACAAGGGAGCCAAGGTAGAGAACAAACCATTTGCAAGTGTGATCAAGGATTTCTTCTTTACGGACGCGATCTCCAGAAGGTATGTTGGCGCCTGCCGATGGTCCTTGGCACGCTGCTCATTTGAATTGCTACAGTTCCCCAACAATGGCACGCTGCTCGGCAGCCAAAGCGACGGGTAATCCAAAGACCAACTTCATGGTATGTGCATGTCTGAAGGACTTTCTCTAGTTCGATGCCCCGCTTCGGGTCGGGTGGCTCTTTTCAACGTCTAGACTTGTCTTCAGGATTTGCCCTGAAGAAGTAATGCTGATCCTGATATGTGCACAGGCCCCGGGTGAACCAAACTCACAGGTTGCGTACGGCACGCCACAGGTGGCGCATACGGCCTCGATGTAGATAGATATATTTGAAATGCAAAATGAGACATGCAGAATAGCGACGGGGAACTGCAAAGGTCGAATAACAAAGCGTTAGTTCTCCAAAGGATTCGGCGAAGGGGAGTCGGCGGTAACATGAGGCTGTACATACCCTTCAATTCATGAACCACTTCATTACTTCATCATTCCAGAAACTTCGATGAAGAACAATGTGGTTTTCATTGAGCTAGGGGGCTATGCAGATAGATGCTGCTGCATCTGCATCGGCGTTGAACTCAAAACAACACGCCTTGAAACACCATTGCTACTTCTCGCGGATAAATCTTTATGCAAATGCTCAGTAGTCACGCCATGCTACAACAACCCTTCTCCTCTTCCATGTTCACAGTGTTTCTACTTTTCCGCGAATAGCCCATCTCCAACCTCCTCTCCCCATCCCTTCATCTCTCACAACTCCCTCCCCAACCCATCCATCTACTTTGCTCTTCCATCTCTCTTCCTCCGCTTTCTGCCTTCTCACGAATTCAGGTCCGACATCAAATTCCTCACCTACAAGCCACTCATCCTCTACCAATGAACTCCCTTTGGCGGCAGCTGTGCCACCGAGGCTATCATCGTTGCCTTGTCCAGTCGTGCTCTTCGCCTTGATACCGTCATCGAGATCGTCCAAGCCAGCGAAAGGGTCATCGTCGTCATCAAGGGTGTCAGGAGACATGGGATTAGAGCTACTCCCATGCCTCAGCTCGCCATGCTGAGGCGCCATCTTGAGCCAGCACATGCGCTGCGGGTCAAAGACCATGCCGCCGCTCATCTGTACGCCTTTGGTGGCACCTACGTTGGCAATAAGTGCCGGTGCCGCTTTGCTACCTCCCGGCGATTTAGGACTAGCTAGCGCGGTCGGCTGTGGAATTGGCACTTCAAAAGGCGCGAGAGCGTTCTCGTTGCCCTCCCAGCGGAAGAGAATAGGGTTCCAAGACATGCCCTTCAGCGTCTTTGCGGTGTTTACACCCTCTCCCATTGGCTTGATAAGACGAGGCTTTTGGGGCAGACCTTTCGTACGCTTCTTCAAATGATGGACACTCGGAGACGTAAGAGCCTTGGCGTTGGTGACAGTATTCGTATGCGCTTTCCAGTTTGTGCTTATTGAGGTGAGAGGCCCGTTCTCGCGGACAGTAGGGAGAGATGGCGTCGTATGCAGAGTAGCACCGACTGACCCGATGCGCTGTTCTCGAGCAAGACGAGACGCATTGGTGTCGCGGGCGAAGCTAGGAACATGGCCATGCCTTAGAGGGCTAAGAGGCGTCGACGGTGCGGCAGGAGGTGGTAGCTCATTGAGTGATGTAGTGGAAGCGTTGTGTGACTGGAGGCCAATTTTGCTTCGCATTTGAACGGACTTTGGCGCACCGCGTGAGATCGGTTGTTTCATGAATTTGGACTCTGTTGAAGCCGAAGTAGGAAGGTCGTCAAAGGCATCAAGCTCGTTTCCATCGCCAAAGGCTCGGCGCCGAGTTGGTTTAGTAACTATCCGCTTGGACGCAGCTTCTCGAATCAATGACTCTGGGGCATGGTCTCGGCGACCGGTTGGAGTGATAGGACGGTGATGTGCATTGGAAAGCCGAGATATCGGTCGATTAACTGGGCCGTTATCGTTTGAGTCTGAAGAGGTAGGGCGATTGAAGTGCCTCGAAGACTTTATGCTTATATGGTGAGATTGTGCTTGAGACGTTCCAGCGGGCAAGAATGGGACAGGTGGCCTCCTTGAATTGGCGAGACTCGACTCAGCGCCTGACCGATCGACGGGTGTCTTAGGTCTGGACGGCAGACCTTGACGGCCGCTGTAATCTCCTCCACGAGATGGAGGCCTCTGATACGATGTTTGGGTGCGAGCTGGCGAAGGCTGATTCCTCATCACGGGCGCTGATCGCTTGGACTTCAGGAACTGCGCAGGATGTGTCGTAGCCTCAGACCTCAGCGCGTCGCGTGACGATTTAGTGTTCAGTCCACGGCGGACCGGAGTAGATGGTGCTGCGGTCTGGGAGGAAGATGGGGTAGCAGGAGTTGGAATGGCTGAGATTGACGAATGTGCAGAATGGCCTCCCATGCGTGATCCTGGCCGGCGATAATGTGGTATGGGGCCTCCACTCTCGGAAACAGGCTCCAGTGTGGAGCGAGACCTACTTTGGGGCAGAGGCTTTGGAATCTTGCTTACGCCAGGCTCGAGCTTATTGGTGAATGTGAGAGTCATTGCAGCTCGTCTTGCTGGACTGGTCTGTCGTACTGTCTTGTGCTTGACGTTTCGATTGAGAGTAAGCTTCCCAGAATCGAAAACATCCCCGTCGCCAATCTCAATGCCAGAGAAGAAATCATCCTTCGCTGAAACAGCTTTTTTGACCGGCTCAACTGGCTGCTTCTGGGAGATGAGATCTGCAGGATCGGGCGATATATTATCAAGACGCTTCTTGAGTGCCTCATCGAATTTGAACGGTCCGTCCGGGAGAATTAGGCCCTCCAAGCCTTCGTCTTCGCTCTCGCCCGTCAAACAGCTTGAGGCACTAGGACTGAAAGCGGAGATCGATGAGCTTGGATTCGATCTTACATCTCTCCTCGTGCCACCAAACCTCGTGCCTAAGCTACCTTCAGCCCATTCCATGTCCAAATCGTCATTAAGCTGGGATACTGGAGTCTTGGGCGCTTCTTTTCTGGCTGACAGCCTGAGAGGCTGCCCGTCCATAGGTAGCTCCAAATCATCTTCGATGTTTTCAACCTCATCATTGAATTTCGTTGAAGGAGGTATGAAGTTGACCGGCTTCTGTGGTAATCTATTTTTGGCAATTTTGATTGTGGGCACATCTCCAAAGAAGTCATCATCGTCGTCGTCGTCACGGAAGTTATCCAGGGAAGAGTTCCCAGTCTTGGTCTTAATAGCAAAAGCGGTTCGTTCTTTGAATGTCATGCTGGATTGAGGCTTCAACGGACTCGGTGACGATGGGAACTCTGCACTGAATTGCCTCAGTGCATCTGGGAAATCCTTCGCGTCGTTCTTCTTCAGTTGGAGGCCGCCTTCTTGAGCTTTGGGCAACTCAATGTCTTCACCCCAATCATCTCCCCCCAAGACCCTTTTCAACCGCCGACCTCCTAGTCTCTTGATTGTACCGCCAAGAAGCGCAGAGGAAGGGACATTGGTGGGTATTGGAATACCAGCAGTCTTTGCGGCATTGATAGCCTCTGTAGTTGACTTCTCATCATCGGTCGGAAGCAGGACCTGCCAATCCTCGTCTCCTCCACCTATTGATTCTCTATCTGAGCGTGTCGACATACGCGATGAAGTGCTGTCCCGAAAGTGAGAAGCCTGGGCGGAGCCAATTGTGGTGCTAGATGCATTGCGGAATTGAAGTTCATCGATGCCTTGGAGATCGTCATCATCATCCCAGCACTCCATAGTGTCCTCTACTGGCTGCCTCGGCTTCAAAGTCAATGGCTCCATGTTATCGTAACCCTATTGAACTCGGTGTTACTTGAGGTGGGGGGACCTCAGTTGTAGTCCGTCCACGTTGGATATGAATGAACTTGCGTAGAAAGGAAAGTCGTTAGTTGTGCCGTCTAGAACCCTGAGCTCATGTTTGATGCAAATGATGTACTAAAATACTGCTGGCCGTCCAATTTTGCCCGGTATTTGTGGAATCTCGAGGTGAGGTGGGTGTTGTAAGGAGGCACCCCCTGACCCTTGGAAAGGGCAGGAACTGCAACGATGAGCTGCGGACAAATGATCTCCGAAGCTGGTCTTCAATAACAATCACTGTATATTAGGAAGAAGCGGTAAGCTTGAGGGTCGAGGGCTGTGAGACGTGTCAGAAGAGGCTGGTATGCATCAATAAGGCGACCGAGCCGGCCTTCCACTTTCTGTAAGGCTTAGCGCCTTGGCATCTCGCTAGCGGGCGCGGGTATTAAGTAAACAGGAAGGAGGAGAGGCAGAAAAGCTTCAGAAATGCAGCCACTCGGTTGTGATTTACTGCCACTTAGTTGCTTAAATACTCATCTCGTTCTCTTCGAATACCACAACCTTGCTCTTCATGGCCACCGAGCACATTCTTTATCTCCTCCGCTCGGACAGTGATGGGGACCATGTGCTAATCAATGTCTCGTCCGAGGGACCTTCTCCCTTAGATCTGAAGCTGCTGGCAACAGAGGGAGAGAGTCCATACATAGCTACGAGTGAGTTCAGACCCTACATGTCCTAAGCGAACGCTGACCACTGATAAAGTAAGGCAGTCTCGAATTTCCAAGCTCCGGGATAAGAAGAATCAATTAAGTGACGACCAATGGGAGAACGTGTTGCATTCAACCCTTCTTCAGCGCCGGATTCAAGGATCAGAAGCGAGCACTCTCGAAAAGCTCGAAGTCCATGCAACTCTTACTGGCGACCAACTCTCGATAATTTTCCGCAACAACTTTTCCGGTATCACTCAAAAGCTAGGCGAAGTAGCCTTCAAGAAAGATGAGAATCAGGAGCTAGATATAACACGGTGGACAGGAACGGCGGTGGAAAGATCTTATCGATTGGACAGAGAAGTCAGAGACCTGGCTTCAAAATATGACGAGCAAAGCAAGAAGATGGAAAAGCTCAACAATCAGCTCGAGGATTTGATCAAAGCCAAGAAAGAACATGAGGATTCTCTTCTACAAACTTTCAGAGAGCTACTTAACACCAAGAAGCTAAAGATCAGAGACCAACAACGAACTTTGGCTAGTGCCAAGTTCGATCCCAAACAAGCAGCGCAACTCCAAAACGCTCGCTCAACCTCGAAACGTCGCGCAGCGACCGCTTCTCGGGCCGGGAAGCGAAAAGCAATGAGTGGCCACGGAGCCTCCGACTCGTCAGAAGAAAGCGGGTTTAAAGCGCAGGCTTCCAAGCCAAAGCCAGAGAGTGACGTGTCGGAACAGATGAATACACCTGAACAGTCTGATCAAGATGTGACTGAAGATGAAAGTGGTGATGACCCAGATTCTGCTCCTCAGGCAGCCAGACTGCCTGAAAAGAGTAAGGCCGCTACTGGAGCGAAAGGAGCTATTGGTGAGGAAATGCAATTAGATACCCTTCCGCCAATGAGGGACCTGCCGTTCGGAGAAGGCGGGAGGCGGGAGCAGGTGAAGCGGCCAGTTACAGAGGATAAGTTGACGCTCACTCAAGAGGCCGGGAATGAGGGTGAGGAAACGGATGATGACGAATTATGAATTATGGGCATGACATGTTTTGATGTGTCGTACTATTGAGTTACAGTTGTCCATGCTCGAAAAGTGCCCATGAATTCGATTGTCTATCGAAAATCCTCAAGCATCAAGCTTGCGTGACGGGGTATCAATGAAGGTGCCCAACAAGGCTTTTACCGTGAAGAGCTCCCACTATGCATACATTCTATTAGCTTACAGACATCATTGCCACGGGTTTTTTCGGTGATGAGCATCCTGCAATCCCGAATTTCTTATACAGGCAAATTGAACTTCTTTCCTTGCAGCACTCTACGCCCAGATGTCAGTCCCACTCCATGGCATGCTCCACGGCTCGAGAAGCACTCACTTGGTGTAATAAATCCAGAAGAAATCCGAATACAGCACGGTCTGCACGAGCCCCGCCACCCAAGCTATTTGGTCCACGTATCCCTCCGCAAAGTACCTGTAGAGCCAGTTGGGAATATATAACGCCCTATACAGGCCCAATGCAAAGAGATAGTGCGTGGTTATGGTTTCGGCTTCACCAGTTCGCTGAAGCATAAATAGTTGGGGGAGAATTGCGACAGATTCGAGCCAGATGGAAAATGACCAAAGGATCTTCATTTGGACAAAAGCTTTAGCATCACCACTAATAAACTGTGGAGCAAAGAGGGAAACCGACTTCTGTAATTTGATAGCGATACGGAAACAGGACTGCGAGGACTGCGCTGCCACCAAGTAGATATTGAACCTTGAAAGTATCGATATTAAGGTCATGAGTAGGTTTGTAGTCGTTGAGCATTAGGTAGATGGTGTAGGATTGTGAGGCCAGGAAAAGGAGTTTAAAGGTAGTATTGTAGACCGAGCCGGTAGTAAAGGTCCAGAATATGTCTGTTGGAGGGCAGTGAGCTTGAAAGACTAGGCAGATTTACGAGGAGAAATGCTTACCTAGGTAGCGGGTTGCGTAGACAATCAGATAAAGTGCTTGCGATTTGAATGATATGCCTGAGCAGCTCTGTTGTGGGCGATTAGCAAGGGGCTTTGGGAACGAGGCTACAGGGAGCGCACGTGTGAGGATTTCATCTTCTGTAGGAGTATCAGGATGGATACGAGATGAGAGAGATCCGCTAGACGATGTTAACACTCATCGCAGCCATGATAGAGCTCAACGCTTTTGCGCTTCATACCAAGTATACGGAAAATATTCATCGTTGCGGTGGAGGCTGGCTTAGGCCCAGCAAACCTTGAGAAAAAGAGGTGCGGCGTCAAAATGTTCTGAGAAGAGGAACAGTCTATTTGGAAGAGTTTACAGTCTAATTGGTAATTTTTGGCTGAAGATTATCGAGTACGTAGTGACCGCTGACAGCTGTCAAGGACACGAGATCCGAGAATGAAATGCCTTGCGCGACGAGACTTTTCGACTGCCGTACCGTCCGCTGGTAGAGTAGACTGCAGTGAATGCCAAGGCCTTAGCTCGCTTGAATCAATCAACCTTTTGCCTTCTTTCTGATGTGGAATCCTTGAAAACATAGCTTGAACTTTCGCACAACGCTCATGCTATATTATTGAGCTATAGAAAGTAGATACACGTATTTAAAGCACTTAGTAAGATCAGTACCTCTTCAATTAACTTTAGAGAACGCTTATACCCCTATAACTATGTCGAATAAGGCTAGCTAGCCTTAATAAAACTATAATAGCTATAATTTTAAGGAGCACGTATTTATGCTAAAGTTGTCGATGAATATTATATTGAAAATAATAGACGAAGGTTAGAAATTATTAATAAATGAAGTAGCTATTATTTTTAGAGCGGCGATAGTATTTATAAAAAGGGCGAACGATAAATTTAAAATTTAGATAGTCTTAAACGAAGTATATAAACTAGTTATTAATTTAAGTAATCGAGATAATAATATAGAGGAAAAGATTATGTATATTAAGTACTAGGTAACTAGTTTAAAAAGTAATATATCGACGATTAGCTACGTTAGCGTACTAGGCCGATTCTTAATATTCTTCTTTATTATCGAAGGAATTCTTATTATACTATTAATAATATCGAAATAAGATTAAGTATTATATAATAAGCTAAACGAGATTATTATAAAGCTATAAGACGAGATAATAAGTAAAGTATTAGAGGAGAAGACATTAAGCGAGATAATTACGATAATTAATAAATATATAAAGAATATAAATATTATAAGAAAATCTATTAGAATGGCTAGAAGGCTAGCGAGTAATAATATATACATTATAGCTATAAATGAGAAGAAGGCGAATAGACTAAGAAAAAGTAAGAATTAGACTCTAAAGATATATTAGGCCTAATGCGTTATAGGCCTTGGCGCTGCTTACGCCAAGGCGCCGACATCGTATATTCTACGTTAGGGTCCCTTTTAGGGTCTAGTTTTAATAATATATCTTATATGCCTAGGGGCTTAGCGGATATAGATCTACTTCGTATACCTCGAAGTTTTAATATTTCTTAGAAATTAGTTCTACTATTAAATATATTATTAAATTCTATAATAATACTACGTTTTTTATAGTTTATATCCGCTAGCTAATCGCTAATAAACTACGCTTTTATAATTCTAATCTCTTTATCTTTTAAAGAAAAAGGCCTATTATTATTATAATATCGAGTTTATCTTTAAATTATATAATAGAAAATGAAGATAATATTAAGAGCCGCTATAGCGCCGATAATAAGTTCGAGAATTTCTTATTAATAAAAGATCTTACTATAAAACAACGTCTTATAATTATTAGAGTCGAAAATCGTCGTTTAAAATAAGAATAAGAATTAATTATATTAAAGGTTTATAATCGCGAGCTTTATAACGTTAGCTTACTATCTACGATTAGTAAAAGCCTATCTATATTAATTACTATTGCGCCTCTAGCGAATATATTAATTAAAATAAAAATACTTCGCTCTAAAAGAATACGTTCTTATAAGAGTATTAGTAAGAGAGAATACCTGCGCTAGTTCCGCGAAGTTGAAATTAAGTTTCTTATAAATTCTAAATATTTTACTATTAATTAATTAAGAATTATTTATTATATATAATTCTTAGAAGATAATCTTAATATTTAATAATATAAATACTATTAAGCCTATAATCTAAGAGATATAATTTTTAAATTCTTTAAGTAGTTTCTACTTAATTTAATAGCGGATTTAGTAAATTATTATTTTCTTGCTTACGAAAAGTAAAAGAAGATTAAATAACGCTTTAATTAGAAGATATTTATTTTTAAGATCTATCTAAAGAAGCTAGAGGCCTATATAATCTTATTTTCTAAGAAATATTAAGCTAATTTCTTCTTAGCTAAACTTAAATTAAAATTTAAGAATAAGATTCTAAATACTAATAATATATTAAAATAACGAAAAGAAATTCTTATCTAGATTATTATATAGAAAAAGATTTTAGAATATATATATTTTAATAGCGATTTTTATTTAAAGTCTTTAAAAGAGTTCGCTAAGGATAAGCCTTTAAAGAATTAAATTTCGAAGTCTAAATCGATTTTAAACGGCGGCGCTTACGTAGTGCGCACTTAAGACGATAATATAAAGCGTAAAATTAAATCCTTTAACTCTAATTATAAGAAGAATAATTATTTTTATTATAGAAAATAGAGTTATTAAATATCTAAGTATCTAGACCTCGATAAATCGCTTATAATCTATATCGACGTAGTATTAATAAAAAAAGATTCGGTCTTATAATCGCCTTAGAAGCGAGATAAGAATAACGATTAATAGAGATAATTTCTTCTATTTTTACGAAGAAATAAATAAAGCTTTAGAGTAAATAGAGGTAACTCGTTACTCTACTCGATACTAAAGTATATATTAATTTAATTTCATAAAAGTTCGTAATTTAATAGAATTTAAAATCTTATAACGCTATCTTATCGTAATTAAAAGCGCTAAGCGATTAAAGTATATATTACTATAGCGCGTATTAGCTGAATTATTAATTAGTAAATAGCTAAGATTAGAGTAAAAAGTATAATATACTCTTCTATATTATTAACTAAAAAGGCTTTAATATTATATTAGATATACCTAGACTAAATTAATTATAAATATTATTAGATTTAGCGGCGAAGTAATAATAATTTAAAATTAACGCTAATAAATTATAGATTAAAGAATTAGTTAAATTTACCCGAATTATTAAATAAAAGTTAAATATATTTATAATCGTATACGCTATAATAACGCGTAGCGAATTAAAAAACGAGTATAATTTAGAGCTCTCTTAAAAGTTATTAGAGTTTAATAATATTTTTTTTAACGAAAAAGTAGAGATCTTATCTACGTTTAAGTAGAGAGATTATATTATTAAGATCGAGAGCGATAAGAAGTCGTTATATAGCTTCTTATATAATTTATCTTAAACGAAGTTAGCGAAGCTACAGCGCTATCTAAAGAATTCCCTTTAAAAAAACTAAATTTATTACTCGACTTTCTTAATCGAAGTATTAATCTTTTTCATTTCTAAAAAGAATAGAAGACTTTATCTTTATATTAATTATCGAAATTTAAACGCGATAACTATTAAAAATCGATACTCGCTATCTCTAATTATTAAGACTCTAAATCGCTTATATAGCGCTAAAGTCTTTATAAAGCTAAATCTTAAGAATATCTATTATCGAATTTAAATAAAAGAAAGCGATAAGTAAAAAATAGCGTTTCGTAATCGCTATAGCCACTTCGAATATTTAATTATATCTTTTAAACTTATTAATACGTCGATAACTTTTTAAGCGTATATTAATAAAGCTCTTACGGATCTAATAAATATAATATATATAATATATTTAAATAATATTCTAATTTATAATACTAATTTAGCGAAGTATTAGCGATATATTAAGTAAATACTTAAGCGTTTATATTAGTTTCAACTATACACCAGTCTAAAGAAGTATTAATTCTATATCGAGCGAGTTAAGTTTCTAGAGTTTATTATATTTATTAAAGATATTATAATAAATTAAAAATATATTACTATTATTAAGAAGTAATTAAAATTAAAAAGTTATTAAGATATATAAGTCTTTTTAGACTTTATTAATTTCTATTAGCGATTTATTTATAACTATTTTAATATAATAACGCTATTTACTAACTTACTTAAAGAAAGTAAGAATAATAAGAAATCTAGATTATTAGAGTAAATAGATAACGCGAAGCTAGCATTTTAGTAACTTCAAAGCACTTTCATAACCGCGCTATTTCTATACTACTATAACTTAGATTTAAAATTACATCTTAAGACCAACGCTTTTAACTTCGATATAAAGACTATACTTTTATAATTAAATAAAAATAATTATTAATAATTAATAATATTTTAATTTAGAAAAATAATTTCTATAAAGTAAAACTATAAGATCTATAATTAAGAGCTACTTATTATCGTAGTATCTATAAAATAATAGCGTTATTATCTAGAAGATAATACGTTTTATATTAAAGTTTTAACGAATTATAATAATCTTAAGAGCTTTATAAAATAGAAGAAATTAAACTTTAAATAAGTCTATTAGACGCTAAAGTTAATTATTTATAACTTTAAGATTTTTTATTAAGTAGATAAACTAAACTTTATTAATCCGCTATCGCGACGTCTTAATTATAAAAGAATTTCATTATTAAATATTAAACTTTTATTAATATTATAAAATAAGCTTATACTTTAAATTAGCGGTAAGTAATTATAAAGAAATAAGAAGATTATAGCGGTTATAGCGCTTATATTTCGTATTATTAGCGTTTAGATAATTATTTCTAAAAGAAAGTCTAAGATTATATAAGAGACTACTTATAACGTATTTTAAAGATTAATAAAAATATTAATTCGAGATCTATAAGTCTATAATAATTAAGTAAGCTCTTTTTAAATTAATATTAATAAGCTAGCGATTAAGCGTTATGTACGTAATTAAATATAAATCTTAAACTTTAAAAAATTATTAAGATATAATAGTTATTTTTATATTTTTAAAGATAAGGCCTTAAAAAAAGAGCTTATTAATAAATATTATAATAATTTATTATTAGAATACTTTAACGCTACGAAAACGTATAAGCTACTTATTTATAAATATTATTAAAATAAAAGTTTAAAGTAAGTTATTAATTATATTAAGATATATAATATTTATTAGCGAATTAA